ACTGTTTTACTTTTATTTATTTCGATCCCGACTTTACGTTATTGTCAATTTAATATCATCGGCTTATTGCAATGACAAGCGATGTGAAAATATATTTTGCAGTTACGAAACACGAATGTTTATGCGGTCTAATTTTGTCAAAAAAATTAAAAAAGGAAAAAAGAAATTTAAGACATACGGTAGACCTAACATAACTCAGGAACTAGAAAATAATTAACGCCAACAAGAATAAAATAAAAATTAATTTTAAACAATTTTGCAAAATTCAGTTATAACATTAGATAAAGAATGCGATTTTTCTCCCGAGTCAAAATTGTTTGATATTATTACTGTATTAATTCTTGTTTGCGTAAAAATTTTTTTTTTTAGTTATGAGATTATGTTGAGGTCCACCATATTCTCTTTAATAAAACTTACAACCCGTAAATCATTAATAAAATTCTTATTGTTAATCACTTTATACAAATACTCACAGCCAACTTGCAGTAAACTGAAATTATTATTTGAAAATTAATTCTGATGAAGGTCGCATCCAGTTTTTTCATGATGAATTATTTTATTTGGATATTTTAAGGAAAAAAAGTTATTCTAGAACAAATGAATTGTTTAATAAAATGAAGTTTTATATCTATTAAAATATAGTTAATAAAGAAAGTTGGTTGGGTACTTAACGTCCCCTCTTTTGTCTTTGTCTCTTGACGCATGCGCGCTGATGCATTTTAATAGAAACAGCTGTTTCTGTTGTTTATTTGTCTAAAAATTTTTTCTTTTTATTTATTTAGTATATAATTATATTATATTTATTTATTATGAAAGAAATATTTAATTAGAAAAAAGGTTTTTAAAATTTTTCTTATTTACGTTCTTCGCGAATTATTAGGTGAAAATTGTAAAAAGTCTAAATGTTCTTCAGGCTTATGTTGGTTATTTATAAGTCTATGTCCACAATAAGCTTTTTTATGGACTTATGTTGAACATACAGAATAAAAGAATAGATTTCTTTGTATTCTTATATTAAGTTCAAGATAAGGTCAAAAAAGTCTATTGTGGACGTAGCCTAACTTATTTCCTAGAAATACACGCGTCGTTCATGCGCATGCGTATCTAGAAAGAGAAAGAAGAGGGGACGTTCAGTACACTTGCTGACCCTTTCTATCGAACTGACGTTTCCTGTTTCCACCTATGGAATTCTTTGGACTGGGCTTCAAATAAGGATTGCCAACTACCAATCAGGCAAAATTTTTAGTTTATCACAGAAAAAAAGACTCTGAGAGATTAAATTTTGATTTGCCTCTGACAGACATATTGACTTAAAATTTTATCCAGTCTTGTATTAGTTCTAACTATGTTTTAAAAAAATGAAATTAAACATTTTTAAAAAAGATCTTTATCTACTTTCGTTGCAAAGAAACTTATATGGTCGCATTATGAAAAAATTAAAAGAAAATAAGAAAAATTGTTCTTATAATATTTTGTACCTAATATAGGTACAAAATGGCATTACTGAAAGTTCTATCGAAATTGGCTTATAAACACATTTTTCTTTTAAAAAAAATCTTTAAAACACATTTACCCAAGTGTAAAGGCATTCTTTCCTTTTCTCTCATATAGAATCTCATCGAATGCTCAAACGCTACATACAGAATTTTTACTTGCACTCAGGGATTTTTTGAAATGTCAACCTAAAGCAAGTATACTCAATAGATTGTTAAAAGTGAGAGTGACTAAATTCTTTTCATAAATTATAAAAGGTGACTAACTTCAAGTTGTATATTTGAGTAATTGTAGATCTGCCTTAAAAAATGTTATTCTTCAGGGTCTTTCAACAACGAAATTTGCAACTTGAATATTTAGCCTAAAAACATATTAATATTAAAAATGACGAAAAAATTTGAATACGAACGAATTTTAAATAAAAAAAAAAGAAAAATTCAACACTTGACTAAAAATAAAGAAATATGTATTCTCAATGATTGAGAATGTAAATTAATATTTTAAATTGATTGAATCACATATTTCTAATATTAGGCCATTACTTTTTTCACTTTCATTTATATAAGAGTTTGAGAAAAAAAATAAAAATTTTGATATACGTATATTTATTGAAATAATTGACTAGTGCGCCTTCTTAAGAAAATAGGATTTTCAATACGAGGTATAAAGGTTATTCAATTTCAACTTTTTTTGCATCAGAATTGTTAAAAGTTTTTCTTAACAAAAAAAAAAAAAAAAATAAAAAAAAAATCTTTAGCTATCTATAATATTCTGTTAAAATAATGTCACATAAAATAATTTTTTCATTTTGTCTTTAAAATATGTAATTCAATTTTAAGAAATTATTAATGTAAAAAAAATTAAAATTAAAAAATTAAATTTTTAATGTGACGCTTAAAAGATAATTTATCTTCAATAAAATTCTCAAAAATTTCAATTATTTAAGGGGTTAAGTCGTTTCTTTTTTATACAACAAAATAGACAAAAAAATCACGTTTTTTTGAAAAAAAAAATTTTTTCAAAGCCGCGGGAAAAATTCAATTTTTAATATTTTCAAATAATCCTATTTCCAGCGATAGCCACAAACTCACAGATTAAAATTCAATTTCTTTTGTTTATTTTAGATCAGTCAAGTAGTCAGCATCGTGGTTGCCGATAGACGGCGTTTTTATGATCATCATCACTTTCCAATTTTATAATCCGGAATCATTAAAATATTTTTACTTGCAAAAATTTGAATTTGTTGTTAAAATGTTACTGAATACGCATGGTCAAAATTTTGATGTTCTAAGTTTTCATGGTTCTTAAAAAGAAAATACCAAAAAACTCTTTAAAAAAATGTTTTTCACATGAAGTAACGAATTTTAAGCAAATTTATCTAAATTAAATTTTTTTGGTCCGCCATTTTAATTTTTTTAAACTGCCATCATATTCGTAGTCAACGATCATAAAAACTATCGAGTAACAAGTTTTATGCTGATTCGGTTACTTCTGTTTGACAAACTATAACGTTTTGATAACAAAACTTTAAATGTTTTTTTGCAAAATACTATTTTTCAAAAATTGTTACCATCAAAACTCAAGCCTTTTGGCAGATTTCAAAAATTTCTTGTTGCCATTTTTTGCACTTTTGATTATTTTTTTGAGTAGTTAAAGCTTTAGGACCTGACAAAACCCCTTATAATAGTTTTAATTCTTTGCTTCAAAATAATTTTTAAGTATAATTTTTAAAATTATTCAAAAATAATTTTTAAAAACTGACTATAGTTATTTTTTTATATTATAAAAATCGAAATAAGTTCAGGGTTGGCACAGACCTAGAAAACCTATCATTTTTCTCTGTATTTTTTCGTTATTACTTTAAAAAAAGTGTGATGCGCTCCGAAGTAACGTACCTTAGAAGCAAAAAATTATAGGTTATGTTTGTAATTTTATGAATGAAATTACACAAAGAGGATTAACTCCCAATATAAAAAACTAATATTAAAATATTCATTACAACTAAAGTAATTAATCAAAATTAAATTTCGTTTTACAAATACAAACAAAACTTTTAAATGAATTAAAAATAACACAAACATAACCTTAAAACAATTTGCTTCTAAGATAGGTACTTTTCTTCGGAGTGCGTATCACAAATAATCTCGCAAATTTTAATTTAAATTTTAATTATTTATAAAATTAAAAATTAATAACTAATGTTATTAATAATTTACTTGAAGGATTATATATTTTTTGTCGTAGGGTAGTTACACCAGTGAAAGAATTGACACCAGTAAAAGAATAAATTGATTATTTATTACGATACTTCACAAATTATAACTTTTAGGACTATAAAAAAAATATTTTTTAGTTCCTTATTTCTTCAGAATATAGTTTATGATAAAAAAATAGATTCAATATGCAAGTTATTTCTAAAAATAATTTTTTAATGTTTTGGTGGGTTATGAACATGACAAATGAATGAAGCATAAACAGAAAAAAGGTTACAAGTTTCGGGTGCAATTAAATAATATTTCTGGTTGCGTAATTAGGAAAATATTAATAATAGTAAGTTGTAAAATTGTTTCAGAATATTTGTAGCGTTTTTAATATAATTTTTGTTATTTTTAGTCACTGTATTAATATAAATTTGATTTGTTCTTTCACTGGAAAATACAACTGTTCTTTTACTGGTCAACATTCTTTCACTGGTAAAATGGACATTTTTCAATATTTGATTAAAATTTGATATTTTATGTTATATTTACAAAATTTGTATCATAGGCTTCAAATTCTTTAGAAATTTTGCTATTCATTGCATATGTTTAAAAAGAAATTCAAGAATGTCAATTAAAAATAAAAAGTATCAAAAGTATACATTTCCTTAAATGTTCTTTCACTGGTGCCACTACCCTAATTAGATAAAAATTTATCAAAACAATTTTTTTTTGGGTCTGAAAAACCTGAACGTACTTACGTACTTACAATGAATCTTCAACTGAAGAAAATTTTTTATGGCATTATTTTAACAAAATTTCAAATAAAATATTATTTTAACAAAAAAAAATTTATTTTCTATTGTGCATTAAGAAAAAAACTTTATATTTAAACAAAATTATAGGTCCTGCTCAAGATGAATTACTTTAATAGGATTTATACTTTTTGATAGAAATAATAATAAGAATAATAATAATAATAAAAACTACAATAAGTTTCTACAAATGTCAAGAAAGAAAAATTTTGAATACGGAAGAAAATATTTTGTTTTAGTAAAAATATCTCGGCAGGACTCTTTGGAATGCATTATCAGCGCAAACTGGTTACTTTTTTCTCTCAACATTTCAATGAGCAATATATAACTTACGATTAAATCGGAACGTATTTAAACAGGTACTTGTTACACATCTATTATTCTATAGGAAGAGAGGCATTTGGATTAAAGCCCAAAAAAAATAAATCTTTACACGAATTAAATGAAAAAGAAAACAATCGCGACCATTAAAAAAAATCACATTAAAAGACCATTTGATGATCTAAAAAAGAAATTTAATGTCCATTTTCTTTCCGCACATAGACTGACTTGTCTTACAGTTTTGTTTTTCAGTTAAACTTCAACACAAGCTAATTTTGTAGAAGAAGGAAAAAAGGAAAACACAGTCAAAAAGTTCCGCAATCGAATTTCCGCTTCTGATTTGGAATGATTTTTTAATAACTTGATTTATTGAAAATTATTTCGCATTGGATTTTGCCAATGGTAAAAGGAAAAAAAAATATATATATATAGAAAATTAAAAATTATTCATCACGCGTAATCGCTATTTTTATATAAACAGAAAAAAAAACTTAAAAGTTATGACTTCGCCTTTTTTTAATAAAAAATAATTTGTCTGGATAATGAAGAACTCTGAGTAGCTTTTGCTCGACCACTGCAAAGAAAGTTTGGACGAGGATTTTTTTTAAAAATACATCTCTTTCTCTCTCTCTCTCTCATTAACACATTCGAGCGAAAAAAAAATAAAAAATTTTTTTTTTATATTTCAATCAACAGTAAACGGACATTCACATACGGAAAAAAATTAACACACAGATCATCGCGCGCAATAATATAATAACAAAAATATCGCGTTCCTATTTTTTTTTTGTTTTCTCTCACTAAAAAAAGAAGTCGAACGCAAGGTTCTTGTTTATTCTTAATAATCATCTATTCTCACTTTTCATCATTTACTTAATTTTTCATCTATTCTCACTTATCATCACTTGTGCAGTAACAAACGCACTATTTTCTTTTTTTAAATCATTTTTGTAAAAAGAGGGGAAAATATGAAAATTCAATGAGCGACAACGATATTTTTAAAGTGCGTTTGTTACTAAATGTCCTCATCCGAACTTTTTAAGACTACAATTTCTCTCAATTATCACTTGTAAACATTTGTGTCATTCTCTCGTTCATCACAGATATACACATTTTTTCGTTTCGCGTACATGCCTATTTTTCTCACACTGCGCTTTGGCTCTCTCTCACAACATTCTCTCTTCCTTTCAGAAGATTTCATTTTTATCACTTGATTCATCGGCCATCGGAGTATTCCATTGTGTACAATGGATCAGACACGCAGTTAGAAGACGCAGTTTCGATTTCAGACATACTTTGACAAAGCTGCGTTTCATTTTTTTTTTTTTTTGGTTCATTCATCGGCAACATATCCACTTGCACTCTTCGTCATCCACTGCAGTCGATAGATCCGGTGGGCAGGTGTTTTTGTTTTTGACTATAACCACCGGCTCATTAAACATCGTCGCCAGGGGACACGTGCAGACTCATCATCATCATCACCATCATCATCATCATTATTTCATTGTCATAGCTTTTTGGAACTCACGCACATCCATCAACTCGCATCCGCACCATCCAATCTTGTTGTCTTTGCATTGTGTTCGATAGCTTTCTAGTCAAATCAAATCGTATGACAGTACAACTGTGGGGTGATCTGTAAACAATAAAATCGGGCCAATTAACCGTCTTTTCATTTCCAAATTATTGTTCGCTCTACAAAAAAGGAACATTTTTTTTTAAATAAACTTTAGAAAATACCCTTCACCAATTTCCCAAAGAAAAATATTACCACCTAATTATTAAAGTATGTTTATTTCTAATTTCTCTGAAAAAAGCCAAATTTATCGATTTCAAATTTTAAGTTTCCAAATTTTATCAATTTATTTAAATCACATCACCAAGGCTGTACTCACATTGTATGCAAAGAAAATTGTACGTTTCACTCTATACTCATAAATTCTACTGTTTAAATTATTTTTTTGGAAATTCAAGCTTCGCACTCGTTAAGAAGAAAACTGTCATGTTTAACTTTAACCCCTTAACTTTCTTAACCGTTAAAGAAAGTCCTTAAAATGCGGGAAAAAAAATTTTTTTTGGACTTCAATAAAATCTTCTTCAAAAAGGTTTTTCGGGCTCTTGCTTATAAATTTGGGGTCAAATTCTGAAAATGCAAAATGGAGGATAATCTTTTAAGTTAACTTGTTTGAAACTTGTTAATCGAGGGTTACCACCTAATATTGACTATCGCGGGTAGAGCACTTTTCATATATTATTTATTTTATGTAAAAAAACTTTAAATATAAAATGTATAAAATGTAAATAATGCTTTTACAGGGTGAACACTTTTTTCATGAAAAAATTTACCGGTCACAGGCTTCACAGTGCCCCTAAAAAGTATTTTAGAGGAAATAGGGGACTGAAAATTAAAAAATAGGGGACTTTTAGGGGACCAAAAAAATTAGTTAAATAAAGATAAAAATATAATTTATTTATATACAGGGTTGCCACAAAAATTTAACTTTATTTTTTATTGACTTTTCCCTCATTTCCAAACATAACTTTAAATTCTTCCCTGACCCTAAAGAATATTCTGATTCACTCTCAAAATTATTAGATACTCAAAAAAATGTTCTATTAAATTTATTTACAAATTTCTTCAAAAGTAAAATTATTCGAAAACATCAATTGTTATATTTAAAATAAATATTTCATCATTTTTTTTTCATTGGAATTAAGATGATCAAAAATTTCAAATTCAAACCTTTTCAAATTGAACAACTCATAAGAATATTATTATAAAATATAAATATCGAAGACTCGGAGTAATCCATTTCTTTATGTTTTATAATAATTAAAAATGACCGACTGACAAAATCATTATTTTATTATTACAAGAATATTGTTACTGTAATTGCTTCAAAATTATTTGTACCATTTCAATTAACATTTTCTAGAATTTTTAACTAAAATTCTGCTTTAAATCAATAACATCAATTATTATTCAATTAAAATTTTTCCAAAAAAATTAATTCTACAGAATTGTTAGTTAAAAGAACGAAAAATAATAATTTAATTCTACGAGAAAAATTTTTGCCAATAATTTAATTCTACGAGAAAAATTTTTGCCAATAATTTAATTCTTGAGAAGAATTTTTCCTATCTATTTATAAAAATAATTTAATTCTTGCCGAGAATTTTGAAAAAAATTTTTAAATAATTTATTTTCTGCAAAGTATTTTATTAATTTTTAAAAGAATTGAATTCTTGTGATGAATTTTGATATTTATCAAAATAATTGAATATTGGAAGTGAATTTTATTAAAATTCCTTAGAATAATTGATTTTATGGGAAGAATTTATGCGATTTTGTTGTTTATCAAGCTAATTGAATTCTTTTGTAAAATTACCTACTTAAAAATTTTAGAAAATAATTAATTTTCTGCGACAAATTAAATGTTATTTATGAAAATATTTGAATTATTGCAACGAATTTTATTGTTTTATTGAATAATTGAATTCTTTCATCAAGTTTTAATAAAATTTTTAATAATAATTTAATTTTTTAAGGAATTTATTTAAAATTGTATTAAAAATATTTGAAATTCTTTGATGAAAATAATTGAATTTGTAAATGAAATATTATTATTTATGAAAATAATCGAATCTTTTCGTAGAATTGTATCAAAAAGTTTTTTCTATAATTAAAACAGTTGATAAATTTTATGAAAATAGTAAATATTGAAAATTATTGAATTGCAAAAAACTTTTGAAAGTAATTGAACTTTTGCAAAGATTTTTATAAATTTTTGAAAATAATTGAATTTTTGGCGAAAAATTTTGCTTTTTTTAAAGATAATTGAATTCTTGACGAGATATTCGTGAAAATTTTTAAAAATAATTGAATTTCTTCGAAGAATAGTATTACTTTTGAAAATAATTGAATTCTTGGGATAAATTATTGTAATTTATGAAAATAATTAAATTGTGTAAAGAATTTTATAAAAATTCCTAAAAATTATTGAATTTCTCTGAAGAATTTTGTTATTTATCAAGATAATTGCATTAAAAGTTTTGTAATAATTAAATAATATTAAAAAAACAACCAACTTCTAAACATAATTGAGACTTGACTTCACCAAAATACTAATCTTACAAATTTTATAAATTTCATCGATTATAAATTTCAAGATGTGAAACTTTCAAAACAAAAGTTTCCAATTGAAAGTTTCAACGGCACTTTGCTAAATTTGGTGTAAATGCATCATTAAAAGATAAAAGAAAAAAATAGGGGAAATTTAGGGGAAATTTTCAAAATAGGGTACGTTTAGGGGCCAAAATTAAAAAAAAGGAACTTTTAGGGAAATGGGGGATAGACTGTAAAGCCTGTTATAAGAAAAAATTTTTAATAAAAAATACATAATACATTTTCACGATTAAGTGAAGTGGAAATTTTAGTAGTTCATAAACTGGCTCATTTACTTTATTAATATTTGGATGTATTAATGAAACAGTGTGAAGTTGTGATTTCTCAATTTATAATTATTTTGAAGAAAATAAATATTACTTTTCTTATTTCAACTATTAAGTAGCGAATTGTATACTGCAAATTCTGAAAAAAGGGACAAATCTAAAAAAAGTACCCAGATAGTATCAAATAGTAAAAAAGTACCTAGTAAATAGTAGGTTTTTGTAGATGAGTGCGAAGCCCTATAAATTACTTTTTAACTGATGATGAATATTAACGTTTTCTTAATTCTTCTTTCAAAAGAAAAAAATAAATAAATAAAAAACATTTAAAAAAAAAATTTCGTTGTTAAATTGCAAATGATCTTTCCTTCCTTTCGTGCTCTAGAAATCAGGTTTCCTTTGAAAATTCAAACCATGTCTATTGAAGTCCGAACCCCCTTGTATATATTTTTTTCTTTTCTTTACTTTCAACACACTCGTTTCTTTCACTCTTTCTTTCCCCTAAATATTCTGCTTCCCTGTCATGCTAACTCACGTTTCAATACTTTCTTTCTCAACTCAATTCTTTTCGATCTCAGTGCCTCATTTATATTTATTTCCGTAGGAGATGGTGTGCATTCAAAACTTTTATAAACGACCTAACCAACTTTTATTCCCTTGCTTCGTGTATTGCAAACCGAGTCTCCGTTTAATTATCTGCGATGCTTTTATATCAAATGTCACGTTCTTCATGCGATAATAAACAGCGCTATACCGGACAGTGTCCACTTACCAGAATAAATGACAAAAAGACAAATTAATTTTACAATCAGACGATAATTTACGTTGACAGTAAAAATCGTAAAAATTTTATTCTCTCAAATACAAGGAGAGATAGGAGAAAATACGATCAAATTTTAAAACAGCAAAAAAAGGAATTATAAAATGTAACTCCATTCACAAAATGAAATTAAAAAATGGCTACAAACAATTTAGAATTATTTTTGTACTTGTTACATGAATAATAAATAATAATTTTTTTCTTTTGTAAAAATTCATTTCTCCTTAATCTCATTTTTTTATTTGAAACAAAAAAATATGGAAATCCGAGTAAATTTTTGAAAAAATGTCCGCCATATCGATCCGACATTTTGAAGTTTGAAAATGTGACACTAGATTCATAATCTGCGCCAACAAAAATGGTCAATAATAAAAATTTAAAATACCTAGATTCAAAATTTACAAGTTTGTGATTTTTTTAGGCTTCATTTTTTAAACCTTGATAGATTTTTTTAATATGAGTAAGAATTTCTGAAACGTGCCACCTAGAACTTGGAAATTTTCATTTTTTCCTAAATGATAATTTTCCTGTAGCATTTTACATAAAAAATCACTATGTAAAAGGATTTTGCAAAAAAAAAAACAAATTTCTTACTAAACGTCAATTATCGTCTGAATAAAGAAGAAAATTTTTGGTGTATTAATAAAATGATGATGTTAAAGTCCATAACGTCTCCCATAACTCTTTTATTTGCTGTAAATTTTGTCTAAATTTTTCAATTTCTTTGGTAAATTATTACACTATCATTGAGTATTGAACTTATTAAACTATTTTTTTGTTCGTTGATAAACGTTGTGGACTTCAAATTGGTATAAAATTGTATGGTAAATTGAAAATCAAGAGAGAAGAGGAAAAAACTCACCAACTAGATGTAGCGTTTGCGGTGTTCTTTACTCTGCGGATTTCTTTGGTGGCCCAAAGTGCAAGTGTTTTCGTTTTACTGGTGCGCGATTTTTTACCTTTGGTCAGCAATGCGGTAATTGCCTCAGTTTCCACCATGGGCAACATTTTGGTTCCATAGACTCTAATCAGATCGCCGATGAGACCGGAAGCAGCGGCAATATTGCCATCCGAATGATCGGCGTCTTGGGCAATTGACGTGATGAAGTGGATGATAAATGGCACGTGTGGCTCGAGCAACATAATATCGGGACTGATGTTGCTCTCGTCGTCGCCACGCAAACCTTGGACGATGCCAGTGTAGGCCTCGACGACACCTTCCCTCAGTTCGTTGAGGTAATCAATCATATCGTAGTCGTTCTTGTCAACCTGGGCCTGAGAGGCTTGAGCCAGTGTCTGCAGAACAATGTCCAGATACTTTTTGAACTCCGGTCCGATACTGAAGGCAATGTCGCCGAACACGGCGAGAATTTGTGGCTTCACCGAGCGATGAACTGTGTTGTTGCCGAGATTCTCCAAGAGGAGGGTCATGATCTCGTCGCAGTATGGCAGCATTTTGTTCTTGAGAGCGCGACAAATGTCGCCAGTGACGCCCACGGCCGCACAGCAGACCTGGTACTCGGAGTGATTCTTGAGACCCAGGAATAGGAATGGTTTGAAGGCGTCCATGTACTTGAGGAAACCTTCGCTGAGGACTTCGACCAACGTCGACACAGCCATGAGAGCGTCCTCCTGAACACTGCCCGACTTGCACGAGTTCGAATTGAACATTGACAAAAGCGCTCCCATGATGGCGTCTGAGATCTGCGGCGCATCGTCCGGACTCACTTTCCTCAAGACCGACTGCAGAGTCGCGCACAAAAGCGACTGCAAATCGTTGTACTGCGCCCGGTCCGAGTGATTCTGTATATGCGTCTCCATTTGCAGAACCTGCTGCAATCTCTCCAGAATCACCATCGTCGTCTTCTGCACAGTCACGTAGCAGTCCCTCGGCGAATTCTTCACCATCTCCATAAGCGCCTCATAAGCGGCCGACCTCAAGTTCGCCTGCGCTCCATCCGGACGATCGGTCGTCTCCAAAAGTCTCTGAATTATAAAGTCAAAATATTGCGACATACAATAAGTATCAGGCGTTCCGCTTTCATCGGCGCTCTCCGCGGCCTCGTAACTCGCCTCAGCGAGACCCGAGAAAGCCCAGCAGACATTCGCGGCAACCCTCGGCTCAGCCTTCAATCCATTCACAAACGACTCCAACAGCGGTTTCAAATATGTTTCGTTGATCGCTGCGTCTGGAATGACTTCGCATATTCTGCCGAATGTCCACGCGGCAGTGTCCCTCACCACCACACTATTGTCGTACATGAGTTCTATTAGAGTTGGCATTGCTTGTTCGGTGAGTGGTTTCAGAGTCGTGGACTCGAGACCACCGAGAATCGAGCCGAAGGTCATCAGGGCTGCGTCTCGATATCGCCAGTCTGGATTCTTTATGTTGTCCTTGATGAACGGAAGAACGTGTGGCACTATAGCCTCCTCGCAGCACGAGGCTAGTAGCATTAAACAAACACCGGCGGATTTTGAAGGATTCCAATCGTCCTCATCGTCGCACTCTTCTTGCTTTGTTAGTTTCTCCATAAGCACTGGCACCAAGTACTGCAAAGCTCCCTTTGCATAATGCTTGGACACCTTAACTGGAGGTTGTCCCAAGTCGTTCGCCTCACCTTCCTCCATCGACAAGTCCACTTCCTCCTCGGATATGTTCGACCAGAATTCAATTCCCTGAAGTGACACCTCATCTGTGTCGGATTTCATTGCCTCCAAAGTTATCTGCTCGTAACAAGGAAGACATATTACAATTTTAGTTTAATGTCGTTATTTCACACAAGAGCAATTATTATTCAACCGCAGTTAAACTTCCCATAAACTAGCTAACTTTTAACGTCTTTAATTATTTTGACAATAATGGTTGACAGGCTTCACAGTGACACTAAAAAGTATTTTAGACGAAATAGGGGACTTTTAAGGGACCATAAAAATTGGTTAATAACGATAAAAATATAATTTATTGAAACCGGGTTCCCACAAAAATTTAACTTTATTTTTCCCTGACTTTTCCCTCATTTCAAAACACAACTTTCACTTTTTTCCTGACCCTAAAGAATATTCTCATTCAACCGACAGAATAGCTCAGTCGGATAAATGCCTCGCTCGGCGGACGCTGTAGAACTAAGGGTACTTGGTTCGCGCCCATTAGCCTGGGATTTTTCCGGCACGTGAGATAATCTGAGCGGGAGATTCGGAAGTCGAGAACTTGGTTGTGTTGTAACATTCGAGACTTCGAATTTATACATCCAACACCCAGAAAAAAGCTTCTTTGAATCAAAGAAATTTGTGCATTATTATAGGCACGATAGCACGTCGATAAATCGGCTGTACTCAGTTAAAGGTTTTCCGTAGTTTCCCTTAACTATGGCCAGAGAGGACCTTGTGAATACGAGTTCTTCTAATAAAAGCCGGCTACGGACCGCAAATAGGAGGTATTTGGGAACCTGGAGAAATTTGGAGAGTATTTAGGGGTTGTCATATATGTAAAAATCTAAAAATCCAAATGGAGTATACATGAAGAACAAAAAAAAAACAGAATATTCTAATTCACTCTCAAAATTATTAGATACACAAAAAAATATTCTATTAAATTTATTTACAAATTTTTTCAAAAGTCAAATTATTCATAAACATCAATAGTTTTATTGAAAATAAATATTTCATCATTTTTTTTTCATTGAAATTAAGATGTTCAAAAATTTCAAATTCAAACCTTTTCAAATTGAACAACTCATAAGAATATTATTATAAAACATAAAGAAATGGATCACTCCGAGTCGAGGACTCGGAGTGATTTATTTCTTTATGTTTTATAATAATTAAAGATGACCGACCGACAAAATCATTGTTTTATTATTACAAGAATATTGTTACTGTAATTTCTTCAAAATTATTTGTATCATTTCAATTCAATTAACATTTTCTAGATTTTTTAACTAATATTCTACTTTAAATCAATAACATCAATTATTATTCAACTAAACTTTTTCAAAAAAATTAATTCTACAGAATTGTTAGTTAAAAGAACGAAAAATAATAATTTAATTCTACAAAAAATCAATTCTTTAAATACAAAAATAAATAATATCGAATTTTTCTTCAATTTTAATTTTTACGAAGAGAATTGTATTAAAAATCTTTGAAAATAATTAATTTCTTTTAAGGAATTTAATTCAAATTTTAATGAAATTTAATATATTAAAAAATTTTATAACAATTTTTGAAAATAATTGAAAACTTTTTGAAGAATTTTATTAAATTTTTTAAAAATAATTGAATTTCTGAGAAGAATTTAAATAATAATTTTTGAAAACAATTGAATTCATGAGAAGAAATTTATGAAAATTTTTGAAAATAATTGACTTCTTGAGAAAAATTTTTTAAAAAATTTTGATGATAATTTAATTCTTGAGAAGAATTTCCCTATCTATTTATAAAGATAATTTAATTCTTGACAAGAATTTTTAAAAAATTTTGAAAATAATTTAATTTCCCCAAAGTATTTTATTTACGTTTCAAAATAATTGAATTCTTGTGATGAATTTTGATATTCATCAAAATAATTGAATTTTAGAAAAGAGTTTTATTAAAATTCCTTGAGAATAATTGATTTTCTGCGACGAATTAAATGTTATTTATGAAAATATTTGAATTATTGCAACGAATTTTATTGTTTTATTGAATAATTGAATTCTTTCCTCAAGTTTAAAAAAAAATTTTACTAATAATTGCATTTTTCAAGGAATTTATTTAAAATTGTATTAAAAATATTTGAAATTCTGCGATGAAAATAATTGAATTCGTAAATGAAATTTTATTATTTATGAAAATAATTGAATCTTTTCGTAGAATTGTATCAAAAAGTTTTTTCTATAATTAAATCTGTTGATAAATTTTATGAAATTAGTAAATATTTAAAAACATTGAATTACGAAAAACTTTTGAAAATAATTAAAATTTTGGAAGGAATTTCATTTAAGTTTTTGAAAACAATTGAATTTTTGGCGAAAATTTTGTCTATTTATAAAAATAATTGAATTCTTGACGAGATATTCATTAAAATTTATAAAAATAATTGAATTCGTGCAAAGTATTTTATTAAATTATGTTTAAATAATTGAAATTTTGACAAAAATTTAATTAAAATTTTTTAAAATAATTGAATTCTTGAGAAGAATTTTGATATTTATCAAAATAATTCAATTTTGGAAAAGAACTTCATTAAAAATCCTAAAAATAATTGATTTTATGGGGAGAATTTTGTTGGTTATCAAGATAATTGAATTCTTTTGCAGAATTACTTAAAAATTATTGAAAATAATTGATTTCCTGCGACGAAATAAATAGGGGAAATTTTCAAAATAGGGTACGTTTAATAATAAAATTAATTCATAATATAAAAAATAATAAAATTCTTTACAGGAATTTAATTATTTTTGAATAGGAAAGATTGGGGAATCACTCACAACTATAGCAATTTAACAAAAATATTTTTTACGGTTTTTTTTCTCATCAAATTTAAATTTATTTGATTTTAAACATAAATTAATCTTCAAATGGCTGCAAAAATTTTTATTAGAGTTTTTATGAATTATTAAATTCTTTTGACGAGTTTCTTTCAATTTTTTTGAAAATAATGTTTTTTTAATAATTTTAATTAAAAATTTAAATAATAATTGAATTAAATAAAGAATTTTTTCAATTTTTTAAAATAATCTTGTCTGTTCATAATTATAATTAGAAATTTATTAATTCAATTTTATTAAAATGTATTGATACTAATTGAATTTCTGCAATAAATTTTGCTATTTATAAAAGTAATTGAATCCTTCCAAAGAATGTTATTATTTATGAAAATAATTAAATGCTTGCGTAGAATTTTATTAAAATTTTTGAAAATAATTGTATTGTGGAGAACAATTTAAGTAACTATTTATAAAAATAATTGAAATTTGGAGGAGAATTTAATAAAATTTTTAAGAATAATTACATTTTTTGAGGAATTTCATTAAAATTGTATTAAAAATAATATAATATAATATAAAAACTGCTATTCATTATATAAAGTTTTTTTATGATTTTTTATAGTTTTAACATTTTTCTACTCTATGTGATAAACTATTTCGAAATTATTTTCTACCGTTCTTTAAGAGGAATCGAGTTGATTTTTGGTATGAATAATAAGAAATAATACCACTTTTTATTAATATTTGTCATTATATAAAATTAAAGAAATTGTTAAAAATATAAATAATTTATTTAAACAATTAAAAATAATTTCATGTTCTCCCAAATTTTTTTACAATTTTTTTTTATTGAATATTACTTATTGGAAAAAGAAAAATTTTATGAAATAGAGGGAAAAAAGGAGAATAGGCGAAACAATGTGAAGTGTTTGAAATATGAAATTTACCAGGTTAGGAAAAAAGTACCTCAAGTTAGCGTCGACGCTGTTTCGAAAATTTATTTTCAAGGTTTTTTCAAGATAATAAAATATCACTAAATTCAGAGTTTCGATTCACCTAAAAGGAGTTCGAACACTAATGAACCTGAAATCTTTAAAATAAATGTGTTAATCTTTCTGTTTCTATGGAAATAATTTTTCGATTCTTAGCGCCGACGCCAAATTTACGAATAACTGAAAAAGTTGTTTTCTATACTATTTCAAAAACAAAGAAAATATCCAATTGTTAGAAGACACTTTTGCTGAAAAGTAACTTAGCGAATAAAAGAATGATTGAGGAGCAAGTTTTCAAAACTTGATAAATCCATATTTTCTTATTTCGAGAAATTGAAACAAATGACTTTTCTCACGTAACCAATGCAGTTAGGGAAGAATCTGATGTATAGTCAAAACAAAAGTTAGTCCAATGTCATAATTTCGTAATTTAAAAGAAAAAAACAAATTAAATTTTAAATTCATTTTGGTGGAAAGGCGAAGAATTTAATTTTGAACCTTTAAAACGATTGAAAGTTGCATTTGAATAAAAATGACAATTTTTAAATAAACAAAAAATATGACATAAATTTATTTTATTTTTACCTTCCATGGATCAAATTCTTGTAATTCATTAAAAATTACAATTTTCAGCCAATAAGAAACATTTATTAAATTTTAGGTTATGTTACTTAAATTATTTATCATTGAGAAAAAAGTATAATTTGTATTCAAATATAACTTTAAATTCTTCAAAATGTAGAAAATTAAATTCCTTACGCTTCTACCGAAAGGAATTAAAATTTTAATGTGACTTTTTTCTTTTAAAATACGAAATTATGACATTGGACTAACTTTTGTTCCGATTGTTTGTCGGATTCTTTCTTAAAATACAAAATTTGTTACGTATAATTTTTATAACAATCTTTTTTTTTTATTTAAAAAATGGACTTTTTTAAAATTAAACTTCACGATAATTAAGTGAATTAAAAGTTTTGGTAATTTTTTCTAATAAAAAACATAAAATTTTCTTTCTTAAATTTAACAGTGACAGATCGATTTGTGAGGTCTTTAAATTATTAAATTTATGTTTATCTTGATTTTTTTGAGAATGGATTTATCAGCTTTTGAAAACTTGCTCCTTAATTTCTTAAGGGGATCAGTCGATGCGATTTTCCCATTAAAGCTCAATGTAAAAATTCAATCGACTGTGGGACCCCCTTAAGGAAATAATGATATTTTAGAAAAACTTGTTTTAGAATAAAGAGTTTTCCAATAAATGATACAGCAGAATAAATAAATACTTACGGGAAAGAGAGCAACACTCATGTACGGTTCCATGTAGTGATAATACAAAGACATAATCTTAACAAGGCATTGTAACGCAGCAACTCTGACTTGTGTATTTGGGGATAATGTAGCATCACATACTACTTCCATGATAAAATTTCTTTCAGTCTATAAACGAAAAAATCAAAATTAACACTAATTTATATAAACAGAATTCAACAAAAAAAAAAGAAAATGAAGAAACGAACCTCTATTTCAAAATTTCCTTTGGTAAATTCGAGGGAATTAAAGAGAGCTCTCGTTGCCGCAAGTCGTACATGATTTGATGTATTTGAACTCTTCATTCCATGAATAATGGCTGTCAGTATTTGGTTCGATTGCGCTATAAGCACTTCGCTTTCAATTTCTTGACAAATATAACCAATTGTTTCAAGTGTCGCCTCCTTTACCATTTCTGTACTATTTACTTTTGTCACATTCTCAACCAGATAGGGAATGAGATCGTTCCATTCTCGAACTGGAAGTTCAGCTACGGCAACATAAGCAATGCATTGAGCCGCAGAACTTGGTCTATTGTTTTCTGTTCCAAGTGCTCCTAAAATCTATTTTTTTTTCAAAATAAAAAAGGAAACATTATTAATTTTCGAGAAAAATAAGAAATATTCAGAAAATCAATTTTTCAAATAATTTCACTTACATTGGTTTTGATAAATTCCCTCTTATCTGCGGGAATTGCGAGCCATCGCTGTTGGTACTGAGATTTACGGGTCAAATCTTTTGAAGTCAATTGATTTTTGAGTTGTAATCCTGCTGCCATTCGTGCAACAGCACTGGCAGCAGGGGTAACCAGCACGCCGCTAAGCCGTTGAACGAATTCATTCTGTAGACAAAAAAAAGTTTTTTTTTAAAATTATTTATTTATTTAAAACAATATTTTATTTTAAATTATTCTACAATTAAAAGAGAATATTTTGAAATCAAAATTACTCACGAAATTCGTAAGAGCTGCTTGCTCCAAAAATACTTGTGCTGCCTCAAGTTCTGTTTTATCTGCAAATAGAAATAAAAAATTAGAATTATTTAACTTGAATTAATTTAATAAATTGTGATATTTAATATTAAATTCTACGCTCCAAAGAAAGTTATCTTATTGTTAGAAACTTAGAGACCTTCTAAGGTTATGTTTGTGTTATTTTTACCCATATTAAAAGTTTTTATCTAATTGCATAAAACTAAACGCATAGTTTTGATCAAATATTTAAAAAAAATACTTAAACAGCTTTAAGACCAAAAAAAGTATCGAAAAATTAAAATAGACTACTAAATTAAATCACATTCAAAAATAAAAAAAATTCAATTACTTTTTAGTTGAAATTTTTTAATAAAATTATTCGAAATTTTAATCATTTTATTTCAAGATAAAAATTTAAGGACAATTTTAAATCAAATTTTATTAAATGCATTTTTGCATTAAAAATAATTAAAATTAAATTAAATAAAATTAATTAAATCATTAAATTCTTGTGAAAATTCTATTATTAATGAAAATAATAAAAAAATTAAATTTGTAAAAATACAAATTTAATTAATGTAGGAAATTTATTAATTTATTAATGAAGAAAATTGAAGTTTAAATTTAATTAAAATTGTACAGAAAATAATTGAATTTTTCTAAAGAGTTTATCACAATTTTCAAAAGTAAGTGAATTCTATCAACAGACTTTGTTAAACTTTTTAAAAATACAAATTAAATTTTATTAAGAAATTTTATTCAAATTATATTGAAAATAGAAAAAAATGAATTATTACCAAGAGTTTTATTAAAATTTTTGAAAATAATTAAATTCTCTCTAGAAATTTATAATTAAAAATGTATTGAAAATAATTATTAAATTCTAATAAACAAATTATATTAAAATTATTTGAAATATTTGTATTCCTTTAAAGAATTTTAATAAAATTTTTAAGAATAATTGCAGTTTTTGAAGAATTCTTTTAAAATTGTATTAAAAATAATTGAAATTCTGCGATGAGTTTTATTATTTATTTAAAATAATTGAATTCTTGCTAGAGATAATTATTAAACTTTTTTAAAAATAATTGCAGGGATCACAGATTTTTTAATTAGGTAAAAAAAAAGAGATGTTATTTTTCAAAAGGGGGAATTTTTAAATTAAGTAAAAATTACTGTATAAAATTTATTTTAAAGATTTTTTTTTACTTTTTCTTTTAACTTAAGTTTTTTTAAATCAAATTATTTTTTTTGTTAAACTTTTTCTGATAATTATGATATTTTTTTTTATCTTTTACCGTAGTTCGTAAATGTCTTTAAATTTCCAATTAAAATATTTTTTACAACGCTACTTTTGTTTTAAAATTACACGAATTTTACGATATACAAAGAAAATTTCAGAAAAAAAATTAGTAAAATTAACTTGAGACTTTGGAAAAATTTCCTTCAAAAGTAGTAAATTCTAATATTAAAAATTGTTATTTCTGCAATAACTTTTACTACTTGCAAAGACAGTTTTTTTTCATAAAAATTAGAAAAATTTATTTCAAAAATAGTCAAATTTCCACTAAAAATAAGAATTTTAATGTAATTTTTCTAAAAGAATAAATTGAATTTCTTAGAAGAATTTTTGTATAATTTAAAAAAAACTAATTAAGTTGTTGATGAATTTTAATTAAAAATTTTGAACTTCATTTTTTTCTCCAAAATATTATTATTTTTTGTATTTATACTGAAAATATTGAATTTTAAAAAATTAGAAGCAAATTTCTATTAATTTTCATTTTTAAATTTAAATTTAAAGATTTTTCATTAAAATTTTTGATAATTCAATTATTTTCAAAATTTGCAAATTGAAATTCTTCAAAAGTTGATTTTCAAAAATTGTAACAAAATACTTGAGAAAAATTAATTATTTTCAATTAAATTTTACAAAATTTCAATTATTCGTAACGATTTTTATTATAGAGGTATTTGAAAAATTTAATTATCTTAGAAAATGATTCAAAAATAATTCTTTAAAAATTTGTTTCTAGTTATTTTTCGCACAATAAAAATCAAAGTAATTTGCATTTTATACTAAAAAAATATATTTTGTTGCAAGTTTATGAAAGAAAAGTCGAAAAAGTCTCAATTTTCCTAATTTTTCTGACAAAAATTTTTGTTTTCCTAACATTTCTCTGACTTAAAAATAATTGAAATTCTACAATGAGTTTTATTATTTCTGAAAATAATTGAATTTTTGACCGAATTTTATTAAATTTTTTTTAAATAATTGAATACTTGCGAAGAACTTTATTAATAATTTTTTTTTGAATTCTTGCAAAAAATACCTATTACAAAAATTTTTTAAAATAAATTATTTTTTTCCAAAAATTTTTATGCAAATTTTGTTTTAAATAATCAATTATCCCTGTAAAAAATTTATTATTTATGAAAATAAGTGAATCATTTGAAAGAATTGTATTAAAATGTTTCAAATTGTTTTTAGAAATTTTATTAAAATTTTTGAGATAATTTCTTAATAATTTCTTTATTCCAACTATTAGCGAATTTAAAGTATAGTGCAAATTCTCAAACATAGAAAAAAGTAGCTTTTAGTGTCACAAATCTTTAAAAAAGTATCCAAACAGTATCAATCAAATCATAAAAAAGTAGTAAACAGTAGATTTTAGTAGATGAGTACGAAGCCTGAAAGTAATGAAAATTTCATTCTATTTCCACTGAAACAAATTCTTTTATTTAAAAATACAACATTTTTGCACTGGATTAACTTTTGTTTTGACTGTCCGTCAGATTCTTTCTTAAAATAATAATACTCTGTATACAATATTTGAAATAAATATTTATTTATTAATGTAATTAAAAAATTGCTGTTCTTATTAAAATATTATATTTTACTTCCAGTTGAAACATCGGTTAAAATCACCAAAAATTGCTAACAATTTATTTTTTGAATATAACTGAAAAAATGTTAACTTTGTTCAAAATTCTCATCACATGGGAACGTATTATTTTAATATTAATTTATGACAAAGAGAAGAGTAAACTTTTCTTTAGTCACAAGTGACGAATGTAAATAATTTGGGGGAAAAAAAGGGAAATTGTTTTCAGAAATGTCGGAGTTGCACATACACGAGAGATATGGGTATCATTGTAATAAAAGTTTCAATCAGTCTTTTAGTTTTTAATTTATGTGGCTTATCTGATATTTGTAGCGAGTGTCTTTGTTATTTTCCAAAGAGTAAGATTAGATTGAAAGAAAAAAAAATGTCAAAGAATGTAAAAGAAGATTAAATTTTGAGAAATGGTTGAAATAAAAGCGATTTGTAGGTTAAAACATGGAAACATGCACGCGGTGATTTTTCAATGCCGGCGAGGGTGTATATCGAAAGTTAGCGAATGGAGGGCTGTCAATAGTTTTCCTGTTTAACATCCGAGCCCTTAGCAACAAACACAGCGAATGATTTTCTCCGAGTAAATTATAATCGACGAGTAAAATTCTCGAAATATCAGTTTTCGTTGAGTGTTTAGCGATAAGGGGGAAAAGGATTGACGCAACGGCGAACTTCTTGTCAGTGAGTCGAAGCGTTAGTTAAGCGGGAAGAGATTGATCATGGCCGTGAAATGTTTTTTTCATCTCGAAATTTCAGGAGATAATGATAACGAAAATTAGAGAGTAATGAGCGATGGGAGATGTGGGATAAACATATAATTTCCATGAAATTTACCCAGGGGAAGATGAGAGTTAATTTTTGAATAGTGATTGTGTTATCTCGACGCAATGTCGTAGCCAATGTCCTCTTACCTGGCGAAACAGTCTTTTCAAGGACTTGAATCAATTGTAAAGTTGTTGAATCCATCTGCATTTTGTTGGCAATTAATAGCCCTTGGCACTCGGTGTTAAAAAATGTACTTTTCTGCGTATTACGATACGTTAATGGACTCGTCGCGACCGGCAGATGCCCACATGTAGCCACTGAACTACTCGAGGTACCCCCTTTCCCACCTTTCCTGCTGACTTCCTTTCCCCGTTCGTCGCGTGCCGCCGCGCAGGGATATATCGTTCGTTGGCAACCAAGGGCAACTTGAAAATGCTTTCAGGCAGCGCCAAATTGAAGGACAATCGTTAAACGAATGACTGTCGTTCAAATCAAAACTAATTTATTCAAAATTTAATGACTTTGGTGGGAATATTTTTAATTTATGTTAATCGATTGAAAATTTGTGAAATTATCGTTGAATATTTAAATCTTCCAATGATATGTGAGCACGTTTGGAACTATTTCGCACAAAACGCCCGCCACGCTGAGGAAGGAACTTCCGAAACCGAAGCACGCACGGACCACTACCAGGGATGGGTGCCTACAGTCGTAAGTTTATATATTAGGCTGCGTCCACAATAGGTTCTTTCTATGTTGAACATAACATAAAGTGCCGTTCCATGTTTTACGCCTACATGGAAATAGTCAAGAAGACTATCTTCTTGGAAATAGTAATGACAAAAGTGAGGTTTCGTTTTAATAACAATAAAATAAGTGATTGTTGATATAAATCTTTCTATACTCAATTATTTATTTTGAAATTGGTCATACGTGAAACTAAACTATATTAAGGTACTTGCACAACCCGCCTAAACTGCAACGAGAGTAAAGGTATAACCACAATTGCTTGGCGAATGTCGTTCGTGAACATAAAGCATGAGTTAGAAAAGGACAGAAATATATTTGTATTTCCTATCCTATATTATAAAATTTACATAAATATACTTACAATTGTTTTTTCATAGTGATCTGAGTTCTTGACTAATTTTATTTTCCTCACTTCTCAGTTCAAATATTAAAGTTGGGGAAAACCCGTGCGTCTATTGGATAAAATAATAATACTTCATGAAGCCCCATTTTTACCGAAATTTATTACCTTCATTATGAACTTTAAATAACTTTATTGGGCCCATAAACTAATAGAGTTTCTAGGGTTCCCAGGTCCCCAGGGGCCTGAATCCGATCTCTCGATCGAAGGTAGCACACCACAGGGTGCCTCTAATTCCTCAAGCATTTTGGTAATGAGAATTTTAAGAATAATTTTTTATTGCATTATTAAAAATTTACATTAATTGGCCTGATTAGTCGAAACCATCATATTAAGAAAAAGAAGAAGAATTTACATCTTTTACTATTAATTTGTGATCCCTAAATTATTTTGCAATTATTATTATCTTTTTTTAATTATTCACATTGTTTTTTAGACTTTAATGAAGAAAGAATAAAATAATTTTTTATTTAAGTTACTTTTACACTTATTTGAATGAAAAAATCTTTAATTTTTAAGCAATAAATTATCTGAATAACAAACTATTTGACGCAATTAAAAAAATATTAATGGTGTTAAAATTAATTCAATTATTCTCAAAATTATATGTCAATTACACATATTGTCACCTCTAATAATTGTCACATTAATAAATTAATTATTAATTTTTAAAACAAAAATTTATTATTAGGATATTAGGTAGGTAAATTTTTTTATGAATAAATAAAATATTGAAAATATTTTGAATTTAGATAATTTTGACATTTTTGAGAAATATTTTGAAGAGGGAATGAGGTTGAAGGTAGAAAAGTATAAAACCCCTATTTGTTTGTGACCCTCCTACCCGCTAAATGGAAGCCCAGCCCTAATTGACCAATAATGACCCTATTCTTAATAATTTTTCTTAACATTTTTCCTTCTATCAACCAATCCTAAATTTCCAAACCTTTTCTTCCCTTTCCAAAATATCGTTTTCCCCCAAATTGTTGCACCAACAATAAATCGTAGTCGGAACTTTTGCGCAGAATAGAAGCGAGTTTTCTTAGTGAAACATTCCTCTCCTTCATTTATTTCTGAAATTTCTAATTGAAGTTTTAGTGTTGTGCTCTCAAAAAAAAACTGTTTCAAACACCTTTCAACCAATCCTAAAGTGACTGCAACAATTAAAATCGAATTGTATTTAATTAGGAATTATTATCTACTTTATTAATCTTTTTAAATTCATGTGTAATTTATAATTTTACATCTGCATAGACGACATTTTAAGTATCATCAATTCTCTTTTAAATAAAAAGTAAGTTTTTAAAAATTATTCTTTCCCTCATTTATGAGTTTTTTGAATTTTTTTATGTACATACTTTTGCGCATAATATATAATATAATATGTAAAATGTCAGGTAGATTAGAGGAAAATTACCTTGTTTTTACAAAATATATATTTAAATTTTCCAGACACATAATGCACAAAGATGTTCTTACTAAATTTAACTTTATTTATCCAAATTAATCATTCTAATCAAATTTTAGTCTATTCAAATTTCACTCGATCTATAAAAACAATTAAAGCTTTAACTGTTGATAAAAAAAACTCGCTTAGATTTTGATAGACATTTATCTATATATAAAAATTTTGGCATATTTAAGTGCCTTATTACATACTTTGAATAATGGTAGTTTAATAATTTTTAGTGGACCCTGGAGCGAATGAAAGGCTTAACCAAATCGCGGAAACATTAGATGACAAGATACAGTAAGTGAACTTATATATTTATACAGAAACATTATTCTTTTTCTAATAACTGCGTACAGTTCATAAATTTTAATTCGAAAATTATATTGTTTTCCGCTAAAGTTAAATTTTACACTCAAGGAAAACTTTCCCATTGAAGTTCAATATAAAAATCCAATCGACTATCAATTATAGATAATAAAGTATTTCTTATTATCTGGAAATTATTTTATTTTTAGTGATGCGAAGAATTTAATACAAAATACGGTACAACCAAATGCATCACCCCTTCGAATTGATGAAGGCATTCAAGGCAGAAGAATAAAAAGTGAGATAGTCTACTCAAGTTCGTCACCGAACAGTAGTTCGTCTGATGAAAGCAACACATCTTACACACCCAACAGACTGCAGAGCTCACGATCCCGTCGTGCCCACAAATTTCCCACCAACGACGCCAATAATATTGGCGAATACAAACTGACGGTTATTGTCGGTAACCAATCTTTGAATATCTCTGGCCGTAATTTTCACCTTGTCAAGGTAAATTATTATTCATTAATGTCAGAGAACTGTTAGGAAAACATTATCGGTTAGGTTAGTAATAAAATGTAAAATAGTTAACAATCTTATGCTATTTAATTGCAGACCGCGAAAGAAATTCTCGAAGTTCTTCTGTCTGGAAATGGAGAGCAGTCTAACAGCGAGGTTAACTTCTTCAGTCCTGAAGAAGAGGCTGCCTTCTCTCCTGTTGATCAGTCTAGCCCGCAGATTTACTCAAACGTCAAGGTTGAAGTTCCAAGCCCAGAATTGAGTCCCGAAAGCAATGCAATTACTGAAAACGGGAAAGTTGACAATGTTTGTACAAATCCGGAACCCACGGAGGCGACGCCGGAGAAAAGTGGTCCCGAAAGCAATACAATTACTGAAAATGGAGTAGCTGACAAACCTTGTACAAATCCCAATCCGGAATCCACGGAAGCGACGCCGAAGGAAGAGGGTAATTTTTTTCAATTATTATACATAGTCGTTAATGCCCCTAGTTTGAAATTTGGATTCATTTCGGACTATATATAATCCGAAATTTGTCCGAAAAAGTGCGGTTTATGGTCAGGTTTTTGTCACCCGGAATTAGTCCGCATAAATCCAAACTCAATATACGGTTTGTGTATAACTAGTAAATCTGGAATTAGTCCGATCCAATCCGAAGTAAGTCAGATTCTATGCAACCTTGAATTTGAAGCACTGCACCTTAAGCGCACCTCAGCCGTTGAAGAAAGATACAAAGTTTACTGACTCACTTGTCAATGAAATGAATTTAACGGTGTTGCGCAATTTGGACAAATTTTCAAATCAAGTATACATTTGAGCAGCCATTTTTAAAAGGCCATTAATGGTGGGTGTTTTCGACGTTGACACTCTGAGCGCTCTGAAAGTACGAAACGTGGTTGGTTGGGCTAGGGGAATTCTGAATGTTGATTGGCTGAACTTCAAAATTCATAGTTTTATGCTCTGGTTTCCACACTCTGTATCGCTCGGACCTTTGATACCGAGCGATACAGAGTGTGGAAACCAGAGCATAAAACTATGAATTTTGAAGTTCAGCCAATCAACATTCAGAATTCCCCTAGCCCAACCAACCACGTTTCGTACTTTCAGAGCGCTCAGAGTGTCAACGTCGAAAACACCCGGTGTTCCGCAGTGATCGCCTTTTAAAAATGGCTGCTCAAATGTATACTTGATTTGAAAATGATTTTTCTCCCAATTCGGGCAGTTATTGCAAAATCGAAGAAAATACAAGATATCCTGAATATTTTATCTTTCATTTGCGCGCAAGAAGTAAAAGATTTGTTTATAATTCAATTTCACAAAATTTCGATTATTCATAAATTCGAGGTTTTGTCATCCGGAATTAGTCCAGGATAAATCCGAATTCAATGGTTTTAAAATTGAATTTTAATTTGAAATTGTTATTTGACTAAATGTATATGCTAGAGAAAACTTGGAGATTTTGGATTATTTCGTACTTGTTTCAGAATAAAATTATTCTAAACTAATTTCACATTGTTGCGGACTAATATCGGATTCTTAGCATACATGCAAATAAATAATTTCTAAACATAAAAATCCGAAAAATACACTTAACATTTAGTCCCACCTATTGCTTAACATTTAGCCCCAGGTGCCAGGGTGCGTTTTTGGCTTTAACAACAAATATACAAAATCTGACTACAAATATTTAGCAAATACCTTTAGATACATCTTCAGGGGACCCAAATAGGCTAAAATACTTTACGCGATGAGAATAAATCCAAAAAAATTCTTTCATGTAAAACTTTACAAATGTAGGGTTAATACACACTTCATATATTATATGGACACCACAAAAATGAACAGAATAGTCACATAACTTCGGACATTTATTTAGAGTTATAATACCCTTCTATAATCAAAATTGCAATGCTCTAACTATTTCCGTTTGAAATATAATGAATTTTATCTGTTTTGACAGTTTAACATTTAGCCCATATATATATATTTAATATATTTTTTTAGTTTCTAAAGGGCCTATGTTCAGAAAGAAATATACCGGAAAACAAAGACGAAGCATCAATAAAAAATTAATGAAGATGAAAGCTCTTAATGGAGAAAAGTGGTTGTCTATAGAGGAATTCCGACGTTTAAAATCGGAAAGAAGAGCAGCAGAATTAGCTAAAACGCAGGAGCAAATATTTCCACCGTTACCCATCTATGAACCCTTTAAACCTCCCGAACCCCCGGAACCTCCAGTAAGTTTAGAATATTAAACTTCAACTCTAAAATCATTAATTTAGGAATAATTAATTTTAACATTTGAAAATATCAGACAAATTCAGAAAATGATGGATTTATAGAATTTTGAAAAATTTATAAAATTGAAAATAAAAATGTAAAAAAAATATACGAAGAGAATAAAGAAATGATTATTTATTAACATTATCAACTATATTAATAATTAATTATAATAATCCTAGATTCATTATGAATCATTTTCGGACATTTTTCGGACTAATTCCACTGTACTACTCTGATCAGATTTGATTTGGAATTAGTCCAAAATTTTTACCAGGGTGACGCAATCAAAAACAGAGTTGCTACGGGTCAGGGAATTCAGGGAAAAATCGGGGATTTTTATTAAAAGTACTGGAAACAATTAAATTTTTAGAATTCATAAGAAAATTCTGAATTTTTGGGTTTTTTTTTGTTTGCCTTATAAACTATAAAATTACCAAGAAACCTTCAATTTTTTCTATTTCTGACAATAATTTCTAATTAAATAACTTCAATCATAAATAGATGAACTTCAAAAGATACTATAATTTGAAATTTTATAAAACTTCAATTTTTAATGAGTTTAATATTAGAAATTTTAAAGAATTTAGATTTTTGAAAAATTGTAATATTTCAAATTCCTTTTGAAATTTTAGTTAAAATTTTTTAATTTTATATCTAATTAATTATTAAAAATAATGGATTTATAGAAGAATTTTAGTTAAAAATATTAAAAAATTTGAATTTTAGAGAAGTTACAAATTATATGCAAAAATCCAATTATATTCATAGAAATTTGAAAAAATTCTCGTCAAAATTTAAATTATCTTTATAGATATAATAAAAAAATAAAATTCTCCGAAATTCAATTATTTTTAAAAAATTTAATAAATTTCTTCGCAAAATTTCAATTATTTTTAAAAATCTTTAAATTATCTTTAAAAATGAAGAAATCGATGACTCCGAGTCTTCGACTTGTCGTTGAATTTTAAAAGGTTTAATTTTGAAATTTTTGAAAATCTCAATTCCTGGTAGAAAAATAATAATGATTAAATATAATTTTTTAAGAAAGAAGTTATTGTTGTTTTCGTATAATTTTACAATTAGAGAAATTCGTTAATTAATATACATAGAACATTTTTTTGAGTATCTAATAATTTTTAGAGTCAATCAGAATATTCTTTAGGGTCAGGAAAAAAGTCAAAATTTTGTCTAATATGGAAATCAGGGAGAAACAAAATTAAATTTTTGTAGAAATTTATTGAAATCCAAGGAAATCTGTAATAAGCAGATTTTCCAAAACTTCTTATAAAAAAATAACATACAATTAATATATTTTTTTGTATCTAAAGGCCCTTTGTTCCGAAGGAAGTTATCCAAAAAAGAAAGAAGAAGACGGAAGATAGATTTTCTAATAAAGATGGCTCTTAATGGAGAGAAGTGGTTGTCTAACGAGGAATACTGCCGTTTAATGTCGGAAAGAAATAAAGCAGCAGAATCAGGTAAAATGCAGGAGCAAATATTTCCACCGTTACCCACCTATGAACCCTTTAAACCTCCCGAACCCCCGGAACCTCCAGTAAGTTTAGAAAACTAAATTTCAACTCTAAAATCGTTAATTTAGAAATAATTAATTTTAACATTCAAAAAAAAAAAAAAAAAAATTATATTTACAATGAAAAAGCAATAAATTTTTTCATTAACCCACATTATGTTTATTCTTTTTTTTATATAAATATTTACAATGAAATTTACAATAATAAATGTAAATTATTCTCATGAAGTATGATATAAAGTTGTGATTACGTGAATCAAGAATCAACTAATCTAGGAACGCGTTTGACAGTCGATAATTTACATTATTTCATACATTGGTAATTATCAATTATTCATTATATATTATGTACAATTAAATTTAAAAAAAAAAATATTGTTCAACTTGAGAAGATGAAAATTTTGACAAAATAGAATAATAGAATAAAAGCAATTCAATGAATTTTTTAAATAAATTAAAAATGTTTCTTATAAATTCATAAAATGTAAACAATTTTATATTTAACTTTAAAATTGAAATCTAGTTTTACCATTTTTTCTTTGTTAAGTACAAAAAGCAGAAATAAAATTCCTGAACTAAAATATAAGTAAAGTTAAATAAATATGTTACGCACCTCAAGAATGCAGGAAGGTTGTAAGGTTTAAGGTTATGTTTCTTAGCTTAATTAAAAGTTTCTTTTTAATTATGTAAATTTAAAACTAGTTTTTACTGAATAATTTCGATTTAATGAAGACTTGAATATCAATAATTGGTAATCCGTAATATTAATTGATTCTCTTTCTGTATTTTTACACTAAAAATTATAAACATAACCTAAAAATTTTTGCTTTCCTTTCTTGAAAGCGCGTCACATATTTTACAAATAATTTTAATTTTTTGTCAAAGTTATAAAATTTATTACGCAAATTTTATGAAATGTGTATCAACATTTTTTTATGATCGACATTTTTTCGAGATAAAAATTTTTCTCTTCAATATAATAAATAAGGGTGAATTCACAATATTTATTTTGTTCCCATCGATTTATGAATCGAAATTCTTGATATCTTTGGGCTGAATTAATTTTCAATTTGACAACAAATTATTATTTACTACTAAAAATATGTAGTTGATTAAAATTTTTGAAAAAGTTCTTTTACAATTAGGTAAAAAAAAATTTACCATCATTATTTTAATTATTTAAAAGTTATTACGATATTTTTAAATTTATAAGCATCTTTTACTATTGAACAAAAAATATTAATATTAATAATAAATAAATAAATATTAATAACATTATTAATAAAAATGTTGAAATTCAAAATGTCAATTAAAATATAAAAATAAATTTTCCACTAAAAGTTCAAAAGTACAACTATTTAAAAGTTCTGTTTTTTATTTATTATTTTAAAATAGAATAAGACGTGCATTCTATGGAAAAATCAACAGAAAATAATGTTGACAATTTTCATAAATTTTTGCATTTTCGGTCATATCTCAGTTTTGTCAATTTATATTTTTTAATATCTAGATGTATTTCAATATTTACGTATTTATATTATTTTTAACTAGATATAAAGATATCTGAAAAGTTTTATGCATTAAAGTCACTTTAAAATCACATTTTCTCCTCAACCATTATTCAATTAAATTAATAAAATTCATACACATTCATTAAAAGGCATTTTACAAATTAATTATTAATTATTAATTACTAAGTGCACTGTCTATTTATACATATTTCTACTTCTACTCACATACATTTATTTTCTTTCAATTTAAATTTCATTAATTCTCTAACATTAAAAATCACATTATTGAGATATTAATTTTTTTTCAGTAATTTGCAAATATTGAAATCGCCTTTTGTCGCCTTAATAAAAACTCGGATTGTTTGCAAAAACGAAAACAATTTTTTCCAAAAAGACGAATTTCTTTTCTTCCAATTTTCAAGGTCTACGGATATTCACATTTACAATTGACAGTAAAAATTCTATTTGCTACTTTTTTTTATCATTAAAAGTTTGTAATTCCGTTTGCATTCATCCCAACTGATTCGCACTTATATTTTAAATTTGCCAATAAATTGAACAATTAAAAGAAATTTTGATACACTTTTTTATCACGCGATTTTTTTTTCTAAATCATTAACCGGTCTTTGAAAAATTTTAAAATAATTTCCTTAATAAAGTAAAGTCGCCTAAATGATGTTTAAATAATGACTAGTATTTTTTTCCAACTGTAAATTATAATATGATTATTACGCTTGAATTAAAGATATAAAATCCTCAATAAGATATACTAAATCTAAAGTGTCTAAATAAGTTTTACTTATTCTTGTCAATGTTAGTAAAATTTATGTAAGTATTTTGCAATTAAAAATTATTTTCAAAAAATAATTTAAAGTATTTTGTTTCCTTTTGTTTTATATAGCTTAAAAAAGGAAAACAAAAATTATCGAAAATTGAAGTAAATTTCTTTTTCTTGATTTGAGATCTCGTCATATAAATTCATATTATTTTCAAAGATGCACGAATAATGGAAATTAATTTCTAGTTTTATAATCAGTCTCTAATATGTACAGTATACGGTTTAATATTTTAAAACGATTATTAGTGCATCTTAATTGTTTGTATAAGAAAAATTTTACCTTCGAACAATATGAAAAAGCAAAAATGTTGCTTTTGCTCTTTTCTAGTATTTTTTTTCAAGAAAATTAGGAACAAATCTGGCATCACAGACTTTTACGAATCACACCCTAGAACTATAAGTTGGGCTAATTAAGACACTTATTTAAAAATATCCGAACTTTTGGAGGTTTTTTTTAGGACATCCTTGAGGGATCCTGTCGTGAAACGACAATCCAACCATCTTCTCCAGACACCGCTGGCCCTATTGAAGGTATTGCCGGTGGTCGCTGATTCTGAATGCCGCTTGATTGGTTTTTCTTCATTTCCAATTGATGTTTAAATGTTTGATAAAGTTTCCGCAAAGATTCCTGCAAATAATCAAACAAAAATTAACATTTAAATATTTTTCATTTTCAAAAGTTGAAATTTGAATTGAAAACAATGAATAATTAATTTCTGAATAATAAAATAATAATATTAGTTATGTAATAATGAGAAAATAGTGACTTAATTTAGGAAAAAAGACGAAAAAGACTCGTTATTTGAAAATGAGTGGAAAAAAGTCTAAAAGGCCGATTTAGGACTCGTGCTTTTTATCAATTACATAATCAAAGACCTGACTCATTGAATAAGGTTGATCTTTGTTTTTCGCGCCAGAATATCTAGTCGATGATTCATGAAAGAAAATGCGACACAAATTCCAACAGACATTGTCCACTTGAATGTGTCGCCTTCACATCGTTCAACAGACGTTCACGTTTTTCATGACGTTCTCCACGGATTTCCCCTATAGACACCCAACTAATAGAATTTCAACCCAAATCAAAACCTTTCAAAAATTAAAATGTTTTCTTAAATGCTTCCCTACTACTTTGAATATATGTATCTCTATTTTATAGTTTGCATTGTTATGTAAAATGTTTGACAATTAATTTGTAAATAATAAAATAAGTGAAGTAAGAAATTATTGTTTTCCAGAACTTTTAACTAAAATTCTTCTTTAAATTAATTACTATTAATAATTTCTGAAAAATTTCTTTGAACATTTTCAAATCTTTTTGTTTACAATTCGAAATTTCATCGATTATTCGGAAATTCTTAAATCAAATATATATTAGAAAATAAAAACTTCAAATAACTTAAAAAAAATTTAATTGAACTTTTACAAAAAAAAAAATTAAATCTACACAATTTTAAGTTAAAAGTATGAAAAATTCAAACATTCGAAGATTATAAATTGAAATCTTTTCAAATCTCAATTATTATCTAAAGAATTAACTGTAATTCATATATTTGAATCAATTATTATTAGAAAATTCTACGACAATTCAATTATTTAAATACAAACAAAAATAATTTATTGAAGAATTGAATGTTTTCTAAAATTGAACTCTCATTTAAAGAATTTTAAGAACAAATTTTTAAATAGGTAATTAAAATTCTTTTGACGAATTTCAATAAAATTTTTAAGAATAATTTCATTTTTCGAGAAATTAAATTAAAAATGTATTAAAAATAATTGAATCTCTGTAAAAAATTTGATTGAATTGAGAAAAGTTTTTAAAAATAATTGAAATTTTGTCAAGAATTTTATTAAATTTTTTTTTAAATAATTGAAATATTACCAAGAATTTTATTAAATTTTTTGAAAATAATTGAATTTTAGAGAAAAATTTTAATATTTATAAAAATAATTGAAATTTTGACTATAAATTTTTTAAAACTTTTGACCATCATTGAATTTCTGCTAAGAATTTTATTACCTACTTTTGAATATAATTGAATTCTTGAGACGAATTTTTTAATATTTCTTTTGAAATATCTAATTATTTTTAATACAAAAATAAATAATTTATTGAATAATGGAATGTTTAGCAAAATTGAATTCTCATAAAGAATTTTATTAACAAATTTTTAAATAATTGAATTCTTTTGACGAATTTTAATAAAATTTTTAAGTATAATTACATTTTTCGAGGAATTCGATGAAAATTGTATAAAAAATAATTAAAATTCTGCAATTAGTTTTATTATTTATGAAAATAATAATTGAATCCCTGTAAAAAATTGTATTACATATTTATAAAAATAATTGAATCTCTGTAAACATAAATTGAATATTTTTGAAAATAATTTATTTCTTTTGGAAAATTTTATTAAAATAGTAGATATTGAAAATCATTGAGTGGGGGAGAATTTTTGAAAAAAAATTGAATTTGTTAAAAAGAATTTCATTAAAATTTTTAAAAATAATTGAATTTCTTTGATGAATTTTAATAAAATTTTTAAGATTAATTACATTTTTCGAGAAATTCCATTAATATTGTATTAAAAATAATTGAAATTCTGCGATGAGTTTTATTATTTATGAAAATAATGGAAAACCTATACAGATTTTTATTATTTATGAAAATAATTGAATATCTGTAAAAAATTTGATTATTTATGAAAATAATTGAATTATTGCGAAGAAAAATGGTAAACGCAACTCTTTTAAAATTGAATTAATTTTGAAATATTAAAGAAAAATTAGATTTCAAAAATAAGCACAATGACTTTAGAAAACAATAATTTTCCAGGATTCCGATCAAAATTCCCTGACTTTTTTTCAGGTTTTTTCAAAGTTTATAAAATTCCCTGACATTTCCAGGTTTCCAGGTTGCGTGGCAACACCGAATGGTTGTATTTTGGTCCGTTTGATGCCAAATTTTATGAACAATTGATTCCAGTTTAATAGTTTTAACTGCAATTTGATCAGAAATACTTAGATTGAAAGTGAAGGAAGTATTTGCAAGCATTGAAACTTTCTGACCCCAGTATGTATAACTAATTGTGTAAATTTCTAAAATTCTCCATAATCGACTATAAAAGAAAAAGTAAATTCTGAATAACCTTCTCTTTCTCCAATCCCAGAAGTTCCTCCTTTTGTTTGCGATCTTCAATACTGAGATTCTTTAGTAAGGCATTTTTTTGTTGGCTCAAGAGTGCAATTTCTGTTTGTACTTTGAGATACTCTTGTGCCAGCTGTTTATGTTCCTCAAAGATCTCCCGAGACTGCGGACACGTGTGATCAGGAGTACGAGGTCTTTGTTCATTGTCCAATAAACGATAAACATTGTCCAAATCCTCATTCATCGTGCTGCTACCTGTTACAATTAATCACCACAATTTCATATATTAAAATGATTCATAATATTTTTTTAAAAATAAATTAAGTTTAACATAAATTAATCTTCCAAGGGATAAATTCATATTCACAATATAATATAAATTATTTAATAAAAGATAATTTATATTCAAATAAATGTGTCTTTTTTTTGCAAAAAAAAAAATATTCCTTAAAAAAAGGAGAAAAATTTTCTCCACTTTGTAATTTTATTAAAACTCGTAGTTGAATATCGGTTAAAAATACAAGTAGTTGGAAAAATTTTCCTCTAAACAGGAAGTGATTCGTCATTCAAAATATGGAGCAAATTGAGCTTTTGGAATTTATTTAAATTCTCTATATTTTCATTTTGAAGTAAAATATCCGGTTGATCTTTTTTTGGCATAACAATAAGAAATAATGTAGTGAAAATTGTTCGAGTGGATTATAAATTTAATAAATATTTATAATCTGATTGAATTTCGCAGAGAGGAAAAGAATGAAATCCAAATACTGACGCAATAGTAACCAGCAACGTTGGAGGGTGTCGGTGCCCACAATGTTGAAGTACTCCTCACACATTTCGCTCGTGCTTCTTGTCTCCGAGCTTGATGAGAACAAATACTCCATTTGGGATGTTGTGACTTATTCTCCCTAAAAAGTTTCTCAAATCGTACGCCTTACATTCTCAACACACGAGCCCAAAAAAAAAGAAATAACGAATTTACTTTCGACGAATCGATTGTTCATCCATTGAAAAAATCGATACTAAATCCGCGATAGAATTATTCAATATCCGAATTCGTTAAATCCTTCTTTAAAAAAAATTGTTTACAGCAAAAGAGAAAAAGAAAAAAACGAATTGGTAGAACAATGAAAAAATGATAAATCTTTGGATTTTATCGAATTTTGATCGAATGATGCTCCTCCGTGTGGAGACGAATCTTCACTAAACAAACGCGCTGCTATAACGGGGATGCTGACTCAACTACACCTGCTGCTAAATACACTCCGCCATTCCCCTCGAACTACCCTTTAACAACCCGCGCACCACTCTTCATCATCGTGCTCAAAACACGAGCCAAAAACAAAACGCTCTCGCCTTGATTCATCCAAGATTTTTCACCATTTTTGTCACTTCATCAGGACCATAGTTAAAATTTAGTACATCGTTGACAATTAAAAAAAATTATTATATTTCGAGATTTTTAATTTTCATCTTCTATTCATTTACTCCAGCAAAGGAAAATTAGAAGCCAAACGAGAATCACTAAAATCAAGAAAAAAAACGAAAACCCAGAGATTTAAAAAAAAATAGCATGAATACACAAGGTTGCTACAGGTCAGGGAAATCAGGGAATTTAGGGAATATAGGGAAAAGTCAGGGAAGTCACAGAAAAGTCAGGGATTTTTATTAAAAGAACTGGAAAAAATTAAATTTTTGAAATTCATAAGAAAATTATGAACTTTTAGTGTCTTTTTTGTTTGGCCCATAAACTATCAAACAATCACGAATTCTAATACAAAACCTTCAAAAAAATTTTTTTTAACTAGAATAAATTTTTTAATATTCTTCAATTATTTCAAAAGTTTTAATGAAATTATCTTGATAAATAACAAAATTTTTCACAAAGATTCAATTATTTTTAGAAAATTTAAAAAAAAATTCTTTGCAAAATTCAATTACTTTTATAAATAACAATATTCATTACAAGAATTCAATTATTTTAAACAAATTTTAACAAGAATCTCGTCAAGAATTCAATTATTTTTATAAATAGTAATATTTTTCGCCAAAATTTCAATTATTTTCAAAAGTTTTTTCATAATTCAATGATTTTCAATATTTACTATTTTCAAAAAATTTAATTATTAAAAAAAATTTTTGATAAAATTCTAGGAAAACATTCAAGAATTTCAAATATTTTTAAAAAAATTTTAAATAAATTCCTCGAAAAATGCAATTTATTCTTCAAAATTTTTTTAAAACATGACAAAAGAATTCAAATTTAAGAAACATTCGATTACTCAATAAAATAATAAGTTCGTTCTACAAAAGAATTCAATCATCTTGTTAAATAACAAAATTAATTATTTTAAGAAATTTAAATAAAATTCTTTTCCAAAATTCAATTATTTTCATAAGTTACAATATTTATCCCAAGAATTGAATTATTTTCAAAAGTAATGAAATTCTTCGAAGAAATTCAATTATTTTTATTTTTACAAATTTTAACGAAAATCTCGTCAAGAATTCAATTAATTTTATAAATAGCAAAATTTTTCGCCAAAAATTCAATTATTTTCAAAAATTTATAAAAATCTTTGCAAAAGTTCAATTACTTTTAAAAGTTTTTTGCAATTCAATAAATTTTCAATATTTACTATTTTCATAAAATTTATCAACAGATTTAATTATAGAGAAAACTTTTTGATACAATTCTACGAAAAGATTCAATTATTTTTATAAATAATAAAATTTCATTGACGAATTCAATTATTTTCATCGCAAAAAGGAAAGAATTGAATTTTAAGAAACATTCAACTATTCAATAAAACAATAAAATTCGTTGCAATAATTTAAATATTTTCATAAATAACATTTAATTCGTCGCAGAAAATCAATTATTTTCAAAAATTCTTAAGTAATTTTGCAAAAGAATTCAATTAGCTTGATAAACAACTGAATCGCATAAATTCTTCCCATAAAATCAATTATTCTAAGGGATTTTAATAAAATTCTTTTCCAAAATTCAATTATTTTGATAAATATTAAAATTTATCCCAAGAATTCAATTTTTTTTAAAGTAATAAAATACTTTGCAGAAATTAAATTATTTTTAAAATTTTTTAAAAATTCTTCTCAAGAATTAAATTATTGTCAAAAATATTTTTTAAATTTTTCTCAAGAAGTCAATTATTTTCAAAATTTTTAATAAAATTCTTCTCAAGAATCCAATTGTTTTTAAAAATTATTATTTAAATTCTTCTAAGGAATTCAATTATTTTTCAAAATTTTAATAAAATTCTTCAAAAACTTTTCAATTATTTTCAAAAATTGTTATAAAATTATTTAATATAATAAATTTCAGTAAAATTTTAATAAAATTCCTTAAAAGAAATGAATAATTTTCAAAAGTTGTTGATAAAATTCTTCATGAGAATTCAATTTTAAGAAACATTCAATTATTGAATAAATTATTTATTTTTGTATTTAAATAATTGAATTCTCGTCGAGTTTTCTAATAAAAATTGATTTAAAAATGAATTTCAATTTAAATTTTAGATAATAATTGAATATTAAAAGCATTATAGCATGAATTTTTAGAAATAATTAAATTTTGAAAAGTTTTCAAAAATTCGAATCTTTAAAAATCTACTTTTTTCTTTCAAATCTTTGAAAAATTATTTTTGAATCATTTTTTAAGATAATTAAATTTTTCAAATACCTCTATAAGAAAAATCGTTTTGAATAATTGAAATTTTGTCAAATTTAATTGAAAATAATTAATTTTTCTCAAGTATTTTGTTACAATTTTTTAAAAACCAACTTTTCAAGAATTTCAATTGCAAATTTTTAAAAATAATTAAATTATAAAAAATTTTAATGAAAAATCTTTAAATATAAATTTGAAAATGAAAATTAGCTTCTTTCACCAAAACGTGTCCACGTGGACAGTGATGGGGGGAGAGATCAAAAAGTGTTAAAAAAAATTGTCCACGTGGTATATGAACTGCTCCTAAAAAAATACAAAAAATCACTTTTTTCAAAGTTTCTATTTTTTCAATTGTCAAAAGTTATTAATTCTACTAGATATCATATTCAATTTTGACCGTTATTACTGAAAAAAATTTTTTTTTAATTATTAAAAATTACGATTATGCCACGAAATGCCAACTTTATTAAAAAAAAATTCGGTAAAATATAAGGAACAAATTTTCTCCCTGTGAGACTGACAATTCTGTGAAATGATTTTTATGGGACAATCAGGCATCGCGGTGCGATTTGTAAATTTGAATAACGCTTTTTCAATAACCATCCGGTGACAATGTGATTAAAAGATCGTAGAACGAGAACAGCGCGGCAGAAAACGCATGAGTCATAGCACGTTTGGTATTCCAGGCTCAAAATAATCCACTTGCTGCGCTACATGGCGTTCATCGGTTTATCAAATCAAACGTTTCGAAAATTAAAATTCATTTCCCTTTCAATGAATAGTGATGAATTATGTTGAAATTATCAAAATTGAAATTTCTCAATTTTCTCCAAATAACAATTTTTTGCATGAATTATTCTACTTTCTTAATGTTATTTTTACTTTTTCCGTTCACGCCGCCCTTTATACACGCAATTGAATTGTCACGCGTCAAACACTAAGATATAAATAGTCAATTACACGGGATATCTGGGCGATTGAAAATGTCTGCTTCTAAACTAACTACAGACAGTTTGGTGCCACTAGAATCCCTTTTTGTCACTCCACATTTAAAAAAAAAGGGAAATTCAAAAAATTATGTGACAACAAAATTTTCCATTCTATTAGTGTTATTGGCAAGAAAATACAATTGGTATTTTCTATTAAATCATTTCCTTCCTTTTTTTTTAATGAAAATAAATAAAAATTATCTGTTTTCTTATACTGATGAAGAGACGATTTCAATAAAATTCACAAAATGATAGATGTGAAATTTATCAAGAATAAAATGAAATTTAAAATTAAGGAAACTAAGAATAATCAAAGAAACTTATATGACGCGCATGTCCATCATTTGCAAATAGGTCACGATAGAAATATATTATACAACTTGAAATCTAATTATTCAACCTCTTTCTTCTAGTTTGGCAAACCTTTTAACGCCTCCTCATAGTTTCTATTTATACGGAAATAATTATTTCTTTCCGCTAGTGTTCCCTTTTGTTTGTCTATACTCTCTTTAGAGAACAAACCAAACAAGGAACTGACATTTTTTTTCATTTTGTGATAAATATTTTATGATACTAACAAATTTTGGGTGGTTGCAGGCTTCACAGTGCCTCTAAAAAGTATTTTAGGGGAAATAGGGGACTGAAAATTAAAAAATAGGGGACTTTTAGGGGATTATAAAAATTAGTTAAATAAAGATAAAAATATAATTTATTTATAGAGGGTTGCCACAAAAATTTAACTTTATTTTTCCCTGACTTTTCCCTCATTTCCAAACACAACTTTCACTTTTTTCCTGACCCTAAAAAATATTATGATTCACTCTCAAAATTATTAGATACTCAAAAAAATGTTCTATTAAATTTATTTACAAATTTCTTCAAAAGTAAAATTATTCCAAAACATCAATAACTTCATCTTTAAATAAATATTTAATCATTTTTTTTTCATTGGAATTAAGATGTTCAAAAATTTCAAATTCAAACCTTTTCAAATTGAACAACTCATAATAATTAAAGATGACCGACAGATAAAATGATTAGTTTACTATTATAAGAACATTGTTACTGTAATTTCTTCATAATTATTTGTATCATTTCAATTCAATTATTTAAATACAAAAATAAATAATATCGAATGTTTCTTAAAATTTAATTTTTACGAAGAATTGTATTAACAACTTTTGAAAATATTTAATTTCTTTTAAGGAATTTAATTAAAATTTTAATGAAATTTTTTTTTTTAAAGAATTTTATTACAATTTTTGAAAATAATTGAAAACTTTTTGAAGAATTTTATTAAATTTTTCTAAATAATTGAATTCTTGAGAAGAATTTAAATAATAATTTTTGTAAACAATTGAATTCATGAGAAGAATTTTATTAAAATTTTTGAAAATAATTGACTTCTTGAGAAGAATTTTAAAAAATTTTTTTGACAATAATTTAATTCTTGAGAAGAATTTCCCTATCTATTTATAAAAATAATTTAATTCTTGACAAGAATTTTTAAAAAATGTTGAATATAATTAAATTTCTGCAAACTATTTTATTACTTTTCAAAAGAATTGAATTCTTGTGATGAATTTTGATATTCATCAAAATAATTGAATTTTGGAAAAGAATTTTATTAAAATTCCTTAAAATAAATGATTTTATGGGGAGAATTTTGTTTTTTAACAAGAGAATTTAATTCTTTTGTAGAACGAAATTATTATTTTATTGAATAATTGAATGTTTCTTACATTTGAATTCTTTCAAGTTTTAAAAAAATTTTGAAGAATAATTGCATTTTTCGAGGAATTTATTTAAAATTGTATTAAAAATATTTGAAATTCTTGAATGTTTTCGTAGAATTTTATCAAAAATTTTTTTCAATAATTAAATTTTTTGAACAGAGTAAATATTAAAAATCATTGAATTATGAAAAAACTTTTGTAAAAATTGAAATTTTGCAAAGAATTTTATTTAAATTTTTGAAAATAATTGAATTTTTGGCGAAAAATGTTGCTATTTGTAAAGATAATTGAATTCTTGACTAGAATTTTTAAAAAATTTTTTAAATAATTGAATTTCTTCGAAGAATTTTATTACTTTTGAAAATAATTGAACTCTAGTGAAGAATTTAAATAATACTTTTTGAAAACAATTGAATTTATGAGAAGAATTTTATTAAAAATTTTTTAAACAATTAACTTCTTGAAAAGAATTTAAAAAAAATTTTTGACAATAATTTAATTCTTGAGAAGAATTTTTCTATCTATTTATAAAGATATTTAATTCTTGACAAGAATTTTTAAAAAATTTTGAAAATAATTTAATTTCTGCAAAGTATTTTATTACTTTACAAAAGAATTGAATTCTTGCGATGAATTTTGATATTTATCAAAATAATTGAATTTTGGAAAAGAATTTTATTAAAATTCCTTACAATAATTGATTTTATGGGAAGAATTTATGCGATTTTGTTGTTTATCAAGCTAATTGAATTCTTTTGCAAAATTACTTAAAAATTTTTGAAAATAATTGATTTTCTGCGACGATATAAATGTTATTTATGAAAATATTGAAAATTATTGAATTGCAAAAAACTTTTGAAAATAATTGAACTTTTGCAAAGATTTTTATAAATTTTTGAAAATAATTGTATTTTTGGCGAAAAATGTTGCTATTTGTAAAGATAATTGAATTCTTGACGAGATATTTGTGAAAATTTTTAAAAATAATTGAGTTCTTGGGATAAATATTGTAATTTATGAAAATAATTGAATTTTGTAAAGAATTTTATTAAAATTCCTAAAAATTATTGAATTTCTGTGAAGAATTTTGTTATTTATCAAGATAATTGGATTTAAACTTTTGTAATAATTAAATAATATTAAAAATTCATTTCTGTCAGCAATAGAAAAAATTTTTGAAGGTTTTTTATTAGAATCAGTGGCAGTTTCATAGTTTACGAAGCTAAATTTGGTGTGAATTCATCATGAAAAGATAAAAGAAAAAATAGGGGAAATTTTGAAAATAGGGTACGTTTAGGGGCCAAAATTAAAAAAAGGGGACTTTTAGGGAAATAGGAGACAGACTGTGATGCCTGTATATTATATTATAATAAAAAGAAAAATTAATAACTTTAAAAAATAAAATTGTATACGAAGAATATCTACGGAGGAATATATTTTCTTCATTTTATTAAAATATACTCACCCTGAAGATTTTTCTTTGATTTTGGTGCCATTTTATCCAAACCGGCCATATTTCGAATTTCCCAAGAAGAATCAAAAGAATTGCCAAGCTCCCAAGCGTTCTGAAAATCAATATATTTTCATTTTGATTCATTTTTTTTAAGTTTTAACATTTTTAATTATTTTGAACAGGAAAACATTTTGAAAATCTTTATAGTGTCGTGATCAGAACATTAATTGTTTTCGTATATGTCCTTGATTTTAAATACATAAATCAAAATATTTAGTAAAATTTTTAAACAATTTTCCTTTAAAGTTCATAAAATTAAAAAATTGAAAGGAAAATAAATCACTTACCGGATCACACTCCACTTTTAACGGAGCAATATTCGGTCGTTGATTGAATGATAGATTACTCGAGGTTGAGACATGGGATTCTGCATTTATTGGAATAACGTTCTTCCAAGAATCATCGTTAGTAAATTCGAGTTTGCTTTGTATTTGAACTGGAGCCTCGTTTAAGTCTAACTTTTGAATTGAATTACCATTCATCTCGTCATTAACTTCAGTTGGCATTGGAGTTCTATCGAGTCCATTTTCCATTGAGCCGTTAATCAGAGAATTTAAAGTACTCGGCATGTCTAAAGTATCTAACGTATCGCTACGTGTTTCCTCGTCATCCTCATCATCCATGTCTGCTTCGCTACCTAACGAAATTCAATACATGAAATTTTATTTAAATAAATCAAAAATTTTACTTTTCACAAGTAATTTATTATAACATTTATTAGGTTTATTTGGATGAAATTTTACTTTTTTCTAAAAAGAAGTGTTAGGAAATTGTTAGTTATTTATTTTCAGCTTTTACATAAATATAAATAATTAGTATGATTATTAATAAATAATTTTTATATCTGAGCTATTTAAATGCCTTCCCAAAATAAAATAAGACATAAAAGACGTTTATTCAGAATTACTTTATACTTACTTAAAGAATATTCTACAGGTCCTAATTCTCCACTGAACATTTCGGATAAGGCAGTCATAATTCTAACCACTTCTACCATTGAAGGCCGCTCGTCCGGTACTTTACTCCAACATCTAGAGAAATAAAATCATTTTAAGATGGTTTTTAAAAGAAGAACTGAAACGTGCAAGGTTACCACAAAAATTTAATTCTGTTTTTCCCTGACTTTTCCCTGATTTCCAGACAAAATTTTCACTTTTTCCCTGACCCTAAAGAATATTCTGATTCACTCCAAAAATTATTAGATACTCCAAAAAATTTTCTATTACATTTATTCATGATTTTCTTTAATTTAAAAATTATTCGATTTCATAAATAACTTCTTTTTTAAATAAATATTTAATAATTAATTTTTTTCTATAGGAATTAAAGGTTTGAAATTCAATAACTTATAATAAATTTAACATGACAGAGTGATAAAATCATTATTTTATATCATAAGAATAATGTAACTATAATTTCAAATTTTCAAAGATTTCAATTTGATCTCTTCTCAAAATTCAATTTTTTCTAAAAATTCACGAAACGAATTTTATTAACAAAATTTTTAAAGAATTGAATTCCTGTGAAAAATTTTATTTTTTGAAAATAATTGAATTCTGGAAAAAAACATTATTATTTATGAAAATAATTAAATTTCTTGTGAACAATTTTATTTAAATTTTTTTAAATAATTGAATTTCTCAGAATTTTTTAAAACTTTTTGAAAATAATTAAATTCTATAGAAAAATTTCATTAAACAAGACTTTCTCATTTTTGATTATATTTTACGAAAATAATTGTAATCTATGATCAATTTTATTATAATTTTTCAAATTTATAAAGCATTTTATTAAAAATTTTTTAAATAATTGAATTGTTGAGAAAAATTTTATTACATATTTTTGAAAATAATTGATTTCTTGCAAAGAATTTTATTCAAATTTTTTTTAATAATTGAATTTCCATAAAAAAAGTATTATTTGTGAAAATAATTCAATTCTTAAGAAGAATTGTATTGAAAAAAAATTGAATTGTATAGGATAATTTGATTAAAATTGCAATATTATTAACTAAATCATGTAAAGAATTTTGTCAAATTTTTTTAAATTATAGAATATTTAAAAGAATTTTATTTAAACTTTTCGAAATAATTGAATTTCTCAGAACTTTTTTTTCAATTCTTTGAATATATTTAAATGATTTTGATAAATAACAAAATTCTTCACAGAAATTTAATAATTTTTAGGAATTTTAATAAAATTCTTTACAAAATTTAATTAATTTTTATAAGTTACAATATTCATCCTAAGAATTCAATTATTTTCAAAAGTAATAAAATTCTTCGAAGAAATCCAATTATTTTTAAAATTTTTCACGAATATCTCGTCAAGAATTCAATTATCTTTACAAATAGCAAAATTTTTCGCCAAAAATTCAATTATTTTTAAAAATTTATAAAAATTTTTGCAAAAGTTCAATAATTACTTTCAAAAGTTTTTTGCAATTCAATAATTTTCAATATTTAATATTTTCATAAAATTTATCAACAGATTTAATTATAGAAAAAACTTTTTGATACAATTCTACGAAAATATTCAATTATTTTCATAAATAATAAAGTTTCATTTTCAAATTCAATTATTTTCATCGCAGAATTTCAAATATTTTTAATACAATATACAATACATTATAATAATCGTAAGTTTCCTTTCCGTTAGCAAATTATCTGCATTCATTTGTTTGTTTTGAAAATTAAATTTTGTGTGTTAAGTATTGGCATTTTTCATATATTTTTTAATGTCAAACTTTTTAATGTGGAAAATACTTTACTTATTAAATTGTCTCGACTCTTTGGTAAAAAATCTAAAATTATCAAAAATTTGAAAAAATTCAAAAATCCGAATTTCTTAAAATTCAACATTTTTTCCTCTCTTTTATGGGATTTAGCTTAATTATTTTTGTGCTTTTGAAAAATACTTTACTTATTAAATTGTCTCGACTCTTTGGTAAAAAATCTAAAATTATCAAAAATTTGAAAAAATTCAAAAATCCGAATTTCTTAAAATTCAACATTTTTTCCTCTCTTTTATGGGATTTAGCTTAATTATTTTTGTGCTTTTGAAAAATACTTTACTTATTAAATTGTCTCGACTCTTTGGTAAAAAATCTAAAATTATCAAAAATTTGAAAAAATTCAAAAATCCGAATTTCTTAAAATTCAACATTTTTTCCTCTCTTTTATGGGATTTAGCTTCATTATTTTTGTGCTTTTGAAAAATACTTTACTTATTAAATTGTCTCGACTCTTTGGTAAAAAATCTAAAATTATCAAAAATTTGAAAAAATTCAAAAATCCGAATTTCTTAAAATTCAACATTTTTTCCTCTCTTTTATGGGATTTAGCTTCATTATTTTTGTGCTTTTGAAAAATACTTTACTTATTAAATTGTCTCGACTCTTTGGTAAAAAATCTAAAATTATCAAAAATTTGAAAAAATTCAAAAATCCGAATTTCTTAAAATTCAACATTTTTTCCTCTCTTTTATGGGATTTAGCTTCATTATTTTTGTGCTTTTGAAAAATACTTTACTTATTAAATTGTCTCGACTCTTTGGTAAAAAATCTAAAATTATCAAAAATTTGAAAAAATTCAAAAATCCGAATTTCTTAAAATTCAACATTTTTTCCTCTCTTTTATGGGATTTAGCTTCATTATTTTTGTGCTTTTGAAAAATACTTTACTTATTAAATTGTCTCGACTCTTTGGTAAAAAATCAAAAATTATTAAAAATTATCAAAAATCGAATTTCTTAAAATTCAACATTTTTTCTTCTCTTTTATGCCATTTAGCTTTATTATTATTTGAATTTTTATTTAAGAGAAAAAATGGAAAACTGAAAAAATTTAGAAACTTTTAAAAATTCCAGGCCTTTTCCATGATTTCCCTGATTTCCAGAAGCCTTTTAAAAATTCCATACCATTTCCATGTTTTCCATGATTTCCAGATTCTGTAGGAACCCTGTTTTTGTCTGACTTTCTTCTAAATTATCGAATTCAGTGATTTCTGTGGTGAATTTGGTTAAGTTGTAAAATGATTAATTTCTATTTGAATTCGTTTTTATTTAATGTAGAAAATCTGATGTTAATTTAATTCTTTTTTCGTTATGCACGGCAAAAAATATTTAGCTGGATGAACTACTTTAGTAGCGAAATTATTCAGTGCTTCAATTAATACTTTCGTTATTCTAGAGAAACTTATCGCTATTTCAAGAAAAACTTTTTTCAGTGTGTAATAATTATTATTTCTTTGAAAAGTATTTAATTTAAAATGGCTTTATAAAATAAGCAATGCAAAAGATGACTCAGATACTAATTGTAATTGTTCTAGCCATAGTTTAAGTCTAGTAATGTAAATTCTATTTAAATTGAGACCATTGAGTGAAATTATTTGAATTTTAGTTAGTTAAATCTCTTTGTTAGGTTATAATAATTATTTCTTTAAAATTTTTTAAATTTTTTAAAATAAGCAGCCCCATACAACATTCCCGCGCGCTTGCGCGCGGATAGTTTGGCTAGTTTTAAATAAATTTCTTAAAAAATGCAATTACCTATTATTACAAATTTTATTAAAACTTGAGGTAAGAATTCAATTTTAAGAAACATTCAATTATTCAATAAAACAATAAAATTCGTTGCAATAATTCAAATATTTTCATAAATAACATTAATTCGTTGCAGAAAATCAATTATTTTCAAAAATTTTTAAGTAATTTTGCAAAAGAATTCAATTAACTTGATAAACAACAAAATCGCATAAATCCTTCCCATAAAATCAATTATTCTAAGGATTTATAATAAAATTCTTTTCGAAATTCAATTATTTTGATAAATATAAAAATTTATCACAAGAATTCAATTATTTTGAAAAGTAATAAAATACTTTGCAGAAATTAAATTATTTTCAAAATTTTTAAAAAATTCTCGTCAAGTTCTTCATAAATAGATAGGAAAAATTCTTCTCAAGAATTAAATTATTATCAAAAATTTTTTAAAAATTCTTCTCAAGAAGTCAATTATTTTCAAAATTTTTAATAAAATTCTTCTCAAGAATCCAATTGTTTTTAAAAATTATTATTTAAATTCTTCTCAAGAATTCAATTATTTTTAAAAAATTTAATAAAATTCTTCAGAAAGTTTTCAATTATTTTCAAAAATTGTTATAAAATTCTTTAATGTAATAAATTTCATTAAAATTTTAATTAAATTCCTTAAAAGGAATTCTTCGTAAAAATTAAATTTTAAGAAACATTCGATATTATTTATTTTTGTATTTAAATAATTGATTGTAGAATTAAATTATTATTTTTCGTAGTTTTAACTAACAATTCTGTAGAATTAATTTTTTTTGAAAAAGTTTAATTGAATAATAATTGATGTTATTGATTTAAAGTAGAATTTGAGTTAAAAATTCTTGAAAATGTTAATTGAATTGAAATGATGCAAATAATTATGAAGAAATTACAGTAACAATATTCTTATAATAGTAAACTAATCATTTTGTCAGTCGGTCATCTTTATGTTTTATAATAATATTCTTATGAGTTGTTCAATTTGAAAAGGTTTGAATTTGAAATTTTTGAACATCTCCTAAAATACTTTTTAGGGGCACTGTGAAGCCTGATATGGCTAAGATTTGAAGTTAGACTAATACCTAAGAGACTGCAAAGTTTCGTTTTAATCGGTCAAGTAGTCTTTGTGTTTATCCCAGACAAAATATTGCCGACATACATACATACATACATAATTTTTTTTATTGTCATTTTTGGAATTCTTATTACTCGAAAAGAAAAACTAAACATGAATTTACAAATTCTTAAGCAATGTACAGACAAAAGTCTGATTTTATTTCTATAGATAGATTTTTAATTAATCATGAATATTATTATTTGAAATGAGTCGAAATAAAACGAATTAAAGCAGTATGTAGATATTAAGAAAGTACTTAAAAATGATAACTCACCGAGTCATAAGCCTTTCAATTGGTTTCGGACACGATTCGAGTAAAGCGGGTCTCTGTCCGATGTGAACTGCCCACATAATTCTGTAGGCAGAACCTCCAATATCGTCGAAAGGTTTTCTCCTGGACAGTACCTCCCAAAGTATTATACCCCAACTGAAAACATCACATTTTTCTGTGTAGCGAGAACCTTCAAAAACTTCAGGTGCCATCCATGCTGCTGAGCCTTTATTATTTGTCATGTATGATTTTAAATCGCAAGCTGTTCCGAAATCGCAAATTTTAAGTGTTTGGCCGCCCATGATTAAGAGAAGATTTGGAGGTTTCAGATCCCTGAAAAAAATAAAAACACTTTCATCTAAATTTCCAATTTATTCATAATATATTAGGTAAATACTAAATGATTCAGTTTTTTATAGACTCCCAAATTTCTTTAATTTATTGAAAATTATTCACTTCCATATATTTCGAGACGAGACAAATAAAAAAAACCATTCTAAGATGTATTTTTTGCCACTGAAACTGAATTTGATGTCGAAGAACATTCTATTTTTTAATTTTTGCAATTCTCTACGAAATTGAAAGAAATTTTGAAAAATAAAAAATGAATCTTTAAAAACGAAAAAAACTGAAAAAGTGATCGTCTTTTGTTGGTGGAACGGTTTGAAATAGAATGTACCAGTTTTATAAGAGGAATAGAATCATTGTTGGACATAATTGAATATTTGTAATTCACCTGTGAATAAGTGGTTTTGGTTTCATATTGTGAAGGTATGCAACACCACGGGCGCACTGAAGAGCCCAACTCATTGCATGGCCAACTGTGTAATGGGGTTGAGGATCGCAATGAAGAACTGAAAGATGATAAAATTAAGAGAAATACAAAAAGTATTTGCCCATCTTTATTCTCTCGTTCGATTCACATACCATTATATAATGATCCACCTTCTGCATATTCCATTACCAAGCAGACGGGATTCTTCGTACAGGCTCCATAAAGTTTAACAATATTCGGATGAGCTACTCTTGAAAGTTGTCTCACTTCAATTGAAAATGCTTTCTTTTCACCTTCCGAGTTGATGAGTTTTACAGCAACATACTGTCCACGCCATTTTCCTTTCCATACAACTCCAAAAGAACCTTTTCCCACAATCTGAAAGTAAAAACATTTAAAAAAAACAATTTAAAACAAAGTTTATAGAATATTATTTCGGTGCGTGTTTACACTAACCGAAATAATATTCTATAAATTTTTTTATATATTTACAAAATATATTTTTAATATTTTTATAAAGTAAGAAAAGTGACACTAAATAAATTAACATTTTTTCATAAAAAATTTAACGTGTAAACAAATTTTAGAAAACGAATTTTTCAATTGTTGCAGGTTCAGAATATAGTCAACTTTTTGTTTTTTTTTTATTTCTTGTTTACCTTGAATAATGTTAATTTATTTGGTGTCACTTTTCTTATTTTATAAAAATATCCTATATTTTGTTTTAATTTACATTCACCGAAATAATATTCTATAATTTTTTCTAAATTGTATAAGAAAAATTAAAAAAAAAACAAATTAATCAAGTCATAAATTATATTAATTAATTTTTAAAATTTAATAAAATGTTTTGACAGTTTTCTAACAAGAAATTGTTTCGCCATTAATAAAACAATGACAGCTGATGCTCACTGAGGAACAAAAATTATAAAAAGGAAAAAATGTAAATTTGTACCTAAATTTATTCAAAACTCTGTGAAAGTCTGATTTTTAATAAATAACAATAGGAAATAAATAATTAATCGTAGATAAGCTAAATAAGGTTATGTTATTAAAGGGAATTTTCATTACTAACGAAATTATAGTCAAACGAAAGTATTAAAAACCAAAGTAAAAACTATTTTCAGGTACTAAGTTTATGATGTTTAAAGGGGAAAGGATTTATTAAAACAAATAGTAATTGTATCGCTAAGAAAAATATTTACCTCTTGTCTTTCAATTTCTTTAAAGTCAATTTCTTCAACGAACTGCTGCTGATGGCCGGTTCCTTCTTTGCTCGCCATCGCACACAGTCAACGTCACATTATTTTCAGCGTGCATTTAAACTGAAAAATTAAATTACTTAAAAAAAAACTTTTTAATTAGATACTCTAAATCCTCTAAATCTATCTCGCCATTTGCATTATTTTGATGTAGATTCGCAGGGTTGAAGTGGTTGAAAAAGTAAGCAGGGATGGAAAGATAATTTAGATTTGGATTAAACTTAAAGGCAGTCCACAGTGTCCACGGTACGGAAGCCTTTTCGGTTCAGCCAGGGTTGTGTAGTGATGTTTACTTGATGTTTTTGGCGGAATTGTAGTGGAAACACGGACTGAAGTCGTTGACAGTTATTCTGGTTTTTCTTGCAGTGTGTCATGTCATTACATTATTTTCCAATTTAATATTTTACCACCGCGTTTCTGCATAAATTTTAACAATCTTTTCGATTATTATAATTTAGAAGATTTAGAATATCCATTTCACGTTGGCAAATTTTGTAAAAAGTGTCTGTGTTCGGAGAAAAATGTGTTGGAAAATGTTTGTTTACCAATTTACTCAAAATTCGCCCGTTATACGAGAGCCGTGAAGATTGCAGTTCATTGATTTTTACATAAATAAAGAAAAAAATTAATAACAATTTTGTTTATAAAAAAAATAGCTTTTTTCTTTTTTTTTTATCATTTTTTCTTTTTTCTTTCATTGAAAATTTTTAAAATTGTCTGAAATATTCCGAGTTGAAGTGAAAAATGTCATTAATTTACAGTTTTTCGCAAATATTTCGAAAACGGTAATAGATAGAAAAAAATTTCATAAGAAAAAAAGATGCGCAATGGAATTTCCTATAAGGATGTGTATTTAAAATATATAAATTCAGAAGTTGAATTTTGAGTGTCCAGGGGACATAGATTTCGGCCGAGAAAAATTTACGTACGCCTTAATTTTAACTTTTTAAATTAATTTTTATTAGAAAATTCAACTAGAATTTAATTATTTAAATACAAAAATTATTAACTTATTGAATAATTGAATGTTTTATTAAATTGAATTTTTATAAAGAATTTTATCAACAAATTTGTAAATAATCCAATTCTTTTGACAAATTGTAATAAAATATTTTAAGAATAATTACATTTTTAGAGAAATTCAATTAAAATTGAATTTAAAATAATTGAAATTCTGTGATGAATTTGCTTTATTTCTGAAAATAATTGAATCTTTGTAAAATAAATTTGTTTTTTTACGAAAATAATGAAATTATTGCGAAGAAATTTATAAAAAATTTGCAAATAAATGAATTCATTGTGAAATTTTTATTATTTTATGAATTTCGTTGAGTTTCTTTAAAATAATGGAGTTTATTTAATAATTTTTATTGAAAGTTTTCAAAGTAATTGAATTTTATATGAACAATTTCTTTGAAGTTTTAACAATAATCGTGTTTCTGAATAATTGAAATTTAAACATTTAATTCTTGAATTTTATTAAAATTTTTGGAATGAATTATCCTAATTTTGCGATTTTCATTCATTAATTATGTGATTAAATGAAATAATTAATTTAAATAAATACTTACCAAATGTAGAGTTCTTACGATGATCTTTTAGATTTTCTTTATATTTTTCTTCTTATTGATACATAAGTATATATACGTAAATATATATTAATTCATAATAATATATTAATAAAACATAGAATTCAGAATTTTTAAAGATTTTTCTGGCATAAATTTCGTTATTTTCCTTTGAAAGATTCGGGAGGCCAAAAAAAAGTTCGGATAATAGAAGTTCGAATAAAATGATTTTCGGTTCGGATAACAGAGGTTCGGATAATCGAGGTTCCACTATAATAAAATTTAGAATCTGCAATGTTTAATGATAAGGGGCCGTCCATATATTACATAACGCTAATTTTTGAAAATTTTGACCCCCCCTCCTCCTCCCCCAAAAAACGTTACGTAATATATGGACGATCTCTAAGAAAAATCTCAAATTTATTGTTGCATAATTATATTTGAAAGAGTTATAAACTATCTTGAAAAGTCTGACTGTTACGTAAAAATGGATATCATTTTTCAATTTAGATTACCAGACTTATATGTATACTGTATACCGAAAAATAAGTACAATGCAAATAAAACGAAAACATTCGTTTCATTATTTTTTAGATAGACTTCCATAAACAATAAACACAAAATTAAATAATGAACAAATTTTTTATTTTATAATGAAACAACACATTCAACTCGGAACAAAAATAAATTTATTTTGTTATACATATGTATACATTTGAGGAGTCGGGAAGAAGAACTCGCCGAGCGCTCCAACGCATGCGTTAATATCAGCCGGGTAGCAGTGACAGGCCCAGAGGCACTCACTGCTCCCCGACTGATATTAGAGAATACGTTCCCGCGCTCGGCGAGTTCTTCTTCCCGGCTCCTCATTTATATAATTATTATTAACACTGAACTAATAATTACACTTAATGCTTAAGGGGAGAGTCTAGTCAAACCGAGAGTTTTTTCCTATGGTATTATATATTTTTAATAACTAATTTTTTTTTTACATAAAAGGGAACATATTGAGAAGAAAATTAAAAAAATTAATATAAATTATAGTATTTATATAGTAGTTACAAGCCTGGGGGTTGTTAAAATCGGCGAGATCTCTGGAATTCATAAAAATCGTCTAATATAAAAATTCTTGGGCATTACCCAAGAATTTTTGGTTATATAAAATATGATCGTAACAATTATATTTAAAGTTCGAATTTGTTAAATCAATTACAGGAGAATATTCTCCACATATTTAGGAATATTTTTAAGCAAATAAAAAAAAAGTTTTTTATCCTTTTCACCAGACTCATCCCTTAAAGTTTTCACTAGAGTAAAAGGTACAGTAGTCGGCCACCTTTAAATTTTGAATAACTATAAAAACATATGAGATAGTAATAATTTTTTTTTTACTGAAAATTTATAGCATCACATTGTTAACAAGCCTATATGCATTTGCAACCGAAATATTTTTAAAGGTTTTCGGGCCAGTGGTAACTACTGTACATTTTACCTCTATATATATATATATCAAATTTTTCTAAAATTAATTAAAGAACACAAAATGAAATGAATAATTTTTTCTTTTTAAATAAAACAAAAACATTTTATATCTTAACACTACAATATAAGCACACAGGCATTTTCTTTGAAAATTTGCCTGAAAATTCAACTAACTTCTCAATTTTTATCTATACATTTCAAAATATAATAAAATATTGAAAAAATTAATTAAAAGTTATATTATAGAAGCTAATAAAGTTATTTGCTTTTTGTGTTTGCATATTTTCAAGCTATCTATTATGTAATAGGTATGTTAGCATTTGTAAAATTAACAAATATATAACATTCACCAAAAAGTTTCTTAATATTACGTAAGTTTCTAAAGTGGACTCTAAGTAGAATTTGTAGGATCTAGAAGAATTCGTATAAAACTTACTATGCTTTATTAGATCTTAAACCAAATTTAAATTTCGGCTTGGGTTGTCAAACCGTCTTCAGTTACCTCCATCGAATTTATTTGATACGTTGTCGAGTTATCGAGTGTTGAATCCGTTGCGTTTTCATTACTTTTTGTCTCATTGATATCCACGACAGAAGATATTTTGATCAAAGCTATTTCAACATAGGAGATCGTTGAGCTTAAGTTTAAAATGAATTCCAATATGATATAATCAACATATCTCTTTAATGAATTACTTATAATTATATGTAATACGCTTTCAACAGATTTTATTAGTTTAAGATTTATCATCACTTTCTCCTTATCAAATGATGACAAATTTTTAGAATATATCGAGAAAATCGTTTCTATAGTTTCGTTTAAACTAGACCCTTTATACAATAAGGTGGAAAGTTTTTGCTTTATTTCAATTAATTTAAATTTGGTGTTGTTTAATTCAATTTTATCGCTCTTATTCTGCAAAAATTTTATCTTCTCTGTTTCATTAAATAATGCTTCTTTCAGAACGTCTACTAACATTGGAATCATTTCCTCCAACTCTTTTATCTCTTTTGCTTGTAACAGTCGTAACATAGAAGAAGCTGAAATACTAGGATGTATATCCTGCAGAAGATTACTTTGTATGCGTTCAGAGTTTTTAAGAACTGAAATAATATCAGCATCGATATCAGCAGTAACGTTAGTTATAAATGATATTCCTTTGAAGAGGGCAAACCTATCGGTATTATTTAATAGAAACATTGCAAAGTTTTTTGAATCCTCGGACAATTCGAAGTCAGGGTTAAGTAAAAAGTGTGTTTCTAAATGATACTTTATATAGTTTTTATTAATTAATACACCATTGACAGTTCCAGGTACTTTTGTGAAAATTACTGATGTACTTTTAAAACTGTCTTTAAACTGATCTCCAAAAAGAATTTCAATTCTTTCTAAAAGTGATAAAAATTGTTCTGGATTATCTTGTACAATGTCCTTAATGTCATCAACTAAGATTATTTTTAAAGATTTAACACTTTTCACCAATCGATATATTAAAAAAGAATGAATGACATCTTGTATTGTTCCTCTATTTTCGCCAAATCCAGGAACATCCCAGAGAGTCAAATTGGGGAATATTTTCGAAGTCCATCCTTTGGGGATTATTGTTGTTGATAATGATCCTTCACTGATCTCTGGTCCTGTGGATTCATTCCCTGCCTTTCTTGTTATTTTTAATCCAACTCTCGAACTTCTTTTAACTTCCAATTTATTGCCCATTAAGTAATTAATTAGGGTACTTCTTCCAGATTTTGTGTTGCCGAAGAAAATTGCCGAATCTTCATTCATAGATTGGTTCTCCATATATTTTTCTGCTTCGTGAAGAGAAGAATATAATTTCATTAAACTCAACTTATCATTTATATTGTCACTATTGACCAGTAAATTTAGTAGGCAGATTATTGCAAGTCTAATCATGATTGATCAGCTATTATCTTTTTTTAAAGAAAGATTTTTACTGTTGTTGGAAATTATTACTGAAAAAAATTAATTATTTAAACTTAGAGAAAACTTTTTAATTTTGTTTAAGCTATCATATAACAAGTTAATCACTGTTAATTTTAAATTACTGGATTTTTTTATTTAATAATTTAAAGGGGCTAAATTTAATAAATTTTTTAATGCAGTTTTATAATCTTTTAAATTTAAATTTTGATGAATATTTCTTAATTTTTCAATCAAGAGGATAAAACTGGGGTACAAAATTGTTTTGAATTGCTTAAAATAATTTTCAAAAAGTTCTAATTTTTTTTTGTGTTTTGAAATAAACTTCCAGTTATATTAAATTAAAATTTGGTCCTCCTTCACATTCTGAAATATACTTCAGCCCACTTTCATTCTCGTGATTGCAAACTTAATTTAAAAATAATGATATCATTTTAAGGCACTGATTTTTAAAATTGATATCGTCGTTAATGACGAGCAAAATCAGGAAATTGTCCTACAAGCCTCAAGCTATATTGGTGATGATCAAAACCCCCAAGCTTTAGTTACTTTTGATGTTACCCATTCAAAGAGGTAAATTAGAAGTCAACTCAATGTTAAATATTAAGAATCAATAATGTTTATAACGTCCACCGATTTTTTTCTTTCTTGTCTTAAAATTATCTTATGACTCTACTAAAACGATACACAGAAAAAAATGCGAATGGTAAAAACAACCACATTTGTGTAGTTAGAAAAAAAGTAGTTAAAACTACCATATTCAGCAGCATTTTAACTACACCTCCTCAGTTAGTGGAACCAAAATGAAGTAGTTGGTTTTATGTAGTTAAAATAACTACTTTACGTAGTTGAAATAACTAACAGATGCTTGTAAATGGCTCAACTATAGTGTAGTAGTAAAAACTATTGTTAAAAATAGTTAATTTTACTATTGTGGTAGCAAAAATAACTATTTTGTATTGGTTGCAAACAAAATGAGACTTACTGTTTTTATATAGTAAATACAACCTCTGAAAGTTGTTACTTTTATGATTTATGTAGTTAAACCAACTATTTCTTACTAGTTGCAGAGAAAGAAAGAAATTTACTGTTTTCATATAGTAAAATCAATTGTTGAAAATAGTTATTTTTACTATTTATGCAGTTGAAAAGATCATTTTTTTTCTACAGAGAAAAAACGTGAGTGGTAAAAGCATCCACATATGTGCAGTTAAAAAAATATAGTTAAAACTACCATATTCAGCAGCATTTTAACTAAACTTCCATAGTTAGTGGAACTAAAATTGAATAGTAGGTTTTATGTAGTTAAAATTACTACTACACGTTATGATTGTGAATAACTCAACAATAGTGCAGTAGTAAAAATATCCATTTCTTGCTATTTGCAAAATAAATTAAAATTTACTGTTCCAAAGAGTAAAAACAACCGCTGGAATTTGTTATTTTTGTGTTTAATGTAGTTAAAAGAACCAATTCTTACTAGCTTTTAATAATTTATCTCTATGGTGGTAAGAAACATTTATTTTTATAACTACAAAAGTCATAAAAGTAACAATTTTTATGTTATTTTTACTATATGAAAATAGTAAGTTTAATTTTTTTATAACTAGTAAAAAGTGGATAATTTTACTACAGAAATTCTGAAAATAACTATTTTCAACAGTACTTTTAACTACTGCTCTATCGTTGAGTCATTTAAAATCATATGCTGGCTACATTTCAACTAAGTCCTTGAGCTTAAAAAATTAGTTACTGCAACTAAACGGAGTAGTTATTATGACTGAATCTAAGAAGAATGTCCTCAAGTACAATGCCAGTCATCGTAGCGTGCGAGCGTGGTTACACGGAGAGAAAAATCAAGCGTTTGTAGTAAGACATGGTCAATACTTAAAAAGCACGGCGCTGTTTATACTCGATTTGTAGAAATCTATGCTAAAAGAGTATAGGTCTCTACTAAAAGAGTATAGGTCCCTACTCTTTTAGCATAGATTTCTACAAATCGAGTATAAACAGCGCCGTGCTTTTTAAGTATAGACCATGTCTTACTACAAACGCTTGATTTTTCTCTCCGTGTAGGTGGTTAGGTTATCGGTTTGCGAATGTTAGGGTCGTGCGTTCAATCCCCGGCGTTTGGGGATTTTTCTCTGTTAGGTGTATAAGAATTTAATATATAAATTATATATGTGACGCTCCACGAGAAAAGGGACCTTATGACAAGAGTAAATAAGGTCCCTTTTCTCGTGGAGCGTCACATATGAACAAAAATAGGTAAGAGAAAATATAAAAAAATGGACCTCAATAATAATAAAAAACAAATAAATAATTTCATTTTACTACTTTAAATAGTTAATTTAACTATTTTTTACAGTTGTTACAACTACAATTTGTTACGGGCGCCTATAGGAACTATGAAAATTTAGTTACTACAACTAAATGAAGCAGTTAGTATGACTAACAACAAATAGTTAAGATAACTGTTTTAGTAGTTAAATTTGCTGTAAAAATGGTATTTATTACTACATTTTACAGTTAGACTAACTATTCTGTCTTTACTAAATAATGTTACGGGCGCCTATAGGAACTACAGGAAATAGTAAAAAAGTAGTCAAATTTACCATATTTTTTTTGTGTGTACCAGAAAAAAATTGGGACAAGAAGTTTTGGGTTGAACTTAGTGCCTATAGATTTAATTTTTATGTGGGATTAAAAGTTTATGACCTAAAAATTTTTTAATTTAAATGAAAATTTAAAATAACAAAATTTAGAATCTGTAATGTTTCATGATTACAAATACATATTATGTAAAATTTATTGTAGAATAATTTTTGTTGAAAAAGTTATAAACTATCTTGAAAAGCGTGACTGTTACGTAAAAATGGATATCATTTTTGAAGTTAGATTACCAAACTTATATTGAATACGTGATAAGAACTAAAATGTATTGAGTTTAGGAAAAATAAGTATAATGTTGAAATAAATATAAAATATTATTTTAAAAAATTTTAAACACGTAATAGTTGTCCTTGAATTTTGTGAAGGTTGATCATAAATCAGGGAAAAAAGGTCGGCGGTCCTCAAAAAAAACCTGACTACTTTTGATGCTTTTCTGACAATACCAGACTTACAGTGACGTTATTCTAAGACTGCAATCGTAACAAAGCGGCCTAAAAACCGCTGCCAAGTTGTAGATTTTTATAATTTTGGTGTTCATTTCATGAACACTTTGCTTACCCATAGAAATAATAATAATTGAAATAAAAGAATTACTTTTTATAAAAAGGTTAAAAATCATTAAATCTTGGTTCAAAAAATGTGTTTTTCTATTTTCTATAAGATGGTTTTAATAGTTTAATAATTACCCACCCACAAGTCAATAACCAAAAATGTTGAAAACATGATATTTTCCACAATTTTTGATTTTTCAAATACCAATAATTTGATAATTTCTGACCGAATCAGGTTCAAAAGTAGGTCAATCGAAGCGATTTTTAATTCTCTACAAGGGGACGCATGATTATTCCCCAAATGTCATTTTTCCGAAATGTCATTTTACCGAACTGCACTTTTGCGAATAGTCATTTTTGCGAAAAGCCAATTTTGCGAATTACCGATTTTCCGAAAAGACATTATTGCGAATAGTAATTTTTGCGAAAAGTCATTTTTACGAATTTTCATTTTTGCGAATTGTCATTTTTGCGAATCGACGCATTTTTACGAATCGCCATTTTTACGAATTGTCACTTTTGCGAATCGACATTTTTACGAAATGTCATTTTTGCAAATAGCCATTTTTGCGAAAAATAATTTTTACGAATTGTCGTTTTTGCGAATTGTCATTTTTGAGAAATGTCATTTATGCGAATTGTCACTTTTGCGAATCGCCATTTTTATGAATTGTCACTTTTCCGAAAAGTCATTTTTGCGAATTGTCATTTTTGCGAAAAATACAATAGTGAATCTATATATACCTACAAGTTTATACTATTGTATTTTTCGCAAAAATGACTTTTCGGAAAAGTGACAATTCATAAAAATGGCGATTCGCAAAAGTGACAATTCGCAAAAATGGCTTTTCGCAAAAATGACTATTCGCAAAAGTGCAGTTCGGTTAAATGACCTTTCGGAAAAATGACATTTGGGGAATAATCATGCGTCCCCTCTACAAGTGCCTACTTGTACATAAAGTACTAAAATATTAGGTATAATGAAAAAAAGTTTATAAATATGTCAAAAAATCACACTCGAAAATTTTACTAATACAATCCTTCCTCTATGAGGAAGCAATTATATATTTCTTTTCTGGTATAAGCCTAAGTATAAATAGTAGTTTCCAGCCAGCACAGCACCGAAAATTTCCTGAAATTTTAAATTAACTTAACTGCAACTTAATTGCAACTAAAGATTCCGAAGTTTGCAGTCAAGTTAATTTCAACCTTTTGAAAAATTTTGATGCTGCGTGGGAAGGTCCACCAGGAGAAGACCATGAATCCGCCATTTTGATTTCTTAAAATCTGACCTCAGGGTGGAGTCCCATGGCAGCGTATTGCGTTGCGTTTTGTAACTATACTCTGTCCAACGAGAGAATACCCTCGGTCGCGCAGTTTTTTTTGCTTTTGGGGCGTTGAAAAAATTGAAAATGGCATCTCACTATTTTTTTTCGCTAGAAAATAGCCAATGACAATCTTCTCAATCTCAGACTTTCCCGTTCGAACTCGGGCCCACACGACCCAAAGGGTAATTTATGACCTTCATACCTGAATGGGACTTTCAAATGGTAATGATTTTATATAAAGTACAAAATTTATCAATTTTGATCTTACAAAATTTTCAATGTTATTTTTAAAATCCTCATTTTTTTCTGATTCCAACAGTATGTTGTTTGTCTCTGATATTTTAAAATTAAATTAATTGATTTTACTGATTTATTTTATTTTAACAAAATTATTAATGTAGGTTACATTATTTTTTTTTTACTAAAAATTAGTTATTTTTTTACTGAAAATCAGTTATTTTTAATTGATTCAGAAGCAAAAAGTCAGTCACTGATTGTCAGTTAAAACCACGATTTTTAACTGATTCAAATTAAGAGAGACTACTTTCAAGGTTAACATGTAATGGAAGGCGGAAATTTGCAAAAAACTGATTTAGGTACTTTATTACCCCAAAATGAAGGATTTAAGGAAAAAATTGCGATCCTGAGATAAAATGTCAAAAAATGCTAACTTTACTTTAAAAAGAAGTGCATGACTTTACTTTCATTTATATCAAAATAATTACATATCATTAAAATCGTGAGAATTTGCAGATTCCGAATATATTATTCAAAACAAAATATCTATAATATTAACAAATTTCTAATTTTTTATTACACTGTAACGTGCTGTTTATTAGAACCTCCATAAACTTAGACCTGTGAACGCTCGACCTGAAAGGGGACCGAAGGAGACAATTTAAACCATATGTTCTAGCCAAAGTTTTTTTTCAAAAAAGGCGGCCCTATTTTGAAAGCCACGCCAACTCTATCACTTTTATGATATCTGCGCGAAATTGACGAAAACTCGTCATTTTACGAGGGTATTCTCTCGTTGGACAGAGTATAGGCAATGACAATGAGTGTGAGAGAGATGGATATATATGTTTGCTATATTTGCACTCATAACCTAGTTACAAAACGCAACGTAAAACGCTGCCATGGGACTACACCCTCAGATTTGTAATCAGCGACCCCATAAACCCCTAGATATCAAGTTTCATAAAAATAAAACAATTTTTTAAAAATTCGTCCGCCATGTTGGATCCACCATTTTTAATTTTTTTAATCTGACCTCAGATTCGTAATCAGCTACCCTAAAAACCACTATATACAAAGTTGAAGAAAAATCCAACAGTGTGAAAAATTTGTGCATTTGGAAACGACATTATGGGGTGAAATGGACAACGGATTCAATTTCAGCGACCTTAAAAACGTATAGTGCACATAGTGTGATCTCTAGGCCATAAAAAATTTTTTTTGTGTGGCTGTGTTATTTTTGGGCTCTTCAAAAACACCCAACCCATTTATTGGGCACCAGCCTTTGGTCACGAAAACTACCCTTTCCATTTGTACCGAAAATTGAAAATTCTTAAAATTAAATATTTTTCTTTTATTTTAAGGCAATTTCAATCTTTAGGCTCTTCAAAAACACCCTACCCATTTATTAGGCTCCACCTTTTGGTAAAAAAAACTGCATTTTGGTACATTTGTACCAAAAATAGAATAAATTCTTAAAATTCTACATTATTCTTTTATTTTAAGCCTATAATTAGTTCTGGGCCTCACAACAAATATATGATGCTTTTTTCAATACAGTTAATAAATTTTTATAAATACTTTTGGGACCCAAATTTCTCTGAAAAGTAGAAGGGAACAGAATAATTATATGCCAAAAAAAATCGGAGTTATGAATGTTTTATCGCGTTTCTGGGACACATTTGTCCAAGTGTATTTCGAAGGGCTAGAAATGTAAAAAAAGATATATAATTATATTATAATGTAGGATAAACTTACCTTTGAATTCGGACTGGACAATTGTATAATTCAATATTTTTCTTCTGCTTACTATGATAATGACTGAACTATTTCTGTTTAAGTTGTGCTACAACTTTAATCTTTTGTCATATATATATTTCTTTCATTTCACTTATATATCGTGAAAAAACCGTTTTTCGTGAAAACGACTTACTAATAAAAGCAAAGTTTTCAATATTTAGAATGTAGCTATCACGTTTCAACATTATATAGATATATAACATAAAAAAATATATATTTCAAAATAAAATTTTTTGTGATTAAAGTTTGTTTAAGATGAAAGATGTAAATAATAATCTCAATTTTATTCTTAAACTTTTCACTTTCGTTAAATATAACTTATTATTACACTAATTCATTTCACTTACTAACGAGACAAGCCCTTTCGTACATAGTAATCTTAAATTCTAATAGTTACATTTCTCAAATAAGTATATGAAAATGTTACAAAAAAATAAAAAAGGATTATTTTAAATAAAAATGAAACTTTATTCCTGAAATTATGTTACATTGTTATATAAGAAAAAATGATTATTTCCTTGTGCATAAAAATCTCTTAATAAAATTTTGATAAACATAATGTGAAAATAATAATCATTGCGGTTTTGTTACATAATCAACTTAGGTTTACAAATGAAATTTAGATGAACTACATGTGAATGATCTATTGCATTAGCAATAAAATATCATAAGTAAGCCTTGAGTTGCTCTTTAACGTACAATAGTCAAAAATATTTTTTACTTATAGACTTTTTTTTGTTTACACGTGGTCGTTCAGAAAAGCAGCCCCTCTACTTTCCTCTGCTACTACACTGATTATGCACTTACAATTCGCATGCTTCGTTGAACACGGACATCAATGTTTAGTAATTAGTACATACCTGAATTTCAATGGATCCATCGATCAGAGATGGTTATCCTGTAAAATTTGTTTATTGCAGCTATGGTCCCTTTCACCGTGGAACGTCACTATTCTGCTACTTAAATTTAATCAATAAATTACATTTTAATAATTTATTTTTATATCATTATCTATTACTTAAATTTAATAAATTACATTTTAAGAATATTATTTTTATTTCGTTATCTATTACTTAAATTTAATAAATTAAATTTTAATAATTTATTTTTGTAACGTTATCTCGTATGTAAGAAAGTTCCTGGGAATTAGACCGAGAAGTTACCGGAAGTCCCTCGGGAATCTCCGAGGACTGAAAAAACTTTTTTTAGGATACGGAAAACTATATCACTATTTTGTCCATTAGAAACTATAAATCAAAAACCGCTGCCAAGTTGCTGTTATACATATTTTTGGTGCTCATTTCATGAACACTTTGCTACCTCATAAAGATAATAATAATAATAGAAATTATATGAATAACTTTTTATAAATATGGTAAAAGTGATTGAAATTTGGATAAATCAATGTATTTTTTAATACCCTACAAGATAGTTATAATATAGTTTAATAGTTAAAGAAAAGTTTTCAAACAAAAAAGTTGAGAAAATGTTATTTTCCTCAATTTTTGGTTTTTAATATACCAATAATTTCGAAATTTATGATCGAATTTGGTTCAAAAATAGGTCAATCGAAGCGTTTTTTAATGCTCCACAAGTTGGTAATGATATTTTCAAAGTTGCTTTTAGATTTTTCAACAAAAAAAATTCTACAAAATTATGGAAAAATATTTATAGGTGTCCTAACATTTTTGTAAAGTTACGGACAAAAAACGTTTTTTTGCAAAATTAAAAATAAAAAAAAATAGTTAAACTATATTAATCTATTCCAAAGTATCTCTCATTTTATGTCCGCACGTGAGACCTACAATTTAAACAAAATCCATCCCTAAAGCTCTTCATGATCTCGAGATATTTATGAAAATGTGATGTTTACACATAAGTATGTATATATGTACATACATCATACACTCTGGTGGTTTCTATGAAATAATGTCAAAGAAGGGAGAAGGTTCCCTATGCGAAATATCAAAGAAGCTCGGGAGTCATGATACGAAAACCAGATTAAGGATGAGGCAAACTCAATTAAAGGTCCTGATAAAGTTGAGTCCAAAATAGGAACCGTAAACTTTGGGTGCGCACCGACATACATAATATATATATAGCTAGTAAAGCTATAGCGATGTACATCGTTGTGCACCCTTTCTTATTCAGGAGTTAGCTTAAGAGAAAAGCCCATTTCTTAATGCAAGGACATTCCTGAAGATTAGAACGTTTTTGGTAAAAACGTCTAAAATTGTACCCAACTTGGCAACAATGTCGAAGGTATGATATCTTTAAATTCTGAGATATCGTCAAAAGTGACTTTAAAGTCGCGAATTGTGATTCAAAAGATAGGATCTCTTAAAGCAGAACAGAAGATTATAAAAACAAACAATAAACAAACAATATTTAGGCAAAATACCCATGTATTTTGGCTAAATATTTAAAGTAAGAAATTGTAAACTAGTTTTTTGAAAGAGTATTTAAAAACGAACAACAGGTATATTTGATAACATATGAGTAGTCTGTTATACCATAAAATGTGACCTTAAGTATAACGACATTCCCACGTGCATTACATGACAGATATCAGCACATACCTCTTTTTCATTTAAACTTTTTCTCAATTTATGTGCACTAATAAATTTGTTTAAAAATTCATTATATACTATGGAATACTAGGATTAAATTTTAAGTTTGCAAAATAATATTTGTATTAATTATTTTTACTTACACAAGATATAAGAATTCTTTCTTAATCCTAACCACGTTTTCTTCTGAATTTATGCTTTAAAAAAAATTTTCAAAAATGCAAAAAACAATTTAAGTACTTTACCCTACCTTAAGTATGTCTTATAGGTGTCTTTTGTGGGGTCTTTTATAGGAGAAAAATTTCGAAAATGGTGTTATACTTAAAAGAATATTAAACATTTTCTGAATAATTACAAAAATTATATAGGATATAATTAATTTTTGTTGACACAAAATTTATGTGCGTATTATTCTATTTTACGTTCATCGTAAAAACAAATTGTTTCTCGAAATAAATTATTAATTTTAATAAAGCAACATTACATTTTGCATAAATAAATAGTTCAGGTATATGCAAATAATGAGTTTCAACTATATAGTAACAAATATTAATAAAAGTATAAATTCATTTTTATCTCTCGAATATTTTTTTTATATTTTAACCACTTATCCAGCCTGCGAAAATTTATTTGATAATTTTATTAATAATTTTTTTTTTTTCTCACAAACTTTCTGCAATTGAAAACTGGCTAAATGATTCATCTTCTGATAACCGTTCCACATTTCAAATTCCGCATTCCGGATTCCACATTTGAAATTCTACATTCCGGATACCACATTCCAGATTCCGAATTCCACATTCCTGATTCAATATTCCACATTTAATTCTGAAATTCACATTTTATGTCCACATTCCGCATTTCGAAATCCATATTCCGGATTACTTGTTTCAAATTCCACATTTCTCATTTAAAATTTCACTTTACAGATTCCTCATTTCAAGTCCATAATTCGGATTCCACATTTCAAATTCACATTCAATCCGAAATTTAGAATGCGTGGAATCAAAAATAAGGAATATGCAAAAACTAGAAAGTGAAATTTGGAACGTGGAATAAAGAATTTGAAATGTGAAATTTAAAATGAGGAATCCGGAATGTGGAATATGAAAAGTGGAATTTGAAATAAGAAATCCGGAATGTCATTTTTACGAATTGTCATTTTTACGAATCGTTATTGTTCCGAAACGTCATTTTTTCGAATTGTCATTTTTACGAAATATCATTTTTGCGAATTGCCATTTTTACGAATTGTCACTTTTGCGAAAAGTCATTTTTGCGAATTGTCATTTATGCGAACTGACATTTTTTCGAATTGTCATTTTTACGAAATGTCATTTTTGTGAATCGACATTTTTACGAATTGTCACTTTTGCGAAAAGTCATTTTTGCGAAATATCATTTTTACGAATTGTCATTTATGCGAACCGTCATTTTTGCAAAAATTGCTATAGTAAATCTATATATATGCATATATACAAGTTTACTATTCAAGTTTACTGACAATTCGCAACAGTGACATTTCGTAAAAATGAAAATTCGAAAAAATGTCAGTTCGCATAAATGACAATTCGAAAAAATGACAATTCGTAAAAATGTCAATTCGCAAAAATGACAATTCGTAAAAATGACTATTCGCAAAAATGACAATTCGTAAAAATGTCGATTCGTAAAAATGGCGATTCGAAAAAATGTCAGTTCGCATAAATGACAATTCGAAAAAATGACAATTCGGAAAAATGGCAATTCGCAAAAATGACAATTCGTAAAAATGACAATTCGAAAAAGTGGCAATTCGTAAAAATGTCGATTCATAAAAGTGACATTTAGTTGAAATAACAGTTTGGATAAAAGAATTCTTGAAAAGAGCCTTTTTTCGCGTTACAACTGGTTAAGGAAAGCGTGAAAAAAAAACTTGGAACGCATATCTGAGGGAATGCAGCGCTTGCGCCACTATTCAATTACGAATGATATAACCGATGCAGATTTTGAGGGAAAAGGTGGCGCGTGATTTTGGGGTTGAATCCACGATGCTTTCAAGCACTGTTGAAAGAGCTATCAGTCTACAACCGTCCGCCTCATAGTTCTATCACTTTTCGAGCACATGTCTGTTTTGATTTTCATTGTATTCATCCACGGATTCTTGGTTTTTCTAATTAGAAATGGTGAGATCATTGTATTATTTTTAAAATTTTCTCTATTCAAAATACGAGTGTTGATAATTAAAAAAATATTCCTATTATTTATTCTGTAATATTATTAAATAATTTTTGCTCTCTGCATAAATATTGTATTTTTCTAAATTTAAAATTTACAGTCCATAAATTAGAAATCAGAAAATTTTGATTGAGACAAATTTAATTTTTTAGGAAGTATTTTGTGAAATAAGAAATTAGTTTTTAAATACGTTCAATTTTTATTTAAATTATAAATACAATGTTAAATTTTCAACTTTAACTTTTTAACAAGAAAAGTTATTTTTACTATTATACTTAAATATAGTGTTTTTATAAATTTTCTGCTATTTGTAGCAGGTATTAATGAAATAAAGAGATTCTAATTGTATATTAGATGAAATAATTTGAACGCATTGTCTAATAGTAATTTATTAATATAAGGAATGAACTTTGAGAACTTTTAGTGATATATCTATAATTGCGCCACCAGAATCGAAAAGTGTAATGCAAACTTCAAGTACAATACCAGAAACTTTGAAAGTTTGTTGAATAAGCGAGTAGAGTAAGTGCTACGGAGAAGACTGAAGCGGTTCTTTTGAAGTGGAAACTCTTTCAAATATTCAAATTGAAGATATAGTGTAAAGTAAAAAGGCTTTACGATTATTCATTTTTTGTTCTATATGATCCCTCGATCTTTCAAAGTGATCTTATTTCTTTTCTTTTACTATGTTCTTATTGACTATTCAAAATTTATTCCTTTAAAAATGTACACTCATATTTTTCTAGATGTCCTTTTGGTACTTACTTTTGGGACGTTGATTACAAATCTGTCACCAGTTTTTTAAAATTCAAAATGCCTGGTCCTACATGGCCAATGATTTTTATAAAACTGGTTGAGTTTTTATGAAACTTGTCATCAAAGGATTTCTGAGGTCGCTGATTTTAAATTTGAGGGTTAACTTTTAAAAATTTTAAATATGAATATTTTTTTACATAATTATAGTTTTATTAAAGTATCATAGTAAATTTTGTTGGGTACTTGTTTCGAACATGAATTTTGAAATTTCAGTTTGTTATGGGAAATTATAAACTAAGCCATGACAGCGTTGTTTGCTCAAGAGTTAATCATTTACCGAACACTATCTTTGAAGCAACGCACAGAGTAACGAGTATCGTTTAAAGCCGCTTAGTCTATAAAGCCAACTTGTATGTTTGACAGAACATCAATGTAGTATACGCATCAAAAGTAGACATGGTCGCAGTAATTTATGTTTGTGAAGTAAATTCCCCCACAAAAAGTCTGCCTTTGCGGACAAAATTGTAACAAAAAAATAAAGAATTATGGTACAATGTAGGGGTAGCTATACAATTAATTGTTTATTTTTAGATAATAAAGTTACTACACTTTGGACCTTTGCTTTAAATAATTTAGGGTCGATTAAATAAATATTTATTCATATTGAAACTCTCATTAATTTAAATTTAAATCCACCGGACCTGTTGTGAATTGGTCTAATATTTCGAAGCCACATCATATCTTCACTATATACTTATTGTAGAAGAAGAAGAAGAAGAAGAAGAAGACTTTCTCAATTGTGGATCTAAAAATTAAAGTAGATTTACATGTATAATTCGAAAATACATTGTACGTTTGAGCTTTTGAAGTTGTAGAAGATTGAATAATGAATTGGATTTCCGATCTTCGTTATTTCGGAATCCGGATAGAATTTTCTAGGAGCACTTTCGAAGGAATCTTTTCACTTGGGTAAATAAAAACTTCAAAGGAGAAATTACTAATAAAGAACAGAAGAAGGATAGTGTCAGATGAGGAAATTAAGATTAGTGGACCTGTGACATTTTCGACAAATGCTCTTCTAATTAAATTGCAAATGCTGCAGGTTGCTTTTTCATCTGTAATAAATCGATAGTCGTTGAAACTATTCAAAGAGTAAGTCTGCGGTTTTCTAGCTATGTACTTTCCCACTCGCAGTATATGCGTCGCCAGGAAAACTATCTCTAATTAGAAAACTAACTAACCTTTGAAACTCGAGTATGAAGCTGTAGGATGTTAAATGTTAGGACGAAGATAAGTTGCTGAGTATATCCAATACTTAGTATATTCTGTATTTGTGAAAATTTGTCGGAATCCAACTAATGGATTCCGACTATCCATAGTCTAGTGTAAAGCGCATACCAATTCTTTGTTTCATTTTGTTTTTATTTTATTGTTTTATTATAAATTGACTAGAAAAGATTTAAATAATTTTACCTTATTTAAAATTTACGTTTTGTTAATTTAATAATAATTTTATTTTATCACAAAAAAGGAACTGTAAAATGATGTGATCTATGTTATGTGTAAGGACATCAAAAATTCTGTAGGAAAGTGATTGATAACAATTTGTATTACAGTGAAAAGAGAGAATGAATTGATGAGCGTAATTAATGATAATGAGGTGGGAAATATTGGAGAGTTAAAAATTCTAGAAATGAAGAATTGAATTGAAATGAAAATAATTTTGAAGAAATTACAGTAACAATATTTTTATAATATAAAATAATTATAGTATCAAGTTTTATAATAATATTCTTATATGTTATTGAATTCAAAATTTTTGAAAATCTTAATTTCTGTAAAAAAAATAATAATGATTAAATATTCATTAAAAAACGAAGTTATGAGTTAGGAAAAAGTAATTATTAGAAAATACGTTTATTAAGAATTTACCATTAGAAAAATTGAATTAGGAAAAATGTTGTGCAATAGACATATAAATACATAAATAAAATATTATAATTTTTTAAAATTAAAGTATAAAACAAAAATGCAGTGTTTATAAACAAATAATAATTGTCGAAGGAAATGACTTTTTTTTGATAACTTTACAGATTTCTATAACTTTATCGACATTTTTATAAGCAAAAATATATCTATGTATATATGAAATGTACATCGTTTGAAAAAAGGAAAAAGAGAAGTCCAACGAGGGAGATGATTCGATAAACGCCATTTAGTGTCTTTCGGCTCGTAATTTTCTACCTATCTAACTATATTGAAATAGAATTGAAAAAAATTCCGACTACATGAATGGAAAAACATTGAACAAAAAGAACCGGGACAAATAGTCGAAATACGAGTTGATAAATCTGGTGTAACACTAAAAGAAAAACTTTAGTAAATGGAACCCAGTAAAAATGTTTTTCGTTTTTTCATCAATTACTAAATTCACCTAAAAGTCAATTGGCCTTGTTGAAACAAAGAGATTGATAATAAAAATGATTTATTTTAATTTAAAAAGGAATGTTTTAATAGAAAAAAAGTCACTTAAAAAATTGTATGCAATTTGAAAAAATTCCTTTCAGAAATTTTAAAATAATTGACTCAAAGTAATTAATTATTAATAAAAATAACAGATGCGCTGTGAAAACATAATAAGGGTTTTTTAATTTTATTTTTACTTGGAAAATTGTATTATTATTTTTAACATTTATCAAATAGTATTTTTATTAAATGTAAAAGTATGGCTTCTTAAAATTACATATTTGCGGACAATTTTTATTTGCGAGAAAATTTATCAGGATTAATATTTTTTTTGTTTCAGGCTTATGTGACGAACATGAATACAGATTAACTAGATATTTAATGGACAGTTACGATGCTGGTGTACGTCCAGCGAAAAATTCTTCTCTACCGCTAGTAGTCGTCTTTGGAGTGTCCCTTCATCACATCATTGACGTCGTAAGTTAATAAAAAAAAACATTAATTTTTTAATGAAAATATTAATTAACGCTCCTTCAGATAAAATTATCAAATGAACTATAAGAAATTTTTCAAAGTATATATTCACCTTACATATTTTACAAATAAAATTTTGAAGAGTTTAAAAAATCTTTATTTAAAGATAATAATTTATAAGAAGATGTTTTCAAAGGGAATATTTAAAGAAAATATAAAAAGCAGTAACTAGAAATCGATAAGTCCAACGAGTTGTTTCCCGCCTGTAGAAACTCGATTAGATCAATTTATTCTGAACCTCTTTTGATTTAACCAGCGCACTGGATGTTTTAAGGAATAAAATGAAAAGCTTCTGTAATAAAAGTGAAAAATATGAAGATTTATATAGCTAAACCGTTTTTAATAAAAAGTTGGATGTTATATTATTGCATATAGTATAATAAAAATTTGTTTCTCTTTTAAAATAGTAGAAATAATTATTTTTTATTCTAAGCTTTTTTTCGAGGCGCATGATTATTCCTCAATTATGGCATTTGACCGAACTGTCATTTTAGCGAATTGCATTTATTCGAACTGTTATTTTCACGAAATGTTACTTTTGAAAATCGACATTTTTACGAATTGTCACTTTTGCAAAAAGTTATTTTTTCGAATTGTCATTTATGCGAACTGACATTTTTTCAAATTGTCGTTTCTTCGAATTGTCATTTTTGCGAAAATTCATTTTGTCGAATTGTCATTTTTACGAATTGTCATTTATGCGAACTGTCATTTTTTCGAAAAAGGCTCTAGTAAATCTATATATGCATTCAAGTTTACTATAGCAATTTTCGCAAAAATGATAGTTCGCAACAGTGACATTTAGTAAAAATGACAATTCGAAAAAATGTCAGTTCGCATAACTGACAATTCGTAAAAATAACAGTTCAGATAAATGCAATTAACGATATGTGATGTCTCAAGTATATGTAAATAAATTTAATTTTTTAAAATTAACTTTTTTAATACAGTTATTTAAGTTAAAAAAGCGTGTTCTTTTAAAACACTTTATAAAATAATTATGGTAATATGTTTAAAAAACGAAAATACATATAATTTTTTTTCCTTTAAGTACAATATTATAATAAAGTCTATTTATTAATAATAACAACTAAATTATAAATAACGAATAATAATAGTTATTAAATAATTAATTATTATACATTTATTTAAAAATAAAAATTATGAATTTAAAAAATAATAATTAATAAACAATTATTAACAAATTATACTTAATGAATTTTAATAATTATTAATTTATAGGATGAATTTATTATTTGGTTTGTATATATATATTATATTATTTTAATAATAATAATTATTTTATATTATATTAGCTTAAAGTGAGAAAATGATTCGGAGAGATTGTTAAATTTAACACCTTCAATATTTAATAACAATTTTTTAAACATAATTAATAAATTTGAATAAAATATTTATTAAATAAATATTAATTATTACTTATACATTTGAAAACAAAAATTATAACGTTTATTACTATTATAAAATTAAGGAGGCAGAAAGGAGCGACAACCTCTAAAAGAAAAATATATTAATTATAAAACCAAAAATTATATTTTTCAAAAATTTTTAAGTTTTTCTATTCTTGAAATTATATTATTTTTATCATTTTCACTTTGAAATTAGTCAAAATGACTATAATACCTCATTATGTTATGTATAAATATGTTGTATATATATAATGAATATGTTCATTATGTTTCTAATATAATAATATTTTTAATTACAGTAATTTTATTGTAATTTCTTTTGAATAAAATTAACCTCACAAAATAGGACAATTTTAAGAAAAACTGACGAGGCCCTGACCAGTTTTTCCCTAAGTAGGGCATTGGTCGGGAACAGCGTCACACACTATAGTCGGGCACTGGTCAGTTTCTCTACCCAGAGCCACACCAGAGATCGGGAAAACTGTCCAGTACCCTATCAGGCCCACATTTTAATTTCTGCACGGGTTAGAAGGAAGTAAGGACTCAGATTCCAATTTTACAAAATATTATTTTATGAATATAAAATACGTCGCGATGACGTGACAGATATAAGGAAAATCAAAAATCTGCGAAACACTTTTACTAAAATTCATTTTTCTCCTAAAATAAAATAGACATAAATACTATTTATAAAATAATTATTTTCTTAATAGCAAAAATACTTTGTGATTTGTATAGGATGAAAAAAATCAGATTCTTACAACAAATTGTTGGGTGACTCAAACCTGGACGGATCATCATCTAAAATGGAACGTGTCTGACTTTGGAGGAATTCGTGTACTACGGATGCCATACACTCGAGTTTGGAGACCAGACATTATTTTATACAATAAGTAAGTAAAGTTAAAGCAATTTTACCTTAAATGTATAATCAAATTTCACATATAATTATTAGGATAAAAAATTTAGATTTTTAAATAATTTTTTATAAAAGAAAAGTTGATGATAGTTTTTATGTAATGCAAGAAAGAAAGTTTCAGTTGTTCTTAATAATGCTTTTAATTTTATGTTATGTTGTAATTTTTTATGTTGTTTTATTATTATATATTTATTTTGTTTGATATGTTAATTTTTGTTTTACTCTAATTTATCTTTTTGTGGTAAAAGTAAACAGTTGATTTTCTTCAGATTAATTTTAAGATTTAAAATTAAGTTGTACGTAGACAATGCCGCACTCTAAGTTTCAGGCTCATTAATATTTTCTTGAATAAAATTTACCACGTATTATTAATAAAAAAAAAACTTTAATTTTATTATTTCGATATTTAACAAATTTAATTTTTCGTTTTCAGTGCAGATCCACAATACAATGCAGCAGTAATAAATACAAATGTGATTGTCAGTCATACTGGTGAGGTGGTCTGGTTAAGTCACGGTATTTTTCGTAGTAGCTGTGATATAGATGTAGAATATTTTCCATTTGACGTACAAAAATGTGCGCTGAAATGGGCATCGTGGACTTACGATGGCTATCAGGTAAGTCTAAATTGAAAAACTGATTCATATTCCTCTATATAGCTGAGATTTCAACGTTTTCTCTCATAACTCATCATACACACAGAGAAGTTTAGTGTAGACCATACGCTGCTAAAGCTAAACGTCATTCTAAACTACTATCCTTTTTATTTTAAAAGCTGCCTTGGGTTCCCTTTGACAGATGCTTCATCGTATTAACACAGAACTTTGCTCATTTACATAAAAAAAAAAATTCGGATGTTATTTTGATTTAAATAGTTTGGATAATAATTTAAAAAGTACATTTTACTAATTGCAAGATTATTAAGTATATGATTTCAATCTGATGCAAAATATCGAAATCGCGAATTGTCAAGTCTTGATATAGAGAACGTTGATCGAGAGCTTAATTCTGAATGCGGCAAAAATTCAATGTCCTATCAAAGCTAGGATGTGCATACCGCTTTTCCATTTGCTACCCTTTTCATCGTGAAATCTATTCTCTGATCCACTTTCCCCTTCCTCGAACCTTGTGTCAATGCACTAAAACCTCCAACAAATCCAAGTGCAAATCTTATTCTCAAAATTGAAACACTTCTATTTTTTACTACTAAACTAAAATTTTTTGTTTATTACCATTTTTAATATTTGAATAATATAAGATTAGTTAGTTCGTTAGTTAATAAGTTTGTTAGTTTGTAAGTTAGTTATACTCACTAGGAGTCGTCCATAAACCACTTAGCCCCATTTATTTTAATACAACAATGATAATTAAATTTACTGGCTCATTATAACCAACATGTGGTTACTGATGATGTAGATGTTTCAAAATCGAATTAGTAGCAATACGACGATTTTACAATTGTAACTGCATTATCCACTCGAAAGATTGATAATAGCTGAAATCAAGGTACAACTTTTTGTTGCACAAAAATTATAAAAGAAAATTTTCAGCAGGGTTGATTGTTTCTGTCGATTATGGCACAATGACTACATTGAAAGGCATCAATTTCATTTTAAATCAATTAATAACAAATACCCTTGGACCGTGGAATTGGATTGAATGAAATAATCCTTCAAACGATGAAAGGCATCGCAATCAGTCAAATTGATGATTAAATTCCACAAGAACTAAAGCTGCTGATGAAAGAAGTCAATGTAAAAAAGACATATTTAATAATACAATTTTTAATTGAATACAAAATCTATTATTCATAATTAATTCAAAATTGACCGAGTGATAAAATCATTATTTTATATCGTAAAAAGATTTTCATTATAACATTTTTTTAAATAATTGTCCCTCATAAATTTTTTAACGGATTTTGGTTCCCTATAGTTTTAATTGTATATTGTCTAAACGAAAGTATATTTCATCTCCTTTGTATTCCCTCTTGGTTCATTCATTTAGAAGAATATTTATGAATTATATTTATTGAAATGTTAATACTATAAAGAAGTTTCAAAATAACTGTTATATTGTAAAATTATATTGCATTTCATATTAGGGATTAACATGTCGCATTTATTGGCAATCGTGAAAACCATAACTGAATGGCTGATTGCATCAATTGTCTATATAGAACATGGTAATTAATGCAACACTAGTTTACACCTAACTACGAGCAAATAAATTGATTATATACTAACATGCAAACGTATACATACTCTTAAATACACATGCATGTGTACTGTAAACATATATTTCTTCAGGTTGAATTAGAGCGCCAAAGCGAGAGAGGAGACATGAGCAATTATCAAGCCAATGGAGAGTTTGATCTCGTTGATTTCTCTGCCAGACGAAACGTCGAGTACTACTCCTGCTGTTCCGAGCCATATCCGGATATCACCTATGAAATCAAATTACGTCGTCGACCATTATTTTACGTCTTCAACCTTATTCTTCCCTGCATTCTTATTAATGGCATTGGTATGAATTCATTAATATTCTATTATTCTAATATCTATCACTTATTATATTATTAAATTAAATTATTATTTAAGAAAATTGTCTTATAAGCGAGGTGCTTTTCATTCAAGAAATAAAGGATTTCCTTACTTTAGAATCAAAGAAATTTTTCGAAGTTTATGGAATTTATTCAGAAAGCCGACTGCCATACTTAGGAATATTTAGGAATTTATTTGTTTAACAATACATACGAGCTTACAAACAGAAAAACGCACTTATATTAAATCTAATTTCATTCTAAACTAGTTTTTTATTCATTTGACCATTAGTTTTCTTGTATGCAAGATATCAAATTCCGGTTGGAACCAAAATGAAGCTTGACTCTTTCCCTAACTTTTATCTAATTAGGGTCCGTCCGTAAATTCTGATGTGATGGGCTATTTTCGATTCTGATTCAGGGTCCAAAAATCTGTAAGAATCACCTCCTTTTTTATAACCAGATATGAACAAAATTTGGCTCGGTGAAACTAGCGACCCGCCGGCCGCCAGCCATCAGAAGAATCCATAGGCGCCGACACACATAGTTGCGCGGTGGCCCTATACCGTTCAATCAACGCAAAAACAACGTACGCTAGCTATTACAGTTTATAGAAAAAAATTGCAATAGTCACATTTTTAAGAGCAATAATCCCCCTTTAATTTGTGACCAAGAAATAAAAAGGAAATTAAAGAGGGATTAATGCTCCCTAAAATGTGACAATTAAAATTTTTTTAAATAATTTTTTAATAGCCAGCGTCCCCACCCGCCCGTATCAGAAAAACGAAAATTGGAAAAAAAATCGGAAAAAAATTCATAACTCGAATAATTTTTGACCAATTCTTTGTTTCTTGGTCGCAAATTGAAGGGGGATTAATGCTTTTTAAAATGTGACAATTAAAAATTTTTTAAATAATTTTTTAATAGCCAGCGTCCCCACCCGCCCGTATCAGAAAAACGAAAATTGGAATAAAAATCGGAAAAAAATTCATAACTCGAATAATTTTTGACCAATTCTTTGTTTCTTGGTCGCAAATTGAAGGGGGCTTATTGCTTCTTGTCATTGGACCAATAGGAATTTTTTAAATAATTTTTTGATAGCCAGCGTCCCCACCCGCCCGTATCAGAAAAACGAAAATTGGAAAAAAAATCGGAAAAAAATTCATAACTCGAATAATTTTTGACCAATTCTTTGTTTCTTGGTCGCAAATTGAAGGGGGATTAATGCTTTTTAAAATGTGACAATTAAAAATTTTTTAAATAATTTTTTAATAGCCAGCGTCCCCACCCGCCCGTATCAGAAAAACGAAAATTGGAAAAAAAATCGGAAAAAAATTCATAACTCGAATAATTTTTGACCAATTCTTTGTTTCTTGGTCGCAAATTGAAGGGGGCTTATTGCTTCTTGTTATTGGACCAATAGGAATTTTTTAAATAATTTTTTGATAGCCAGCGTCCCCACCCGCCCGTATCAGAAAAACGAAAATTGGAAAAAAAATCGGAAAAAAATTCATAACTCGAATAATTTTTGACCAATTCTTTGTTTCTTGGTCGCAAATTGAAGAGGGATTAATGCTTTTTAAAATGTGACAATTAAAAATTTTTTAAATAATTTTTTAATAGCCAGCGTCCCCACCCGCCCGTATCAGAAAAACGAAAATTGGAAAAAAAATCGGAAAAAAATTCATAACTCGAATAATTTTTGACCAATTCTTTGCTTCTTGGTCGCAAATTGAAGGGGGCTTATTGCTTCTTGTCATTGGACCAATAGGAATTTTTTAAATAATTTTTTGATAGCCAGCGTCCCCACCCGCCCGTATCAGAAAAACGAAAATTGGAAAAAAAATCGGAAAAAAATTCATAACTCGAATAATTTTTGACCAATTCTTTGTTTCTTGGTCGCAAATTGAAGGGGGCTTATTGCTTCTTGTCATTGGACCAATAGGAATTTTTTAAATAATTTTTTGATAGCCAGCGTCCCCACCCGCCCGTATCAGAAAAACGAAAATTGGAAAAAAATCGGAAAAAAATTCATAACTCGAATAATTTTTGACCAATTCTTTGTTTCTTTGTCGCAAATTGAAGGGGGATTAATGCTTTTTAAAATGTGACTTTTGTAATTTTTTTCTATAAACTGTAGTAGCTAGCGTACGTTATTTTGCGGTGATTGAAGCGTATAGGGCCACCTCGCTACTATATACGTGAGGCATTTTACGTGAAATGTCCTAAGTTGAAATTTCAACTTCTTGAAAAAAATTGAAACTCGAGGAATTTGTTGTTCTATCAAGTAGAAATGTGACCCAAAAAATATTTTTGATTTTTTCGAAAAATTGAAGGGGGTAGAGGGGGGTCAATTTGACCAATTTTGCCAACATCGGCTACTTTGTGATTTTTTTCTGAACATACTTGTAATGGGAAAAATTTTTTAGAATATGTTTCTGAAAGGTTTTTTCGTCCTCTTTCCAATGGTGTATTTTATTTTTTAATATTTTAAAAATTTACCCTAATTTTTGATAATTTATATTTAATTTTCAATTTCCCAAAAATCGGTCCGTTTTTTTTTAAAATAAATTATTGCAAACGAAAGCTGAGGTTTTTTCCTATCGGCATGTAAATTTTCAGAATGCCCTTTTTTTTGTTTTTGAGTTATTGAATTTCAAAGAATAAATTGCGGCGCGCTGCGTCGCGGTTGCACTGAGCCGCGTGGCAACCCATGGCAACCGGCGTGAGACGAGGCGCCCGGGACGCTGCGCGCCGCAATTTATTCTTTGAAATTCAATAACTCAAAAACTTAAAAAAGGGCATTCTGAAAATTTACATGCCGATAGGAAAAAACCTCAGCTTTCGTTTGCAATAATTTATTTAAAAAAAAAACGGACCGATTTTTGGGAAATTGAAAATTAAATATAAATTATCAAAAATTAGGGTAAATTTTTAAAATATTAAAAAATAAAATACACCATTGGAAAGAGGACGAAAAAACCTTTCAGAAACATATTCTAAAAAATTTTTCCCATTACAAGTATGTTCAGAAAAAATTCACAAAGTAGCCGATGTTGGCAAAATTGGTCAAATTGACCCCCCTCTACCCCCTCCAATTTTTCGAAAAAATCAAAAATATTTTTTGGGTCACATTTCTACTTGATAGAACAACAAATTCCTCGAGTTTCAATTTTTTTCAAGAAGTTGAAATTTCAACTTAGGACATTTCACGTAAAATGCCTCGTGTGTCGGCGCCTATGGATTCTTCTGATGGCTGGCGGCCGGCGGGTCGCTAGTTTCACCGAACTACAAAATTTTTCAGGTCTATGTAACTCAACCCTTAACATCACATGTCCAATAAATTTTACATTGAAATATAAATAATTCTAAAATTTTTAAATAATATTAAAGACTCTATGTGAACGTACACTAAACTTTCAAAAAGAATAATATTTCTTGAAAAATCAAATATTATTAGAGTATCTAGAACCCTTAAGTTTGTGACCGTTCACCAGAAAACGAATTCCTACCTTCGTTAAGAATCGACATGATTTAATAAATACAGATTCTCCTTTTCTTCTCAAGTTACTACAATGTCTAAATTTATACCTGTTACGAATGACTTTGTAACTTTTGAAAATATTTTCAATTTTAATTAAAACTAGAAATGATCAAGATTAATATTCATATTCTTTATTCAGATTGCAAAAATACTTGTATTTTAATAAAACGATTATTAAATAATGGATAGTAAATTATTTTAATAAATAATATTAAATAAAACTATTATTGAGTCAATGTTTTACGTTACATTTTGAATTGTAACAAATATATGTAATTTAATTTCATGATTAACATATAAGCAAAAAATGAAATCTAATTATTCGTCTTAATAAAAAATTTCTATTTAAAGAAATTTTAAAATCTTGGCGTCAATAATTTTTCTAGCTTAAAATTGATGTAAGTATTGACGCCAAGATTTTAAAATTGCCTTAAAATAGACATTTTTTATTAAGACGAATATGTGAATTGATCCATACAAAGTTCGTCTAATATTAATTCTAGTTCTATAGTGTCATGTGGGGTAAATGTAAATAGAATATCTATTTTTCACCAAAAAACGTAAGTTTTTTCGTTAAACGGTAAATCTGTTCAAATTTATCCAATTATATTCTTTTAAAGTGCAATTGAAGTTCGGTTTACATCTATAAGACATTTTATGTCAAAAGATGTTCAAAAGAATTTATATTTTTTTAATTATACAGAAATGATAAAAAAATTCTTATGAAACTACCTACTGGGATCCAACTCAAATCCTAGGCTTGAAGCATTGAGCCTTAAACATCTCAGCCATTGAAAACAGATTGATTGGGTTAATAGACAATAAAAAAGGGTTTAATTTCTATTAATAAATTATTTATTTCTTCTGTTACAGAAATTTACATCATATAATAAGCTTGTAATTGTGATATACACTGATACAATTAATTAATTTATATGTGTATAGTATAGATAGTAAACATATTTTTAGCTAGTCATCGCTCTCATCATCGTCGTCCTGAACGATTACAGGCATGTTAGCCTCCTTTCTATTTTTCGCGCAAAAGTATTGTGTTCCATCACGTGTTTCAACAAACCTAATACAATACTCTGCAAATTATTGCAAAATGGTAAATTTTAGAAATCTAGGTGAATAGAAGCAGTAACATTAATTACACTATTATCACTAAAAATCTCTAAAAGGAGTATTTTAGTATTTCCAACTAGACCTAATTTTTAAATTTTATATATAATAGTCAGATTGGGTGAATGCAAACAAAAGACAAATACAAACAGTAATTATATCAGCTACATTTTTAATTTTAAAAATAAATGTGTCATGAAAATATTTATATAATATAAGACTATTTGCATTTACCCCTTAAAATTTGAAATTCCTGTTTGTATTTACCCTAAAAATTTACGAAATTAGTGAATGGAAATGCCTTTTATTTAAATTAAATTATCTCACTTTTTCCAAATTCAATTCTAAGACTTCCAATATCTTTATAATCATAATCTCTGCAATTATAAAAATCGACATCTCCATCACGTAGCACAAATCTAGTACAAAATCCTGTAAATTAAATCAAAGATTCTATTTACATTTGAAAAGTAATACATTTTTTTTTAACAATTCACTTTCATAGTTACAATAAATTATTATACTGAGCAATTGGTAAAATTACTTACTAATTGCATCCACGAAGCTATACAAATCGTAACCGTTGCGTGCATTGCAATCACAATAAAATGCAAACAAAAATAAAAAGACGGCAGCAAAACGCATAATTACGAATTTTTTTAAATAAATTTTTTGACAATTATTAAACTATTTTTCTAAATGTTATTTGCAAATAAGTGAATTTTAACTTTATCGAAATCTATTTATAGCTGCTTGTAATCTTTGAAAATTAAAAATACTTGTTATAAAAATGAAAAATATTTTTTTCATTAGCATTTTTATATTTTGTTGTACCAATTACAATAATAAATAATAATAATAAATAAATTAAATAAAAAATAATAATATTAATTAATATTAATAATATTAAAAAATAATAAAAAAAATAAAAAAAATAATAACAATAATAAATTTCATAACATTTTTCAAAAATCCAGTATTTTAAATGTAATTTTTGGATGTTATACAGAAAAAAATTTCATACAATTAATTTTTTCACTTCTTATCGAAATATGTATATTAAAAAAAATAACTTCTCAAAAAAATTCATGACAGCATCATAAAATACCTTGGTGATAACTTTGGCTTGACTTTGGATTTTATATACACGAAATTCATGAAAATTATTGTATAAAAGACAAGAAGATAACTTTGGTTTGACATTGAATTATTTATACCAATGAAGAAAATATTTTTAAAAAATTAATATCTCATAATAATGTATTTATTATTAGGTACTTACATTATTATCAACTAACTGTAGTACCCTTCTTCGAAAGTTATAATACATACTGGGTTTTTTAAATTTAGCAATTTATAACACTACACCCATCTATGGGGCAAAATTTCTGAAGTGCTCTCTAAATATGAATCAGTTAAAAATAACTGATTTAGAAGCAAAAAGTCAGTCACTAATTCAAACAGTAATATTTCTACTGACAATTAGTTAAAAATAACTAATTGTCTGTTAAAAAGAACTGAAGTTTCAGTAATTTTTTTTTTTGATTGATTCAATTAGTTAAGTTTAACTATTTTTTCAGTTATTTTTTACTGGAAATTAGATATTATTCACTGAAAATCAGTTATTCCCTCTATATAATTTTTTTCAGTAACAGTATTGCAGGCATTATTGTATAATGACAGTCTCAACCCTGAAGAATGCAGAGGAGCTATTTCTGAATTAGGTGCAGTGTCTGAACCCGCAGCTCTGAAGGGTTCACCAACAGCGCGCGCAACGTCTACATTTTTATTAAATTTCTCTTAAACTATTTTCTGTCTCACTCTAAAAATTACATGTCTCATTGGAAAAAACCTCAGCTTTCCAATGAAATTATTTTTTTTAAAGATAAAAATACCCGAATCGGTCAAAAATTAAAAATAAAAATTAATTTTGAAAAAAAGAAGTAGAAATTTTTTTTGAAAATTGTATTGCAAGCATCAGAAAGTACGTGAAAATGCTTTAAAATCCGTTATTCATAAATTAAAATCCATAAGGTTTTATCCAAATTATAGGGATTTTAAATGTCAATGTTCTCGAAAATGTGAAAACTTTTACACGCCCTACTTTTTACAATTTTTTTTCAAAAATTTTAATATTTTAGGAATTTATTACTCTTATATAGGAGAACAAATTACCGAAGTACTAAATCAATCCCAGAACTTTTTTTGGGGGTGGTCCACTTCAGAAATTTTGCCCCCTATACGTAATTTTGTGTACTAAATTATTCTCTGGTTTTCGAATTATTTGTAAACTAAAAAACATGTTAAAATATATATTTTAATACGTTAATAAAATGACATAAAAAATGACAAAAAAATAAATAAATAAAATAAAAAAAAGTTTTAAGCCGACGCGAGAGAATCAGAATACAATATAATTAGTCTCTGTTTTTCTGTTTCAGCTTTACTTGTATTTTATGTGCCATCTGAATCGGGAGAAAAAGTTACACTGGGAATTTCAGCGCTATTGTCGATGACTGTTTTTCTTATGACTATTCGCGAAACCCTTCCACCAACTGAAAAGACGCCACTAATTAGTACGTATTTTCCCTGGCTTTTGATTATAACTTTTGATTCGAATAAACATTTCCAAAAGATGTCACATACTAATTTATCGAATAGCGCCTCTGGGCCACTCACAAATGACGAATGATAAAATTAACGTTTAATTTTTTTTATACAATCAATCTTTTTAAATATATGACGCCGCGTCAAAATATGATTGATGTTTTAATAACCTTGCCTCTATCTATGCTTCTAATTAACATTATAATTTGAGGAGAAGCATTAATTTTTGTTTGTTTAATAAAAATAAATAATTCTCATTTTTATAGGTTTATATTACGGAGTCAGTATTTGTCTGGTGTCATTTGCATCAGGCCTTGCTGTGGTGACGTTAAACTTACATCATCGAGGAGTTCGGGGGACAAAAGTACCAAATATAGTTAAATCACTTGTTCTTAAAAGACTCTCTCGACTGGTTTTCCTTAATTTTAAAGATGTAAGTTTCATAAATTCGCTACTTTAAGCTAATAATTCTCACAAATAATATTTGTTTCGTATTTCAGGAATTAATTGAACCATTACGAAGAAGAGAAAATAATTGTCCTTTGCACTGTAAAACTGAAAATTCCCAACCTCAATTGTCACCTAAATTTATGACAAGAAGAACTGGAAGTAATAATGAAAATCTTCATTTAGGTTAGGGGTTATTTATAATATTTATCTTATAAGTCCGCTCTAAATACTTTTTCTTTCTTCGTACAAAAATCATATATAATTACGATCTAGTAATTAATTATAGGTATCGGAAAAGATGGTGGTCTTGAAGCGCATTGGTCTCGAGTTCTTGGTAAAGTTCATGGGACGATCGAGAGGAATGAGAGGCGATTAATGGATCAGGATAGAAGGGAAAGAACAGAATTGGAATGGAAACGAGTTGCCATGGTCAGCGATCGAGCACTTCTAGGATTATTTTTCCTCACTACTATTATCAGCACAGCTGTTATTCTTTGCGGGGCACCTCCAAGTGTTGATATTCCAGTAGCAGATAGTTAAAGCTCTTAAATTCAATAATTAAAAGTTTATTTAAATTAGAGAAAGTAAACTTTAAAGTGAAAAACATTTTCTAACTAGTTTAAATTATAGTGGATCATGAACCCGGCCGCGTTAGGTGAAGTTAGTATCTTTTACCCCATTTTAATTAATTAAAGATCAAATAACGAAAAATTCTGCATAGGCCAACAAAATTTTGTTGCCCAACCAATGGAAGCCAATTTGTTTTGACCTTGAAAATATTGGATTGGCTCTAGTTTTCAAGCAATTTACGTTTCAATACGCAAAATACGCATTTTTGGCATTTTTTGAATATAAAAATATTTTTAAATATTGTAAACTTTGTAAAAAAAAATAATAACAAAGTTTTACCTCGCAGGGTAAAAAAAATTAATGAAAACTACCCCAAAAAAACGAAACAATTTAAAAATCTACCAAATTCGCCTAAAATTTGTTACTGGGGGGTTTTCAGGGTCGCTGTTTACGGATCCGATGTTAGTTTTCAAAAATTCAAAATGGCGGATCCAATATGGCGGACGATAAATTGAAAATTCATCAGATTCGTCTAAAAATTGTTACTCGGGGGTTTTCGGGGTCGCTGATTACGAATCCGTTGTCAGTTTTAAAAAATTCAAAATGGCAGATCCAACATGGCGGACGATAAATTTAAAAATCTACCAAATTCGCCTAAAATTTTTTACTTGGGGGTTTTTGGGGTCGCTTATTACAAATCCGATGTCAGTTTTTAAAAATTCAAAATGGCGGATCCAATATGGCGGACAAAAAATTTTTTTAAATTTATTAGATTCGCCTGAATCTTGTTATGCAATTGGGGTGGTTTCGAGGAGGGTGCTTATTAATATTATCCATATCTGTATCACTTAGAAACATTTTTTTTATAATTTAGATGCATTTGGAATCTATAGATTTTTTTTAAATATCCACAAAAACTATTATTTTATTTTATTTTCAATTATAGACGGGACATGCCCTTTTGTTCATAAGTACTCTTAGCCTAATATAATATTGTTTATAAAAATTAAATCACTTAAAAACTAGGTTAACTACTATTTATCAATTAATACAATTTTCCGCAATAAAGAGGTGAATCTCCTTTCATTCTCATCAAAGAAATCTATATTTACCGAAATTTCATTTGCCTCTCTACTAAGTCTGTTAATTAATGAATGCAACCCATAATTCGTTCTGTACAACTGTACTGCAAATAAGCAGCATTTCCTTGTAGGCCTTGTCGGAGCATATTTAATCGACGACAACAAAGATGGGCAATCAATTTTACCATTTATCAATTTATATAAAAAGATCATATCAGCAAACATGAATCTCGATTCTATCAAAGGCATTCCAAAAGCTTCACGTAAATTTCTATATTCTATATTATCGTCAAGGGGTGGCTATTTGACTTTGAGGGTGGTGTTCAAGTGGTTATTTATAGTTATTTTTCATTTTTGAACAACCAGAGAATATTTATAAATAATTATAAAGCAGACAGGAGCTAACAAATATTTAATTTATCACAACTTGGCCATTAAAGTTAAAGAGCAGTATTTAAGCTTTAATTTGGTCCTATGTGGCCAAATTTACTTTTTCGGTATATGGTTTTACATCCATTCAAAAAATGCCAAAAATGCGTATTTTGCGTATTGAAACGTAAGTTGCTTGAAAACTAGAGCCAATCCAATATTTTCAAGGTCAAATTCGGATTCTACGGACAAAATCCTATAAGAATTGGCAATAACATTTTAGGCATCATGCAATTGATGAAATTTTGTCGGCCTGTGATTATTAACTTCATAAGTTGTATGAACTCTACACAAAACTCATATTGGATAAAAGACAAAATTGGAATGTATTATCATAAGCAATCAATTTTTGGTTAATATAAATCATTTACTCTACATTTTATTACTCAACTGTTATAAAGGAACGAAAATTGTAAAAAATGTGAATGTCAAGTGAAAAAGATAAATTTATTTAAACTTTATAATTAGAAGTTACTGTTGCAATAAATCTCTTTTAAATAAAAAAAAAGTTTTAAAAAAACAAACATTTTTTGTTTGGAGTCAGCCTTTTTCCTCGCCGAATTTCTAATTTTTAAAAACTATAAAACGTCAGTCTCTATTATTAAGTTATTTAAATTATAAATACTATACATTTCTTATATATTTATATGTTGCTTTATATAAAACAAAAATATATTTATGAACACGTTTGAGTTAAGAATTAAAAAACTTAACTTAATATTTTATTTTAATAATATATATTTTTAAGTTCTAAATAATTTCAGAAAAATATTTTCGCAATTGGGTCAATTCTCATAGTTATTTTTCAAAAAGGACATTAGGCTTTCTGCACACGTAACTGTAAAAAATATATGTATACATAGTTCCTGATGTTCACTTCCTGGTGTTAACGCGTTTAGTGACCTTCTGCAAGTCATATAGCTATAATCATGTCGTTTGTGCGTGTTCTGACCTTGACAGTTGGTTCGCAATCTGCTCTTTCAAACTCTCAATCTATAATAAAATGTAAGGTATTAAAAAAAGGGACTTTTTATTTATACGAAGAAAAAAATTTTAACTAAGAAGCACATATAATCTTTACCTTTCTAAGAGCTCGAATTAATCTTTGTCTATTATTCTTTGCTTTATTTTTTTGATCTATGCTTCTTTTAAGCAATCGGTTGGCAGTGCGCAATTGTTTACGTTTCTCACGCCGGATTATTACTTTACAGTCTGTACATTTATCACTTCTCGAGAACGGCTTTGGAATAAAATATCCATTTTTACAAATTCTACGTACAGCTCTTTCGCAAAAATTTAAAGAAACTATTTTAATCATGCCCAATCGTAAATCCTCTAAAGATGAAACTTTATCCATAACAGGAAATTTGGCTACTTGATTGTAAGCCTGAATCTAAAAAATATATTCAAAAATTTTATATATGCTACAAGACAATGTGAGGAAATTGTATAAGATTCGAATGTACGTACTTCAACAGTCATGTCTTCTTGTACAAAAATGCTGCGTGTGACAATGGAGTCACTATCTCCTACGTAAGCGAATAATACACCATTTTCAGTATTAAACATTCCCCAAAACTGTGGGAAGTGTTCAACTTTTCGATTCTCCCAATCTTTTATTAAATTTTGTTGTGAATATTTCATCGGCAATGGGGTGGCGACATTTTCATCAGAAGTAGAATTAATCAGATTTAATGATTTATCAGTATTGGGATTTTCATTCAAGTTCGTCAAAGACATAACATGGTTAAGAGTATCAACTCTTCTTCTGGACTTTGGAGACAGATCTCTCTTTTCTTTTTTAGTTTTCGTCTTATTTACAGAGCTCAAAACTTTTCTAGTACTTTCAGAATCGACCTTTAATGAATTTTCAACATAAATTAAACACATTTTCTTCAGATAGAATTTATAATAATTTATTGAATTTAACTAACCTCAAAAATGGATGGAATACTGTCTTCTTTCAATCTCATTAATTTTCGGGGCAATGTAATTTCATTTCCATCTTTTAATGTTTTTATTGGATTGTCATAAAAACAACTGTTATGAAAATGTTTTTTACAAATAAATAAATTTTTTCTATTAATATTGCCTACTATTAGGTTATCCCCAATGCTGTTCAACCATTTTACTTTTACATTCTGAAATATTTAATTTATTATTTATATATTTATCAATTATATCAACTTATATTATACATTAATGTTTAATAATGAAAATTTTAAAAAAAAAGTGGAAGTTTTAACGCACTTCGTTACTTGGAACTTTGAATAACTGTCGTCGATTTTCAGTGTTGTCTTTATCATTTTTCCTGTTGCAACTTTTTACACAACACTTTCTCGTCATTTTATAAATACTCTTAAAAGCACTTAATTAATACACTGAGTTTACTATACACTTGAATCATTGATATATACACATTCTTCTTGACACATGACAAAATCTCGAATGCAGTTAACCTCAAATTCAAATTGAAAGCATACACACATGTGAAATACACGGTAATATAATACATATACTTATAATAGAAGATTTTGAATGTGTGAGTGGTGCGCTTAAACTGTATCCCAATTAGCGACAATTGTAAACGATTGGATAGTTGATAACATTTTATTGTTTAGAATCGTGGTCAATCGATCTTTTCTAGAAGGGTTGTCACCACAATTATTAAAAGTTAACAAAATACAAATATATTTCATTTTAAGAGTAATATTATTTTTAAAAAGTCCATCTGCTCTTCTTTTCTAACAAAACATGTTCTTTATTTATTTACTAAATAATACATTATTTTAAAAATGAATTTTTATAAAATGTTTAATACTTCCATTTGATCTGTAAATACATAAGATATTTGGAAAAAATCTCATTTTTTCCTTTTATAAATAAACACTAAATTTACATTTCATATAAAATGTAATAAAGGATAAAATACCCAAACCATTAAAAAAAAATTTCAACTCGTGATTAATTATTATTTGAACGTGTAAACCCAAAAGGAGTTTAATAGTAATCAGGTACTGGTGCACAGGCAATTTTTACAAAGTCTTCATATTTAACGTGTCCATTAAAGGAAACATTAGCCTCTCGAAAGATTTGTTCAACTAAAAAAGAGAAAGAATTATATTTCATTTTCGAAACGTGGATATTTGGTTAAACTGATTAAAGAAATAAAAAAAACACCTTCTTTACTGCTGAGACGCTCACCCCAGCGGAGCAACATGTGTGCCAATTGACGAGCTGGTATGGTGCCAGTTCTCGACGTATCTGCAGCTCGAAAAGCTTTTATAACTTCCGTCGGAAGATCCTCAGCTCTTGTTTGAAGATGCACAACTTCCAGAAAGTCAGCAAAAGACATTTTCCCTCCTTTTAAGTATAATTTTTAATTATTTTAGTGATTTTCAATTCTTGTTTTTTGTGTCATGAATGATCTTTTCCATTTTCATGTTTAATATAAATTTACAAACATAAACGATATTCGTATAATTATATGTTTATATTATACCTTTGTCTTTTAAATATTTGTTCAATTCAGCAATCGTGGGACTAAGACCTAAAGATCTCATAATAATAGTCAATTCATCGAGAGTGCGGATTTGTCCACTGCGTGCAAAGAGATAGAAACATTCTCGAAATTCTAAAAAAGCAAAATTCATAAACTTTATTGAAAAAAATATTTATTTGGTTTTAAAATTATATGCCGCTATATAAAGCAAGTGTTTGTTAAACTTTATTATCTTGCGTGCTTGTTTTTTGTGTCAGTTTTTTATAATCTATCTCTTTTGCTTTTGCTTGGCTCTTTGACTTGAATTTTTCAAAATATTGATTATTTAGGTGCATTAAACTTACCATCAATGTCTTCTTCTCGGAAATATCGTGCCTAGAAAAAAGATTATTTACTTTAATAAAATCTTCATAATACTGAGTTAGAAGAAGAAAAAACCGTTATTAATTTTATATAAATATGAATATTTATTTATTTATTTAAGAAAAAAATAAGTTCCTAGGGCTAATAAGCCCTTCAAGGAACAAAATTCATAATTCAATACAGCGCAATGAGTATATACATTAACTTAAGTTGAACATTATTTCATGAGATTTTAAATGTGACGCGTTTTAAAACATTTTATTTTAAATTAAACAATTCAAATGTTTATAAGCATTGACTGACAAAATGTTTACAGATTTATAAATTGTTCTCATACTGAAAAAGATTACCAAAAGGTTATATCGAACCATCCATTACTTTTCTTAAACAAAAATTCGAAATACAAATTTTTAAATATAAATTGAGTTGGTGCATTCCTTATCATGCCTGGTAATTTGTTCTATAATCTAGCACCTCTAATTACAAACGATCTTTGCATTTTACATGTTCGATGCCTAGGTATATTTATAATAATTTTCCTATGTAAATAAATTTAAATAATAATAATAAATAATTCAGTAAAATTAAAATAAATTAAAACAGAATAAAAAAATTATCAGTTACTATTATTTTTTTACTATAAATTGTTAACAATTGATAATCATTACGTTTATAGACTATGTGCGCTAAAAATGTAAAATTTATATAAATTTTACAACCACGATAAGAAATAAATTTACAGGAAAAATATAAGTTATTATCGTGGCAAAACACAAAACGATAAAATGTTTTCGAGCATTAAATTAAAAAATGAAACTTAAAATGACTATATAGACAAAATAAATAAATACCATATTTGATTAATTCTTCTTAAAACTTTTGTTGACTTCTAAAAAAAATCAACTCTCAAGACTCGACGTGTCAAAATAAACTGTTTATAACTGTCAAACTGGTTAGAAAGTGCAATCTGCTAGGAGCATAGACAAAAATTCTATAGTCACGTAACTACAGGAGAAAATCACTAAATCTAAGGGTCTGTCCACATACAGGAATCTAGTGAAAATTCAATAACATTTAGTAATTTTCTAGTTAAAACTAAAAGTAACTAAATTTTCACTAGATTTCATCCTAAGTTCAATGTTATTTTTAAGGGCATGCAATTTTGTATAAAAATGATAAAAATGTATGCAATTGATATACACATATGCTGAAATTTATGATGACAAATTGAAACGAATTGCATATTTATAATAAATTCCACTTTAACAATATAACAGAAAATTATTTACAAATTATTGATTGAAACTTGTCAGGTAAGAACAAATATAGTATATTTTTTTACTAACAAATAAAACTACTAGTAGGGTTAGAATACAAAAATTATACGTAATCACGATTGTTCACAAACTCTTTTCTAAATTTATTTTACAATTTAAAAAAACATTTATTCCCTCTAATGACAACAAAAAATTTACCTTTAATGTCTCTATGTTATTTAGGAAAATTGTAACAATTTCTTTCAATAAGATAACCTCAAATAATTTTAACTCTGTTTCATTTATTATCGTTTTCGATACTTGGATACTTTCCCTAAACTGAATCTCAAATTAGATCATCATTCAAATTAAAATTTTCAATGTTATACTGTATTTTTAAATTTATAAGTTATACATTTTAAACAGATTTTGGACTTTTGTCATAGAGGGACAGTGTCTATCAAATCCGTACAGACTATAAGCAATTTGTTGCTTTGTCAGGATGGAGCAGCAGGTATCTTAGGAAATATTTTGCAATTTATGTAATTCAAATTTCCTTAACTTTAGAATAGTGTTGCAAAATTTTTATTTCATCTGATCTTATTTTTTATTTACCAAAAAAAAAATTTACGGAACTGGTCGATTTTTAGTTATAAAAATAAACATTTTTAAATTGGCAATTTTTTTTATAAAAATTATTCAGATGTTTCTAATTTTTATAAAAAAAAATTGTCGTTGCAAATAGTAAAAGTTATTCTATTATCCGAGGTTAATCTGTTAATTTTACTAATTTTTCCTGAACTTTACTTCGTACATCGTAAAATTCATAATTTTAAAACAAAAGTAGCGTATTAAAAATTTGATTAAAAATTTAGAGAAAGTTACGGATTTCAGAAAAAGATAAAAAAAATATCAATAAGTAATTAACAGAAAAAGTTTACAAAAAAAAAAAATAATTTGATTTAAAAAAAGCTGAAGTTAAAAGAAAAAGTAAAAAAAATCTTTAGAATAAATTTTATGCATTATGATACAATAATTTTTATTTAATTTAAAAATTCGCTTTTTTTCAAACTGAAAAATAGAAAAATTGGTCAGTCACATGAAATCGACCAGTTCTGTAGATTTACGCTTATTTACCATATGTTTTTGTAATTTTTACAATTTATTAGAAAAAATATAATTTTTCCAATTTTTATCCAACTGAATACGATTTCATACTGAAATATTATCATATTCTTCACAATATTCATAAATTTAACTTTATCATTCAAATTAACTGATCTAATGAAATTTTAGACTTTAGTCATTTGTAGGTCCTACGGTTTGAAATAATATGCCGCTAATACCAATCGTTTTTACTACTTTGTACTATTTTCTTTCAAAAAAGCAATCCTAAAATTTGCGAACCTTATTTTCCACTTGTTTAAAAATATTTTTCTCAAATTTCAATACTCCCAAATATTTTAGTGGAGAAAATATTTTAAAAATCGCAAACAGTTATTTAGTGTAATAATTTGCTCTGTTTTTGTCAGTTAATATTTATTTTCTGGTTTTAAATATGAGAATTCGACGCTTTAATAGATGTTTCATCATCAGGAATAATAATGTTCTGTTAATAATTTTACGTATAATATGAGTCGAAATTTCTTCCAGCATTAAGTATTCAGCTTTTTTCAACTCAAATTTCTAGCTTTTGATTTAGTGATATTTTCCTGAAACATAAATGTTTCTTAAGGAATAAATCTTAATGGAGAAATTCAATAATAGTCACCAATAAAATAAATTTCAATAATTTTCAATTGTACAACCTGCTTGATAAACAACAAAATCGCATAAATTCTTCCCATAAAATCAATTATTCTAAGGAATTTTAATAAAATTCTTTTCCGAAATTCAATTATTTTGATGAATATCAGTATTCATCACAAGAATTCAATTCTTTTGAAAAGTAATAAAATACTTTGCAGAAATTTAATTATATTCAACATTTTTTAAAAATTCTTGTCAAGAATTAAATTATTTTTATAAATAGATAGGGAAATTCTTCTCAAGAATTAAATTATTGTCAAAAAATTTTTTTAAATTCTTCTCAAGAAGTCAATTATTTTCAAAAATTTTAATAAAATTCTTCTCATGAATTCAATTGCTTTCAAAAATTATTATTCAAATTCTTCTCAAGAATTTAATTATTTTTAAAAAATTTAATAAAATTCCTCAAAAAAGTTTTCAATTATTTTCAAAAATTATTATAAAATTCTTTAAAAAAAAAAAATTTTATTCAAATTTTTAGTTAAATTCCTTGAAAGAAATTAAATATTTTCAAAAGTTGTTAATACAATTCTTCGTTAAAATTAAATTAAATTAAAAAATAATTTTTCAATTCTATTCTCTTTACAAATAGCAAAATTTTTCGCCAAAAATTTAATTATTTTCAAAAATTTATAAAAATCTTTGCAAAATTTTATTAAAACTTTGGGAAAGAATTCAATTTTAAGAAACATTCAATTATTCAATAAAACAATCAAATGCGCTGCAATAATTCAAATATTTTCACAACTAACATTTAATTCGTCGCAGAAGATCAATTATTCTCACAAATTTTTAAGTAATTTTGCAAAAGAATTCAATTAGTTTTATAAATAGATAGGGAAATTCTTCTCAAGAATTAAATTTTTGTCAACAATTTTTGAAAAATTCTTCTCAAGAAGTCAATTATTTTGAAAAATTTTAATAAAATTCTTCTCATGAATTCAATTGTTTTCAAAAATTATTATTCAAATTTTTCTCAAGAATTCAATTATTTTTAAAAAATTTAATAAAATTTCTCAAAAAAGTTTTCAATTATTTTCAAAAATTGTTATAAAATTCTTTGAAAAAAAAATTTTATTAAAATTTTTAGTTAAATTCCTTAAAAGAAATTAAATATTTTCAAAAGTTGTTAATACAATTCTTCGTAAAAATTAAATTAAATTAAAAGATAATTTTTCAATTCTATTCTCTTTACAAATAGCAAAATTTTTCGCCAAAAATTCAATTTTTTTCAAAAATTTATAAAAATCTTTGCAAAATTTTATTAAAACTTTGGGAAAGAATTCAATTTTAAGAAACATTCAATTATTCAATAAAACAATCAAATTCGCTGCAATAATTTAAATATTTTCATAAATAACATTTAATTCGTCGCAGAAAATCAATTATTTTCAAAAATTTTTAAAAATTCTCGTCAAGAATTAAATTATTTTTATAAATAGATAGGGAAATTCTTCTCAAGAATTAAATTATTATCAAAATTCTTTTAAAAATTTTTCTCAATAATTAAATTATGATTAAAATTTTTTTAAAAATTCTTCTCAAGAAGTCAATTATTTTCAAAAATTATTATTTAAGTTCTTCTCAAGAATTCAATTATTTTTAAAAAATTTAATAAAATTCTTCAAAAAGTTTTCAATTATTTTCAAAAATTGTTATAAAATTCTTTAATATATAATAAATTTCATTAAAATTTTCATTAAATTCCTTAAAAGAAATTAAATATTTTCAAAAGTTGTTAATACAATTCTTTGTAAAAATTAAATTTTAAGAAACATTCAATATTATTTATTTTTGTATTTAAATAAAATTGATTTCTCGTAGAATTAAATTATTATTTTTCGTACTTTTAACTAACAATTCTGTAGAATTACTTTTTTTGAAAAAGTTTAATTGAATAATAATTGGTGTTATTGATTTAAAGTAGAATTTGAGTTAAAAATTCTAGAAAATGTTAATTGAATTGAAATGATAGAAATTATTTTGAAGAAATAGATCGAATATGAAGATCGATATCTTTATGTTTTATAATAATATTCTTCTTATGAGTTGTTCAATTTGAAAAGGTTTGAATTTGAAATTTTTGAACATCTTAATTTCAATGAAAAAAAATGATAAAATATTGATTTTAAATAAAACTATTGATGTTTTCGAATAATTTTACTTTTGAAGAAATTTGTAAATTAATTTAATAGAACATTTTGTTGAGTATCTAATAATTTTGAGAGTGAATCAGAATATTCTTTAAGGTCAGGGAAAAAGTCAAAGTTATGTTTGGAAATCAGAGAAAAGTCAGGGAAAAATAAAGTTAAATTTTTGTGGCAACCTTGTATAAATAAATTATATTTTTATCTTTATTTAACCAATTTTTATGGTCTCCTAAAAGTCCCCTATTTTTAAATTTTACACAAATCCGTTAAAATTTGTTAAAGTTGTTCAAGTTTTTACTGTTTTTACTTGTGTAATGCATTTTTTCATCTTTTGGCATGGTAGATTTTTAAACGTTTATGATGTATCACCATTTAATAGGTTGAATTATTATTAACCTAATATGAGATTTTATTTTATTCTTTGTATCTCTTGACATTTGCTTACTTGAAATTGATTCTCCTTTTAATTTTTTTTTTTGGAAACAAATGACTGTATTTATTCCTGCTGACTCTACTTTAAAAATTCAAAAACTAAAAAAAAATGTAAACTTTTTTATATTCAAATTCTAAAATATGGCATGTTAGTGTACATCTTTAAATTTTTTAATACCAATAACTCAGCATACTACTACATTAGGGATTTTACAAACTGCTTTATATTCTCACATTATTTAGCTTCAATAATGATTAAAAACTTTTTCAGAACTAACTTTTTAAACTTATTAAAACCGTCAACCTGGGCTACTAGGTCTTTTGTTTTTCATTGAAATTATTTGAAATTTTAATTCCGGTGGAAAAATAAATATGAATAACTTTTTAAATTTTTGTTTAACAAAAAGTATTCAAGTTCTGAATAATTTAATTTAGAAATTCAGAAAAATTTGTTTCTTGAAAAAATGTAATTAAAATTTTTTGAAAATAATTGTATTTCCGAAATTATTTAATTATAATTAATTATATTATATTATAATTATAAATTATCAAAATAATTATTTTACAAATTAAAAACCAGCTTCTTTAGTAATAGCCCTGGTCGACGTAATTTATTTATTCAAATTATTGAGTTCTACATTATTATTTTTAGCCCAACCTAACATTCATTTCGATGTTGTCTGTTATTGAATTTCTCCATTGCGAATTGTTCTTTAAGAAATATTTATGTTTCAGGAAAAAATCACTAAATCAAAAGCCAGACATTTGCGTCGAAAAAAGTTGAATAATGCCCGAAGAGCAGCTGAGGAAAACTTAACTCACATAGCTGTTGAAAATAATGAAGAAAGAGAAAAGAAAATAAAAATTAAGAAATCAGAAAATGAGAGAAATACAAACGAAAAACACATAATTATTTCTGCTAATGAAACATCTATCAAGAAACATGATTCAAGTATCGATCAAGTGTCAAATTCTCATTTAAAATCGGAAAACGAAAATCAACCATTAAAAGCAGATGAAATTATAAATCAAGAATTATTATATCTACTCACAAAGACGAGAGAAACAAATTTCAAAAGTGATTATAGTGATGATTTTTTTTCCACATTAGAAGACATTGCCACAAAATTGAATAATATTCCAATTGATTGCAGTGATAATTCGCCGGAGAAAAAGAAGATGAATTCCGAAGAAAAAAGTAAGGAGCAAATAAAAGCTGAACGTGAGGCGAAAAAAGCGGCGAAGGCAGCTGCCAAAAGCAAAAATAAAGAAAAAATCACTAAAACAGTTGTCGAGGGGACTTGTAACGAAAAATCAAAATCTGACACCAATGTTGTTTCTAAAGAAAAATTATCAAAAGTGAAAATTCCCAAAGAATTAAAATCAGCAAAAGATTCATCAGCGAAATCAAATGCCAATCTTGAATCAATTAAAAGCGAATTAGAGGACATTACGAAGGAATTGGATGAAATTCAATTGAAAGAAGCGGATGCGAGTGAAGCACCGAAAATGGCAGAGGAGAAAAGTAAAGCTCAATTGCGTGCCGAGAGAAGAGCGAAGCAGGAGGCGCAACGAGCGGCCAAACAGGATCAAGTTGATAAAAAGAAACAGAAACCGACGCAAACAAAAGTGGCGATTCAGACAAAGGTCCCTGAGCCAGTGAAGAAGATTGCTTTGAAAACAAACGCAAAAGAAGGTTCGCATGGTGTGAATTTATTTAAACACTTGCATCACGAGAGAGATATCGCTTTGGGGAATGTTTCTGATTTGGGTTCGAAAATTCATCCGGAAATTGTCAAGTTGGGAATGAAGTACGCTAGTAAAATTATCGTTGGCAGTAATGCGAGATGCGTTGCTTTTCTTCATGCTGTGAAGCATTTAGTTGAAGATTTTGAACGACCGTCTCAAGCGGATTTTACCCGCGGATTGGAAGTTAGTCTACAAGAATCGGCTGTTTATCTTGACCACTGTCGACCATCGGCCGTATCGATGCAAAATGCATTAAAACATCTTAAATGGCAAATGTCTTTGCTACCCACCACAATATCGGATCAAGAAGTAAATAACAATTATTCTTTTACATTTTAAACATTTTTTTTTAAACTCAAATAAACTTTTTTAGAAATTATGAAATTTTAGAAGTAGCAAAAAGTATTTAAACATTTATTTAAAAAAATTATTCAACTTTTGAATACTTGAATTTAGAAATCAGTGAAAGGCCCTAACTACTGGTTTATGCAATAATTCCATAATTTATAAAATCTTTTACAGGCAAAAGTGAAACTTATTAACGCTATAGACACTTATATACAAGAGCAGATACTATTGGCGGATAAAGCAATTTCGATAAAAATCCAAACTAAAATAACCAATGGAGATGTGATATTAACATATGGATTGTACGTATAAAATATCATCTTTTAATGTTGAACTTAATTTAAACATTAAATGATGCGTTTACCCTTTTTAAATTTTTTTTTAAATTAATAGATTAATAGTAATAAATAATAAATGTCTAAATAATAAATGTTGAATTTTACAGCTCATCTTTGATCTACAAAATATTATGCGATGCCCATTCAGCTGGACGTCAATTTCAGGTTGTAGTTGTTGATGGAAGGCCTTGGTTAGAAGGCAAAGAAATGTTGAAGAGATTAGTTAAACATGGAGTTGAATGCAGTTATATTTTGATACACGCACTTAGTTTTATAATGCCCAAGGTCAGTCTGAGTGTTAGTTTATTGGATTAAATAAATAAGAAATAAAATAATGAAAATTCTATTTTAATAATGCGTTTTCGTTCAACAGGTAAGCAAAGTATTTTTGGGTGCACATGCAATTTTAGCAAATGGTTCGGTAATGTCCAGAGCTGGATCAGCACAAGTAGCACTTATTGCTAAGGCCTTTAATGTACCAGTTCTAGTATCCTGTGAGACGCATAAATCCTGTGAACGAGCACAAACTGATGCAATTGTCTATAATGAACTAGGTATGGTATATTTTAATTAACTCAACAACAATTTCAATAAGATGAACACCTAACTCCAAACCAAAGAATTTCAATTACATCTCATAGACAATTAATGTTAAAGGTTTTTTTTCTCATTGAAATTAAGATGTTCAAAAATTTCAAATTCAAACCTTTTCAAATCATTATTTTATTATTACAAGAATATTGTTACTGTAATTTCTTCATAATTATTTGTATCATTTCAATTCAATTAACATTTTCTATAGAGTTGTGCAAAAAGCTCGAGGCTCGAGGCTCGAGCGAGCTTTTTCGAGCTTTTCATTTTTCGGGCCGAGCCGAGCCGAGCCTAATCAGTTCGAGCTCGAGCCGAGTTCGAGCCGAGCCGAGCTGTGTAAAAAGCTCGAATAGTTTCGAGTACTCGAGTTAATTCGAGTACTCGAATTTTTCGAGCACTCGAGGGAATTCGAGTACTCGAATTTTTTCGAGCTCTGAGTAAATTCGAGTTCTAGAGAAAATTCATAGAATTTTCGCATTTATTATATTTAGCAAATAGAAATATTGATTCAGTAATTCAAAAAAATTCGAAATTTTTTACTTATTAATAGTTTTTTTAGTAAGTCAAAAGCTCGAATCCATTCGAGTACTCGAAAAATTCGAGTACTCGAATTCACTCGAGTGCTCGAATTTAATCGAGTACTCGAATTTACCCGAGTACTCGAATTTTTCGAGTACTCGAAGTCACTCGAGTACTCGAAAATTTCGAGTACTCGATACATCGAGCCGGCTCGGGCTCGGCTCGGCTCGGCCCGAAAAAATTTCGGCTCGGCTCGGCTCGACTTTTCGAGCTTTTTGCACATCTCTAATTTTCTAGAATTTTTAACTAAATTTCTACTTTAAATCAATAACATCAATTATTATTCAATTAAACTTTTTCAAAAAAATTAATTCTACAGAATTATTAGTTAAAAATAGGAAAAATAATAATTTAATTCTACGGGAAATCAATTATTTAAATGCAAAAATCAATAATATCGAATGTTTCTTAAAATTTAATTTTTACGAAGAATTGTATTAACAACTTTTAAAAATATTTTTCATTCCTTTTAAGGAATTTAATTAAAATTTTAATGAAATTTATTATATTAAAGAATTTTATAACAATTTTTGAAAATAATTGAAAACTTTTTGAAGAATTTTATTAATTTTAAAAATAATTGGATTCCTGAGAAGAATTTAAATAATAATTTTTGAAAACAATTGAATTTATTAAAAGAATTTTATTTAAAAATTTTTGAAAGTAATTGACTTCTTGAGAAGAATTTTTTAAAAATTTTTGACTATAATTTAATTCTTGACGCGAATTTTTAAAAAATTTTGAAAATAATTTAATTTCTACAAAGTATTTTATTACTTTTCAAAGAATTGAATTCTTGTGATGAATTTTGATATTTAACAAAATAATTGAATTTTGCAAAAGAATTTTATTAAAACTCCTTAGAATAATTGATTTTATGGGAAGAATTTATGCGATTATGTTATTGTTTATCAAGCTAATTGAATTCTTTTGCAAAATTACTAAAAATTTTTGAAAATAATTGATTTTCTGCGATGAATTAAATGTTATTTATGAGAATATTTGAATTATTGCAACGAATTTTATTGTTTTGTTGAATAATTGAATGTTTCTTAAAATTGAATTCTTTCCTTAAGTTTTAATAAAATTTTTAATAATAATTGCATTTTTCAAGGAATTTATTTAAAATTGTATTAAAAATATTTGAAATTCTGCAATGAAAATAATTGAATTCGTAATTAAAATTTTATTGTTTATGAAAATAATTGAATCTTTTCGTAGAATTGTATCAAAAAGTTTTTTCTATAATTAAATCTGTTGATAAATTTTATGAAAATAGTAAATATTGAGAATTATTGAATTGCAAAAAACTTTTGAAAGTAATTTAATTTTTGCAAAGATTTTTATAAAAATGTTTGAAAATAATTGAATTTTTTGCTTATAATTTTGCTACTTGTATAGATAATTGAAAAATTATTTTTTAATTAAATTTAATTTTTACAAAGAATTGGAGGAATTTAATTAAAATTTTAATAAAATTTTTTTTTAAAGAATTTTATAACAATTTTTGAAAATAACTGAAAACTTTTTTGAAGAATTTTATTAAATTTTTTAAAAATAATTGGATTCCTGAGAAGAATTTAAATAATAATTGTTAAAAACAATTGGATTCTTAAGAAGAATGTTATTAAAAATTTTGAAAATAATTGACTTCTTGAGAAGAGTTTTTAAAAAATTTTGGACAATACTTTAATTCTTGACGCGAATTTTTAAAAAATTTTGAAAATAATTTAATTTCTGCAAAATATTTTATTACTTTTCAAAAGAATTGAATTCTTGTGAAGAATTTTGATTTTTATCAAAATAATTAAATTTTAGAAAAGAATTTGATTAAAATTCCTTAGAATAATCGATTTTCTGCGACGAATTAAATGTTATTTATGAAAATATTTAAATTATTGCAACGAATATTATTGTTTTATTGAATGTTTTTTAAAATTGAATTCTTTCCTCAAGTTTGACTAAAATTTTTAATAATAATTGCATTTTTCCAGGAATTCATTTAAAATTGTATTAAAAATATTTGAAATTCTGCGATGAAATTAATTGAATTCGTAAATGAAATTTTATTATTTATGAAAATAATTGAATCTTTTCGTAGAATTGTATTAAAAAGTTTTTTCTATAATTAAATCTGTTGATAAATTTTATGAAAATAGTAAATATTGAAAATTATTGAATTGCAAAAAACTTTTGAAAATAATTGAATTTTTGCAAAGATTTTTATAAATTTTTGAAAATAATTGAATTTTTGGCGAAAAATTTTGCTATTTGTAAAGATAATTGAATTCTTGACGAGATATTCGTGAAAATTCTTTAAAATAATTGGATTTCATCGAAGAATTTTATTACTTTTGAAAATAATTGAATTCTTGGGATGAATATTGTCGTTTAAATAATAATGTAGGACATAACAAGTTTGTGCTGATTATAAAAATTTAAAATACAACCAACTTTTAATCATAATTGAGACTCAACTTTACCAAAATACTAACTTTACAAATTTTATAAATTTCATGAAAAATTTCATCGATCATAAATTTCAAGATTTGAAACTTTCAAAAAAAAAGTTACAAAAGTTACAGTTATACAATTTTAAAAATTTTTTATGAAAATTTAAACTGAAAGTCTTTCAAAATTCAATTTTTTTTAGAATTTTTGAATTCAAAAGTTTTAATTTTTAAGGAAGTTAACAAATTAATAATATTTGATATTTAAATATTATTCCAAGTTTGAATCTCATAGATTTCAGTTTAAAAACTTTTTGAAATTTAAAATTTTAAAGAATCCTAGTTTAACACTTTTAATTATTTTTTTAAGTTTTAACTAAAACTCTTTTTTAAATCAATTCTTATCAGAAGTCAACTACGAAAATTCAATTATTTAAATAAATAAATAAATAGTTCATAAAATATTTAATTGTTCGTAAAAATTACGACTGTCCCTCTAAATTGAAATTTAGTTTTTGAAATTTGGGTTCAATTTTTTTACTTCACTTATTTTATTATTTACAAATAAACTGTCAAACTTCTGACATAACAATTTGAACTTTAAACAAAAAATTGGAATAAAAAGAAATACTAATAATTGAATTCCAAATTTAAATTTAATTTAATTTTTTAGAAATTAGTTAAATTCTTGAATATTATATATTTAATTTAATTATTATTATTTTTAATTTGAATAAATTGTCAAATAATTGAAATTTAGTAAAATTGAATTATAAAGAAATGGATTTCAGAATTTATTATATATGGTGAACTTTCTACTTTTATTTGAACAATTAAATTCTCAAAATAATTAATTGGTTTTAAAAGAGAATTTTAGTTAAAATTTCAAAAGTAATTCAATTTTACAAGAGTTGCGTTTACAACTTTTATAAATAATCTAATTTCAGAAGATTTGAAATTTCAAATAAAAAAATTATTAAAAATAATTGATTCAGAGAAGAATTTTGTTTATTTCTAATAAAAATGTTTGAATTTTTCAGGAGACTCCGAGGCACTTACGGAAACATTTTTATATGATTCGAAAAAATCGTGTCTCGCAAATTGGAAGACGAAAAAGTCCTTAAATCTTCTCAACATAACGTACGACGTGACACCTGCTGATTTAGTCACAGCTGTAGTTACAGAATTAGCAATTTTGCCACCATCCAGTGTCCCTGTTATTCTACGAATTAAACCATCAGAAATATAGTTTTTAATAATCGCATCAACAATATTAAAAATTTCTAATTTCTTACTAACAACTTTTGTAAGTATTAATTTCGATAGATTATTTATCTCAGACTTGGATAACTTTATAAAAAGTCTATCTAACTATGATTGTTATTACACATTATTGTGTTCTGTATTTTGTAATAAACTATTTTCAAATCGTACTTTATTTTATTACAAAACAAAATTATTTTTCATTTCACAATTTTTTTGGTTTTGAAATTTTAGTGACATTTTATTTATCTGATATCTGGGAATTGTTATAGAGATTTTTCTTGTTGGCCAACAGAAATGTTGGCAGTAATTCTCGAGCTGAGCACAAAATCAAATTTCCGACACAAATTCTAGCGCTCTTGCGATTCGTTTATTGAAAAAAAAATCTAGTGATTCAAGTTTAATAACAAATTTAATAAACAAATAATAAATATGTCTGGTGATGTTCAACCTAGAAAGCGAAAAGATAAAAGACGTAAAAAAGGTAAGATCAACATTATAAATTTGAGTTGGTAATGAACTTTCGTAACACGAGTAACTTGCCTACGAGGTATTTTTAGCTATTTGGTATTTTTTCTAATTTCTGTCTCCGAAAATGCGTATTTTAAATTGACACTTGTTCTTTCGAATTCTTCTATTTTTATCCAAATATTCTTTTTGGGTAAAAAAAAAATATATTTTATTTTTGAAAGAAATTTTTAAAAATTAATAATTGTAACTAACATTTTTTTTTAATTATTTCTTATTATTTCGTAATTTTCTATTTTGGCTAGATATTCTATAAATAAATTAATGAAAATAGTTTTCTTGGATTTAGAAAATATTAAGGTCATGTTTTTTAGAAAATTCTTTATAAAAAAAATTTTTTTAAATATTAAATATTAAAAAATTTATTTAAATATTAAAAAATAATTTTATTTTATACTGTTTTATAAAATCAATTTTTTATTTCTAATTTTTTTTTTTTACATTTTTCGTGAAGTAAATGTAAAATTTAATTTTTTTGAATTGTCAATATTGTTTATTTATTTAGAAGAAGAAAAAAAGGAAATTTTAATTTAAAAATTAAATTAACGTGTTGGTGAAAGATGTTTTTTGTAATTTAGAAATTTATAAATTTTTATTGACAGATCAAATAATAGTTTGGCAATATAGCTCAACTTAGAAAATTTGAGCTTGAAAAGCTGAGGCTGACCATCGGTTTGCTCCACAAAAATAGATTAAACTGTATGAACCACTCTAAAAGCATTCATCAGCATATAATTATTTGGGAACTCTTATGATATTTTTAATAACATTCTGAAAAAAATTTTCAAAATAAAAAACGATTTCGATTTTTTAATACTTTTTTCAGGATAAATGACAGAAAACAAAAATAAAAATTCTGGTACTAGCAGGAATCTTTTATTTTTTATTTAAAAATAAATAAAATCACTATTGCGAATGATTAATATTTTATTTTCATTTATTTTCGAATTTTTAAAATTTAAATTTAAAATTTAATTTATTAGGTAGGTATTTAATATTTTAATCTTAGCTTTTTTATTTATTTCTCACAGATAAATTTTTAAATTAGAGATTTATATTTTTATTATTCTTTATTTATTTATTTAAAAAATTTACGGCACGAGCCCTTTATTATTTAATTTATTTTCTGAAAATTAAAAATATAGTTGTGAATAATTCCGGGAAGATTCAAAAAATATTAATTAAATTTTTATTATAGAAAAATAATTTTAGAATTCGTTTCAAATTATTTTCCGTAATTTTTAGCGGAAGGAGGTTATATTATTCAAAGGATACAAGATGCAAGTTTCGGTATGATGTTATTTTAAATAATATTTTTAATTTTTTATATTGCGAAACGATTTTCAAAATTATATTAAACACATACAGTAAAAGATTGAAATTAAAATTGAATTTTCATAGGAAAATAATAATAATAATTTCTTCTGTTTGTATTTTCTTTCGTGTCTCATTTAAATATTCGTTTTGTTTAATTTTTAGATGAAGAGGATGCTGGTACACCACCACCAACATTAATAAATCCCTCTGAAAATATAGAAAATCTTACAATACATATTCATAAAGAGAGTAGCACAGGTGGACATTGGTGTGCAAGGATTATTTTTTTTACCCTCTCCGCTATTCTCATTGGATTAATCGGAATTATTATTTTTGAATATCGAGGAGCAACGGATGGTGAGAATAAAATTTATTTAAATCCTTAATAAAATTTTTCGCAATAATTCAATTATTTTCTAAAATAATAATAAATTCATCGCAGGATTTCAATAAATTCTTCCCAAGAATTCAATTTTTTACATAAAAATAATTCTTGGAAAGAATTCAATTATTAAAGATAAATAAAAAAAATTATTCTCGAAAATTCAATTATTTTGAGGCGTTTTTAATAAAATTCTTTGTGAAATTCAATTATTTTCATAAATAACAATATTCATTACAAGAATTCAATTATTTCTAAAAGTAATAAATTTCTTCTTGGAAATTCAATTATTTTAAAAAATTTTAATAAAAATCGTTTGCAAGAATTCAATTATTGGCAAAAATTTTAATTGAATTCTTTCTAAAATTAAATTATTTTAATAACTTTTCGCACAGTTCAATTTATTTCAATATATCTCCTATTTTCATAAAATTTCTAAACAAAATTCAATTATTTAAAAAATTTTTTGTAAAAATCTTCGTAAGAATTCAATTCTTTTCATGAATAATAAAAATTTCTCAGAAATTCAATTATTTAAATTTGCCTAAAATTAGTCGAAAGAAATGAATTATTTAAAAATGTTTATAAAATTCTTTGGAACAATTAAATTATTTTTATAAATATTTAAATTCTTTGATGAATAATAAAATTCGTTACAGAAATTAAATTTATTAGCAGGTTAAGATAGAAGTAAATATTTTTGTTGAAAATTAGTTTTTCTTGTCGTCAACTTTAATAATTTTGATAGCTACTTTTTTACTACTTTTTTTTTAGTTTGAAAGCTACTTTTTTAAAATTAATTATCGAGTGCGAAGACTAAATGTTGAGTATTTTCTTGCTTAATTTTAACTTAATAAACATTTTGTTAAAATGATCATTTAAAATTTTTCAGTTGATACGCCCATTGTCAGTTCAAAATGGGCAATGATCTTCGATGGTTGGGTGGATGAATCAATTTTCCAGAATCATGATCATGAGGCGGAGCATGATGACCAAAGTGCAGAAAAGTCTGAAGAGGATGAAGATCATGATGAGGGCATTGGTAGCGAAGAAGGATCGCAGCAAGAAGATGAAGATGAGGAACATGAGGAGGAAATAGATAAGGATGAAGAATCCGCAGAAGAGGAGCAAGAAGAAGAAAATGAGGAAGAAGAAGATGAGGAGGAAGAAGAAGTCGACTATGAAGAAAGTGAAGAAATAGAGAAGGATTTATCAAATTCACCTGGTAATTACTAACTTTTAATCACACTTCAGGGTTGCCACGCAATCTGGAAACCTGGAAAACCTGGAAATGTCAGGGAATTTTATAAACCTTGAAAAAACCTGGAAAAGTCAGGGAATTTTGATCGAAATCCTGGAAAATTATTATTTTCTAAAGTTTATTCTTGAAATCGAATCTTACATAATTATTTCAAAATTAATTGAATTTTAAAAGAGTTGCGTTTACAATTTTCATAAGTACAGATGAATTTCAAAAGATTTTAATTTGAAATTTTGGAAAATTTCAATTTTTAATGAATTTAATTAGAAATTGTCTTAAAGAACGTAGATTTTTGAGAAATTTTAATTATTCCAATTCTTCTGAAATTAGTTAAATTTGTTAATATATATTCTTAATTGATTATTAAAAATAATGGATTTATAGAAGAATTTTAATTAAAAACACTAAAAGAAAGTGAATTTTGAAGCAATTACAAATGATTGCAGAAAATCAATTATTTTTAAAAGTAGTAAAATTCTTCTTATAGAAATTCAATTATTTTCAACAATTTTAATAAAATTTATGGCAAAATTTCATTTATTTTAAAAAACTTTCCTCAGTTTAATGATTTTTAATAAATCTACTACTTTAATAAAATTGTTCAAAAGAATTCAGTTATTTAAAAAATTTTTTAATAAAATTCTACGCAAACATTTAATTATTTTCATAAGTAATAACATTTTTTACACGAATTCAATTAATTTCATAAATAATAAAACTCATCGCAGACTTTCAATTATTTTTAATACAATTTTAATGGAATTCCTCGAAAAATGAAATTATTCTTAAAAATTTTATTAAAATTCATCAAAGAAATTCAATTATTTAAAAAACCTTTGCTACAATTTATTTTTTAGAATTTAAGTATTATTTTCTAGAAAGTTTTAATTAAATTTCTTGAAAAAATTAAATTATTTTCAAAAATTTTAATGAAATTCTTTGTAAGTATTCAATTTTTTTTCAAAATAATTTTAATAAAATTCTTCGTAGAAATTTAAATAATTTCAAAAATTTGTCAAAATTCAATTATTTTCAATGTCTATCATTTCAATAAAATTTCATAAAAGAATTCAATTATTTAAAAAGACATTTTAATAAAATTCGATTTCAAGAATTCAATTATTTTCAAAAATTAACATAATTCTTCGCAGAAATTTAATTGTATTCAATAATTTAGAAAAATTCTCGTCAAAATTTCAATAATCTTTATAAATTTTTCTCCGGAATTCAATTATTTTCTAAAATTTTAATAAAATTCTTGGCAAAATGTAAATTATTTTCAAAAACTCTTAAAAAATTCTTTGGAGAAATTCAATTATTTTTAATAAAAATTTTAATTAAATTTCCGAAAAATGAACTTATTTTTAAAAATTTTATAAGGATTTGTCAAGAGTAATCAAATATTTAAAAATTTGTTGAGAAAATTCTTTCTGAGAGTTCAATTTTACGAAATATTCAATTATTCAATAAATTATTCATTTTTATATTTCAATAATTGAATTCTCGTGGATTTTTTTTTTAGTAAATATTGATTTAAAAATTAATTTCAGTTCAAATTTTACATTATCATTGAATATTGAAAGCTTATAGCGTTAATTTTTTGAAATAATTAAATTTTGAAAAGATTTCAAATTAAAATCTTTGAAAACTTTAACTTTTTGTACTTTTTGATTAACAATTCTGTAGAATTAATTTTTTTAAAAAAGTTTAATTGAATTTTTCTTTAATTCTTCAAGTTTTTATTTTCTAATATTTATTTAATTGAAGAATGTCAGAATAATCGAAATTACGTAAATTGTAAACAAAAGGAGTTGGAAATTCTCAAAGAACATTTTCAAAAATTATAAAAAAAAAATTGAGTTTGAGAAGAATTTTAGTTAAAAATTCTAGAAATGAAGAATTGAAATGAAAATAATTTTAAGAATTTTAATAATTTTTGATAATAAATATAATGTTAATTAACGTTTCCTTAAAAGGTGCATTTTTTCTAGATGAGGGTGAAATGTTGAACAGTGAAGAAAACCAGGAAATGGAAAATGATGAGGGTTACGAAGAGGAAGAAGGCTCCGATGAAAATGATCCTGAAGACCAAAATAGCGATGAAGAGAGAGATAATACCGAAGAAGATAATGTAAATGACGATGAAGAAAACGAACTAACGGATTCAAGTCCAGAAGAGGTAAAGAGTGCAAAACAAACATTACATGAAGAAGACATTGATGAATTCCCCGAAATCCCTGGAATCGAAATACCTAGTGCTAAACAAATACACGAAGAAAATGTAAATTAACAAACATTGAATGACATTTTTAAAAAAATACATTATATGTACGTTAATGATAATTCATATTTATAGCCCGATGAGGATGATTCGAATGAAACAGAAACACTAGATGACGATGATGATGATGATGATGATGATGATGATAAGCAGGAAAATGAAGAAGAATCAAGTGGTGAGTATTTTTAAAGAAGGATTTTCTAAAATAAAACAGATTCTCATTTTAAATATGAATATGATCCTCCTTGCTCTAGGTTTATCCTTAGGTTTATTTATTTTTTTATTGCATTTTATTATTTTTAATCTTACGGCCCTTTTCGAGTATAGATCTCATTTGAAAATTTGCTTCGCATATTGAAAAGAAAAAAAGGCAATATATGGAAAATTAATATGCGGTGGTTCCAGTGGCAGTAAAGTTGGGAGTTGGTGTTGCACTTGCCATCGCTGCTCACTTTGTTCTCGTGAAACGATGGAATAACGGTAAAATCACATTATCAGCTACTTCATTTTTCATTAGATACAGTAATTTTTAACAATCTTTAAAAAAAAAATTCAATTTAGTTAAAGATCGAAAATACTTATTTTAATATTTCATTACTATTTCTTACGAATAATTTAGTGACCATAAAATTTAGTGTTTCTTTTTTTAAAGCGCAGCTTTATTTCCTTTTAACAAAAGTCAGACTTCGCACTCGATAATTAATTTTAAAAAAAGTAGCAAAAAGTAATTTTCAAACCAAGAAAAGTAGTAAAAAAGTAGAAATCGAAAAATTAAACTTGACGACCAAAAAAACTCATTCACAAAACTAACAAAAATTCCATTCCATATTTTTTATTTTCCTCACTTTTTCCTAATTTTCATCAAAAATATTTACTTCTTTCTTATCCTGATCATCCTTATGCTAATAAATTCAATTCCTGCGACTAATATTATTATTCATCAAAGAATTTCAATATTTATAAAAACAATTTAATTCTTGCAAAGAATTTCATAAAAATTTTTAAATAATTAATTTCCTTCGATTAGTTTTATGCAAATTCTAATTTAAATAATTGAATTCCTGAGAAATTTTTATTATTCATGAAAATAATTGAATTCTTACGAAGATTTTCACAAAAATGTTTTAAATAATTGAATTCTGTTTGGAAATTTTTTTAAAATAGTAGATATTGAAAATTATTGAATTGCGAAAAGTTTTTAAAAATAATTTAATTTTAGAAAGAATTCAATTAAAATTTTTGACAATAATTGAATTCTTGCGAACAATTTTATTAAAATTTTTTTAAATAATTGAATTTCCAAGAATAAATTGATTAATACTATTAAAAATAATTGAATTCTTGTGATGAATATTGTTATTTGAGAAAATAATTGCATTTTACAAAGAATTTTATTACTTCTAAAAAAATTGAATTCTTGTGATGAATATTGTTATTTGAGAAAATAATTGCATTTTGCAAAGAATTTCATTAAAAAACCTCAAAAGAGTTGAATTTTCGGGAATAATTTTTTTATTTATTGACATAATTGAATTCTTTCAAAGAATTATTTATGTAAATAATTGAATTCTTGGGAAAAATTTAATAATTCATTTCTTTCGAACAATTTTATTAAAATATTTGAAAATAATTTAATTTCTGTGAAAAATTCTAATATATTTGTAAATAATTGAATTCTTCAAAAGTATTTTTAAAAAACGTTTTTTTAAATAATTGATTTTTTCGAGGAATTGAAATTAAATTTTTAAGAAAAATGACATTTTTTAAGTAATTTCTGTAAAATTGTACTAAATATAATGAATTTATGAATTTTATTATTTATAATTTATAATTTTATTATTTATAAGAATATTTGAATAGATGTTAAGAATTTTATTAAAAGTTTCAAAAATAATTGAATTTTAGAAAGAATGTAATTAAAATTTTTGACAATAATTGAATTCTTGCGAACGATTTTATTAGAATTTTTTAAAATAATTGAATTTCCGAAAAGAAATTTATTATTTCTAAAAAGAATTGAATTCTTGTGATGAATATTGTTATTTATGAAAATAATTGAATTTTGCAAAGAATTTTCTTAAAATATCTCAAAATAATTGAATTTTCGTAAATAATTTTGTTATTTATAATTTAATTAAAATTTCATTTAAAATAATTGATTTCTTTCGAACAATTTTATTAAAATATTTAAAAATAATTAAATTCCTGTGAAAAATTTTATTATTTTTGTAAATAATTGAATTCTTCCAAACAATTTAAAAAAAACATTTTTTTAAATAATTAATTTTTCCGAGGAATTGAAATTAAAATTTTAAGAATAATTATAGGGGAATGTAGTCAAGGTTGGCCTACTGTCTAGGTAGGCCACTCGCGTTTTTTTGTCAAGTTCACTAGCGCCACCTACGCGCATTTTTGTCGAAGCTTGTCTTAGTGAAACCTAACTTTTTGTTCAATTACATTTTCGGAAAATCGAAAATTGTGTTTTCTGTGACGTCGGTACAAAAAAAGCTCAAAAAAAGTTTTGTGCATAATGTGAAAAACCATTAATAAAAGATAAAAAACAAATTGAATCGTCAAGGCAAGTATGCAGAAAATTTGTGGGACTCATGGTTGAAAGGAAAACAAAGTAAAAAATCGAATCCCGAAACGTATTTCTTTTTGTTTACAACAATTCGGTAATGTTACTTACTGTCAAGGTCGGCCACTATGTGTTTAAAATGCACAAAGTTGAGGACGAGCTACTTCATTTGCAAAAACTGCAATTCTGTATAACTCATAATATAATTGATCATCTTATTAATATTTTTATTTAATTTTATTAATATTTTAGTGCAAAACTTTTTTTTATTTATATTTATTTTTTTATATTGTTTATTGTTATTATTTTGTTATTTCATTAAGTTACAAACTGTAAACAATAAAGAATCAATTTTCCGTAACTCCAAACATGTTATTTTATTTTTTAACGATTAATGCCCTTTGAATTTTAAACATGGCCGACCTTGACTGTAATGGCCAACCTGGACTACAAATTTTTTTTTTTTTAAATCTTTATAACTTTTTCATTTTTAAACCTGTCAATTTACTTTGTACAGAAAAAATGTTCCTATTAAACAGGACTTTCCAACCATATACTTCAATTGTCCAAATTCATTTTTAAAAAAAAGTTATAAACAAAAGTCAAAAAGGTGGCCGACCTAGACTATGTTCCCCTATATTTTTGAGCAATTCCTGTAAAATTGTATTAAAAATAATTGAAATCCTGTGATGAATTTTATTATTTATGAAAATAATTGAATTTTGCAAAGAATTTTATTAAAACGTCTCAAAATAATTGAATTTTCGGGAATAATTTTGTTATTTATCTTTAATAATTGAATTCTTTCGAAGAATTATTTTTATGTAAATAATTCAATTTTCAGGAAGAATTTTATTAAAAACTAAAAGATTAAGAGAATTATTTCAAAAAAATTTAAATAAAATTGGATTTAAAATACTAATTGATTTCTTTAGAACAATTTTATTAAAATATTTAAAAAGAATTAAATTTCTGTGAAAAATTTGGTTATTTCTTAGAATAATTGAATTCTCCCTAAGAATTTTATAAATATTGTTTTAAATAATTAATCTTTTCGTAATATAATAAATATTATGAATATTTTATTTTAAATAATTGAATTCTTGTGGAAAACTTTACTTGTGAAAAGAATTGAATTTTTCAATTAATTATTTTAAAATAGTATTAAAAATAATTGAAATTCTTCGAATGAGTTTTATTATTTATAAAAATAATTGAATTCTTGCTTAGAATTTTATTTAAAAAATTTTTTAAATAATTGAATATCCATGAAAAATGTTATTATTAGTAAAAGTAATTGAATTATTGTGAAGAATTATATCCAAATTTTGTTAAATGATCGATTTTTTCGAAAATGCTATTCTAAATTAATTGAATTTCTGTGGAAATTTTATTATTTATGAAAATTATTGAATTTCTGTGGAAATTTTATTATTTATGAAAATAATTGAATTTTGAATCAATTTTATCCATTTTTTTAAAATAATTGAATTCTTTTGCGAAATTTGATGAAAATACTAAATATAGAATATAATTAAATGTCGAATATTTTTTGCAAATAATTGAATCGTTTTAAAGAATTGGAGACTATAATTTTTGAGAATTTTTTTTTATTTCTAGTATTAGCGAATTTAAAGTAGTGGAAATTCTCAAAAAAACAGAAATAGTAGCTTTTAGTGGCTGAAATCTAAAAAAGTACCCAAATAGTACCATAACTTAAAAAAAGTAGTAAATAGTAGGTTTTAGTAGATGAGTGCGAAGCCTGCAAAGTGAATCTTCTGTATTAATTGAATTGAAAATTATATACTAATTATTATGTACATATTTGCAATTTAGGAAATAATTATGTTTCTAAAATATAAATCTAATAACTTGTTCCCTGATCGTGTTAAGTTTTTAAATTAACGTGTTTAGTGCGCCTAAGTAAAAATCAATTATTATGTAGCATGTTGACTGCTGTCATCTTCAACTAACAATTTCAATAACGCCATCAGATATGAATAATCTCTGTCAGGTAAGTGCTATCAATTCTTCACTCGTAAATAATCATTTAGTTGAATTGCTAAATTTCTTCATGTATCATTAGTCTTAACAAGCACTCTAATATGAGAAAATCTTATTCTTTAATAATATTTTTATTAATTAACATTTTTTTTTATTACTTTAAATACAATTTTTTTAAATGGAAATGAATAATATTTTAGGTGACAGTGACATTCCGGAAAAGTTGATTGGCGTCGAGGATTTGTCTCACCGGTATTCTAATCCTCCTTCTCACATTAAACAAACTTCGAATAAGAAGTTGTCTCAAGAACCAACGAGTAAAAAACAAGTACAAAACTATGAAGATATAAAAGCAAAGTACAAAGGTGCTGGAACTGATGATAATATGGAGAATGTAATGGTTAAAAATATTGCTAATGCACAAACAGAAAAAGGAATAAGATACAAAGAGGGTGAGTGAATATAGGTATTATTATTATACCAAATTTCTAACAAGGTTACTGTGCTACTAATAAAAATCAATTAACTAGTATAATTTACATAGCGAATAAAAACAATCATTACCTTCATTAAAAAATATATTTTGTTCTCACTTTGAAATTATTAAATCATCGCATTAAATTTAATTACTCAAATATGTAAAGATTGATAAGTAAATTGAAACTTTTATTACAGAACCAAAGAGTCAAACTGGAACAAAATTAGGATTTGAAGATGACTACGAAGAATCATCGGAAGGCGAAATTGTTACAGATTCAGAGGAACTTGATGATGAAGAGGAGGAAGACGAAGAAGAGGATGAAGAAATAGAAAATGTTGACGATAGTGAATTGGTGGCCAAATTAGAAGCCAAATATGGAAAATTACCAACACCAGAAGGAAGTGAAGAGGAGGAGGAGGAAGAAGAAGAAGAAGAAGAAGAAGAAGATTATGAAGACGAAGAAGAAGAAGAAGAAGAGGAAGAAAAAGAGAAAGAAAAAGAAGTAAAAGGAAAAAATATTAAAGCATGGAAACGAAAATAGTACACGGGGGTCATTTATACCAATTCCCCATAAAATGTACAATAGAAATTTTTTTTGCAAAAATATTTTAAAATATGTGTTTTTTGTATCCGTTCCATTAATTGTTACTAGAATAAGAAATTAAACTGTTGTTACTCTGCAGATTATAGATTTTTAACGTTTTAATTTAACAAATTAAAACAAGATGTTTTATAATCTTAAAACAAAAACTTACCTCACTAAACGTATAAATTATTAAATCAAACATTAGGAATTACAATTCCTTATAATCATTGAAGCCAAAACAAAGACTTGACATATAATTTCAAGATTTTTCACATTCATCGGGGCAATTATTATGGCCTTGATGCAATTATTATTATTATTATTATTATTATTATTTACATCATACTAGAAGAACGAAATATGAAATCAAATGTTTATATAATCTGTTAAAAATAGTGTCAAAGTATTCTACAGCAAAGGTGATTAAAAAATATTAGCTTTTGGTAAAGTTCTAACATATTTAATTAAATTAGAATAATTATTTTGTAATCAAGTGAAAGTATTTATCATTTCGTGTCCCCGAGAAACCCAGCAATTGGATTTTATTGATACATTTTCGAAATTTTGAAAATTCAAAATGGCGGATCCATAAGAATATTATTATAAAACATAAAGAAATGGATCACTTCGAGTCGAAGACTCGAAGTAATCCATTTCTTTATGTTTTATAATAATTAAAGATGACCGACTGACAAAATCATTATTTTATTATTACAAGAATATTGATTACTGTAATTTTTTCAAAATTATTTGCATCATTTAAATTCAATTAACATTTTCTAGAATTTCTAACTAAAATTCTACTTTAAATCAATAACATCAATTATTATTCAATTAAACTTTTTCAAAAAAATTAATTCTACATAATTGTTAGTTAAAAGTACGAAAAATAATCATTTAATTCTACGAGAAATCAATTATTTAAATATAAAAATAAATAATATCGAATGTTTCGTAAAATTTATTTTTTACGCAGAATTGTATTAACAACTTTTGAAAATATTTAATTTATTTTAAGCAATTTAATTAAAATTTTAATGGAATTTATTACATTAAAGAATTTTATATCAATTTTTAAAAATAATTGAAAACTTTATGACGAATTTTATTAAATTTTTAAAAAATGATTGAATTCTTGAGAAGAATTTAAATAATAATTTTTGAAAACAATTGAATTCATGAGAAGAATTTTATTAAAATTTTTGAAAATAATTGACTTTTTCAGAAGAATTTTGAAAAAAATTTTGAGAATAATTTAATTCTTGAGAAGAATTTCCCTATCTATTTATAAAGATAATTTAATTTTTGACGAGAATTTTTAAAAAATTTTGAAAATAATTTAATTTCTACAAAATATTTTATTACTTTTCAAAAGAATTGAATTCTTGTGATGAATATTGATCTTTATCAAAATAATTGAATTTTGGAAAAGAATTTTATTAAAATTCCTTGAGAATAATTGATTTTATAAAAAGAATTTATGCGATTTTGTTGATTATCAAGCTAATTGAATTCTTTTGCAAAATTACTTAAAAATTTTTGAAAATAATTCATTTTCTAATTAAATAATTCAATGTTACCTAAAATTGAATTCTTTCCTCAAGATTTAATAAAATTTTTAATAATAATTTCATTTTTCATGGAATTTATTTAAAATTGTATTAAAAATATTTGAAACTCTGTGATGAAAAATAATTGAATTCGTAAATGAAATTTCATTATTTATGAAAATAATTGTATCTTTTCGTAGAATTGTATCAAAAAGTTTTTTCTATAATTAAATCTGTTGATAAATTTTATGAAAATAGTAAATATTGGAAATTATTGAATTGCAAAAAACTTTTGAAAGTAATTGAACTTTTGCAAAGACTTTTATAAATTTTTGAAAAGAATTGAATTTTTGGCAAAAAAATTTGCTATTTTTAAAGATAATTGAATTCTTGACGAGATATTCATAAAAATTTTTAAAAATGTTTGGATTTCTTCGAAGAATTTAAATAATAAATTATGAAAATATAATTAAATTCGTGGGAAGAATTTTATTAAATTTTGTTTAAATAATTGACTTTTTGAGAAGAATTTTTGAAAAAGTTTTGACAATAATTTAATTCTTGAGAAGAATTTTTCTATCTATTTATAAAGATTATTTAATTCTTGACGAGAATTTTTAAACAAATTTGAAAATAATTTAATTTCTACAAAGTATTTAATTACTTTTAAAAAGAATTGAATTCTTGTGATGAATTTTGATATTTATCAAAATAATTGAATTTTGGAAAAGAATTTTATTAAAATTCCTTAGAATAATTGATTTGATGGGAAGAATTTATGCGATTTTGTTGTTTATCAAGCTAATTGAATGCTTTTGCAAAATTACTTGAAAATTTTTGAAAATAATTGATTTTCTGCGACGAGTTAAATGTTATTTCTAAAAATATTTTATTTATTGCAACGAATTTTATTGTTTTATTGAATAATTAAATATTTCTTAAAATTGAATTCTTTTCTCAAGTTTCAACAAAATTTTTAATAATAATTTCATTTTTCAAGAAATTTAATTAAAATTGTATTAAAAATATTTGAAATTCTACGATGAAAATAATTGAATTCGTAATTGAAATTTTATTATTTATAAAAATAATTGAATCTTTTCGTAGAATTGTATCAAAAAGTTTTTTCTATATTTAAATCTGTTGATAAATTTTATGAAAATAGTAAATATTGAAAATTATTGAATTATGAAAAAACTTTTGAAAATAATTGAAATTTCGCAAAGATTTTTATAAATTTTTGAAAATAATTGAATTTTGTAAAGAATTTTATTAAAATTCCTAAAAATTATTAAATTTATGTGAAGAATTTTGTTATATATCAAGATAATTGCATTAAAACTTTTGTAATAATTAAATAATATTAAAAAAAACATGACGGATCCAATATGGCGAGCTATAAATTTTAGAAATCAATTGAATTCACTTGAATCTTGCTACTCGGGGGTTTTTGGGCAATTTTTAACTTCATCGTCTGCCATATTGGATCCGCCATTTTGAATTTTCAAAATCTGACTTTAAATTCGTAATAAGCGACCCAGGTAGTACTGTATACTGTACGCAATGAAACAGAGATGTATTTTTATTCTTTTCTATCTCATGCATTACTTTCTAAAAGAAACAAGTTTAATTATTACTATTATACCTGACATTGAAAATCGTAGCTCTAGTTTATTGTATAAAAATAAAAGAAAAAATGTGTTTTAACTTATTTTTCTTTTAAAACAACATTCCTGTATAACCCTGAATTTCCCAACTGAGCATGGAGGATCCGAATGAAAATTAGTAGAATTAGTTAATGAACAATTTAATATTTAATGCTTCGATAGACGTCAAGGTGCCACTTGAAGGAATAGTAGAAAATCCACCAATGGAAGTAGATATAAATTTAAATAGTAGCAAAGCAATAACATCAGAAAGCGATTTTTCTAATGCAACATCATCAACATCTAGTGATTTAACAACTAGTGAAGAGCAAAGAAATTCACACTTTAAGGTTTGTATAACATCTTTTAGAAAAAAGTATTGTATTTTACTTCTTTATTCTATTCATTCATTTTCTATTATTTTTATCACTAAAATATCTGATGAATTTTATTTAATAAGACTCATTTAAATTATTGGATAAAAACAAGAATATTTTATTTCTGTCTCCAGGGACCTGAAAATTAGTAAAAAAAAAAAATTCTGTTATCCTCTTCCATTTTGCACGCGTTAAACGGGATTTTTTTTATTAATCATCTGCTTTTTAAATAGATCAACCAAAATAAAATGAATTGCTTCTTTTTACTAATTCCGAAGATCATTTTTGAACAAGATTCAAATTCAAACTCTACTTCTAACGTTAAATTTGCTTTGAAATTAGATTATTTTTAGTGCGAAATAATTTTTCTTATTTCTTATCAAAATTTGTTTTCTTAAAAACTTTTACTTGTTATGTGGTAACATTTGTAATTAACTACTTGACAAATTCATATAAAATTTCGTTTAAGTACAGTAGAACCTTAAGAATTTCAACTCAGTTTTAGATTAAAATATCTTAATTCAAGTACATAATTTTTGAATCATCATTTATAGACGTTTATTTAAATTTTTTTTTAAATTGAGTTACATTCCGATATAGGTTTTACTGTAGGTCAAAATATTTACTAAAAAGAAATTAATTGGTATGAATTATTGAAAATTTGTTTGTAATAATAAATTCACTTTTGCTTGATAAAACTTTAAAAAAAAGAGGAAATTATGGTTCATTGTGCAAAAGGAAGCAAACTTTAATTGTAAGTAATATTTTCTGCATTTTAATCGAAATTCTATTTATTTAAGCATTTATATTACACACGTACCCTGCTCCCCCCTTCCTTTCAGAATAAACAATATAATTTTCACTTATTGGTTTTCACAGGATTTGTAGCGAAAACACTGAAAAAATTCCAACGAATTTTTAAAAAGGACAGTTTTGAAGTGAGTTGTATATTTTTTAGGAAAAATATTCTATCGCAAAATGTGTATTCAATTATTATCATTATTTTTCTTATAAAAAAAATATATTGAAAAAATAAAAAGAAATTTGTCTTAATTTATTTCTAAATTAATAGGTACTTATAAAATGATATTTTCAAATTTCAAATGTTAGTTTATATAAATTTAAAATTTGTGGGTTCTTTCTCTGAATAGATAGTTATAGTAATATAAAATTATGGTAAAATAAATATTTGCTTATTAATTGACATATAATTGTCATGAAAATTTTAGAAAAGAATGCCGAAAATGCAACTAGTTATCGTTTCTTTAGCGTCTGCACATTCTTCAATAAACATCATAATCTATATTAATAATCGTTGTATTCCGATAATCTATTCGCAGTTGTTGATTGTTTTTTGTTTCGACTAACTTTTTTTAAAATTTTTATTTTTAAATATTTCCAATTTTTAAATTAATATAAGTATTGAAAATCATTAAATTCTTGCAAAGAATCTTATCTAAAAATTTCAAGAGAATAATTGAATTTTTTCGAAGAATTTTTTTATTTATGAAAATAATTGAATTGTTCCAAAGAATTTTAAAAAATTTTAGGAAATAAATGAATTTTATGTAAATATTTGAAAATAAATTAAAATCTTTTGAGGAATTTTATTAAAATTGTTTTGAAAAGAATTGAATTTCTGCAAAGACTTTTACTATATTTATAAAAATAATTGAAATAATCAAAGAATTTATTAAAATTTTAGGAAAAATTGAATTGTTTTGAAGAATTTTAAAGAAATATTTGAAAATAATTAAATTTTTGTAAAGAATTTTATTAAAATTAAGCATATTCAAAATAATTGTTTTCATCAGAAGAATTTTATCATTTTTTGAAAATAATTTGAATTTTTTCAATTTTTTTGACGAATATATATATTTAAAAATTGCATTGAAAGTAAATTAAATTTTCCTATAGAATTTTTAAAAATATTTTGAGAATAATTGAATTATTTTTAGAGAATTTCAAATTCTTGTTGAAATTGAATTTGATGGAAATTTTTGAAAATAATTAAATTCTTTCGTGTAATTTCATTTAAAGTGGATTAAAAAAAAATTTAATTTCTGCAAAGAATTTTAGTATTTATAAAAATAGTTGAATTGTTTTGAGGAATTTATTAAAATTTTAGGAAATAATTGAATTTTATGAAAATATTTTAATTCTGTCGAGGAATTCAATTAAAATTGTTTTGAAAATAATTGAATTTCTGCAAAGAGTTTTACTATTTACAAAAATAATTGAATTCTTCCAAAGACATTAACATTAAAAAAATGTGGTGGCCATATTGGATCCGCCATTTTGAATTTTGTAAAATAAACATCAAATTCAAATTCAGTGACCCCAAAAAACCCCCGAGAAACGAATTTCGATCGAATCGCAACAATACGAATTTCAAGCAAATCTGATGAATTTCTTGACATTTTCCCTTTCTATTTACTAATTTTACTTCTGCTTTCTTGGGACAAAAATATGGTAACTGACATATTTAACAATAAATTAATATCTAATAGTAGAAACAAACGGTAATAAAAATTTTTTAAGTTTTTTTAGATGTAAATACATTTACTTTACAAAAATTGATTATCAACTATTAAAATACTTTGTCATATTAAAAAAATCAATTTTCAGCTAAAAATTAAAAGTAAACTAATTAGAAAATACTTCCGGGAAAAATATTATAGAAATAGTTTATATTCTAAACTTGTTTTTATTACTTAGCATTATATTAACAAACGTATTTTTTTTTTTTTGAGTTTATGCGACGATGAAATAAAAAATGTAAATATTCCGTTGATAATTATACCAAATTGATAAAAAAAAAAAGTTCTCTCATCGAAGCAATTTACAAATAGAATACAAAATTTTTAGTGTCACTCTAAAAGGTAACACGAAAATTTTTGTAAATTCAGTACAACAAACGTGCTTTGTTGTAGTTTAAATAAAAAATTAACAATGTACAATAATTATCTTATTTCTGTCGAAATGGAAAGTCTGAAGAAAATTCCTGAAAGTTTATACATGTGTGACTGTGTAATCTACAATATTTAAAGACAGTATAAATTAGAACAGAATTATGCTTGAGTTTCACTTCACGTTGTATAAGTCTTAAAAAAAAGTGAATAACCTTCTATAAGAAGATTGTTAAAAAGACACTTTACTTTACCTTGATTTCACAATTCAATCTTGAATAAAAATTGGAGAGAAAATTTAATATTTGTGCTTATGTCTGTGTTTCCTGGGCGATGGTGACGGTGGACTGCTCAATCTATGTTTCGACGATGTTCTTGGCGGTGGAGGCGGTGACATCGATGGCGATCGAATTCGTCTTTTTCTATCGCTTCGTTCACTGACTGGTGATCTGCGCGATGATCGCGAGGAAAACGGAGGCGAAGGTGTTCTTCGAATTCGAGGCGGCGATGGTGTCACCACTGGATTATTTCGCTTCTTATGCGGCGATCGCGATCTGCGTTTGCTGCGCGGTGATCGACTGCGTGACCTGAACGAAAATTAATTAAATATAAGAAATCTAAACACGATAATAATTAATTTTGAAAAAATAGCTTTTAAGACTGAAAAAAATAGTAAAATGTAGCTGTTGAAAAATTTAATTTGACGACTAATTTTCAATTAGAATTCTTCAAAAATAAGATTATTTTTTAAAATAATTTTCAATAGTTAAAATAAAATTCATTAAAATATAAAATTTATTTCAATGAAATTAGACAAAATTTCCAGAATTTAAAAATAAACATAAATTAACTTACAAAAATGTTTTTTGGGTAAACCTACAAAAAAGCATTGAATACAATTTTTCGGTTTAAAATTTAAATTTCGAAGTAATTTGAAAAATGACGTACCTGTAACGACTACAAGATTTTGGAGGAGGACTAGGTGAATTTCTTCTTCTGTCTCTGTAATGAACTGGCGAGTCCGGGGAAACACTTCGCTTTTTCTCCCTTCGTCTCTCATCTTCACGGTCTTCACTTTTTCTTTCTTTCATTTCTCTTTCACTCTGTAAAAACAGGAATTTCAAATTCAAACCTTTTTGAAATTTAATATCTTATAATAATTAAAAATGACAGAGTGATAAAATCATTATTTTACAATATAAGAATATTGTTACTGTAACTTTTTCAAAATTATTTTCATCATTTCAATTCAATTATTATTTTCTACAATTTTTAACTAAAATTCTTCTTTAAATCAATTATTTTTAATAATGTTTGAAAAAGTTCTTTGAGAATTTTCAAATCCATTTGTTTACAATTCAATTTTTCAAAACTTCGATTATTCGGAAATTCTTCAATTAAATACCTATATATTAGAAAATAAAAACTTTTAATAATAAAAAAAAAATTGAATCATACTTCTTCAAAAAAATTAATTCTACACAATTGTTAGTTACAAGTATAAAAAATTCAGATTTGTTAATTAAATTTCTGTAAAAATTTTATTACTTTTGAAAATAATTGAATTTCTGCAATCATTTGTAATATTTCCACTAATTTCAGAAGAATTTGAATTATTAAAATTATTCAAAAATTTAAGTTCTTTAAAATTTCTAATTAAATTTATTGAGAATAGAAATTTTCTAAAATTTCAAATTGAAACCTTTTAACTTTTGACCTTTATTTTCAATATTTTAATAAAAATTTAATAATCAATTGTTGAATTTCAATTATTAACAAACACAATTATTTTTTAAACTTGAAAGAAATTCTTCATAAAATTCAACTACTTTCAAAATTTTCAATTAAAATTATTAAAAAAAATTCCATTATGTATTTTAAAAATGGTCAATGAAATTCTGCTTAAAAATCCAATTTTTTCATAAATAGCAAAATTCATTCTATAAAATTCAATTATTTTCCACTTTTTTGATAAAATTTTTTGCAAGAATTCAGTGATTTTCAATGCATTAATTTTAATATTAAAAAAAATTTAAAGCGAGAAAAATTACTTAAAAAGTTAGGAAACAAAAAAGTAAACAACTTACTTCAGACTGCGAATAAATTACAGGAATACAACGATTATTATTAATATAAATTTGATTTATAATAAAAAGTATTGTATTTATTAATACTATTATTGTTCTTATTAATAAAATAAAATAATAAAATGAAAATTAATACAGTAAAAGTGAGCGAATAAAGTAGAATAAATATTTGAAAGTAAATTTACCTTTCTAATTAATTTTTTTCGATAATGTTCAACCTGGGCTTGAATGGTCATTCCGCCTTTAATGGACCTTCTTCCGCTCTCCAATTCATCCTGATACTGCATGGCTTTGACTTCAATTTCGCGCAGTCGATTTCTTCTTTCTTCATTATAATCACGGCTGCTAGAATTTAGGTGCATAGAAATATTCTTGTTATCGTTACTACTGTAATTGAATTAAAATGCATAAGTTATTTTTAAAAATATTATCAAAATTCGATATTCAGTGAAGTACAATTAAAAAATTGAAACGTAAATTTCACCTTGAATCCATACTGGCATCTTGTGAATTTGAATCATCGTTTTGTTCTAATTCCTCCCATTTACTTGTCGTCATTGCCTGTGCCTCGATCTGAAAATATTTAAAACAAGTCGGTATAAAAAATTTTATTTTTCAATTATTAATAATAATTTCGAATTTCTATTAGATCTTAATTTATATTTAATACCTGATCTGGATCGACAGTTTCCCATCTCGATGGAACGAATCCTGCAGGCATTGCTGATTTTTTATCATCATCTTTAGATTTTGCATTATCATTGTCTTCGTCGTCCATCGGAATACCATCAATGTCTTCATCCACTATTACAAAACAAATGATTAAAATGATAGAAAAAATATGTAAAACTACATTTTTTCAACTTACTCGGTACTCCGTCAATGTCATCGTAATGGGAACCTGGTTGAGGTGTGAGGCCAAGTTTTATGGCGCCTTTCAGAAGAGCCGCACCATCAAGAGGAACGCCGTCCAAATCTTCAGTTGCTTCTGCATCTGTATCCGAAAGTGGTGCTCCATCGATGTCTTCGTCGTGTTCCTTTTCCGGTTCTTCTGGCTAAAATTATAAATTAATTACAACATATGACAAGTTTCCAATTTGAAAAAAAGAAAATAATCCACTCACCATAACAAGTCCAAGGAAGGAATTTTGAAGTTTGACAAGAAAGTCTCGAGGATAAACAGCCCAGTCTTCCCAAGCTCTGAACATTCGCATCACACGAACTTTAAATCCTTCTGCTTTTAATCTACTGTCAAATTGTTTATAAGCCTGATGAACCTCATTAAAAATTTCCAGCAGGCGTGATTCGAACCTTAAATTAAAATGCAATATTATTTTTTATCCTCTTTCAACACAATGATTAGACAAAGACAGTTAATATTAATATTAAAAAGTGAAGAAATATTTACGCTTTTCTGTAGATTGTGGCATTTGTAATTTTAACGCCACAGTTGTGCAAAATATCAGAAATAAGATAGAGTCTGGCTATCTTCTTGTTCACAGGTGTTTGCAAAATTGAAAGAGATTCTGTGATACAATCGCAAATTTCTTCAGCTGCTTCCGCATGTTCTATACAAAATACCATTGCTTCTGCAACTCTTATTCGTTCAGGAGAAATATTACGCAACAAATCTTCCAAACGATCTCTTTGACTAAAATCAATTATTTGCCTGTTTATGTACAATCGTAAATATATCAAAAAATCGTTACATCAATTACATAATTGCAACATTTATGTTACAAAATTATTCAATGTTTTTAATAAATTATTATTTTTATTAAACAATCAAAATCATATTTCTCGATAATTAATACAGGGCTCGAACCAGTGAAAGTATTTAAAAATACGGACTTTACGGACCAAAAATAAAAAATTACGGACCAATTACTGATAAAAATATAACCAGTCCGAGTCAAATAAGAGAACATTTTACTTAAAACTATAAATTAAAATTGCCATAACTATAAAACATGAAGAAATCAATCACTCCGAGTCTTCGACTAGGAGTGTTCGATTTCTTCATGTTCCTCTAATAATTAAAGATGACAGAGTGATAAAATCATTATCAATTCAATTATTATTTTCTTGAATTTTTAACTAAAATTCTTCTTAAAATCGATTATTTTTAATAATTTTCGAAAAAGTTCTTTGACAATTTTCAAATTCAATTTGTTTACAATATTCAATTTTACGAAATTTCTATTATTCGTAAATTCTTCAATTAAATATATATTAGAAAATAAAAACTTCGAATAATATTAAAAAAATCCGCAATTAAACTTTCTCAAAAAAATGTATTCCACAAAATTGTTAGTTAAAAATATAAAAAATTCAAATTTTCAAAGATTTTAATTTGAAACCTTTTCAAAATTCAATTATTTCTAAAAATGTACGCTCTAATGCTTTTAATATTCAATTATAACCCAAAATTTTAACATAAATCCATTTTTAAATCAATTTTTATAAGAAAATTTTACTAGAATTCAATTATTTAAATATACCAAAAAACAATTTATTGAATGATTGCATGTTTCTTAAAATTAAATTCTCATAAAGAATTTTATTAATAAATTTTTAAATAATTTAATTCTTTAGACGAATTTTAATTAAATTTTTAAGAATAATTACATTTTTTCGAGAAATTCGATTAAAAATAAAAGAAATTCTGCAATGGATTGTATTATTTATCAAAATAATTGAATTCCCAATCAGAAATTTATTATTTACCAAAATAATTGAATACCTGTAAAAATTTTATTGTTTATGAAAATAATTGAATGACTGCGAAGAAATTAATAGAAAAAAAACTTGTAAATAATGAAATTTCTGTGAAATTTTAATTATTTTGTGAAAATAATTAAAATTTTATTAAATTTTTTTTTAGATAATTGAATTCTTTTGGAAAATTTTATTAGAATAGTAGATATCTATTAAAAATCATTGAATTGAGGAAAATTTTTATAAAAAATTGAAATTATGACAAGAATTTTATTAAAATTTTCGAAAATAATTAAATTTCGGAGAAGAAATTTATTATTTTCAAAGATAATTGAAATTTTGACAATAATTTTATTAAAAGTTTTGAAAACAATTTTGCGAAGAATTCTATTATTTGAAAAGAGAATAATTACAATTTTCACGAGAACTTTTAAAAAAAATAATAATTCTACAGAATTGTTAGTTGAAAAGTACGAAAAATTCAGATTTTTCAAGATTTTAATTTGAAACCTTTTCAAAATTTAATTTTTTCTAAAAATTCATGCTCCAATGCTATTAATATTCAATTATTAACAAAAAAATTTCAAAAAAAATTAATTTTCAAATCAGTTTTGATTTGAAAATTCTACGAGAATTCGGTTATTTAAATACAAAAATAAATAATTGATTGCTTCTTAAAAATAAATTCTCATATAAAGAATTTTATCAACAAATTTTTAAATAATTGAATTCTTTTGATGAATGTTAATAAAATTTTTATGAATAATTACATTTTCGAGAAATTTGATTGAAATTTTATTAAAAATAAATGAAATTTTGCGATGAGTTTTATTATTATTTGTGAAAATAATAATTGAAGTCTTAAAAAGAATTTTATTATTTATGAAAATAATTAAATTATGGCTAAGAAATTTATATAAAATTTGTAAATAATTGAGTTTCTGGGGAATTTTTATTATTTTGTGAAAATAATTAAATAAAAGGTTTGTGTAGAATTTTATTAAATTTTTTCTTTAGATAATTGAATTCTATTGGAAAATTTTATTAGAATAGTAGATACCTATTAAAAATCATTGAATTGAGGAAAATTTTTATAAAAAATTGAAATTGTGACAAGAATTTTATTAAAATTTTTGAATTTCGGAGAAGAATTTAATTATTTCTAAAGATAATTGAAATTTTGACGAGAATTTTTAAAAAATTTTGAACATAATTGAATTTTTGCAAAAAAATTTTTATTACTTTTGAAAATAATTGAATTATCTACAATCATTTGTAATTTCTCTAAAATTATCCAAATTATATTGTATAATTTACGAACTTTACGGACCTTTTTCAATCAAATTACGGACTTTACTGACCTTTTTTTTAAAAAAAAACGGACTTTTACGGACTTTAAGCAAAGTTACGGACTTTTACGGGATTTACGGACCTAGTTCGAGCCCTGTTAATATTATTATTGAAATTTATTGAATTTATTGAAATTTAATTATTTCTAAAAATTGCAACTGTAATTATTCCAAAATTCAATTTTTTTTAAATAAAAATTTTAATATGTTTATTTTTTTTGCTTCCCTTAAATTTACAAATAATTTGATTTAAAAATCTTTTAATATTAATCCCTATAAAATTCTTGTTAATTCTTGTTAATTTTACAAAATTTACAATTGTTTCAATTTTTTTTAAAATTATTTTCGAGAATTCAAAGTATATCATCAAAGAATTTTAATTACAATTCTTCAAAAACCTAATTTCTTTCTGAATTTCTTTATTGAGTTTTTTTAAATTTGGGTTAAATTTTCTTACTTCACTTATTTTATTATTTACAAATTAACTGTCAAACTTTTGACATAACAATTCGAAGTAAACAAAATTTTGAATCAAAAAACGCTAACTTTACGTGAAGACAAATAATTGCATTTTTCGAGGAATTTATTTAAAATTATATTAAAAATATTTGAAATTCTGCGATAAAAATAATTGAATTCGTAAATGAAATTTTATTATTTATGAAAATAATTGAATCTTTTCGTAGAATTGTTTCAAAAAGTTTTTTCTATAATTAAATTTGTTGATAAATTTTATGAAAATAGTAAATATTGAAAATTATTGAATTGCAAAAAACTTTTGAAAATAGGGTACATTTAGGGGCCAAAATTAAAAAAAGGGGACAGACTGTGAAGCTTGTAAGTTTCATTATAATTGTCGAATTTCTATTATAATCGCGTCGTAACTGGTACTTTGACTCTATTATTATGTTTTATAAAAATATCATAAGAAAGAAAATAAGGAATAAAAAATAATACCTGTTTGACAGACTCCCCCTTCTAGGCTCTTGTCTTTCTTCAATTTCAATTAATTCCTCTGGCATTCCCTGAGTCCATGGATTGATTGGCGGAGGTCTCCAAACGCTTCCTCCTTTAAACATTCTAAAATCTTCAATTCGCCATTCTTTTTGACAATCTCCTTGAAGAATGGAATACAATTTCCAACGATAATAAGTATGTGCCGGTGAATAGTTTTCAAATAAAAATCTGAAAGAAAATATTCCAAAAATTATATTTTGAAGTCTTTGACATTCTGATCACTTTTTTTGAGTGATGAGAAAAAAAGAACAAGTATTAGAAAATAATTACTAACCGAAACATGGGATTTGATATTTCTCGATTCATAATCATTGCTTCAAACATGGGTCCCTCTCGAATGACAAATTCCACCATTCTATGTATCAACATGACTAAGTTCCTATAAGGCGCGCAGTCTCATTTAAATAACCAAATTTCCATAGACAAGACGAAGAAATGTTTGTTTTTTTTTTTTAAGGAAAAAGAGAACGTGGATAGGGAAGAAGGCGGAATACGATCATACTTACAGGAATCTGTATAAAAGTCTACATAAGATTAAAATCTAAAAATACCTTTCCGTCGGAATAACCACTTTGACAACTGCATTCTGCAAAATCTGTCAAGGCCCAGTAAGTGTGTCGATAGAGTGGTACAGATTGTCATCCAAAACATCGGAATGCACCCCCAAGAATGGACGGGAACAATTCAAGATAATTTTAAAGGACGATTAGAGAAGTCTTTGAAAATTTGAATTCCACTTTTTCTACGGTAGGCACCAACGCCTCCGCTCTTACAATTTTACAAATTATTCAACAAAACTTTTTTAAACTTACCAAATTAACTGATTAACACCAAGTTATTCTCTTTCTATCATTATTTTTCAATTATTATCTTTAACCTTACTGAGAAAACAATTTATCTTTTCAAAATTAAAACATTCTTCAAAATAAAAATAAATGTTTTATTATCAACTTTCTATTTCAGGGTTGCTACAAAAATTTAATTTTGTTTTTTCCTGACTTTCCAGACAAAATTTTTTTTCTTTTTCCCTAACCCTAAAGAATATTCTGATTCACTTTAAAAATTATTAGATACTCAAAAAAAAAAAAAAAATGTTCCATTACATTTATTTACAAATTTCTTCAAAAGTAAAGTTATTCGAAAACATCAATAACTTCGTTTTTAAATAAATATTTAATCATTATTATTTTTTCATAGGAATTAAAATTCTTCAAAAGATTCAAATTCAATAACTTTTAAGAATATTATTATAAAACATGTCCGTGTGATAAAATCATTATTTTTTTTATATTATAAAAGAATATTGTTACTATAACTTCTTCAAAATTATTTTCATCAATTCAATTCAATTATATTATTTTTTTAGAATTTTTAACTAAAATTTCTCTTTAAATCAATTATTTTTAATAATTTTTGAAAAAGTTTTTTAATAATTTTCAAATTCATTTGTTAACAATTCAATTTTATACGGAATTTTAATTATTCACAAATTCTTTAATTAAATATATATTGGAAAATAAAAACTTTAAATAATTTTAAAAACAATTCAATTAAACATTTTCAAAAAAAAATTAATTCTACAGAATTATTAGTATGAAAAATTCAAATTTTCAAAGATTTTAATTTGAAACCTTTTCAAAATTCAATTATTTCTAAAAAATTCACGCTATAATGCATTTAATATTCAATTACAGGCTGTCTACTATTTTCGTTTAACAAAATTTCCGGCTTTGTCCTAATTTTTCCCGGTTTTCTTTCTCATCAAATTTAAATTTATTTTCATTCGAAGACAAATAAATCTACAAGTAGCTTTCAAACTTTTTATTAGAGTTTTTAAGAATAATTAAATTCATTGGACGAGTTTCTTTAAATTTTTTGAAAATAATGTTTTTTTTAATAATTTTAATTAAAAATTTGGAAAATAATTGAATTAAACAAAGAATTTTTTCAACTTTTTAAAATAATCTTGTATTGCTCAAAATTATAATTGAAAATTTGATTAATTCAATTTTATTAAAATTAATTGATACTTGTAATTGAATTTCTGCAAAGAAATTTACTATTTATAAAAGTAATTGAATCCTTCAAAAGAATGTTATTATTTTTGAAAATAATTAAATGTTTGCATAAAATTTTATTAAAATTTTTTGAAAATAATTAAATTGTGGAGAACAATTTAATTATTTATAAAGGTAATTAAAATTTTGAGAAGAGTTTGAAAAAATTTTTAAACATAATTGAATTTTTGCGAAGAATTTTATTACTTTTGAAAATAATTGAATTGTTTTTTTTTAGAATTTTATGGAATTTTATGAAAATAATTGAATTCTTTCGACGAATTTTAATAAAATTTTTAAGAATAATTACATTTTTCGAGGAATTCGATTAAAATTGAAATTCTGCGATGAGTTTTACTATTTATGAAAATAATTGAATTCCTAAAAAGAATTTTATTATTTACGAAAATAATTGAATCTCTGTAAAAAAATTGTATAGTTTATGAAATAAATGAAAATTATTACGAAGAAATTTATAATAAATTTGTAAATAATTGTAAATAATTAAATTCTTGTGAATTTTTACTATTTATGAAAATAATTAAATGTTTTGGTAGAATCTTATCAAAATTTGTTTTAAATAATTAAATTCTTCGGGAAAATTTTTTATTAAAATAGTAGACATTGAAAATCATTGAATTGAGAAAAATTTTTGAAAATAATTACAGTTTGGCCAAAAATTGTATTAAATTTTTTTAAGTAATTGAATTTAGAAGAAGAATTTTATTATTTATAAAGATAATAGACCTTTTCATTTCAATTATTTTCTTTGCGCATGCGTTATATGGAATTGAAGTTCCGTTTCAAGTTTCGGCCCTGTTTACAGCTATTGCATTATTCAGATATGAAAAAATTATAAAAAGTGTTCTAATAATTATTATATATTGCATAAAAATGGAGTATAATAATTATAACAAATACTGGAATAAATTTAATGAAAAAATTAAGGACGGAGCATATATTAATTATTTTATCAATAAGTTATTTTTGAAATATCAATAATTTATTTTAGTTTTTTTGCATTTCTACATGCAACGTTAATAAAAATAATAAATAAAAGTGAAAGAGGTAACTATTATGTTTTTCACATTTCATCAGCGAATAACAATATGTCAATATATAGTAAACATAACCTCACTCTGGAACCAACTCTTTTTTCTTCTTTTAGTTGACTGTTTTCTGCACTGCAGTGATATTTTTAATTGCAAATTTAACTGCGTGTTTTTATGTTTAAATTTGATACCAATTTTGCACCGGACACATTTTCTTTTCTCTATAAAAACATGAGCAAAAGTAAAGTTTTAACACATGTTAATAGAACAGGGCCGAAACTTTTAAAATTGGTGAACTGTCATGGTTGCTGCGCAGGCGCATTCGCGACTTCCGAATTGAAATGAAAAGGTCTATTGAATTGTTGATGAGATTTTTTTTCTAATTTTTGAACATAATTGAATTTTTGCGATCATTTGTAACTTCTCTAAAATGCAAAGTTTTTAGTGTTTTTAACTAAAATTTATCTATTTTATGAATGAAGTTATTTAATTAGAAATTATTGTCAGAAATAGAAAAGATTGAAGGTTTTGTGTTAATTTCACAGTTTATGAGGCAAACAAAAGAAAAAACACCAAAATTCAACATTTTCTTATGAATTTTAAAAATTAAATTTTTTCCAGTACTTTTAATAAAAATCCCTGACTTTTCCCTGACCTGTGGCAACCCTGTAATTCTTTTTTTTCTGTTATGAATTTTTCCGGGCATCAGCGAATAAAAATTTGCGTATGTTTTCTAACAGAAGACAATAACTTTACCTTTTCAAAGTTTTCCTTCTCCTGCGGCTCCAAGGTCTGGTGGTTGCGAATACGTGGTATCTGAGATTATGTTTGAAAATTATAGTCACACGATTATGATTGTTTTCTTGCAATTAATTTTTAAATTATCAACAACAAAAAGAAACATTTAATATAATCTATACCGCCCAAAGTCAATGTATAGAGAAACAAAAAAATCATCCAAAAAGATATGATTTCTTCTATTCGTTGCGAGATAAAAAGAGAGAAATGATTTTTGAAAATTTTAACACGCTATTAATTAATGAATTAATAACTAGTTTTTGGGGATTAAATCGAACGAATCAGTAAAACGAAGGTGTTTAAAATATGAAAGAGAATTGCTTTTATTAACTCGCCCCTTGATTGGTCAGATAAGTGTACCTTGTGCTTGTCGCGACGATGAGGTTGAGCATTAAATGGAAGTCCAGAAGGCGGTGGTGGCTGCGTTATTTCCATTAAAGCAGGCGGAATGTAAATGGGATATGGCGGTATTGGCACACTTTTACCCCAGCCCAACTTCATTTCATATTGCATTATATCTCGACCTATCTCATCACAACGCCAGTCAAATATTTTTAACCATTTTGCATATGAAAAAACACATTTTTTCAAAGATCGATTAGTACAACTCACATTTCTTTTCAAGAGCATTTATATTTTTTAAACGAACGAAATAATTCCAAATTTACAAAACACAATATTCTAGATACTAATTTTTAAATAACAATTTTAATTAACTACTGTTAAATGAAAATTTAAGAAGAAATTTTATGTACACTGTTTTAATTAACCAATTAATTATTAATTCAATTAACTAAAAATTATTATAATTATAATTAATAAATTACACTGGTCGACAAAATTTTATTAAAAGAGTAATTTTCAGGGTAGTGGAAAATTAATCATGTCCAGAAACTTAGACTAGTGAAGTTAAAATCTATATTAATAATCGCAGGCTTCACAGTGCCCCTAAAAAGTATTTTAGGGGAAATAGGGAACTTTCTCAAATATTTTTAAAAATAATTGATTTAGAGAAGAATTTTAGTTAAAAATTCCAGACAACAATTAAATTTAAATATTAAAAATAATTTTAAAGAAGTTAGAGTAAAAACTATTGATGCGTTTTGAATAATTTTATAATTAAAGAATTTCGCAAATAAATATAATAGAATTTATTTTTAGTATTTGCTAATTATTTTTAGAGTGGATCAGAATTTTTTTTTAGGGTCAAGGAAAAGTCATAATTTGTTTGAAATCAAAATTTTGTGTCAACCTTGTGAATTATTCCAGAATTCAATTTTTGAAAAACTAAAACTTATTTATAATTGAATTCTTGCAAAGAATTCAATTTTTTTAAAATAATAAATTGAATTTCTGTGAATATTTAATTATTTATGAAAATAATTGAATGTTAGCAAAGAATAATTTAATTTGTTTGATAGGAAGACAATTTCAGTCAACACTTATCATTTAATAAGTCAGTTTAGTTAGCAAAGAATTTTATAAAAATTGATTTTAAAAATAATTGAATTCTTTTGGGAAATTTTTATGAAAATAGTAATTATTCAAAATAATTAAACATCGAAAAATTTTTAAAAATAACTGAATTGTTTCTAAGAATAGGTTTTAGTAGATGAGATATAAAAAATAATTTTTGGCTTTTGTGTCTGGAATTTTAAATTTTTCAAAGAATCTGATTTGTGTTTTTTTGAAAATCTTAACTTTTCGGATTTAAAATTTTTTCGACCAGTGCTATTATTATAATAATTTTGTTCTTATTATTATCATAATTAGTTATTATTATTATTATTATTTCTAATTAATTCTAATTCTAAATTAATTAACAATACTGCAAACATTTTTGACAAACTTACCGTTTAAATTTTTCAGCGCTCGCTCTCCATCTCTACGGCTCATGAACGCAACGAAACCACAATTTCTTTGTCTAGCTTTTTCTTCATCGCTACGGGGCCACATTATTTTTATACTAGCCAATGGGCCAAATTTTCCAAAAATCTCCATTAACTGTTGTTCTGTGATCTGTTGACAAAAAAACATTTTTGTAAAAAAATCTCTTTCTTTCTTTTTCTTTTTAATTATTTATTATAATTTTTTGTCATTTTATTACTTTTCAAAAGAATTGGATTCTTGTGATGAATTTTGATATTTATCAAAATAATTGAATTTTGGAAAAGAATTTTATTAAAATTCCTTAGAATAATTGATTTTATAGGAAGAATTTATGCGATTTTGTTGGTTATCAAGATAATTGAACTCTTTCGCAAAATTACTTAAAATTTTTTGAAAATAATTGATTTTCTGCGACGAATTAAATGTTATTTATGGAAATATTTGAATTATTGCAACAAATTTTATTGTATTCTATTGAATAATTGAATGTTTCTTAAAACTGAATTCTTCTCTCTAGTTTTAAAAATTTTTTTAATAATAATTTGCATTTTTCAAGAAGTTGAAAATAATTGAATTCGTAAATGAAATTTTATTATTTATGAAAATAATTGCATCTTTTCGAAGAATTGTGTCAAAAAGTTTTTTCTATAATTAAATCTGTTGATAAATTTTATGAAAATAGTAAATATTGGAAATTATTGAATTGCAAAAAACTTTTGAAAGTAATTGAACTTTTGCAAAGATTTTTATAAATTTTTGAAAATAATTGAATTTTTGGCGAAAAATGTTGCTATTTGTAAAGATAATTGAATTCTTGACGAGATATTCGTGAAAATTTTTAAAAATAATTAAATTTCTTCGAAGAATTTTATTACTTTTGAAAATAATTGAATTCTTGGGATGAATATTGTAATTTATGAAAATAATGTAATGTGTAAACTCAACGGTGATAAAAAAAATGGAATATTTTAATCCAACTTTTGAAATAAAGATATTAAAACAAGAATTGTGAAAAATAAAAATTACCTTAGGATTCAAATTCCCCAGATATAAATTTGTAGTATTGGGATCTCCGTTGTCAAAAGAGCCATCTGTAAATGAAAAATATGTTTCAGAGTGCCTTTAGGAACCAAAAGGAACAAAAAAAATTAAAGATGAAATGAACTAGAGGAAAAATGAATTTTTAACTCATTTAATTCTACCTTCTACGCATTTTAAAGCTGCCATCATCGGATCTTCCGAAGATGTGGTTAAAACTGTTTTCACGACTCCTTTATATTTATGTCTTTCCTCTCTTTCTTCTTGTATCATTTTAAGTTCCTCTTTAAATAATTCTAAATTACTCTTTTTCTTTTCGCCTTCCTTCTTCTTTTTACCAAGTCTATCAATTTTCCTCTCATTCGAACCAAGGAGCCTCGCATATTCTTGCGCTTGTTCCGCTGACGATCTATTGTCAACCATTTCTGATATTTTCGACTGAGGTTTATAAAGTTTGCCCTTTTCTCTCGTATCTTCCTCTGTAAAAAAAAAGTATTCATCAATTTTTTCTCTCATAGAATCGTTTACAAACATTTTATTAAATAATTATAGATATTTACGTCTTTTTCCAGCATCGTAAGTACCGGCTTTTACCCAAACTTTATTAGTTGGCTTATTTGGAGTGTCTTGAAATGTTGCGACAAATTCTTCAAAAGCCTATTAAGAAGAAAACATTTTTACATTAACAATAGCTTTTTTTTAGAAAAAATTATCTCAGTGTTATTATTTTACAAAAAAAAAGAAACAGACTTTTTTCAAAAATACTTTTTTTTATTCATAAATACCTGAGAATATTTGCTGAAAAAAAATATCTAAATATTTTTTTAAAAATAAGTTACGTCTATGATGCAGTTACAATTTTTTTAATTAATAATTTTTTGTAAATGAAATTAAAGAAAAAATTGTATTTGCTTGCTAGCGATCAAATTAGATAACATTGATTTATAATCATTTTGTGTTACGAACAATATATTTTTCCAATAAGTACTTTCGTCTCAAAAACTGAGAAAATTTTTATATTCGATTTTTTTACAGATAAGATTGTGAGATCTTAATATTAAAACACTTTCTAGGAATTGCTTGCCATATCTTGAATTAGAAACAACGTAAAATATTTCATAGACTATCTAATCAATATATTAATTACTATTTTTTGAAAACATAATTTTTTTCAGAATTGTATTTTTGAAAATACATTATTTTATGAATTTACAAAAATTATTTTAAATAATTCAATTCTCATAGTTAAATTCTGATAGGAATTGAGTTTAAAAAAAATTTCAGTTAAAATTTTTTAAAATAATTGAATATTTAAAGCGTTATAACAGGAATTTTAGGAATTAATTAAATTTGAAAATATTTTTAAATTAAATTCTTTGAAAATTTAAGGGAAGCAAAAGTACAAAAATATTTAAATTTTTGTTTAAAAAAAATTATTAGTTACATTATTTTTCTTTAAAAATTCTTAAAGTTTTGAATATTTTTATTGATAACTTTTGATAAATTTTTAATCGATAATTCCGAGTCTTCGACTCGAAGTCATTGATTTCTTCATGTTTTATAATAATTATTAATAAAAATAATTTATAATAATTAAAATCATTATCAATTCAATTATTATTTTTAAGAATTTTTATCTAAAATTCTTCTTTATATCGATTATTTTGAATAATTTTCGAAAAAGTTCTTTGACAATTTTCAAATTAACTAAATAAATATTAGAAAATAGAAACTAAAAATAATATTTAAAAAACTCAATTAAACTTTTTCAAAAAAATTAATTACAAAATTAAATTATTTTTAAAAATTCAAGCTATATTGCTTTTAATATTCAATTATTATCTAAAATTTTAACTGAAATTCATTTTTATGAAATAAAAATCAATTTTTATTAGAATATTCTACTAGAATTCAATTATATTAATAAAAATAAAATGCAAATAAATAATTTATTAAACAATTAAACGTTTCTTAAAATTCAATTCCCATAAAAAATCGTTATCAACAAATTTTCAAATAATTGAATTCTATCAACGAATTTTAATAAAATTTTTAAGAATAATTACATTTTTCGAGAAATTTGATTAAAATTGTACTAAAAATAATTGAAATTCTGCATTGAAATTTATTATTTATGAAAATAATTGAATTCTTGCGAAGAATTTTATTAAAATTTTCAAAAATAATTAAATTCTTGTAAAAAATTAACAGGAACTCAATTATTTTTAAAAATCTTCATAAAATTCTTGGCATAAATTAAAAATAACAAAATTCTTAGCAGATCTTCAATTACTTTCAGAAATTTTAATAAAATTTTTCGCAAGAATTTAAATATTTTCGTAAAATAATAAAAATCTTTGCAGAGATTTAATTATTTTCAAAGGTCTTAATAAAATTCTTCGTAAAAATTCAATTATTTTCAAAAATATCAGAATTTTAGCAGAAATTTAAACATTTTAAAAAATTTTGATAAAACCTTTTTTGATAGAAATTCAATTATTATAATTCAATTATTATAATCTAAGATTTTAACTGAAATCTATTTTTAAATCAATGTTTATGAGAAAATACTACCAGAATTCAATTATTTAAATACAAAAATAAATAATTTATTGAATAATTGAATATTTCTTGAAATTCAATTCCTATTAAAAATTTTATCAACAAATTTTTAAATAATTAAATTCTTTGGACGAATTTTAATAAAATTTTTAAGAATTTTTTCGAGGAATTCGATTAAAATTCTATTGAAAATAATTGAATTCCTAAAACGAATTTTATTATTTACGTAAATAATTGAATCCCGGTAAAAATTTTATTAAATTTTGAAAATAGTTGAATGATTGCGAAGAAATTTATAAAAAAAATTTGTTAAATTAATTAAATTCTTGTAAAATTTTTATTATTTTTTGAAAATAATTAAAAGTATTTGTAGAATTTTATTAAATTTTTTTTTTTTTTTAATAATTAAATTCTTTTGGTAAATTTTATGAAAATAGTAGATATTGAACAATATTTAATTTTTGCGAAGAATATTATTGCTTTTGAAAGTAATTGAAATTTTGCAATGGATTTTATTAAAATTTTTGAAAATAATTGAATTTTATTACTTTAGAAAATAATTGAATTCGTGAGATAAATATTGTTAATTACGAAAATAATTAAAATTTTTTAAAGAATTTTAATAATATTTTTGGAAATAATTGAATTTTGTCGAAGAATTTTGCTATTTATTTATAAAGATAATTGAAATGTTGACAATGTTTTTTAGATTTTTTGAAAATAATTGAATTTCGGAGAAGAATTTTAATATTTCTAAAGATAATTGAAATTTTGGCGAAGAATTTTATTACTTTTAAAAATAATTGATGAATTTCTGCAATCATTTGTAATTTCTCTAAAATTCTCCAAATTATATCGTACAATTTACGAACTTTTCATCCTTTTTGAATGAAATTACGGACTTTACGGACCTTTTTTAAAAAAAACGGACTTTTACGGACTTGAAGCAAAGTTACGGACTTTTCAGGATTTACGGACCTACTTCGAGCCCTGACTCTATAAAAATCGAAATAAGTTGCATTTTATAATAAAAATGTAGTATTTTTTGCAATATTTGGAAGAAAAGTCGAAAAAGTCGTAATTTTTGAAAATAAGTCGAAAAATTCGCATTTTTCGAAAATAGTCGAGAAAGTCCTAATTCCGAGGTCTGTTACATTTTTTGAGAATTTAATTACTTTCAAAATTTGCAATTAAAATTCTTCAAAAGTTGATTTTCGAAAATTGTAATAAAATACTTGAAAAAAAATCCACTTTTTCAATTAAATTTTACAAAATTTCAATTATTAAAAATCTTTTTATCTGTATATTTCGAAGATTTAATTAGGAGAAATTATTCAAAGATAATTTTTGAAAGATTTTTCTGTAGTTATTTTTCAAACTATAAAAATCGAATTAAGTTGCATTTTATACTAAAAATGTGGTATTTTCGTTCAATATTTGGAAAAAAAGGTAAAAAAGTCGCATTATTTGAAAATAAGTCGAAAAAAACGAAAAACTTATACTATCCGAAGCCTGATGTTTTTGAAATTTGTTACTCATTGATTAATGAAAATCTTGTCTATTAAAATTGGCCCACGGAATTAAATTTATTTTACGTTTTTGAAACTTTCAGTCACTTCAATCAATCAATAAGAAACAAAAATACTTTTTTTTTGGAAAAATATTCATACTTTTTTCAAAAACGATTTTTGTATAAAAATATTGAGAAATCAATGAATAAAGAAAACTGCATCATTTAAAGTAAAGAATTAAAGAAAATAATTATTTAAAAGAAAGGAAATTAATATTTTACCTGCGCTGCAGCTTGTTCTTGTTCTTTTTTTCGTTGTTCTTCCAATTCTTTTTTACTGAGAGGTCGTTTTCCCATTGTGCCGATGGAAAACGCCTTGAGCTTTTGCTCAGTAATTTGCTATTAAAATTCATTGGGAAAAAGAGAGAATTAATAAATTATCAAAAAAGAAAAATTTCAATTATCCATCAAATATTATTGTAAATAAATATTATTATTCTATTTAGTGAGAGAAAAATTGCAAATAATTAATTGTACCTTCATAATGGCCTTATCCGCCATCGTGACTGAAAAAACCTAACCTACAAATATAGCATTTGTATTAAAAATCACCACTGTCGTGAAAAACACTGTAAATTTAACACTTGAAAATAACTATACTTTAGAGAAAACACTTCTTATTGCGTTTTACTTTATTAGTAAACACAATGCTAAGGAGAATTTTTATTTTTAAACAAAATATTATGCTCCTCTGTTGCTCCTCTGATTCAATCTCATACACAGATAGCCACAAGCTACTGACTGAAGTTGGCCACGAATTAGTGAAAACGCTCCAACCAATCGTAGCACTTTTTCCAAATATTCCTTTAACTAAAGATCAATTCCGATTGGACGGAATTTACCTGATATTTATAATGAATGAATATTTGTCCACCAGTGTAAAGTGAACTGTTTAGTTGTAATTGTAAAATTTCTAATAAAAATTTATTATTACAATAATTTACCATTTGTTGCAATTGATAAAATTTATCGAGTATTATTTCAAGACAAGTTAAAATATAAACATAAAATAAAGTACTTTTAGGGAAAAATGGATTATTTTTTGAGGTTAATGGACTAGTTTATTTTGTTGCTTTTAGCGCTTTTTGTCGTTGCAAGAATTATTTATTTACATTGTTCCTTTTTTTTTGCAAAAATGAATAATATTAAAGCTATATTTAAATTTGTTTGCATTTTAAAATTCTAATCAAGTGTTGTATTGAAATTGTTTGCAACATCTGGATAATTAAGTGAAGTGTGCAAAAAAAGAAAAAATTATTATTGACAGTGCAAAATGTGTTGAATTAGATAAACAACTGCTTCATATTTCATACTATGTATACTGTGCAGTATAGATAAAATATTTGTAAAATGATAAATTATCCAATTGAATATTGCAGTGTATAAGAGAAATAACGAAATGAAAAAGAGGAGTGGTGTAATTGTTGATACGTTATTTTAATTTATTTAAATTAAATTGCAAAAAAAATATCTAGTTTCGTAAAAAAAATCTACATTATAGAAATGGCAGACACTGTTAATGAAATTTCAGATCCTCAAAGTATTAAGTTACCACCTGCTGTTGAAGTTTTTGCAAATTTAAAAAATGCCCAAAAATTTGCCATTGACATTGGTGAGTGATGAATATATTTTATTTTTATGTTTTTAATTCACGAAAAAAAAACTCTTTTGACATTGATTTTAGTCATCAAATAATCGTTTTTGTTTTTTAATTTAATAAAAAAAAAACTAAAGGAATAATTTCGAAATAAATCATTTTTTTTTTAATTCAAATTTATTTTTTGGTACTAATATTTCAAGTAGATTTTTTAAGATATTAATTCAGGGTTGCCACGAAAATTTAATTTTTTTTCCCTGACATTTTCTTGATTTTCAGATAAAATTTTGACTTTTTCCCTGAGACCTTAAAGAATATTCTGGATTTACTCTAAAAATAATTAGATACTGAGAAAAATGTTCTAATACATTTATTTGCGAATTTTTTTAATTGTAAAATTCTTCGAATACAATTGTTTTATTTATCATAATTATTTAATCATTATTATTTTTCCATTCAAATTAGAATTTTCAAAAAAATTTAAATTCAAATCCTTTAAAATTTAATAATTCAGATTTCCAAAGATTTGAATTTGCAACATTTTCAAAATTTAATTATTTCTAAAAATTCATGCTATAATGCTTTTAATATCAAATTATTATCTAAAATTTTAACCGAAATTAATTTTTAAATCAATATTTACTTTAAAAAAATCCACGAGAATTCAATTATTGAAATAAAAAAATAAATTATTTATTCAGTAATTGAATGTTTATTGAAATTTAATTTTTACGAAGAATTTTATTAACAACTTTTGAAAATATTTAATTTCTTCTAAGGAATTTAATTAAAATTTTACTGAAATTTATTATATTAAAGAATTTTATAACAATTTTTGAAAATAATTGGAAACTTTTTGAAGAATTTTATTAAAATTTTGAAAAATACTTGAATTCCATAGAAGAATTTAAATAATAATTTATGAAAATAATTGAATTCATGCGAGGAATTAAATTTTTTTTGCTAACTTTTATGGAAATAGTAAATAGTTGAAAATCATTGAATTACGAAAAACTTTTGAAAATAATTGAAATTTTGCAAAGAATTTTATTTAAAATTTTGAAAATAATTGAATTTTTGGCGAATTGAATTTTCGCCACCCCTAGGAGTGTGACGTAGTTTATGAACGACCCCACTTTTCAAAAATTTTATAAATTTATTCACAACAATTCATTTATTTTCTCAAATAATAAAACTCATTGCAGAATTTCAATTATTAGTACAATTTTCATCGAATTAAATTTTAAGAAACATTCAATTATTAAATAAAATATTTATTTTGGTGAATATAATAATTTTGGTTTTAATGTTTGATTTTTAATTTTCAGGTATATCGCTGACTAAAATAGCTTATTATTCAACGGTTAATTATCGAAAGCCGCTTTACGATTGTACAGAGCAGGAAAATTCGGAGGAGAGAGCTTATAAAGTGTTTGAAGGTTGTAGATTGCATTTTGTTAAATTTGAAACGAGACACATTGAAAATTGTTTGGACTTTGTTAAATCGAATTTGGTGAATATTGAAAGATTTCATGGCAAGAGTATTAAAGTAACGGGAGGTGGTGCTTTTAAATACACACCGTTGCTTCAAGAAAAATTGGGTTTACTGTAAGTTTTCTTTTAACGCATTTTAAATACTTTTTTTTTAAATCTATTCTATATTAATAACTAGCTATCGTACCCGTCTTCGACGGGTTTTAGTTTCTACCAATCTGGAAAATCAGAAAATAGCCGAGAATTAAATTTGACCGAAAAAAAATAATAATTAGTTACCATTAGCTATTTCGGTAGGAAAATATTACTTATTTAATAGTCTCCACTTTTTGGTAAAAAATTAAAAAATTATTGAAAATTATCAAAAATTCAAAAAACTGAATTTCTTAAAATTCAACATTTTTTTTTCTCATTTACTGCATTTAGCTTCATTATTTTTGGGCTCTTCAAAAATACTTTATTTATTTAATAGTCTCCACCCTTTGGTAAAAAATTAAAAAATTATTGAAAATTATCAAAAATTCAAAAAACCGAATTTCTTAAAATTAAACATTTTTTCTTCTCATTTACTGCATTTTGGCTTCATTATTTTTGTGCTCTTCAAAAATACTTTATGTATAAAAATTTTTGAAGTTTTAAATTTTAGATTTAAAATTCTTAATTTTTTCTATTTTTATGATAAAATTGAAGTCAGAATTACCAAAAATACAAATTAATTAATTAATCAGAAAATATCAACACCAACTTGATGCAAGAATTAATCAATATTTAACCCTTTGCGGAGCAGTGATACATTCGATTCGTATGAACATTTTTTTGTTAACTCGTGCATAACTTTGTTAATTTTAAAAACTGAATATTGAAACAATATTTTTGTCTAATGTAGCAAATTTCTTACTTTACATACTGGTCTTTAAATAAAAAACTTTAATAACTTTTCCTGAAAAGCTTGCTTAAATATTAAGAATCACTATTTTTTTAGAAAAAAGTTAATCTAAAGAAACGAAAAAAAATGTCAAAATACATATTTTTTTAAATTTTATTGTAGAAATGGGTTGTATTTGTCTGAAAAAGTTAACGAAGGATAGTTTTGCATCCATTTTACAAAAAAAAAAAAATTTGCATTTTTTTGATTTTTCGAATTTTTTGAAATAATAATGTTATAACTTTCGTTCAAGTTAATATATTAAAAATCGTTGAATTCTTGAAAAGAATTTTGTCAAAAAATTTAAGAAAAGATAATAATTGAATTTCTTCTAGGAATTTTATTATTTATGAAAATAATTGAATTCTTGCAAAGAATTTTATCAACAAATGTGTGAATAATTGAATTTCTTCGAGGCATTTTATTATTTATGAGAATAATTGAATTCTTGCTTAGATTTTTATCAGAAACTTTTTTTAAAAATTGAATTTTATTAAAATTTTTGAAAATTCTATATTTTAATTCTTTTGAAGAAAAGCTTTGAATTTTTTTTTAAATAATGGTCTTTCTTTAATAATTTTATTTGAATTTTATGAACAATTTCTTTCAAGTTTTTCAAATACATAATCGTGTTTCTAAATAATTGAAATTAAACAATTAAATTATTAAATTTTATTAAAACTTTTAGAAAATAATTAAATTCTTCTCAGAATTTTATTATAATTTTCAAAAATAATTTAATTCATTTAAAGAATTTTATTAAAATATAGAAAATAATTGAATTTGTACAAAAATTTTACTATTTAAAAAAATAATTGAATTGTTTGGAGGGATTTAAACAAAAGTTTTTAAAATAATTTAATTCTTTCGTGAAACTTGATTAAAAATGTGAAAAAAATTCGAATACTTTCATGAAATATTTTTAAAATTGTATTAAAAATAATTGAATTTTTAGCAAAAAAATTTTATTATAAATAGGAATAATTGAATTGTTTCGAAGGATTTATTAAAATATATTTAAACAAATTAAGAAAAAATTGAATTCTTTCGAGAAATTTTATTGAAAATAATTGAATTTTTGCAAAGACTTTACTATATTTAAAAAAATAATTGAATTGAGAAAGATTTATTAAAATTTTAAAAAATAATTGAATTGTTTCGAATGATTTAAAAATTTTTGAAAATAATTGAATTTTTTTGAAAAATTTAACAACTAATTAAGAAAAAAATTGAATTCTTTTGTGATACATATTAATGTAACTTAATTCGATTTTTATAGTGTAAAAAATAACTATCTTTCAAAAATAATTTTTGAATAATTTTTCAAGTCAATTAAATTTTTAAAATATACCTATAATTAACTTTTACAAAATTTTGTCACAGGTCAGGGAAATCAGGGGAAAGTAAGGGAAATTTTATTAAAAGTACTGGAAGAAAATTAAATTTTTAGAATTCATAAGAAAATTCTAAATTTTGATGTCTCTTTTTTGTTTATAAAAATTTTATAAAAACTTTTTATTTATATTTCAGAGTCGACAAAGTAGATGAGATTTGTTGTCTCATAAAGGGATGTAATTTCTTACTGAAAAATATACCTTGTGAATCTTTTCAATTCGAGAGGCATGCCAATCCTGAATATCATTTTCAAAAGACGACACCAAATATTTTTCCTTATTTGCTGGTCAACATTGGAAGTGGAGTTAGTGTTTTAAAAGTAAGTGTGAGAATGAATTATTTTAAAATTTTTTTTATAAATTTCTTCGCAATAATTCTATTATTTTCAAAAATATTCAATTTATGTTTAGAGAGATTCTATTATTTTTATAAATATTAAAATTTTTCTCTAAAATTCAATTATTTTCAAAAATTTTAATAAAATTCTTGACAAAATTTCAATTATTTTCAAAAACTTTTCTCAATTCAATCAAATTTTTTACAGAGATTCAATTATTTTTAATACATTTTTAATCTAATTTCTCGAAAAATGAAATTATTCTTAAAAATTTTATTGAAATTCGTGAAAAGAATTTTAATTACCTATTTAAAAATTTCTTGATAACATTCTTTAAATGAGAGTTCAATTTTAAAAAACATTCAATTCTTCATTAAATTATTTTTTTTTGTATTTAAATAATTGAATTGTCGTAGAATTTTCTAATAATAATTGATTTAAATATGAATTTCAGTTAAAACTTTAGATAATAATTGAGTTTTAAAAAGGTTTCAAATTATAATCTTTGAATGTTTGAATTTTTCATACTTTTAACTTAAAAATGTGTAGATTTAATTTTTTTTGTAAAAGTTCAATTGAATTTTTTTTAAGTTATTTGAAGTTTTTTTTTCTAATATATATTTGATTGAAGAATTTCCGAATAATCGATGAAATTTCGTAAAATTGAATTGTTAACAAAAGGATTTGAAAATGTTGAAAAAAATTTTTCATAAATTATTAATAATAATTAATTTAAACTTTATAAAGAAAAATTTTAGTTAAAAATTCTGGAAAACAATAATTGAATTAAAATAATGAAAGTAATTTTAAATAAGTTACAGTAACAATATTCTTACAATATAAAAACAAGATTTTATCAGTCAGTCATTTTTAATTAATAAACTTGTTCATTTAGGTAGAATCTGAAAATGTATTTGAAAGAGTCGGCGGCACTGCAACTGGTGGAGGAACATTTTGGGGCCTAGGATCATTACTTACAAAAGCAAAGGTGAGAAGAGTATTTTTATTAATTAAAATTCATGGAAAAAAAAAAATTTTTTTTCAGTCACATTTGTTTAAAGGGTTTTGACGAGTTACTACAATTGGCGGAACGAGGTGATCATCGAAATGTTGATACGCTCGTTAAAGATATTTACGGCGGAGACTATTCTTCGCAATCTTTGCCAGGTGATTTAATAGCGTCTTCGTTTGGCAAAGCAATGGGATGCAATAGAAACTTGAGTAAGTTTTTTAAAATGCCGAAAAAAATTCTACATATTTCAATGCTTTTATTATTAATTATAATTTTGATTTTCTGAAATCAGAAATAATTTTAATTGAATAGTTTTCCCATAATAGACATAGATTGAAATTTAATATTTATTTGAATTAATAATTAATTTAGTGAATTGAATTGATAATTAATTAACTGAATGTTTCTTCAGAGCCAAAAGATTTCTCGGAAGCTGATATTGCGAGGAGTTTATTATTCACCATCAGTAATGACATTGGACAAATAGCTAGTCTCTATGCACAGATTCACAATGTGAATAGAATTTATTTCGGCGGTTATTTTCTTCGCAATCATCCATTGTCAATGCATGCCATCTCCTACTCTCTTAAGTACTGGTCTAATGTTAGTCTTCAAATTTTTATTTTGTAAAACTCAAATTAAGCAATTACTTTTCTAATTAATAATTTTTATAAAAAAAAATTTCTAGGATAAATTAAAACCACATTTTTTACGGCACGAGGGTTATTTAGGAGCTATTGGCGCCTTTCTTTATGGCACAGAACAATCTGATAATTGCAGTTGGTTAGAAAATTATGCTGGATCCTCTGGATTTAAGGATTCAGTTCTAACTACGCTGGGAATTAAAGTTGATCAGTTGGAGATTGATCAAGCTGAAAATGTCGTTACATTTTGTCCATTGTTGAAAGATCCGTCAACTTATAATCCAGATACTACTGATCTTGCTCAAGATAAGGAAGCCAGGTATTTGTTTTGTTTCAATTTATATATGAACAAAAGACATTTTTTCTGTCATTTTAGATGAAAATTTTCAAATACTTTTTTCATTTATTTTTTCTTTTAGAGATTATTGGCTTCAATGTTTCGAAGAATCGGTTGATAAATTTATTGCGAAGGCCATTCTTAGCCAACCTCACAGTTCTACAGCCACAGAAAGAGCGAGGAAATTGAAAGAAAAATATGTAAATAGGTTACACTATTTACATCTCAAACCATTGTAAGTTGGAGTTCTGATCGAAATTTATGTATTTTTTCTTCAAATTAAATTTTTATTACAAGAATTTTGCGTCACTATATATGAAAAAAATTAATTATAATGTTTCTACATTTAAAATTTAATTTTTTAATTTTAATTCGAATCAGTAATTTTTGAAAATATGATTAATAAAAAATATTTCGTTCAATTGAACGTTTAAAAACTTGTGGATCATTAAATAAATTTGATTTCAGTGCATATGGAACTCTCACAGTTAGAACTTTACTCGACACTATTGAACACTGTATGAAGGAATTTGATTTTCCTGATCCCTACTTACACGTAAATAGAAAATTTATATTATTTATGATTAATTAATTAAAATTGTAAACTTGATTCCGATGTTAAATTTACAGCAAAAGAAAAAAGAAAACGACGAAGCTTTGATGTTTTTGAAAAGTAGAATAACAACTCTAGATAAATTAGAAGACGAGGAAAAAATAAAGGCTTTAATATTAGGTGTACTCGGTGGAAATATGTTCGATTGGGGAGCAAAGGAAGTGGCAATTCTAATGGAATCAACTAATTTTAGTTTTGAAGAAGCCCAAGCAAAAATACCAGGCAAGAAAGAATTCAAAGAATACTGATTTTGCATTTTTTTAAAAGTAGAATAAAAACAAGAGTTGTTAATTGTTATTTCAGACAGACCCTGGTTGGAAGATTGCTTAGATGAATGGATCATAAGATTGAAGGAAGGACCTCCACATAGATGTGCAGCAATATTTGTCGACAACAGTGGCATCGATGTTATTCTAGGAATTTTACCGTTCGTGAGGGATTTACTTCAGCGAGGAACAAATGTACGTAGATCAATGAATTTTTTATTACATCATTCATTGAAATACAAAATTTATTCATTCAATTCTTTTAGTTATTAAATTTACTTTATTTAATAATAGTGATACATTCGGGAGCTAATCTTCACAGAAATTCAATAATTTTTAGGAATTTTAATAAAATTCTTTACAAAATTCAATTATTTTCATAAATTACAATATTCATCCGAAGAATTCAATTATTTTCAAAAGTAATAAAATTCTTCGAAGAAATACAATTATTTTTAAAAATTTTCACGAATATCTCGTCAAGTATTCAATTATCTTTACAAATAGCAAAATTTTTCGCCAAAAATTCAATTATTTTCAAAAATTTATAAAAATCTTTGCAAAAGTTTAATTACTTTCAAAAGTTTTTTGCAATTCAATAATTTTCAATATTTACTATTTTCATGAAATTTATCAACAGATTTAATTATAGAAAAAACTTGTTTATACAATATTCTACGAAACGATTCAATTATTTTTATAAATAATAAAATTTCATTTACGAATTCAATTATTTTCATCGCAGAATTTCAAATATTTTTAGTACAATTTTAAATAAATTCCTTGAAAAATGCAATTATTATTAAAAACTTGATTAAAACTTGAGGAAAGAATTAAATTTTAAGAAACATTCAATTATTTAATAAAACAAGAAAATTCGTTGCAATAATTCAAATATTTTCATAAATAACATTTAATTCATCGCAGAAAATCAATTATTTTCAAAAATTTTTAAGTAATTTTGCAAAAGAATTCAATTAGTTTGATAAACAACAAAATTCTCGCTATAAAATCAATTATTTTAAGGATTTTTAATCAAATTCTTTTCCAAAATTCATGTATTTTGATAAATATCAAAATTCTTATAAAGAATTTCAATTCAATTATTTTTATAAATAGCCAAATTTTTCGCCAAAAATTCAATTATTTTAACAAATTTAAATAAAATTCTTTACAAAATTCAATTATTTTTACATAAATTACAATATTCATCACAAGAATTCAATTATTTTCAAAAGTAATAACATTTTTCGAAGAAATCCAAATATTTTTAGAAATTTTCACGAATATCTCGTCAAGAATTCAATTATCTTTACAAATAGCAAAATTTTTCGCCAAAAATTCAATTATTTTCCAAAAATTTATAAAAATCTTTGCAAAAGTTCAATTACTTTCAAAAGTTTTTTGCAATTCAATAATTTTCAATATTTACTATTTTCATGAAATTTATCAACAGATTTAATTATAGAAAAAACTTTTTTCATACAATTTTACGAAAAGATTCAATTATTTTCAAAAATAATAAAATTTCATTTACAAATTCAATTATTTTCATCGCAGAATTTCAAATGTTTTTAGTACAATTTTAAATAAATTCCTTGAAAAATGCAATTATTATTAGAAATTTTTTTTAAACTTGAGGAAGAATTCAATTTTAAGAAACATTCAATTATTGACAAGAAAATAAAATTCGTTGCAATAATTCAAATATTTTCATAAATAACATTTAATTCGTCGCAGAAAATGAATTATTTTCAAAAATTTTTAAGTAATTTTGCAAAAGAATTCAATTAGCTTGATAAACAACAAAATCGCATAAATTCTTCCCATAAAATCAATTATTCTAAGGAATTTTAATAAAATTCTTTTCCAAAATTCAATTATTTTGATAAATATCAAAATTCATCACAAGAATTCAATTCTTTTGAAAAGCAATAAAATACTTTGTAGAAATTAAATTATTTTCAAATTTGTTTAAAAATTCTCGTCAAGAATTAAATTATCTTTATAAATAGATAGGGAAATTTCTTTTCAAGAATTAAATTATTGTCAAAATTTTTTGAAAAATTCTTCTCAAGAAGTGAATTATTTTTAAAAATTTAAATAAAATTCTTCTCATGAATTCAATTGTTTTCAGAAATTATTATTTAAATTCTTCTCAAGAATTCAATTATTTTTAAAAAATTTAATAAAATTCTTCAAAATGTTTTCAATTATTTTCAAAAATTGTTATAATATTCTTTAATGTAATATATTTTATTAAAATTTTAATTAAATTCTTTAAAAGAAATTAAATATTTTTAAAAGTTGTTAGTACAATTCTTCGTAAAAATTAAATTTTAAGAAACATTCGATATTATTTATTTATTTTTATATTTAAATAATTGATTTCTCGTAGAATTAAATTATTAGGTATTTTTTGTACTTTTATGTAACAATTGTGTAGAATTAATTTTTTTGAAAAAGTTTAATTGAATAATAATTGATGTTATTGATTTCAAGTAGAATTTTAGTTAAAAAGAGTTGTTCAATTTGAAAAGATTTGAATTTGAAATTTTTGAACATCTTAATTCCAATGAGAAAAAAAATGATGAAATATTTATTTGAAATAAAACTATTGATGTTTTCGAATAATTTTACTTTTGAAGAAATTTGTAAATAAATTTAATAGAACATTTTTTTGAGTATCTAATAATTTTGAGAGTGAATCAGAATATTCTTTAGGGTCAGGAAAAAAGTGAAAATTGTGTTTGGAAATGAGGGAAAAGTCAGGGAAAAATAAAGTTAAATTTCTGTGGCAACCCTGTGTAAATAAAATTATATTTTTATCTTTATTTAACCAATTTTTATGGTCCCCTAAAAGTGTCCCCTATTTTTTAATTTTCAGTCCCCTATTTTTCCTAAAATACTTTTTAGGGGCACTGTGAAGCCTGGTGTTAAGAAAATTGAACCATTCTTTTTTGCAGGTAATTTTATGTGCCAATTCATTGCCCGCATTAAATGATGTGACTTATCCGGAATTAGTGGTTACATTACGAAACGCAGCAAAAATTTGTAACGTTATAAAATGCGCTCTCAAGGAGAATCGATTAATTGCCATGGAGACTGCTCAGGCTGGTCCTTGCCTCGATTTAAGGTAATTTTCAAAAACTATTAAATTATTTTCGTAAATAATAAAATTCATCGCTGGATTTCAATTATTTTTAATCCAATTTTACAGGAATTGCTAAAAAAATATGTAATTATTATTAAAAATTTAATTTCAGTCGATTGAATTTGGACTTGTGTCTTGCAATGGTGAAGCACAATGTAGACCTCATTGTTATCGAAGGAATGGGTAGAACCCTTCATACGAATTTATACGCCAAAATGAAGTGTGAGTGTTTAAAATTGGCAGTGATAAAAAATCGATGGCTTGCACTCAGATTAGGTGGTGATATGTATGCAGTTATCTGTAAGTACGAAAAACCGTTTCCAAAACGATCGTTTGACGAAGAAGTTATGAATAAGCAAAATCAGGAAAATTTCTGTCAAATGATTTGCGAGGAAAATGATAATAAAAAAGCAGGTCAAGGATCGTCTTTTATTATTCAACAAAGTGATACAAAACAGAAAGAGAATTTAGAAAATGTCTAATTACTGTTATGATGAAGAGAGTGACATAACTCGCGGTTTAGTATCAATTTTGTTGTTCTTTTTACATAGTTACAAAAGTATTTTTTGTATTGTACTTAAAAAAAATCTTTTCCACCAAAAATCCTCAAATTTTCTTAAAATAAAAAATAGTGTTTATTTTTCGTTGCACTGAATGTTAAGAAACGTGTTAATATAATTTTAAGTTAAAAAGAAACTTTCATTTAAAGTTACTCTCTTATCATAGAAAGGCATAATAATGCGATTGAAAATTAAATTATATTGTTGAAAACAAATTAATATTTTTAAAATCACACAGAAATATCTTCATATACGTATATGCAAATATAAAACAATATTTTGATGAAATGCAGAGTCGAGAAGAATTTAAGACTAAGTCTTATTTTTAGTGATCTAACAACTGCACATAAAATGTCAACGATTATATTTGAAATAAAATTTTTAAAATTATAAAAGTTCGAAAGTTAAATTTCTTGGATTGAGTTCAACATTTAACGAAGTTTATTACTGTAGGTATCAAGTATTTTATTTTAAGTTTATTTCAAGTGATAGTTATAATTTAGACTCTTTTAATAAACTTTTATGAAAGTGATTATTTGGGTAGTTTCAACGGAATACAATAAATTATACATTAACTGATACCTTAATATATTTACAATTTTGTTAGCAGTTTTAAAAACAAAAATTTCTAAATATTTTTTATGGTAAAAAGAATTTTAACAAAATTACATATATACAGGGTTGCCACGCAACCTGGAAACCTGGAAAACCTGGAAATGTCAGGGAATTTTATAAAACTTGAAAAAACCTGGAAAAGTCAGGGAAATTTGATCGAAATCCTGGAAAATTATTATTTTCTAAAGTTTATTCTTGAAATCGAATCTTACATAATTATTTCAAAATTAATTGAATTTTAAAAGAGTTGCGTTTACAATTTTCATAAGTACAGATGAATTTCAAAAGATTTTAATTTGAAATTTTGTAAAATTTCAATTTTTAATGAATTTAATTAGAAATCGTCTTAAAGAACGTAGATTTTTGAGAAATTTTAATTATTCCAATTCTTCTGAAATTAGTTAAATTTTTTAATATATATTTTTTAATTGATTATTAAAAATAATGGATTTATAGAAGAATTTTAATTAAAAACACTAAAAGAAAGTGAATTTTGAAGCAATTACAAATGATTGCAGAAATTAAATTATTTTCAAAAGTAGTAAAATTCTTCTTATAGAAATTCAATTGTTTTCAACAATTTTAATAAAATTTATGGCAAAATTCCAATTATTTTCAAAAACTTTCCTCAATTCAATGATTTTTAATAAATCTACTACTTTAATAAAATTTTTCAAAAGAATTAAGTTATTTAAAAATTTTTTTAATAAAATTCTACGCAAACATTTAATTATTTTCATAAGTAATAACATATTTTACACGAATTCAATTAATTTCATAAATAATAAAACTCATCGCAGACTTTCAATTATTTTTAATACAATTTTAATGGAATTCCTCGAAAAATGAAATTATTTTTAAAAATTTTATTAAAATTCATCAGAGAAATTCAATTATTTTAAAAACCTTTGTTACAATTTATTTATTAGAAATGAAATATTATTTTTAATACATTTTTAATTAAATTTCTTCAAAGAATTAAATTATTTTCAAAAATTTTAATGAAATTCTTTGTAACAATTTAATTTTTTTTCAAAATAATTTTAATAAAATTCTTCGTAGAAATTTAAATAATTTCAAAAATTTGTCAAAATTCAATTATTTTCAATGTCTACTATTTCAATAAAATTTCATAAAAGAATTCAATAATTTAAAAAGACATTATTTAATAAAATTCGTCTCAAGAATTCAATTATTTTTAAAAATTAATATAATTCTTCGCAGAAATTTAATTGTGTTCAATAATTTACAAAAATTCTCGTCAAAATTTCAATAATCTTTCTAAATTTTTCTCCGGAATTCAATTATTTTCAAAAATTTTAATAAAATTTTTGGCAAAATTTCAATTATTTTCAAAAACTCTTAAAAAATTCTTTGGAGAAATTCAATTATTTTTAATTAAAATTTTAATCAAATTTCCGAGTAATGAACTTATTTAAAAAAATTTTATTAAGATTTGTCAAGAGAAATAAAATATTTAAAAATTTGTTGAGAAAATTCTTTCTCAGAGTTCAATTTTACGAAATATTCAATTATTCAATAAATTATTCATTTTTATATTTCAATCATTGAATTCTCGTGGATTTTTTTTTTTTTGTAAATATTGATTTAAAAATTAATTTCAGTTAAAATTTTACATTATCATTGAATATTGAAAACATTATAGCGTGAATTTTTTTGGAAATAATTGAATTTTGAAAAGAGTTAAAATTAAAATCTTTGAAAACTAACTTTTCGTATTTTTTGATTAACAATTCTGTAGAATTAATTTTTTTTAAAAAGTTTAATTGAATTCCCATAAAAAATGTATTATTTGTGAAAATAATTGAATTCTTCAGAAGAATTGTATTGCAAATAATTGAATTGTATAGAAAAATTTTATTAAAATTGCAATTTTATTAACTAAATCTTGTAAAGAATTTTGTTAAAATTTTTTTAAATAATAGAATTTTTAAAAAATTTTATTTAAATTTTTTGAAATAATTGAATTTCTTAGAACTATTTTTTTTTAAATTCTCTGAATATATTTGAATTCTTTCGAGAAACTTCATTAAAAAATAAAAAATAATTTTGTATAAAAAATTGGTAATTTATTGAATTCCTGTGAAATTTTTATTAAAATTTTGTGTAAATAATTGAATTCTTTTGGAAAATTAAAAATTAAAATGAGGAAAATTTTTGAAAATAATTGAAATTTTGACAAGAATTTTTTTAAAATAATTGAATTTTGGAGAAGAATGTTATTATTTATAAAGATAATTGAAATTTTGATGAGAATTTTTTTTTAATTTTTGAACATAAAAAGAAATTATTGTCAGAAATAGAAAAAATTGAAGTGTTTGCATTAAAATTCTTGGCAATTTCATAGTTTATGAGGCAAACAAAAAAGACACAAAAATTCTGAACTTTCTTATAAATTCTAAAATTTAAATTTTTTCCAACACTTTTAATAAAAATCCCTGACTTTTCCCTGAATTCCCTGACCTCTGGCAACCCTAAAAAAATTAACTTTGACAGTAAAAGAAAAAAAAATTAATTTTACAAGTTTGTGAAAATTTTTGCTTTAAAAAAGTACAAATAAACAAAATTTTTTATTTTAGAAATATAGACAATAAAATTCGTCTATTAATAAATTTATTGAGTTGGAAAAATTATTTTTAATAGTAGGGGGAAAAAGTGATAACAGTTTGTGAGTAATAAAAAATTGTAATATTTGAAGAGAGATAAATGTACAGTAACTAGCTGTGATATTATTATGACTAGATGTACTAGAAAACTTGTAATTTGAAAAATAGAAAAGTTGATTTAAAAAAAAATAAGGCAATGATTAAATAATATTATTTTATGACAGCAATAGTAAGTTGAAAAGAAAGAAAATTTGTATTTAAATGGACCATTTTTAAAATTATTTTACTTACTTGTTTGGACAATTTTATTTAGTAAAAAGAATTTGAATTTAAATCTAACATAAATGAAAAATGATTTGCTCTAAATAGACTGATATATCAAACGAATTTTGAAATAATTTTTAAAAATGTCATCTTTTAACAGTTGTATAGATTCTTGTTCGCTCCATCTTTGCTATACGAATTTTAAAATTTGTAATACACTATATTTCTTCTAATGATGTGTCATAATTGTACATTATGTGCGTATTATTTAGAAATTGTAGAAATAAAATTTTACTGTGTATTTTATTATTCAAAGTTTTAATATTTTAAAAATTATTTTTTCCTAATTTATTTCTTTATTTCAGGAAATAATAATGAATAATAACTGAATTGTAATAACAAAATAATAATAAATTGTAACAATACAGGAACAGAGCATTGGAAAGAAAAGGACGCAGACAGCTTTTATAAAAAACTTTTATAACAAAACATTGAATTACTTTGTAACATTGTTTACAAAATTAATATTTACAGCTCTGCTGTAAATGTATTTAAAACTGTGTCTTCATGAAGAACGAATATTTCGTAAAGACAAAAAAAGTATAAATTTTCTTACTGCAATATTGCACAATTATTAGACTGAAAAACGTAAAACATCACTTAGATGTATTTTCTTCACTAAGTCGATCATAGATAGAAATAAATTGATTAACGGAAATTAAAGGTGTCCCAGTCTTCCTTCTTGTATAATTTAAACTTTTAAACGGATTATAATCACTGAAGATACAATTTGCCGAAGGAAATACTGACTTGACAATTTGTGCGTCCCTAAGACCTTCAGCTTTGAAAAAGCCTGTGACTACTAAAGGACACTGTCCTTTGTTTAACACTTTAATAGATTTTTCCCAAGTAGGATAAAAATGAAAACCAACATTGAGGCAAGCGATAATATCCGGTTTTTTAAAATTCGATCGTCGACAGTACTCATCATATACTGTATGATGCGATTCAATTGTTATTTCCTTGTTTTCTTTTTTGCAGGATTCGCAAAGATCTTCCGTTTGATTGTAAAGAAACATTAATTCGTCTCCAATGAGAATCACCAAAAGTTTTTTCACAGATTTCAAATAGTGCAATAATATTTCCCACTCGTTATACAATTGCTCTGGCAAAGAGGCGCCTACAACGTGAATCACTAAACTTTCGGAATTTTTAGGAAAATCTAATTTCTCCAAAGCGAAAATTATTGACAGCGGTCTTGAATATTTTTCCGAAAATACTGAGTTCAATAAATCTTTTGTTTCCTCCGAATATATATCGACTGAATCCTTTGTGACGATAATCTTTAAAAATTCCGTCATTGAAGACGGTAACTTGTCAATTTTAATTTGTGTCGACAATTTTACTGCCGCTGCCATTTTTATAACTGATTTCGATTTATAAATTGAATTGAGGACAAATTTATGACATTCCTTTTCATGAGCAGAATTATTTAATAAATGTTCTTTGCAAAATGAAATTTGTGGGCATTTCTTGCAATTTACAAGAAGTTCATTTCTATTTTCGAAGCAAATTGAGCAAATTCTAGGAAACTTGATCATAAGTGATTCCTGTGGTTTTAACCTTCTCTTCAGTAGTGTGGTTGCTTTCATCAACAGCTGGCTCTGAAAAAACAAATTTAGCAATCGTTGTAGATATTTGGTTTTAGCTTTTTTATTTAAATCAACTATTTACAAGGTAAGTATAATTTTTTACCCTATTTTCTAAAAAGAAATGGTTCATCAATTTGATGTCAAATTTCGATCAAATTGATTACTCGACGGAAAAGTGTCGCAATTGTCCCAAATTGACATTTTAATTTGGCACAAATTTGAATAAAAATGAAATTTATTTAAAAAAACGTATAAAATCTCTAATACCCAAGAAAATTTAATAAAATCGAATATTATTTATTACAATTAATTAGAGCTTAAAAAAATTGACAAATTTTTGAAAAATCTACTTACTACTAAAATGTCGCCTTTTCCATCATCTTCAACTTCTTTGAAAACAGCCATTCTTTCTTCCTCGGTGTTCGCTTTCAATGACTCAAATAGATTATCAACTTTATAATCCTTCTTCATTTGGCACAATACTTTACAAAACTGCTTGTGACTCGGCCAATCTTCTTTTTGGTGCTCTTTACTGCAGTAAGAAATCATGTCGCAAGCGCTGCATCTTTTAAGGTTTACTTTTTCACCGAAACAACGACAAATATGGCACATATTTGGAAAGTAAACTGATTGTTTTTTACGCTCTTCCGACACACCCTTTTGATCCAGGATAGAATTGAAAAATGATTGATTTAAACCAGCCATATTTTTATTTATAACACAGACTTAAAATATAAAACTATGTCTATTCTTTTAACACCAACTACCATGCCAGATACAAATAAAAAAGAATGAAAACAAATGAAAAAGAATGAAGTCTATAGTCTTCTTGGCAAGGATGATAAAAAAGTTGGTTTGCTAAAATTCAGATATCGACCCAACTCTGCTGGTAAAGGCCAACGCAGAATAGATCTGTAACCGGAACCGCAATCGTAACCGAAAGCGTAAGAATGAGTTAGAGAAGGATAAACAATATACCTATCCTTCTTTAACTCATTCTTACGGTTACGCTTACGATTGCGGTTCCGGTTACAGATCTATTCTGCGTTGGCCTTAAGGCGGTGTTTACATGTTTTCTCTTAGCGCTACCTACATCGAAACTGGTTAACAGGCGAATTTCATCATCTGAAGTAGTGAAGTCACACAGATGTGTCTGAGTTTGTTATCTTTATTGTTTTTACCAGACACTTCTTTTCTGATATGTACTTATGTTTATTTTTGATTTTCTTCAAAATTTTGTAAAAGAGACAAGAATTGCGTAAAGAAACCAAAGTGCAAAGAAACAGTAGCTCTAAGACAAAGGAAAGTATTCGAGCATTGCACATATTATTGAAATACAAGTGTACAATTTTGACAGTTGTCAATAGAGTCAAGTTATTTAAGAACAAAAAGAAAACAAATACTTGGGCGAATAGACATGGTAAGTCAAATTAATTTATTCTTTATTAAAATAACTTGCGGAATATATTTTTTTTCATTGTCAGTCAAAGTTTTTAGTATCGTTGCAGATTGTTTATGACAAAAAAATATACATTTGGCAATGAAAAACAAGTGATATCATAGATTATTGTCTGTTTGACATTCTTCACGTATTATTAACAGGTAGTCAATCTGTCAATAAACAATTTAATTTTTAAAAGTTAAAAAAAGTAACGTTTAAAACCGAAATTTCTGTGGTCCTTATAAAACAAATAGTGAAAAAATTATCCTTTTTTAAATGACCAAAAGATTTAATATTCATTAGAATTTTATCATCCAATTTATTTTTAACTTAATATTTTACTCTCACTAATCTAATTCGTCAGCTTATTTTCAAAACAAATTTAATTTTTAATTATTTCAAACTATGAATATTTATTTTCTTTGATTTTATGAAAAGTTTACGTGGGTGAAGTTTACAACGTGTATGTATATTTCATAAAATAATTATGAAATGCTTCACTTTTTTTAATTTGTTATTATTAATTTTAGATAAGAAAAATGTGGGACCCTTAATTACTCAAAGAGAAGAGTTAACGAAAATGTGTCCCTCATTTTCACCATTTTTTGACGTCCATTTGACGATAGTATTTTTCAGTACTAAATTAATCTTTTGAAGACAATTTTTAAGCAATAAATTTTTCATATTCAAATTTTTATTTCAAGATTTTTTATTAAAGCTTTTGAGAATTTAATTATTTTTGGAATTTACCATTAAACTACTTCAATTTTTAAATTTTTTATAAAACACTTTAACCAAGACCTGTAAAGTGAATAATAGTTAATGTAACTACTTTTTGGTTGAGAAAAAAAATTTAATAAATTTATCCCAATCTCTTAGGATGATGAAGATCAATATCAGTCAGGTTATGGTGGCTGTAGTGGTCCATTTCCACAAGACTACAGCTATTCAGCTTTTGATGGAGAAGCAGATGGATTATCCGGTCCGTTAACAGGCGATCAAAAACCCAGAATACTTTTAATGGGTCTCAGAAGGTAATTTTCTACTTATTTTATGTCAAACAGAGAATTTTTTCACCAAATTAAAAAAATTTTTATTATTTTGATTTGTTTTTAAAAAATCGCTTTTTATTTCAATTTTTATGGATATTTATACTGTTCTCTAAATTTGAATTAGTTAAAAATAATTAATTTGATAGTAAAATATCAGTCACTTATTCAAATATAGTATGTAAATAAATTTTTAAAAAATTATCGATTTAATAGAAACTTTGTGAAATTCAACTGAAAATAATTAAATTTGTTGAAAAATTTCATTAAAAACTTTTTAACAAATCGAATTTTCAAAGTATTTTAATTTAATAATTCATAAATAATTGAATTTAATTATAAAGAGTCACATTCTAATGTATTCATGTTTCTTAGTGCGAAGATTAATAATTAAAATTTTTATTAGTTAATTTAAAAAAAGATACACATTTCAAATTTTTTAATAAAATTAAATTTTCGCAAAGCTTATTTGAAAATTGTGAAAAATAAGATTTTTGAAATTTTTCAATTCTATTGTTTCAAGATAATTGAATTTTCATAAACAAATAATTGAAAATTAAAAAATTCTTCTTAAGAATTCAATTATTTCCATAAATAGCAAAATTCTTCAGATTTACTAAATTCTTTTGAATATTATTTAAAAAAAAAATTCTTCACAAGAATTCAATCTAATTTTTCTTTAATTCAATTTTCTTAATTCAATTTTAAAAGAGTTTCCTTTACAATTTTTCTTCGCAATAATTCAATTATTTTCAGAAATAATCAAATTTTTTACAGAGATTCAATTATTTTCATTAATAATAAAACTCATCGCAAAATTTCAATTATTTTTAATACAATTTTAATGGAATTTCTCGAAAAATGTATTCTTAAAAATTTTATTAAAATTCATCAAAGAAATTCAATTATTTTTAAAATCCTTCCTATTATTTATTTATTTATTTATTAGAATATAAGTATTATTGTCAATACATTTTTTAATTAAATTTCTTGAAAGAATTAAATTATTTTCAAAAATTTTAATGAAATTCTTTTTAACAATTCAATTTTTTTTCAAAAATAATTTTAATAAAATTCGTCTCAAAAATTAAATTATTTTCAAAAGTAATAAAATTCTTCGCAAAAATTCAATTATGGTCAAAAGTTTCAAAAAAAATTATCGTCAAAATTTCAATTATCTTTATAAATATTAAAATTTTTCTCTTAAATTCAATTATTTTCAAAAATTTTAATGAAATTCTTTTTAAGAAATTCAATTTTTTTTCAAAAATCCTCCTCCAGTCAATGATTTTCAATATCTACTATTTCAATAAAATTTTCCAAAATAAATTAATTATTTTAAATTTTTTTTATAAATTTTTTCGCAATAATTCTATTATTTTCAAAAATATTCAATTTATGTTTACAAAGATTCAATTATTTTTATAAATATGTAATACGATTTTCTACAGGGATTCAATTATTATTTTCATAAATAATAAAACTCATTGCAGATTTCAATTATTTTTGATACAATTTTAATCGAATTCCTCGAAAAATGTAATTATTCTAAAAATTTTATTAAAATTCGTCAAGAGAATTCAATTATTTAAAAATTTGTTAATAAAATTCTTTATGAGAATACAATTTTGCGAAACATTCAATTATTCAATAAATTATTTATTTTTGTATTAAAAATAATTAGGTATTTAAAAAGAAATATTATTAAAAAATTCGTCTCAAGAATTCAATTATTTTCAAAAGTAATAAAATTCTTCGCAGAAATTCAATTATGGTCAAAAGTTTAAAAAAAGTTATTGTCAAAATTTCAATTATTTTCATAAATATTAAAAATTTTCTCTAAAATGCAATTATTTTCAAAAAATTTAATAAAATTCTTGGCAATATTTCAATTATTTAAATTATTTAAAAAAATTTTGATAAAATTCTTGACAAAATTTCAATCATTTTCAAAAATTTTTCTCAATTCCTTCAAATTTTTTCACAGAGATTCAATTATTTTTAATACATTTTTAACCTAATTTCTCGAAAAATGAAATTATTCTTAAAAATTTGTTGGTAAAATTCTTTAAATGAGAGTTAAATTTGAAAAACATTCAATTCTTCAATAAATTATTTTTTTTGTATTTAAATAATTGAATTGTCGTAGAATTTTCTAATAATAATTGATTCAAATATGAATTTCAGTTAAAACTTTAGATAATAATTGAATTTTGAAAAGGTTTCAAATTATAATCTTTGAATGTTTGAATTTTTCATACTTTTAACTTAAAATTGTGTAGATTTAATTTTTTTGTGAAAGTTCAATTGAATTTTTTTAAAGTTATTTGAAGTTTTTATTTTCTAATATATATTTGATTGAAGAATTTCCGAATAATCGATGAAATTTCGTAAAATTGAATTGTAAACAAAAGGATTTGAAAATGTTGAAAGAAATTTTTCAGAAATTAATAATAATTAATTTAAACTTTATAAAGAAAAATTTTAGTTAAAAATTCTGGAAAACAATAATTGAATTAAAATAATGAAAGTAATTTTGAATAAGTTAGAGTAACAATATTCTTGTAATATAAAATAATGATTTTATCACTCGGTCATTTTTAATTATTTATAAAACATGAAGAAATCGATTGCTCCGAGTCGAAGACTCGGAGTGATCGATTTCTTTATGTTTTATAACAATTTTTTATAAGTTATTTAATTTCAAAGTTTAGATGATTTAATTAAATGAATAATTTCTAATTTTTCCTGTTTTTTTTCCAGGAGTGGAAAGTCTTCAATTCAAAAAGTTGTTTTTCACAAAATGTCTCCTAACGAGACATTATTCTTGGAGAGCACGAATAAAATTATCAAGGATGACATTTGTAATTCGAGTTTTGTACAATTTCAAATTTGGGATTTTCCAGGTCAAATTGATTTTTTTGAACCAACTTTTGATAGTGACATGATATTTGGTGGTTGTGGGGCATTAGTTTTTGTTATCGACGCTCAGGATGACTACATGGAAGCTCTAAATAAATTGCATCTAACGGTTACAAAAGCCTATAAAGTTAATCAGGCCATTAAATTCGAAGTGTTTATTCACAAAGTCGATGGCTTATCTGATGATTATAAAATGGAAACGCAAAGAGATATTCACACTAGAGCCAATGATGATTTAGTCGACTCAGGTAAATTTATTCAATCTTTTCTCAGAAGAAATATATTTTAATTACCTCTAAATGATACGAAATATTAATGGAATTAATTAGTAATTTTAAGAAAATTGAAATTTGTTGTATAATTAGTGTAATTTTTTGTTTAGGTTGTGATCAGATTCACTTGAGTTTTCATTTAACTTCAATCTATGACCACAGTATATTTGAGGCATTTAGTAAAGTTGTACAGAAATTAATTCCTCAATTGCCCGCTTTAGAGAATTTATTAAATATTCTTATTTCTGTAAGTAATTTTCATTTTATTCTAAAAGTATTTTACATAATCGTATGAGATTTAATGAATTTAATGAACATTATAGAACTCGGCAATCGAGAAGGCTTTTTTGTTCGATGTGGTTTCAAAGATTTACATTGCAACTGACAGTTCGCCAGTCGATATGCAAAGTTATGAACTATGTTGCGACATGATTGACGTTGTAATTGACGTTTCTTGTATATATGGGTGAGGAAAACAAATTACATAAATACAGACATTAATGTTTCTTAAAAATTTTTTTTTTAATTTCTTAAATATTAAAATATTAATGTTTCTTGACTGACGAGTAAATAATTAATTTTTTTTTGCAGTGTAAGAGAAGATCTAGAAGCAGCCGCATTTGACGCTCAAAGTTCAAGTTTAATAAAACTAAATAACGGTACAATTCTCTATTTGCGAGAAGTGAATAAATTTTTAGCTCTTGTCTGTATATTGCGAGAAGACAGTTTCGAGCGACAAGGTAAGCACATATTTCATTTGCTTTCAAATTATCAAGGATGATTCGAAATTAAAAAGAATAATAACTTTTAATGAAAAGGTTCAAAAATCTTTAAGTAACAAAAAATATTATAAATTTCAATTTTTTAAAATAAATAATGTTTGATTTCCTCATATAACTTTAATTTTAAAAAAGGGGGTTTAACAACAAAATTTTATTACAGTGAAAATTGATCTTTTTAATAGAAAAAAATAATTTATTAAATAATTATTATTTTTAGCAGGGTTGCCACAAGTCAAGGAAAAGACGAATTGATTTATAAAAGAATTTTAGTTAAAACATTAGAAAATAATTAGAAGCGTTAAAATAGAATTCTTTAGAAATAAGTAAATTTCAAAATGTCCTTAAATTGAAATCTTTGAAATTCTAATTGCTCTAAAATTATATAATAATATTTAAACATGGAAAATTATTAATTTGTTAGCTTCTTTAAAAATTAAAAATTTTGAATACTATTATTCAAAAATTCTAAAAAAATAATTTAATTTTTCATATTTTCAAATGGTTTTACATTGAAAGTGTTTCAAAATTTTATGCAAATAAAGAACAATAAGTATTTAAATCCTATTTATTTTACAAAAATGATTGAAATTTGAAAGATATAATTTGGAAATTCTGAAGAAATTAGGTTTTCGAAAAATATTAATTAAAATTTTTTTTGAAGATATACTTGAATTCCGAAAAATAATTTTAAAAAAGTTGAAACAATTTGAAAAATTTGTAAAATTTTATCAAAATAAATTTTATTTTTTCATCTTTAAAATTTTATTCAAAAAATCAAAAAAAAAAAAAAAAAATAATTGAATTTTGGAAAAATTACATTTGCAATTTTTAGAAATAATTTAATTTAAAGAAGAATAAGTCTTAAAATTTTTATTTAACAAAAAGTATTCAAGTTTTGAATAATTTAATTGAGAAATTCGGAAAAAAAATTTGTTTCTTGATAAAATGTAATTAAAATTTTTTAAAAGTAATTGTATTTCCGAAAATTATTTTAAAAAATTGAAACAGTTGAAAATTTTGTCAAATTTCATTGAAATAAATTTTATATTTTAATGGATTTTATTTGTTTACAATTTTAATGAAATTCCTCGAAAAATGAAATTATTCTTAAAATTTTTATTAAAATTCATCAAAGAAATTAAATTATTTAAAAGGACATATTAATAAACTTCGTCTCAACTCTCAAGAATTCAATTATTTTCAAAAGTAATATAATTCTTCGCCGAAATTTAATTGTGTTCAATAATTTACAAAAATTCTCGTCAAAATTTCAATAATCTTTATAAATTTTTCTCCGAAATTCAAATATTTTCAAAAACTCTTATAAAAAAAACAGTTTTAAAAACTCTTTTCTCTTTGGAGAAATTCAATTATTTTTAATCAAATCCGAAAAATTAACTTATTCTTAAAAATTTTATTAAATTTGTTAAGAGAATTCAATTATTTAAAAATTTGTTGATAAAAGTCTTTATAAAAATTCAATTTTAAGAAACATTCAATTATTTAATAAAATATTTATTTTTGTATTTAAATAATTGAGATCTCGTGGATTTTTCTAGTACAGTTAAAATTTTAGATTATTATTGAATATTGAAAGCAATATAGCGTAAATTTTTAAAAATAATTGAATCTTGAAAATGTTTCAAATTAAAATCTTTTAGAAAATTTGAACTTTTCATACTTTTAATTAACAATTCTATAGAATTTATTTTTTAAAAAAAGTTTAATTGAATTTTTCTTTAATTCTTCAAGTTTTTATTTTCTAAAATATATTTAATTGAAGAATGTCAGAATAATCAAAATTACGTAAAAATTACAATTGAAAATAATTGAATATTGACGAAGAATTTTATCATTTTTAAAAATAATTGAATTCTTGCGGAGAATTTTATCAATTTTGAAAATAATTGAATTCTTGCGAAGAATTTTGTCAATTTTAAGAATTATTGAATTATTTCGAAGAATTTTATTCAAATTTTTTTTAGAATAATTGAATTCCTGCGAATAATTTTATTATCTATAAAAATAATTAAATTCTTGACAAGATTTTTAAGGAAATTTAGAGAATTAATTTTTTTCAAAAAGTTTAATGGAATTTTTTTCTAATTATTTAAATTTTTTAATTTCTAATTTATTTAATTGAAGAACGTCAGAATAATCGAAAGTTTAGGTAAAATTGAATTGTAAACAAATGGATTTAAAAATTCTCAAAGAAGAACTTTTTCAAAAATTATTTTAAAAAATTGTTTTAAAAAAGAATTTTAGTTTAAAATTCTAAGGAAAATTAATTAATTAATTAATTCTAACAGGAAAAAAGTCGTTTTGTTTGGAAATCAGGGAGTTTGGTAAAATTAAGAATAAAATTAATAATTAAATTTTGTAAAATATAAATGTAGTTTTAAAAACCTGGAAAAATTACGTTTTTTAACCTGGAAAACCTGGAAAAGTCAGGGAATTTGAAATAAGGAAAAGCGTGGCAACCATGTATTTACAAAATAAAATATTTTACGTTAAAGAAAAAGTACATCTTACAATTTTTATAGAAATATCAGAAAAATGATAAAATGAAAATAGAAGCAACGCTAAAAATTAAAATTATTAATAATTATTGAAAAATTTTGTGCGTTAAATATAAATTTTATGCTTTCTGTTTAGGTGTGATAGATTACAACTTCCTATGCTTCAGAAATGGAATTCAACAGGTATTTGAGTTGCGAAATAAATCATTAGCCGCTGTTGGCGCAAATAATCATTCGACATCTCCAATTAGCATAAGTGAATCGACGAATATGCCTTCTACTGTCTCGCAAAGTGGGCAAAATGGAACGATCGTGCTAGCTCAAAGTTAAGCAAACTAACTTTGTCTCATTCCACACATTCAATTATTTCAATGAAAATATTTAAGTTTTGAATATTTTAAATATCAAATATTCAAGATTCATATAAAGTCTAATACATTGTTTCTTTAATTCAGTAATATTTTTACTTTTAATCTGGAGCAAATAAATATCATGTATATTTAATTTTAATTGAATAATAGTATTTATGAATGTTATCTATGAAATTTTTATGCAGTCGAAAAAAAAGATATTTATTTCACTAACTGAAATATTACTAATTAAACAAACTCTATGTTCATCTATGTAATTGGAAGAACTTTAACTGATGGTTTAAAAAAAAATACAATCAGAATATTAATGAATGTATATAATATGTACAGGATTTTCAAAAAAATATTTCTAGACCTGAAAAATATGTTGAAATCATGTTTTTTTTAGTGATGATAAGAGAAATTAAAGTTGAGAACGTTCGGAACTTTTTGGATGTTCTATAAATAAGTATGCTAGTCGCATGAATGTATTTACACATGTATTTAGAATTACTCAATTTTAAAGATTAATATAATATATATTTTTGGAAAATAAACAGATCATTTATTTTCCCTTTGTCTTCTCTGCCGAATTCAAAATTTAGGATAAGAGAAAATGAAGATTTGAATAAAGTTATTAATAAATAATAAACAATACTGATTTATTCACGTATATATACATTTTATAACAATAACAAAAATTAATTTGATGAAATTACGTTGTCGGCATACTGTAGTTAAAAGCAGAAGTCAAACCAGACACTGTAACAAAAGTAATTAATTTTTAAATAAACAATTTAATTTAATTTTTTTAAACAAGCAATTTTTGCTAAAATTGCATATAAACACAAAGACATCAATATTTCTTATGTACTTACAGTAGGCAAAATTGTGATGCTGAACTGCATTACGTAAAGCAGACGCCAAGCATGTATGATATTTGATGTAAGTACTTTCTAGTAAATCCAATTTCTTCCCTTCCAGATAATGATATCCTCTTTTCCACGTGTCTCGAATACTTATACACATCTCCAGTAACTAATCAAAATATTTAAATTAAAATCGGTCAATTAAATTTTATTATTATTTTTCATTTACCTGATTGATTGTCGACATTAAATCTTCAAATTGAGAAGTTTGCAGGCTATTCTCGAGTACTTTGTTTAAATATTCTTTGTGAACTGAAAAAGTAACAAAAAAAAATGTAAATATTCTGATAAAAATTGTATTGAAACAGAATCTTAAGAAGTGGATAAATAAATAGTCAAATGTGACCTGAAAAGTAAAAAGTGACCTTACTTTCGAAATCAAGTTTTCGAGAAGAACGATTTCAAAGCAAACAAGTCCGAACAATTTTTAATTTTTGACCGTCATATTCAATGCGTTATTTTGAATTTTCGATATCTGACGCTAGATTTTTCCATCCGCCATATTGGATTGGCCATCTTGAATTTTGAAAATCTGATACCAGAATCGTCATCAGCGTTTCAAAAATCTGCCGAGTAGCGAATTTCAAACCAATCCGATTAATTTTTATACACTTTTTTTAAAATCAAAATTATGACTTTTACTTTTTGGCAGTTTTTTTTTTTTTTGAAAAAAGGTCCGTATAGTCCGTAATTTGATTGAGAAAAGACGGAGAGTTCGTAAATTGTAAGTTATAATTTTGGAAATTTTGAAAAAGTTAGAAATGATTGCAGAAATTCAATTATTTTCATAAAAGTAATAAAATTCTTCTTCTCAATTCAATTATTTTCAAAAATTTTAATAAAATTCTTGGCAAAATTTCAATTATTTTCAAAATTTTTCCTCAATTCAATGATTTTTAATATCCAAAAAAATGTAATAAAATCCTACGCAAACCTTTAATTATTTTCATAAAATAATAAAAATTTTATAGGGATTTTAATTATTTTCGCAAATAATAAAATTCTTTTTAGAAATAAATAAAAAGTATTGCAGAATTCAATTATTCTTAATACAATTTTAATCGAATTTCTCGAAAAATGTAATTATTTTATTATTCTTCAAAATTTTATTAAAATTCGTCGAAAGAATTCAATTATTTAAAAATTTGTTGATAAAATTTTTTATGAGAATTCAATTTCAAGAAACATTCAATTATTCAATAAATTATTTATTTTTATATTTAAATAATTGAATTCTCGGGAAATTTTCTAATAAAAATTGATTTAAAAATAAATTTTAGTTAAAATTTTAGATTATAATTGAATATTAAAAGCATTAGAGCGTGAAGATTTAGAAATAATTATTGAATTTTGAATAGGTTTTAAATTAAAATCTTTGAAAATCTGAAACCAAAAAAAAAAAACATTTAAATTTGGAAAAGTTACAAATTATTGCATAATTTCAATTATTTTCAAGAGTAATAATATTCTTTGCAAAACCTTAAAAAAATTTGTTTATTTCTTACAAGAATGAATTTTTTAATATTATTTAATTAATTCTTTCAAAAGTTTATTAACACAATTATCTTGATAAATAATATATTTATTGACAGAAATTCAATTATTTTTAGGAATTTTAATTACATTTATTTATAAAATTATTTAAAGAAATTCAATTATTTTTAAAAATTTTAACGAATTTCTCGTCAAGAATTCAATTATCTTTACAAATAGCAAAATTTTTCTCCAAATATTCAATTATATTCAAAAATTTAAATAAAATTCTTTGCAAAATTTTAATTATTTTTAAAAGTTTTTCGCAATTCAATAATTTTTAATATTTACTATTTACATAAAATTTATCAGAAGAATTAATTATTGAAAATAATTTTTGATATAATTCTTCGATACCATTCAATTATTTTCATAAATGATAAAATTCCATTTACGAATTCAATTATTTTCATCGCAGAATTTCAAATACTTTGAATACAATTTTAAATTAATTTCTCGAAGAATGCAATTATTCTTCAAAATTTTATTAAAAATTGACGAAAGAATTAAATTTTTAAAAACATTCAATTATTCAATTAAATAATCAAATTCGCTGCAATAATTCAAATATTTTCATAAATAACTTTCAATCGTCGCAAAAAATCAATTATTTTCAAAAATTGTTAAAATTATTAAATTATTTAAACAAAATTTAATAAACTTCTTCGCATAAATTCAATTATTTTCATAAATTAAAAAAATTTTATATTTAAATAATTGAATTCTAGTAGAATTTTCTAATAAAAATTGATTGGAAAATGAATTTCAATTAAAATTTTAGATAATAATTGAATATTAAAAGCAATATTGCTTGAATTTTTAGAAATAATTGAATTTTGAAATTCATTTTTTTGAAAAAGTTTAATTGAATTTTTTTATATTATTTCAAGTTTTTATTTTGTAATTAGGTACCTATATTAAAGAATTTACGAATAATTGAAATTTCGTAAAATTCAATATTGTAAACTGGATTTAAAAATTGTCAAAGAACTTTTTATAAAAATAATTTTAAATAATTGATTTAGAGAAGAATTTTAGTTGAAAATTCTTGACAATAACAATTGAATTGATAATGATTTTATCACTCGGTCATCTTTAATTAATATAAAACATAAAGAAATCGAAGACTCGGAGTTATCGATATCTTCATGTTTTATAGTAATGAAAAATTTAATTTCTAGTTTTAAGTAAAATTTTTCTCTTATTTGACTCGGGCTGGTTATATTTTTGTCAGTAATTGGTTCGAGCACATATTTTTTTATAAGAATCAACGAAAAACTGAAAATCGATTTTTTTGAACAAAAAGTCCCTTTCAACTGTTCAGGTCACTAATATTAAATAATCTGCATTCATACTTTTGATGATTGAATAAAAATTATCAGCCTGGGTCAATTCAATATCCAAAGCATTTCCCAAACTCTGAAGCACTTGACCGGACAAGTAAATATGAATCGCTCCAATGGCATGTAGTAACCAAAATCTTAAACACTCGAGCCTTCTCATTTGAAAGTGTTTTACTTCATCAATCGGTGATTCTGATTTTGATCCTTCGAGATCTAAAATTAAAAATAACATCCCGTCTAAATGTTTTAAATTTTTATCTTAAATCTAAGAATAAGAGTTTTAAATCCTAAACAATTCGACAAAATTTCAGATTTAGAAAAGGAGAATAATTACCTGAAAATTTCAAACTATTCAAAGTCCAAACGACCCATTTCAATTTCAAAACAAATCGGAAAATAATGTTGTATTTATTGATTGTTTCTTCATTAAGTAGCAAATTAACTGGCCAGCCTACTGAATAATTTAGAGTTATTCCGTTCACAGCATTCAACACCTGATGCGTTCTGACATTGTCAACAGTAATCGACCAACGAGAACTTAATTCTGGCCATTCTTCAGAAATCACTTCTTCCAATATTACTGACAGAAAGTGAGAATTATTCCAGTTGATATTTGATTCAATCTGTAAATATTTTAAGAATTATGATAAACATAGGTACAAAATAGTAGAAATCTAGCGCCAGAATGAGGTATGAGAATAAATTTAAGGACACAAAATTACCTCATTGAACATCTGGTTACAAAACTTATTCATCACATGACCTTTTTCCATCATAAAAATACTTCTCATCAATCTTAAATTCTCCTCCAGCTTATATTCTTTGATCATTATTTGTTTCACCAATTTATTAACACCAACATGACGAAGATTAAGAATTTTCGATAAAGCAATTTCGAAAATTTTCCTCAATGGTAGAAATGATTTCGATTCAAGTTTAAATCTAAAAAATTAAACATCAATGACTTCAGTGCTATTTACACTCTCAAGATCAAAAAAATTTCAGTTCCATTGTTGTGTTTAGGTATAAAAACTAAAAAAATTATTTAAAAAACGTAGTTACAGAAACAGCGATGGTTCAGTCTTCTTCTTCTCATTAAGTTTGTAGTCAGTTTCATCACAGACGTAATTATCCCTTCCACTTATTGGTAAATATTTTTCGAACGCTTTCATGTAAAATGGATTATCTGATATTAAAGGCTGACACAAAAATCCATCGTTAATTAGATCTTGATGTGGGAAAATTATTTGTCTGCTTAAGACTGCATCTGTTCTATCGCTTGTTAAATTGACAGAATACTTCAACATTTCCGATACCACTTCCTTGCGAAATTCAGCGTTTAATGAAATTGGCTCAGCTAAAACGAGTAAAGAATGTTTCTCATCAGTTTTAACATCAAGAATTTTAGTTCTTGATGTTACAACTGATGAAAATCATAAGTCTACTTTTTTATCATTCCTATCATCTATAATTAAAAATTAACAGGGCTCGGATCGTCTTTAAGACTCAAAAAAGTCGCTTTAGTCGCATAAATTAAAAACAAAGGTCACGAAAAGTCGCATAAAATTTTCGAAAAAGTCGGAAAAAAGTCGCATGAAATTTTAGAAAAAACGACAAAAAGGAAACATGAAATTGTCAAAATTGTAAAAAAATCACATTTCTCGACAACACATACTTTAATATCAAACAATTCGGAATATAATTTAATAAAATTCATAGCAAAATTTTAATTAGGTATTTTTAACATTTTTTAAAAAAATCTGTTCAACATTTCAATTATTCTTATAAATAATAAAATTCTTCGCAAAAATTTATTTATGTTCAAAAATAAAAAAAAAATTCTCGTCTAAATTTCAATTATCTTTATAAATAATAAAATTCTTCTCTGAAATTCATTTATTTTCAAAAGTAATAAAATTCTTCGCAGAAATTCAATTATATTTAAAAAATTTTTTAAATTTCTCGTCAAAATTTTATAAATAAAAAAATTCATCATGGAAATTTATTTATTTTCAAAAGTTCTGATAAAATTCTTTGCAAAATTCAATTCTCTTCAAAAGTAAGAAAATTCTTCGCAGAAATTCAATTATTTTCAAAATTTTTTTTTAAATTCTCCTCAAAATTTCAATTATTTTTATAAATATCAAATTTCTTCTGCAAAAATCAATTACTTTTAAACATTTTTAAAAAAGTCTGTTCAAAATTTCAATTATCTTTATGAATAATAAAGTTCTTCTCCGAAATTCAATTATTTGAAAAAATTTTTAATAAAATTATTGGCAAAATTTCAGTTATCTTTATAAATAATAAAATTTTTCTCTGAAATTTAATTATTTGTAAAGAATTTTAATAAAATTTTGTCAAAACTTCAATTATCTTTATAAATAAAAAAATTCATCCTAGAAATTCTATTATTTTCAAAAATTTTTTTTAATATCTCGTCAAAATTTTATTTATTTTTATAAATAATCAAATTCATCATGGAAATTTAATTATTTTCAAAAGTTTTGATAAAATTCTTTGCGAATTTCAATTATCTTCAAAAGTAAGAAAATTCTTCGCAGAAATTCAATTATTTTCAAAATTTTTTTTTAAATTCTCCTCAAAATTTTAATTATGTTTGTAAAAATCAAAATTTTTCTGCAAAATTCAATTACTTACTAATGTTTTATAAATTTCTTCCCGATAATTCAATTATTTTCATAAAAAATAATTAAAAATTTTTTTTATAAAATCTTATAATATAAAATAATGATTTTATCACTCGGTCATCTTTAATTTAAAGTTTATCTTTTTTTTTAAAAAAGTAATTGATGTTTTCGGAAAATTTGAAAGAAATTTGTAAATAAATGTAACAGAACATTTTTTTGACTAAAACTTTTCCCTTTAATTTTCGAAAAATTTTTAAAGTTTCAATTTCTAATTGATAAATAGAATTTATAAACATTTTTTTTCATTAATTTTCAAAAAACTTAAAATTTTATTAAAGCAATTGTAATATTAAGAAATAGAAATGATGCAAATTATTTCCTTATGAAAATTGAGAATATCCTACAAAAAATATTAAGAAACGGGATAATATGTTGATGTTTTTTTTCCCCAAAGAGAAGAATGATTTTGTGAACAATATTTGTTTACAAAAAAAAGATTTCTGACATTTACAATTTAAGTCGAAAAGTAATTGAAAAATGTGAAAAAAAGTCGATTTGTCGCATTTTACTAAAAAAAAATCTCGAAAAAGTCGATTAGTCGCATTTTTTCACAAAAAAAGTCACATTTTCTTAGAAAAGTCGAAAAAATTTGAAAAAGTCGCACAATCCGAGCCCTGAATTAATAAAAAGAAAAATATTCTCCGTTTGAAGTAAAGTTTCCCTTTCTAATATCATAACCAATTTTATACAGGAATCAAAGAGTCCAAAGAGTATAATTTTTCAACTGAAAGAGAATCCCATCATACAAAGAATATTTTCCCGGCTGAAAATAAAATGTGGAAAATAAATTCCGAGTTCTTCAAATTGAGTACTTTAAAAAAAGGATTTTACCATCTTGATGATTTATGGAGTGCCACATGTCAGAAATGCGATCCAAAGTAACAAGTAACTCTATGTTACGACCCATCTGACAAACCTTTTTTAAAAACAGTTGCATTATAGGATCCCTTAGGCATTCTTCATTGAGTTTTCTGACTTTAAATTTCTTATATAATTGTTCTTCTTCTTGTGATTTTCTATCCCCTTCTCTAAGTAAAATTGTTTAAAAATATTTATTCAGACTTTAAATAAGTGGGGCTCAAATGTATTGTAAAATATCAAATATTGCAAATAGTTCTCACCTAACAATTATAAATTCATTTCTCCAATCTTCGAGGCGACCCTCGCTCAGCCAAGCGTCAACAATGTTCAAATAAGCAACAATACTGGACAAATATAAATTGGCGCAAATATGTGTTCTTTCATGGCTACTCGACCTTTGCATTTCATAATACAAAGTTGATAAGAGCTTCGAAGCGCGAAGCCAATTTGAACAAGTCTCCCAGTCTTCTGTAGCAGACTTATGAATCTCGTACAGGATTTTGATCAAGTTCAAATGTTTCCTTAAGTCTTCGGACATTGTAAGAAATGTATTAAAACTTTCTGAAATTAATAATAATTTAGATAACATGATGATCTATTTTTTCTATTATTTTTTTATTATTTAAAAAAAAAATTAATAAAATTGTACGCAAAAAATTATTTTTATAAATAATAAAAATTTCACAGGAATTCAATTGTATTTAGAAATATTTTATAAATTTCTTCGCAATAATTCCATTATTTTAAAAAAAACAATAAAATTTTTTTTAAGAAATTGAATTATTTTCATAAAAAATAATTAAAAATTTCTAGAAAATAATAATTGGATTATAAAATGATGTACACGGTGGTCTTAAAAGATTTTAAATACTTTTGACACATACCCTTTCCAATTTTTGCATAAAACGTTTTCACACCATCTACTCTTCTCAGAAATACATTTTCAAAAATTTTAAAACAATTCTTGGCAAAATTTTTATTATTTTCAAAAACTTTTCTCAATTCAATGAGATTTTTAATATCAACTAATTAAATAAAAATTTTAAAAGAATTCAATTAGTAACGAAAAAATTTTAATAAAATTCTACGCAAGCATTTCATTATTTACATAAATAATAAAAAATTTCACAAAGATTCAATTAGGTATTTAAAAATTATTTTCATAAATTATTATTATTCAATTATTTACAGGGATTCAATTATTTTCATAAATAATAAAAAACATCGCAGACTTTCAATTATTTTAATACGATTTTAATAGAATTCCTCAAATAATGTAAAAAATATTTTGAAAAATTTATTTAAAATTTAATAAAGAAATTCAATTATTTTAAAAACCTTTGCTACAATTTATTTATTAAAAATTAAGTATTATTTTCAATACATTTTTAATTAAATTTCTTCCCAAGAAAATTAAGTTATTTTCAAAAATTTTAATGAAATTCTTCGTAATGATTCAATTTTTTCAAAATAATTTTAATAAAATTCTTCGTAGATATTTAATTTATTAATTTCAAAAATTTGTCAAAATTCAATTATTTTCAATGTCTATTATTTCAATAAATTTTCACAAAAGAATTCAATTATTTAGAAAGAAATTTCAATAAAATTCGTCTCAAAAATTCAATAATTTACAAAAATAATATAATTCTTCTCAGAAATTCAATTATGTTCAAAAATTTACAAAAAGTCTCGTCAAAATTTCAATTATCTTTATAAATAATAAAATTCTTCTTCGCAATTCAATTATTTTCAAAAACTTTTAATAAAATTTGATAAAATTCTTTGCAAAATTCAATTATCTTCAAAAGTAATAAAATTCTTCGCAGAAATTCAATTATTTTAAAAATTAACTTTTTTCAAAATGTTTAATGGAATTCTTTTAATTATTTGAAGTTTTTGAATTTCTAATGAAATTCAATTGAAGAATTTCCGAAGAATTGAAATTTCAAATAAAATTGAATTTTAAGCAAATGGATTTTACGGTGGTCTTGAAACATTTCAAATACTTTTGACACATCACATGCCCTTTCCGTTTTTTCAAAAAAAAATTTTAGATAAATTAATTTTGAAATTTTCAAACAAAATTTTTTGATTTTTATTAATGGTACACTTTTAATTTTTCTTTTAAAAAATATATTTTAGAATTTCCTTTTTTTAATATATTTAATATTTTTTCCAGATTTTTAAAAAATGTAGTTTTTTTAAAAAAGCTACTTTTTTGAAAAAAAAACTTTTAAAACTCATTTTTTTCGGAAACTACTTAACACATTTTTTTCTCAAAATTTTAAAATAATTAATTTAGAATAATTTTTTTAATTTTGAAATATTTTTTTAAACTGTCTTATTTATGGTTATAACACATTTAAATTTCATTTTTAAATCGGTTAAGTAGTTTCCGAAAAAATCAGTCTTTTAGTTTGTTTTTTCAAAAAAGTAATTTTTTGAAAAAACTACATTTTTCAAAAATCTGCAAAAATTGTATATATTAAAGAGGAAATTCTAAGGAATTTAAAAAAAAAATTGAGGTGTAACTTTAATACAAAGTAAAAAAAAATTTTTTTTTAATTTTGAAATTAACTTTTTTTTTAAATTTTGAAATATTTTTTCTAAATTGCCTTATTTATTGGACTAGAAATGATTCTATCACTCAGAGTGATCGTTAAATTACACTATTTATTGTCTTATTTATGTTTACAACATATATATATATATATATAAATTTCATTTAAATTGGTTAAGTACCTAGTTTCCGAAAAAAATGAATTTTTGGGTTTTTTTTCAAAAAAAATCGTTTTTTGAAAATAAATTATATTTGTCAAAAATCTAGAAAAAATATAAAATTTAAATTAAAAATTTTTTTTTTTATTATATTTTGATTGAAGTTAAAATCAATTCTGTAAGTAGTGTGGAAAGGTTTTATGCAAAAATTGGAAATGGCATGTGTCAAAAGTTTTTGAAATAATGATTTTATCACTCGGTCATCTTTATTTATTATTTATAAAACATGAAGATATCGATTGCTCCGAGTCGAAGACTCGGAGTGATCGATTTCTTCATGTTTTCTAACAATTTTTCATATAAGTTGTTTAATTTCAAAAATGTTTGATTTTGAAATTTTTGAAAATCTTAATTATGGAAAAATAATAATAATTAAATATTTATTTAAACATGAAATTATTGATGTTTTCGAATAATTTCAAAAAAAAATCGTAAATAAATGTAACAGAACTTTTTTTTTGAGTAAAATTTTTTCCTTTATTTTCTAAAAATTTTAAAAGTTTCGATTTCAATTTCAATCGAGATTTCAATTAAAATTTGTAATTGACAAATAGAATTTATAAACAATTGTTTTCTTTATTTTCAAAAAACTTAAAATTTTATTAAAGCAATATCATTAAGAAATAGAAATGATGCAAATCATTTCCTTATGAAAATTGAGAATTTTCTACAAAAATATTATGAATATTTAATGTTTCTTTTTCAAAAGAAAAGAATGAGTTTATGTAAAATATTTTTCTTGAGAAATAAAAATTATGCATAAAATGTGTAAATATTAAATAAAATTAAATTGTTCAAAAATTATGATTAAGAAATAATTCTTAATCATTTTGAACAATTTAATTTTATTTAATATTTTCACAAATAAACAAGAGACAAATTTTCATAATTTAGATCAATAAAAATAAATTTGTACAACAAAAAAAGAAATTAAGAAAGCTGAAAGAACTAATAATTACCTTGAATAATTAATTTTCGCTCCAATTCAATTATTTCTTCTTTAATCTGAAGTACGTATAGTTGAACAGCATTATTGTAGGCTTCATAAGTCAAAGGCGGTTTTTCTGCTTCATCTAGTAGCTGACTTTGCGCGTATAATTTCCGATTAAACTCTTGCAATTCATGAATCATCGTAAAATAATGACAATATGTTTGTAAATAATTTTTAAAAGCTGCTGCAGTTAGACTCGGCACCGACATATTGTCACGAATAGAAAAATCCAATGATTTACTTTGAAAAATAGCCATTGGCTTTTGTACGTGAAACATCCATAGTAATTCTCTACAAGTCTGATATTCACTTAATGTACCTATAAATTGATTTTTCGAACCATTTTCTTTCGAAAATTGAAAGAATCGTGCACTTGCAACTTTACTATTAGTTTCAAGTTGATGTTGATTAAGTTCGTTCCACCAAGAATGTTGAATTTTCCTCTCTAACCAATTTTCCGAGTGCAACTTGTCAGATATGCATGCCGATAATTTTTCTATTTTATTTTTAGATTCTTTCTCGATTATGGGTAAAAATAAGTCTTTACCACTTGAGCAAATTTGTAACTGATCGTTTTCCGTTAAATCAATACATTCAACATCCTCATCATCGGTCCAATCGGAGTCACTGCTACTACTTTGATATTTTGAGAAAAATGCTTCTTCACCTTCTTTTAAATATTGGGCCCAATCAATATCCTCCGGCTTATTTTCATCGGATGGAACATTTGCAATTTGTTCCAAACTTTGCAAATCAGAGTTACTGGTTTCAGTTGACAGGTTTAATAGGAGGTTCAGTAAAGACCATTGTATATCATATTGTGGATGTCTTTCAAAATCGAAATTATTTAAAAATGAATCAATCAACTCTTGGAACTTTTTTGCTACTTCATAATTACCATGAATTTGAAATTTTTCCACTAACTCTGATATCTCCTTTTTTGTCGCATGACTATTAACTGACAAGAAGCGGTGATGTTTTATTTGTGAAAGAGCAAAACGCTCGCATAAAGCAAATCCTTCTTCATCTTCCTGTTTCCGAATAAAAATAAATACATTTATAAAGTTTGAGAATAGGTGTAATTTAAAGATCCGCCAGGTGCGTAAACATCATCTAGGGATGCAATCGGTATTTTTCCCGAGGAACACCCAAATGCAACCCTAGATGTTCACAAAATCTGGGGATTGTGATTCTAGATTTCTATGTTTATTTATAAAAATTTCAGATCAGTTAATAATTAATGTATATGCTAATTATTAAAATGGAATAAGTAATAACAAATAAAAAACTATAAAAGAGTCAGTCCATTATGATAATCGTTGCGAATAAGATTAAAACAGTTTAAAACATTCTTAAATTTAAAAAAAAATTCATACGATTCTTTAAAACTTTTTTAAACTGGTACACATCAGGATATTTTATATACAAATAATTAAACCATAAATTGAGCCTCCCAACGATCGGATGAACGCGCTAATATGCTAGTCAAACCTTCAAAAAAGTCAAAAAAATTAAAATTCGAAATTCTGATTTTTCAAAAGAAGTACCTTATAGGAAATTGAATGGCGCATCTTTGTTCCCTTTGATTTTTTTCGTAGAATAAAAATTTTAGGAAATAATGACAAAAAAGTAAAAAACTGTAAACTTTTAAAACATAAATCATCATATCTTCGACAAATATTATAGAATTGATTTCAAATTCGGTATGCAGTTGTATTTGGGTTATTATAAAACATAAAAGGTATCGATCGCTTTCTTCTTGTTTTTTAATAATTAAAACTTGCTACTTTGTTACTGTAACATCTTCAAAAATTATTTTTATCATTTCCATTATTCATTTCAAGAATTTTCAACTGAATTTCTTCTTTAAATCCATTTTTTAAAAATAATTTTCGAAAAAGTTTTTTTGCGAATTTTCAAATCTATTTGCTTACAATTCAATTTTACGTGAAACGTCGATTCTTCGGAAATTCTTCAATTAAATATATTAGAAATTAAAAAATTGAAATAATTTTAAAAAAATTCCATTAAACTTTTTGAAAAAAGTTAATTCTACAGAATTTTTAATTAAAAGAATGTAAAGTTCAAATTTTCAAAGATTTTAATTTGAAAATTCAATTATTTTTAAAAATTCACGCTATATTGCTTTTAATGTTTTAACTAAAATTCATTTTTAAATCAATATTTATTAGAAAATTCTACGAGAATTCAATGATTTAAATAGAAAAATAAATATTTTATTAAATAATTGAATGTTTCTTACAATTAAATTTTCATAAAGAATTTTATTAACAAATTTTTAAATAATTGAAATTTTTCGACGAATTTTAATAAAATTTTTATGAATAATTTCATTTTTCGAAAAAATTTGATGAAAATTTTATTAAAAATAGTTAAAATTCTGCCAAAAATGAAAAAATTTAAAAAAAATTTAAAAAATTTAAAAAAATCTAAAATTTATTAAAATTTTAGAAAATAATTGATTTTCGGAGAAGAATAAATTTTAATATTTATAAAGATAACTGAAATTTTGTAAATTTTTGAACATAATTGAATTTCTGCGAAGAATTAAATTATTTTTGTAAATAATTGAATTCTTGAGACGAATTTTATTAGAATTTCTTTCTAAATAATTGAATTTTTTTGTAAAAAATTTATTGAAATAGTAGACATTGAAAATAATTGAATTTTGACAAATTTTTGAAATTAAAAAATTAAATTTTTACAAAGAATTCTATTAAAATTATTTTGAAAAAAATTGAATTATTACAAAGAATTTCATTAAAATTTTTGAAAATAATTTCATTCTTTGAAGAAATTTAATTAAAAATGTTTTAAAAATAATACTTCATTTCTAATAAATAAATTGTAACAAAGGTTTTTAAAATAATTAAATTATTTCTTTGTTAAATTTTAATTAAATTTTTCAAAATATTTATATTTTTTGAGGAATTCTTTTAAAATTGTATTAAAATAATTGAAAGTCTGCGATGATTTTTATTATTTATGAAAATAATGAAATGTTTACGTAGAATTTTATTAAAATTTTTTCGTTACTAATTGAATTCTTTTCAAAATTTTTATTGAAGTAGATATTAAAAATCATTGAATTGAGGAAAGTTTTTGAAAATAATTAAAATTTTGCCAAGAATTGTATTAAAATTTTTTAAAATGAATTTCTGAGAAGAATACTTGTGAAAATAATTGAATTTCTGCAGTTATTTTTAATTGCTTCAAAATTCAATTTTTTTAGTATAAAATTCTTCTATAAATCCATTATTTTTAATAATCAATTAAATATATATATTACAAAATTTAACTAATCTCAGAAGAATTTTAGTTATTACATTTTTTTAAAAATCTAGATTTTAAAAAATTTCTAATTAAATTTATTTAAAATTGAAATTTTACAAAATTTCCAATTAAAATCTTTTGAAGTTGATCTACTTATGAAAATTGTAAACGCAACTCTTTTAAAATTGAATTAATTTTGAAATATTTAAGTAAAATTAGTTTTATTTAAGAATAAACACAATAACTTTAGAAAATAACAATTTTCCAGGATTTTGATCAAAATTCCCTAAATTTTTCAGGTTTTTTCAAGGTTTATAAAATTTTATATAGAAAGATTTTTTTAATTTAGTTTCATTTTTTACTTGATCTTTTTTTATTGCACATTATATGTTACATAACGTTTCGACTTAATTTCTCAGCCCTCTTCAGATTCTAAAATAATAATAATAAGAACAGTATTACAATTAATTTTTTATAGGTTAGGTTATTTCAATTACACTCATATCTCGCTATAACGACCTTCTCTATAACGAGCGCTCTCTATAACGAGGGCTCTGTTTCTCGGTATAGCGAGAAAAATTTTCTTCATATTACCACCACTATTTATAAACAAATGCACATTCTGTTGATTTAAATTTGGTTAAAATCAATTTTATTTATATCACAATGAGCATAAAAAGTCACTTCTTTTTTTAAATTATATCCATGAGTCGAATATCTTCAAAATTTTAGCTTACATAAATTTTCTGTATGTTGGAGTTCAAATTAAACTAGGTTACGTTTGTAATTTTGACATTACGTAGATTGTAAACACAAAAAAAATGAATGAAGAATCTTAAAAGTGGGGATTTTTCATTTCTCCTCTTGCGCTCGTAATAGAGGGAGACTTGACTCCCGAACTTCTCGTTATAGCGAGATTCGAGTGTACGATAAATTTATATCTTTTGTGGCAAGTTCGACATTTGTTACCATGCATCTATAAGTTCACATATCTTAATTCTTTTGACTATTGTTTAAAACGATCCCGCCTCGATAATTCTAACACAGGTTGGGTGGCAAACCTGAATTTTCCTAATAATTGTTCATTAATTTTTTATATTGTAAACATTGTAAATATGTAAAGACGTGTCAAAGTTTTAAGGTTAAGTTACCTTCGTCGACAAAAAGTCTGTAGGGGAATTTTCGAGTTGAAAAAACTTGCAGTGAGACATTTGTTTATTAGTACATGAAGAAGTTTCTTTGGAGAATATTAGATTGATTTATCAAAAAATGTGTAGAATATTGAGGTTTAAAGACAGAGCGAAGAGCACGTCAACGAGTCAAGCTTTTATCCAACTGAATTAAACTTCGTCTTCTTCGTCTTATCCTCTTATCAAACAATACTAATTGTCAAACCTCAGGTTCAATTTGCCCATTTTCCATTTCTGGATGCTTGATTCAAGAATTTCTACAAAGAAAACCACTGTTGCTAGAAGATATCCAAAAGCCGCTATAAGAAGAATCCGTTGAAGAAACTCGCTCGAACTATTTTCCTCTGGTAAATCCGGGTGAGAAGGTATTTTTAATTGTGATTTGTACAATAACCACTTACTCATCAACCCATTGTTAACTAATTTCAAAAGTTCTTTATTGATATTTTCAACGTACGGACCTCCAGGTTCCATCCAAAAAACAGACGCCGTATGTGAAACAGATTCCTTCAAAACATTTACTTTCAGTTTATTATACTTCTGGACCTGATTCTTAAAAAACTTGATCATATAGGAAATCTTGACGACACAGGAAATGTTATTGAATTCCTCTATTTCACGAAGACATCGATATAAAGGACGCCTTCTCTGAGTAACCGCACGATTTTTTTCAAACCACATTTCGTATTTAGCTAGTGTAGAAAACTCTGAAGGCTGAAATGATATTTGTGAATACACCGAAAGATTTGACTCCAACAGCTCTTGAACAGTATTAATTTCCTTCTCGGTACTTATCTTTATGTGCATTTTAGTCAACAATGAATGAACGTAACCAGAGTAGATGACACTTCCAAAGAGAAGAATTATCAACATAACTTTTTCTTTTACTTGCTTTGGTATACTGGGCAATCCACTAGATAGTACGAGTAGAAAAATGTTCAGAGGTTCCCAAAGTTCGTTGTCAAATTTTAACACTCGAATAATAACATACAAACTGATGATAATAAAAAAGTTTGATAAAATGGGACTGAAAAATTCCCAGGAGACAATATCGATGGTGACATTGATTCGTAATTTTGGAACAAGAGCAAGCATTTCCTCCAAATTCAAAATACGAGTACGTTGCAAAAGTGTTCGCTTACAATTATGGTTATAATTATATACAGCTAATATAATGTGCACCCTACCTGTAAGTACATCACGATAGTTTCCCGAAATACGACTACACGTAAAACCGCCTCTTGCTCTAAGTCCGTTTTGAAAATTTATAGTAAAGTTTAATTTAACCGATAAGGTTTGAAACAAACTGGTTTTCGGATAGTCCATACCACCGGGTAGGAAGAGGAACTTCAATTCAAATTTATGTAGATTTTTACTCTTATCTGGAAACCATTCCGAAACAGACCAACTTTTCCTGATTGTATGAATTTTGCTGTAGGGATTGTACTGATACAAAAAGGCTACTTTTTTCGCTTTTTGGAGACTGTGTACTCGGGTTTGTTTCTTAGCCAACTGGAGAATTGTGACGTCTAGGAATTTATCCTTCCAGAGTTGTTGCAGTGTTTCCTCGTAATTTGAGGTTCGGTTTTTCGTTATATGAACAATTAGACACTTTGGTCGAATATTTTCGAGTGTCATGTTTACTAAAAATTGAACAGGGGTCTTTAGACTTTGGTCAAAATGATCAGTGTCTTGAGTGGAAATCATGACGAAAAGAGTAGTTGGTCTAGAATTGTCGTGAAGTACTTGAGAATCTTCTCGAAAATGAGTCATTTCATCAAAGGTCAAGGTGACTCTAGGCACATTCCAACTGGATTTTTGCAGAAAGTCTCCTACTTCTATGGTTCGATTAACAGCATTAGGATCAATTAGAAAGATCACCTGATATTTGGGTTCAATCTCCGTAATGTACTTCACAAAACTGTTTACTCGTTTGGAATATCTTGAAGAATTTTCTACTGAATGTCCATGACTTTGTGAGAACCATAGCATCAAAAATGCAGTAAGCAAAAAGAACAGTTTCAACATTTTTTCCAATTAACTAATTTTCTTTGCGTACTTTATGAAGTAACTTTTTTCGCTAGCTGCTATGGAACAGTCTTCTTGCTGAGGTGGTTCAAACTATTCTTTTCAAAGTAATGGTTTCAACTAATCGAATCGTTTGTGCTATCAAAACTTTCTATCACGATTGGTTTGCGTTTTAAAAGTTAAAGTTCAGTAGTAGTCCAAGTCAATATTTTGTGAAATTGAATTTTCTTATCTACTAAGAGTGTTGATTAAAAAACTAATAAATTCTAGGGGCGCATGATTATTCCTCAAATTTCAATTTCCTAATATTCAAAACATCGAAATTCTTATCATCGAAACATCATTTCGCATAATTTTCAGTTTTCGAAATTTCATTCAACATAATTTTCAATTTATCGATTTATTCTTTATCCTATTATTTAAATAGTCCAATTGTTTTTTAATATAATTTTTAATATGTCGAAAATTTTTTTGACATACATTTTATTTTTCCGAATGACTATTTGTCATAATTATTAATCCTCCAAATTGACATTTGACATAATTTTCAAACCTTCGAAATATTATATTACATAACTTTCATTTATCGAAATTTTATTTGTCATAATGTTCATTTACTCGAATTATCAAGTGACATAAAGCGCATTTACTCGAATTCTCATGTGACATAACCTTCAAATCTACGAAATGTCATATTTCAGAAATTTTAATTTATAGAAATTTTATTTGTCATAATTTCATGACCATTTAGCTTTCTCAATATAATATATACCAATTGCTTAATATTTTATTATAGAATAATTATTTTAAAGTGTTAAGATAAAATTTCAAAAAATACAAAATTTGAATTTTTTTTGTGAAAAATAGAAATAGCGATTAATTTTTTAAATTTTGATACAATACATACTTTATTTTACAGGCCAAATCGGAAATTATTTTGCTTTTGCATCTCAAATTTTTTTTAAACAGTAACAGTATGCAAAACATAATGGACTAACACAAAATAACATTTTTTACAAAAAAAATCATAAAATATAATGATTTTGTATTTTTATAAAAATTTGAAAAATTAGTTTTAGAAATGTATCTAAAAATAGATTTTTTAAAAAATTTTATAACATTTTTCGAAACAAATACCTATGCCAATTTACAAATTACATAAATATTACTTTCATTAGTTAGGACATAATTTTTTTTAGTAAATGAGAAATATATTTGAATCAAGAGACAAAGGTTTCTATAAAATTCTGTAAGAAATTGAAAATCAACTGAAAATTTATTTTACATCACTGTGTATTTAAAATTTCTAACCTCAAAACAATTATATCTTATTGGTTGCAAAATTTGAGGTCGAATTTCAATTTACTTTTTGAAATATAAAACCACTAAAGGTACACTTTTAATAGTGCATATAACATTTATCAATAATAATTACTATAAGTATAAACCATAGAAAATAACCTAAAACTTACTTCCAAATCGGTTATTTGTTTAATTAGTAATTTTAAGTCATTGCGAATATCATCCAAAATTTTGGTACCCATGCTCAATCACTTTCAAACAATCACAAAACTAAGAGTTGTCATTTAAATTATGTAAATTTCTTTCACTATATAAATAATAAAACTTTTATTCTCCAAACTTTTTTTCTATTCCCAAAAATAGTAAACAAACATAAATTACACATCTCGAAACATCGATTATTTTAATTTCGACAGAATTCGATATATTAAAGGTGTGTTTTCAGGGTTGGGAACATGTATCTCTATCCTTTTCTAAATTATTTTTGCTTTCTACATTTTCTTACTTTTTCCAAAAACAGAAAATACCTTAACGGTTGTGATCATACCTTAAGATATTTTTACAACTGAAAACGAACTCTTATTTTTTACATGAGAGAGAAAAGGAGAGAAATATCGATGGCCTTTTTCTAGAAAAAGACAAAAATGCTTTCTTTCTGCTTTGACGATGTTTTAAAAAGTCGTCACACATCTAGCAAAATAGAATTTAAAGGATAAAACAGAATAGAAACGTTAATCCGAATCGAATCCGCAATTGTTAACGGAAGAATGAGTTAGAGAAGGATAGGTATATTGTTTATCTTTCTCTAACACATACAACAACTTGTAAAGGTGTTTCTGCAATAGCTTTAAAATGCATTTGTTTTCTGATTCTACGGAAAAATGTCGAAATCGCGTTCACACCTAGTATAAAGGTAGGTCTACAATAGCTTATAAATGATACATACCTTTTGGCATCCTTTTGGGGCCGTTCAAAAAATACGTAACGCTTTAGGGGGGTGGGGGGGTCAAGCTATTTGTTACGGTCAGGAGAAAAAATGGCGCTAATGTATACAACATTGCGTTACATGGGGGGAGAGGGGTGGGGTCCAAATGTCCGAAAAATAGCGTTACGTATTTTTTGAACGGCCCCTTTGGTAAATTTATTTTCCATCAACAATCTATCTATTTGGCATCGATCATCAAAAATCTAAAGTTAGATTTTAAAAATTCAAAATGACTGAAAGTTTTTATAAAAATTTATCTGATTAGTTTAAAGAAATATTCACATGAATTGCAAAATTATTTATTTAATTATCTTATACTTTAATTATTTCAAAAACTTTTGTAATAAAACATAGAATTACTTTTTAACATTCATTACAAGGTTTATACAAATTCAATATTTACAACTCTGATGTAAATGTATTTAAAACCATGTACCAACATAAAGAAACAATATTTTGTAATGTCAAAAGAAGTATTTTTACTGCATTATTGCATAATTATTTCCTTGAATAACGTAAAATATCACTTAGATGTATTTTTTGCACCAAGTTGTTCATAAATAGAAATAAATTGATTAATGTTAATTATAGGCATTCCAATTTTCCTTCTTGAATAATAATAACTTTCATACGGATTGTAATCACTGAAGACACAATTTGCCGCGGGAAATATTGATTTTACAATTTGTTCGTCCCTAAGACCTTCAGCTTTGGTAAAGGCTGTGACTACTAAAGGACACTGTCCTTTGTTCAACACTTTAATAGATTTTTCCCAAGTAGGATAAGCATGAAAACCAGCATTGAGGCAAGCGATAATATCCGGTTTTTTAAAATTCGATCGTCGACAGTACTCATCATATACTGTATGATGCGATTCAATTATTACTTCCTTGTTTTCTTTTTTGCAGGATTCGCAAAGATCTTCCGTTTGATTGTAAAGAAACATTAATTCGTCTCCAATGAGAATCACCGAAAGTTTTTTCACAGATTGAAAATAGTGCAAAAATATTTCCCACTCGATATAGAATTGCTCTGGCAAAGAGGCGCCTACAACATGAACCACTAAACTTTCGGAATTTTTAGGAAAGTCTAATTTCTCCAAGGCGAAAATTATTGACAGCGGTCTTGAATATTTTTCCGAAAATGCAATATTCAATAAATTGATTTCTTCCTTGGAATTAATTAAATTCTTTGTTATGAAAGTCTCTATAAATTCCATCATTGAGGAAGGTAATTTTTCCATTTTTATCTGCGCACACAATTTTACTGCTGCTGCCTTTTTCATAACTGACATCGGTTTAAAAATTGAATTAAGGATAAATTTACGACATTGCTCTTCATGAGCTGGATTATTTAATAAGTGTTCTTTGCAAAATGTTATTTGTGGACATTTTTTGCAATTCACAAGAAGTTCGTGTCTACTTTCGAAGCAAATTGTACAAATTCTTGGAAATTGGAGCATGTGGGATTCCCGAAATTTTAACTTTCTCTTCATTAGTGTAGTTGCTTTCGCCAACAGCTGATTCTGAAAAAACAAATTTAGCAATCATTGTAGATATTTGGTTTTACTATCCTTTTATTTAAATCAAATATTTTCAAAGTATAATTTTTTAACCTTTTTCCCAAAGAGAAATGGGTCATCAATTTGATTTTCAATTTTTTTGAGTAAAAATACAGAAAGAGAAACATTTATTAATTAAAAATTTATTTTTGATCTTTAAGTCTACATTGATTCCAAAATAATCAATGACAATTGGTTTCAAATTCAAATAATTAATAAAAATAAACTTTCAATCAAGATGAACCTAACACGAACCTAACCTACAATTCGTTTTCTTCTTAGGTACCTTATTACTTGGGACCGCGTCATATTTAATAAAAAAAAATGTATTAAATCTAATACAAAAGTAAATTAATTTAATTAAATATAATATTAATTATTACAGTTAATTAACGCTTAAAAAATCGTCAAATTTTTAAAAAATTTTGATCATTGATTATATAGTAAAAATTGACGTCAAATTCGTCAAATTGATGGACGATTTCTCTTTGGTTTATAATTTTCTTTCTCGTTTTCGATTTCCAAAAAGCTGAGACTTGTTCTAACAAAATGCATGAAAATAAAGATTAGAGAAAATGTGAAAAGCCATTATTCGAAACATTTATTTTTTGGCACACCAATTGTATTGTCACAGCAACTTCGCTTTAAATACATTTTGTTGGAAAAAGTTTTAGTTTTCTATATTGTAGAAAATATTAATCAACTAGGACAGAAGTGGTTTCTATTCATTATACTAATACTTACTATTAACATGTCGCCTTTCCCATCTTTTCCATCATCTTCAAGTTCCTTAAAAACAGTCTTTCTTTCCTCCTCAGTTTTCACTTTCAATGATTGAAATAGATTATCAACTTTCCTTTCCTTCTTTATTTCACACAAAACCCTGCAAAACTGCTTATGATTCGGCCAGTCTTGTTTTTGGTGTTCTTTGCCGCAGTACGAAATCATATTGCAGGCACTACATCTTTTTAAATCGACATTTTCACCGTAACAGCGACAAATGTGGCACATGTTTGGATAGTAATATGTTGTTTCTTCATTCATTTGATCCTCGGTAGATTTTAAAATTGATTCCATTGAATTAGCCATATTTTTACTTATATCACTGATTAAAATATAGATAAGTCTATTCTTTTAACGCTTTTAACTATTGACAGATGAGCAATAAAATAATATTAAGGCATGGTGCGTTTGCAATAAGAATTTAAAGGCGATTCTTCAATACAAATTTTTACGTCGATCACAGCGACACTATAGAAATCTAAGAGAAATCCTAATGGAGCGTTTACACCTTCTGTAAAAATTGTCCAGAAAGGAAAATTTGCATTAGAGTAAGAGAGTCAGATACACAGTCTGTCTCTCTTACTCCAATGAAAAATTTTACGTTCTGGAAATTTTTACCGAAGGTGTAAATGCTCCCTAAAGATCCTAAAGGCCTAAGCAAATTTCACGGAAAAATGTCAAATTAGCGTTCACACCTAGTATAAAGGTTGGTCTACAATAGCTTCTACAATAGCTTACAAATGAATTTTGTCTTAAGGTGCTTCTATACCTCTGGTGGATTGGTCAAGCAATCGGCTCGATGAATTTTCACGGTCGGAAAATGTACTTTCATGGCGGATATTTTTGAATAAGTAAATGTTGAAAAGGTGTTTACTTGAAAATTTATTTAAAAAAATGATTTTATCATAGAAATTTTTTTGAAATTTATGTTAAAAAACATGTTTTATTTTAAAAGTTATCAAATTTTAATTCAAAATGTTTTAATTTTCCAAAGAAGTGTAAAATGCCTAATGTTTTTGAAATGCTAGTACAGACGGTACAGACTGTTTGTTATGAATGTACATAACCTAGCGTTGTGTTGTCGTGCTTGTGATATTATATTCTAAATTTAGCTCTTTAAAAATAAAACATAAAATCCTAATAAACTTATGGTTAAAAATTTCGTTTAAGCGAGATATTTAAAAAATTAGACTCTATCCCATACACTTTCTATACAATGTTGGTGCACCAGTTAGCATCCATATTGAATTTCCCCCCACCGAACTTGAATAGCCTTATCCACCGGAGGTATAGAAGCACCTTAACTATTATTCACTCTAGAGGTCTTTGTTAAAGTATTTTTTGATAGTGTTTGAAGTATTTTAATTGCAAATTCTAAAAATGAGGGTGTAACCCAGCAGAAAGCGTGAAACCGAAAGCAGAATTTCATAAGTGCAAGAGAGATTGTCAGCTAGTCTATCTCTCATGCACTAATTTTCTGATTTCGGATTACGCTGGTTTACTCTTATTGCATTTTCAAGCTAATATTGCAGAAACACCTTTGCAGCTTCTTGTGGAGGCGATTTTGACTGAATGCACCTTTAAACTGTCAAAATAAAAGCGATTCCAGGTATAAAATATTTTAAAATTTATTAATTTCATTCTAATTTAACAACATATAAATTGTTTTACAATGTTTACAATGTTTATTAAAGGAAAAAAACAATATTTTTCTGATTTTCAAATATCTATTACATCAAGTAATATTTTCCTATTTTAAGACTAAGTTCCAAGTGTATTTTAGGTTAACTATTTGTGTTTGTCAAAAAACAATCCCCAGATTTTTGCTAATCTCAAAATTGTACTTTAAAATCTTTAAAATTAAATTGTGCTGTAAGACAAAATTTCCTGTTTATTTGTATTTTTGTTATGGAATGTTCTAAAGACTAATAACATTTTATTTTTTATCATAAAATCTGCGAATTTAAATGCCCTTTTAGAAATTTCAATGTTTCAGTTTTACAACTTTTTTTAAATTTATAACTTTCAAATTTGGTACTTAATAATTGTTTCTATTTATTGCCTACTTTGAAACTTGAAAGTAGTAAATTTAGAAGAAGTTTTGAAACAAACATTAATTAAAAGTAGTAATTTTGCAAGAGGGAATTTAAATTCGCTGTATTTTTTGTAGTTTTACACGTTTCGATAGCTTCTAAATGAAAACATATTATTCGCCAAAGCGATTTATAAAACTATAAAAAGTCCATATCAGAACTGTATAACTACAGGAAATTATTTTACTTGTTCTTTACTTTAGAAGTTTCTAGATAATAATTTTTAAATTTTCGAATCCATGTAAATTCTTGAAGTAGTATTTTATTTTGTTTTAGATTTTAAATTGAAATAATGTAAAAAGTATTATAAATTGTAAATTTATGAAAATTTTACGAATTTAAGGGAATTCTTGACATATTCTAATCTTTGTTATATTTAAAATAATGTGAAAAAATAACAAAAATTTTATGAATTTTTGTTTTAGATTGAGTTTATACAAGCGTTGGTGAATCCTCTGAGAAGCATTATTTTGAAGGCGATTATTTATTTTGAAAATTCTTCAATTACAGGACAATTGGGTACGAATTGTGAAAAATAACATATTTACATTAAAGTACAAATTATAATTGAGAAATAAAAGTGCATGTAAAGTTTAATGAATAAAATTAAAATGGTATAATCGAATTATGGTATAATCGAAACTGTCGTTATAAAAAGAACCGAAGATAGTTTTTATTTAGTTCAGGTGAATGAATAATTTCACAATGTTTTTTATTCATTCTCAATAATTAACAATGCAGAAAAAAATATTTATATTATTTCATTTTATTTGTTCCAGGTAATCAACGAAAGAATTCTTTTCGAAATTGTAGTTCATCAATCTTTCTGTTTATTATATCTTTATATTACGTATTGTAATTATTTTATCAGTGCGTGAAAAATTTACGGAATGTCGTTGAAAAATGAAGAGGATTATTCCAGCAGTGGAAGTGATCCAGATTCTGATGATTACAGTGACAACTATGAGGATTTTGATAATTACTATAGTACTGACGATTACACGCCTATTTTTCTCGCCGTTCACAAAGGTGATTTAAATCGCGTTAGTACTCTACTGAATAAAAATAATTTAGAAGAATGTATACATGATAAAAGAATGTTGCATGTGGCAGCAGCACGAGGTCATCTACAGATTGTCGATTTGTTGATAAAAAATGGAGCTAAACTTAATGTCGAGGACGTCAAGGGAAGAACAACTTTTTATATAGCTTTACAGCAAAATAAAGTTAAAGTAGCCGAGTTTCTTTTGAAAAATGGAGCACGTATTGATATTCCAAGAGATGACGGAAGAACAACACTTCATGTGGCGATAAAAACGCAGAACATTCAAATTGTCGAAAGACTTTTGAAACAAGGAACTATGGTGAATGTGCTAGATGATGTGTCGAGCATGAAACCAATTGATTTTGCTGCCAGTCTTAATAATATCCAACTTGTGGAACTTCTTCTGAAGTACGGCGCCAAGATGGATGAAAGTGATGAGTTTCGCGAAGGACAAAAAGATGACCATAAAAGAATGACAGCCCTTCATTTTGCCGCTGAACGTGGTAATTTAGAAATGGTCAAGTTATTAATGTCGAATGGATTTGATAAAATTGATGTGAGAAATTCATATGATAAAACACCCCTAGGTGTGGCAATAAGCAAACATCGTTTAGATATTGTGAAATATATGTTTGAAAGTGGATCAAAAATAAATGAGGATATGTCTCTCATCGATCTCTGTGAAAGCTATAAAGATATAAATATCTTAAAATATCTACTTGATCACGGAGTAAAACTTGTTACGGACTATGTACAGACTCCACTTTATTACGCATTAGACATGCACGAGTATAAACTTTGGAGGTACCTATTAACCTGCTATTCAAAAATTGATTCTGTATTATGCTCCAAAGAGACTGAACTTCATTCCGCCGTGCGCGCTAACAACATTGAAAAGGTACAAGAAATTCTCAAAAAAATGAAAGTAAATTCTTTATCTGGTGATTTGGGACAATTCGCAGTTTACATCGCCGTTGAAAACGGGAACGAGGAAATGTTAACGATTCTCCTAGAAGCAGGCTGTTCAGTTGAAAGTTGTTTTAGGGACAAATTAACTCCTCTCCATATTGCAGCCACATTCGATCAGACACGTTTGGTGGAAATTCTTCTGAAATACGGTGCGAGGATTAATTCAGAAACAAGAGCACTCCATCGCCCATTGGATTTTGCGGCAGCTATGGGAAATTTAAATATGATTAAATATCTCATAGACTCTGGTGCTAATTCCATTAGAAAAAATGAAAGGATTTCATCACTAAGATATTTATTAGACCGAAGTAACATTTTAGATACAATCACACCTTCAATGTATCTCAATCTATTAAAAGCAACAGAGCTGTTATTAATTGCCGGAGATCTCAAGCATAAAAATGACTACCATGTTGTTTCATTGTTAAGAGATGCTTTCAGCTTAAGAGTTTTTAGAGAGGGCGAACAAACTCTGATTAGTGACAATGAAGAGTTTGTGAATAGTGAGGGAAAAAAAGGGGAATTTCGTCCTGAAATTGTTAGGTGCTTGCTTAATTATTTAGACAATAAATTACTTAAAGAAGTTCTAAATTCAATCTTAAGTGATGGTTACAATAATTCAGATGTTTTTGAAAACATTATCGAATATTACGATTCTAATTTCATTCCAATCGATCCTTATTTTACTGGATGTGATTGGTCTAATTTATTTATAGTAAATGAAATAAAGCTAGATAACAGGCTTTTGGATATTACGCGACATAATATAAATTCAAGTAAATTAATAGAAAATGATGATGAACTGTTAAAGTTGATAATTGCACGTCTTGAACTATTAAAACCCAGTTGCAAAGAAATAATTAAATATTTCCCTTCAAGTCAAGAAAATATAAAAATTCGCAAATTTCAAAATGAATTTCGACAGCAGATAATAATTATGCAAAAAACAAAAGTTAACGATGAATTAAATTTGACTTTTTACGATATTCTAGTAAACTCTACTGACAAAATTGCGAGTTGCATAAGAGATGTGAAGTTGTTAAATACCAATAAAGTATCGTATGATAAATTTCTCGCGTATAAAAAATTTGTAAAGTTGCGTATTGAGAAAGTAAAGCGTAGAATTGAGTTAATTGACCTATCCACGAATTGTTTGTATCATTATATTCAAAGGAATTATAAAATTAAATTTTCAACAGCTGATGTAGAAGAAATTTTACAATATCTTTCAATGAGCGATCTTCGAAAGTTGTCATCAGTTTTTTCTGAATTTTCAGACTATAAAATAAAGTGGTAAATATTAATCAACGATGAAAAACATTTGTTTCATTATAATATTATCTCAGTCACAGTTTCTACGCTTTTTAGGTCAATTAGACTGAAATATTTTTAAAAGATGCTTCTTGCTATCATTTTGTTGCATCTACTGCAACAAGTTTTTTACTTCCGATTATATTTTTGTATTGTCTATTATATTTTTGTACTTGCTGTTATATGTAAGATAAAGTTAACCACGGTTAAATTATTTAATATTTCGTGTTAATTTCATTGTAAACTGATCATTGTAGGAGTACTTTTATACTTTATTTGTATATAAGCAGTCATCGAGCATTGTATGCACCTTTATGCTTTAATACGGGAATAAATAATTTTTACATAAAATTAAGGAGGTTGTATACTGAAATGAAAAAGGTTAAAACAATTTGAAATATTTTTTATTTTATTCACTGGAACTGCACACAGGTGTACTTCAAATATGATAATGATTGACCGTATAGTTTTTGAAAAAATTTGAGTGAAAGTTCCTGTTTTATACATGGGTTCTTATGGGGCAGTGCGCTAAAGTCAGAGAAAAATATCAATAAATGTGCCTAAAAATGGTTACACTCTTTCAAAAAACTTTGAATTGAATAATAAAAACATTTTTGGTAATAAATATTTAATAATATTGTGTCTTTACCGCATCGTATGAAAAATATTTAAAGAAAACGAACTAAAAATCATGCATTTGGCTAACATTTTCCTCAAGGTGCTTCTATACCTCCGGTGGATTGGTCAAGCAATCGGCTCGATGAATTTTCACGGTCGGAAAATGTACTTTCATGGCGGGTATTTTTGAATAAATAAATGTTGAAAAGGTTTTTACTTGAAAATTTATTTAAAAAAATGATTTTATCATAGAAATTCTTTTGAAATTTATGTTAAAAAACATGTTTTATTTTAAAAGTTATCAAATTTTAATTCAAAATGTTTTAATTTTCCAAAGAAGTGTAAAAAGCCTAATGTTTTTGAAATGCTAGTACAGACTGTTGGTTATGAATGTACATAACCTAGCGTTGTGTTGTCAGTTCATTATTATTTAATATAATAATAATTAAATCATTAAATTTAGAATATAATATCACAAGCACGACAACACAACGCTAGGTTATGTACATTCATAACAAACAGTCTGTATCGTCTGTACTAGCATTTCAAAAACATTAGGCTTTTTACACTTCTTTGGAAAATTAAAACATTTTGAATTAAAATTTGACAACTTTTAAAATAAAACATGTTTATTAACATAAATTTGAAAAGAATTTCTATGATAAAATCATTTTTTTAAATAAATTTTCAAGAAAAACCTTTTCAACATTTACTTATTCAAAAATACCCGCCATGAAAGTACATTTTCCGACCGTGAAAATTCATCGAGCCGATTGCTTGACCAATCCACCGGAGGTATAGAAGCACCTTTATTTGACAAAGCAAAGCAAATATTCTGTATATAATGAACAATTTACTTAGAATATACTGATTTAAAAAGTAAACATATAAAAAGAATATGCAATTAATTTTGCCTTTGCCAGCTATTATAGATACATACCTTTTAGTAATTTTTTTTCTATCAACACAGGTATAAGTACAGTCATAGAATTCTATTTGGTGTTGATCTTGATCATCAAAAATTCAAAGTAAAATTTAAAAATGACAACTCTAATATGGCTAAAAGTTTTTATAAAAATTCATCTGATTAGTTTTGAAAAATATTCTTATGAATTTCAAAATTCTTTATTTATTAATCTTACACTTTATTTATTTCAAAAACATTTATAATAAAACACTGAATTACTTTGTAACATATTGTTTAAAAAATTAATATTTACAGCTCTGCTGCAAATTGTCTACATGAAGAACGAATATTTTGTACTGTCAAAAAAAGTATTCCTACTGCAATATTGCATAATTATTTGCTTGAATAACGTAAAATATCACTTAGATGTATTTTCTGAACTGAGTTGTTTATAGACAGAAATAAATTGATTAGCGGAAATTAAAGGTATCCCAATTTTCTTTCTTGCATAAAAAGAACTTTCATAAGGATTGTAATCACTGAAGACACAATTTGACGCAGGAAATATTGATTTGACAATTTGTTCGTCCCTAAGACCTTCAGCTTTGGAAAAGGCTGTGACTACTAAAGGACACTGTCCTTTGTTCAACACTTTAATAGATTTTTCCCAAGTAGGATAAAAATGAAAACCAACATTGAGGCAAGCGATAATATCCGGTTTTTTAAAATTCGATTGTCGACAGTACTCATCATATACTGTATGATGCGATTCAATTATTATTTCCTTGTTTTCTTTTTTGCAGGATTCGCAAAGATCTTCCTTTTCCTTTGAAAGAAGCCATAAATCGTTTCCAATGAGAATCACCGAAAGTTTTTGCACAGATTTAAAATAGTGCAAAAATAATTCCCACTCGTTATACACTTCCTCTTCCACAGAGGCGCCTACAACGTGAATCACTAAATTTTCTGACATTTTAGGAAAGTCTAATTTCTCCATTGCGAAAATTATTGACAGTGGTCTGGAATATTTTTCTGATAATACAAAATTCAATAACTCTGCTTCTTTGGAATCAAATGAATTCTTTGTTATGTAAGTCTCTATAAATTTCATCATTGTTGAAGGTAGTTTGTCAACTTTTATTTCCGCACACAATTTTACTGTTATTGCCGTTTCTAAAACTATCATCGGTTTAAAAATGGAATTGAGGATAAATTTATGACATTCCTCTTCATGAGCAGAATTGTTTAAGTGTTCCTTGCAAAATGTCGCTTGAGGGCATTTCTTGCAATTTACAAGAAGTTTTTCTCTACTTTCAAAACAAATTGAGCAAATTCTTGGAAATTGGATCATATTGGATTCCCGAGGTTTTAACTTTCTCTTCATCAGTGTAGTTGCTTTTGTCACCAGCTGCTTCTAAAAAAACAAATTTAGCTTTATTATCCTTTCATTTAGATCAACTATTATCAAAGTAAGTATAATTTGTGACCCTATTTATCAAAGACAAAATTCGACGGCTCCCGTTGATATGATCTTGTTTCAATTGTCAAAATAATAAAATCGTCTTTGGAGCTCAGTTCAATATGATCTCTATTCAATTGTCAATTTAATATAATCTCGCAAAAATTTCCGTGTAATAAAATCTTAATTCAGAGGAATTTTAAATTCACTTAAAAACTAAAATATTAATTAGTTTTCAATATTATTTTAAGTTTTATGATGATTAAATAATGATGAATAAAATAAAATATAGAAAAATAAATAAAGAAAATTATAAAATAAATAAAAAACGATACCTATAAATAAATTAATTTTCAACAATTAATATAAGAAATAAAAATTAGAAAAAAAATAAAATTATACGAAACTAATTAATAATAAAAATACTAAATAAACTAAAATTGAGTAAAATTTCATTACGTTTTAATTATATTTTATTTTGTTAATAATTATTATTTTAAATTATTAATTTGATGCCAATTTGAAGAAAACTGAAATTTAATAAAAAAAAATGTATAAAATCTAATACACAAGTAAAAATAAAATATATTATTATTTAGGTATTACAATTAATTAACGTTTAAAAAAATCTTTAAATACGTTTTGTTGAAAAAAAAATTAGTTTTCTATAATGGGAGAAAATATTATTTAACTAGAACAGAGAAGTGGTTTCTATTCATTATACTATCAAAATTTGAAATCTACTTACTACTAACATGTCGCCTTTCCCATCATCTTCAACTTCTTTGAAAACAGCCATTCTTTCTTTCTCAGTGTTCGCTTTCAATGATTCAAATAGATTATCAACTTTCCATTCCTCCTTAATTAGACACAAAACTTTGCAAAATTCCTTATGATTCATCCAATCTTGTTTCTGGTGTTCTTTACTGCAATATGAAATCATATAGCAAGCACTGCATTTTTTTAAGTTGACTTTTTCACCGAAACAAAGACAAATGTGGCACATGTTTGGATAGTAATAAGATAATGTTTCTTCATTAATTTGATCCTCGAAAGATTTTAAAACTGATTCCATTGACTTAGCCATATTTTTACTTATAACACAGATTAAAATATAATATTCTTTTAACTATTAAATACCATGACAGATGCACAATCATGCGCAATAAAAAAAATATTAAGTCCCCAATAGGAACTTAAGGCCGCAGTCTCATGACAGCGTTTTGCGTTGCGTCGTAATGGGAGAGAAAAAGAGGCAAATATACGTTTGCTGCATTCTCTCTCATTACAACGCAACACAAAACGCTGCCATGGGACTCCAGCCTAATGGCGATTCTCCAATATTAATTTTTACATCGACAGCGACACTAGTAGACACTCATAACAAATTTTTAAATAATTGAATTCTTTTGACGAATTTTAACTCTATGAATAATTACATTTTTCGATAAATTTGATTAAAATTGTACTAAAAATAATTAAAATTCTGCGATGGGATCGTTCACTCCTAGGGGGGGGGGGGGTGCCAAGCGTGTGTGACGAAGTGTGGAATTTTTTTTTAAATGTGACAAAGGGGGGGGGGGGTCAAAATTAGTCCGAAAAAGCGTGACGTAGTTTGTGAATGACCCCGATGAGCTTTATTATTTATGAAAATAATTGAATTCCTAAAAATTTATTATTCATAAAAATAATTGAATTTATAAAAAAATTATTATTTATGAAATTAATTTCAATTAATTTCATTAATAATAAATATTTTTATGAATTATTGAGAAGCAATTAATAAAAAATTTGTGAATAATTGAATTCATGTGCATAATTTATTATTTATGAAAATAATTTGAAAATGTTTCCAGTACAATTTTATTAAAAAATTGAATTCTTTTAGGAAAATTAAAATAGTAGTATGTAGTAATTGTTGAAAACGTTGATCGAAAAATTTTGTGGACGAAGGAAATTATAGTAAATAATTAATAAATTAATAATAATTATTAGAATAAATTAATTATTACAGTTGGTAAACGATACAATATCAATTTTGAGTGTTGGTATGATTTTAAAGATTGCAGAAGTGCCTTTAGTAAATCCAGTTATCCGCCATCTTGAAAAATGCCTGAAAATGACGTCATCACCTGTCACAAGTTGAACTTATTTATAATTACTTGTTTACAAAAAATACTATTCTGGGTTAAAAACGTACTAATGTATTTTAAAAAAGTAGTGCATAAGTATTTAATTATTGTAAAATAATAAGAGTAAATTATCGAAGTGGAGATTAGAGAAGGAATATAATTATGAAAAGAGTGTTTTAAAAATCGACACTAATATCATTAACCAATGAGGTGCTATATATAAAGTCAGCTGATCCATTAAAAGATGGCTGCTTATGCTTCCTGCGCAGAAGTGTTATTATTTTCGTGTCCGCGTTACCGCGCCTTCCAGCGATGAGCGAGACCTTGTTGTTGGATCATGCACGATTCTCTAGGCAGTCAGTCAGTGCGCGGCTCAACATTCGGTTGTTCGAGTGGTTGTGGTGGACAGTGCGTTGCAGTGCGTTTAGCAGAAAGCATTAGAAGAGAGAATCATGGACAGAACGGAACGGAATCATGATCCAAGTGGAACGGAATAGATCACAGTCGCCAGCATGTCGCCAGTCGTGAATGTTGAATGATCGCGGTTAGCTTGCCAGTAAGCGTAGCAACAATGCGCGACCTAGAGCAGAGCGAGCAGAGCAAGCAGAGTTTAGCTACCTAGTGATTATTTAGTACGAAGCGGACGGACCCAGAGGTTACGAACATTATTTTAGCGAAGATGACTATAATAGTCTTTTTGATCGACACGTCCGCCTCCATGAATCAGAGAGCTTATCTTGGTGGTCGACCAACGCTCCTGGACGTAGCGAAAAGCGCAGTTGAAACTTTCGTCAAGGTTCGTTTCTATGCTTTTTCTCACGTCACCTGTTCGCTCCTATTTTCTAACCCTCAATACACCGGCGGTTTCTCTCCGAAAATTCTCTGTTTTAACCGACCTGGCTCCCCTTCTTGTTCCAGGTGCGGCAAAGGTCACCCGAGAGCCGCGGAGATCGTTACATGTTGTTGACCTTCGAAGATCCGCCTCAAAATATTAAGGTACACAATCTTTTTTTCATTTCTCTCTTTCTACTACTACTACTACTACTACTACTCTACGTGTGTGCTCTGCTTTGCCCTGCTCCGCTCTGTCCCGCTCTGCCAGCACGACTAAAATCTCCCTGTTTTGCAAATCTGTTCCCCTTTTTTTCTTTACTATCACGAAAGGACTTGTTTCGTGCTAGTGGAGAAAATACAGTCTAATGTTGACATTGGAAGTGGAGAGTTGATTCCGAATCGGGCTTTGGCTTGTCTTACGCACACATTGCGTGTGACAAGCGCGGACAATTTGTATACTGCAAAAGTTGGATGTATGCTGAAAACTCCCAATTCGGAATCGGTCTGTTGGTTGGAACAGATCATGGTGTTGCATTGTGGGTAGTGCAGCTGACTAGGCTTCTCGGGAGGGGGATGCGTCAACAATCTGTTTATCCCCTTGTTCCGCACCTCCGTCCGAGTTGCCATTTTTTTCTTCCTTCTTTTTAATTCCCTCTCACACAGATTACTTCCCAGCTCTCCTACTTGGCTCATTCGCCACTAATTAATATAGAGTCCTACGCGCTAGATTCGTCATTTCCATACTTTTACTTGCGCTGTCTGCCGAGGGTTGTCATTATGAACATCTTTCTTTTTTTCTTTACACTTTTCTAATTTCTTTAACTTTTTTTTAACTTCTTTCTTTTTCTTTGCTAACTTCTTCAGCTTTTAATATTAACTTCAAAAATTGTTTTACATTATTCATTATTATTATTATTATTTATTCATTATTACTATTTAAACTTAAACTTTCTTCTATATTATTTACTTTATATTTTTATAGACTTTTCCAGAAGAGGAAATTATTTAGATTTCGAAACTTGGAGTAAACTAATATTTAAAAAATTAATTGTCCAAATGTTTTCGTTTATTCTCCTTCATTTATAATTATTTTCAATTTAATTTAATTGATTTAATATTGAAGAATATTAATTGTCAAAAATCAAACCAATAGTAGAAACATTTAAAAGTTCAGTTCTTGAAAAAAAGGATTTTTTCGACTTTTTCGAATAAAATACAAATATTTCGACTTTCCTTTCACTTTTACAACAATGGTATTTTCTAGACTTCGCTCTCATCTATTAAAACCTATTTACAACTTTTTTTATGATTTGCTATACAATTTAAATATGTACTTTTCTTTTATATTTTTGCCACTAAAAACTACTTTTTTTTTTTTTTTTTTTTTGAGAACCCGTTCTAATTTTTTTAAATTCAATTATTTCCAATATTTTCAGTTATGTACATATTTCTAAAAATTCAAATACGTAGAAAAAATAATAACATACAATTTTTTAAAATTATTTTTGACATTTTTGGAGAAAACTGATAAATTTCTAATTAAAATTCATCAAAAAATTAATTATTTTTTTTAAGTTATCCAAAAATTATTTATGTTTCTGAACGTTCAAATAAACGAATTTTTTCGTTCCTTTTTTTAATGTTTGGATTTTGGTACAAAATATTAATGTACACATTAAATTTAATTAATTAATTAACTAATTACTAAATAAATATTATAAATTAATTTTTTATTTCTCATTAAAATATACCTAATAATATTAAAAAATATGAAAAGGGGAAAAATTTCGTTCATATGAACGATCAAAATTTTTAGTTAGGAATATAATTATTTTAGAAAATTGCATTATTTTCGAAAAATTACAATACAATATTTTTTAAAAACTAATTCTTAGAATTTTTATCATAAGTTTTTAAGACTCAATTATTTTCGAACAAAGTAAACTAAAATAATTTTAAAATTTACTTTTTTAGACACTCATTAGAATTTTGAAAATCATGTCCATATTTATAATTAAAATTCTTCAAATATTCAATTCTTCAATATTCAATTCTTTAAAACTTTTTAAGCTTTAAGTAATTTATTTTATCAATTGTTTATTTTTGTATTTAAATATTAATTGAATTCTGACAAGAACTGATTTAAGAAAAGAATTTCACTTAAAATTTTAGAAAATATTTAAATATTAAAAGCTTTATAGCGAGTAGCAATTTTTAGAAGTAATTAAATTTCCAAAGGTTTTTAAATTGAAATCTTAAAAAATTTTGAATAATTCAACTTAGAGATTCTGAAAAAATGACGTTTTTAAAAAATTTAAACAATAATTATAAATTTTGTCAAATTTTATTTAAATAAATGATATATTTAAAAGAAATTTATTTTTCTTTACTTTCAAAAATTGTTTATAAAATAATGGTATTTTTGAAGAATTCTAAATGTTGGGCTTTGTACTTTCAAATGTAAATAAATAAATAAATAATTGAAGTTATTACTGGAATAAAGAAAAAAAGTTTTCTTTCCTTTAAAGAAAAAAATGTTTTCTGAATACATAATATTTTTGTGAATACAACAAGTTACTTTTTTTGCATATTGAATCGATTAAAACAATTTTTTTAGTCGTTAAATTTAATTTTTCGATAGCTGATTTTTTACTATTTTTTTAAGTCCTAAAGTTACCTTTTGCTATTTTTTTTAATTAAAACGTTTTTTGCAAATATGTTAAAAATGTTATGAAACGTATAATTTTTTTTTAGTTTTGTAGCGTTTTTTGAAACACATCTTTCGACCCCTAATTGAACACTTTTTGGTAATATTAGCCAAAGTTATTAATAATTTTTTTGGTAATAATGTGTTTGGTAATTAAAAGTGTCTCTTTCATTAAGTATAATATATTGAAATCAGTTTTTTATTAATTATTTTAGATTAAATAATAAAGACTCAAACTAGAGTGGTTCATACTGAAATTTGATCCTCTTTGTGTATTTTCATTCAAAAATTACAAATATAATCTAAAAATTTTTTTGCTTTTTTGGTACTTTTCTTTGTAATGCGTCACATTTATATTTTAGGAACAATATTTAGCAAATCTTGATAGTTTCAAAAATAGATTTATCAGTTTTTGTAAACATGTTATGTTTCAAAACTTTTACCTAAGCTTTAACTTTTGTAAGAAATAATTTTGTCCTAAAATATTTTTGAAGAGTTATTATGCAAGAGAGAAAAAGTTATAGCAATTTTTATGACTGTGTCTTAAGGGGATGTCAAAGTCGATGCGATTTTTACAGAGAGCCTCAATGGAAAAATCGCATCGACTTTGATATGTTCTTAACTCACTGCAATACGTCACGAAAACTTTTTAAACTCGTTTTTTCTCGTAAACACATTTTTGAAAACGGGGAGACACTTTTCTCGAAATCAACTGAGTCGATTTTAAAAAATCCAAAACCATTCAATTCTTTATCTACAGAAACTGGAGAACCAACCTCTAAAATTACGGGGGTCAAATTGACCCAAAGGTTTTGTAAATTTTAACAATATTGTTTATACGTATATTTTTTTAAACAATAGCAAATTTTAGATACTTTCTGGTCAACATATTTTTGAAGTCCTCTGTTTGCTGAAGAAAACGCACCAAATTTGAATGAAAAATATTAATTTTGTTTATAGATAATTGAGCTTTTATAGGTGGGACCTACATATCCCAGCTATAGGACTCATAGGGTTAAAATCAATTATAAACTGAATCAGATTCAAATTTCAATGGACTAAAATTTGACTTGAAAATTATTTAAGTATTCTATTGGTCAAGATTCAATTTTCCATAATTTAAATTTCAATCGATCGAAATTTTAGTATTAAAGAAATTTTCAGCTTTTTAAGGTCTAGTTATTTTTGGAAAATAATTCACCTTTTCACCCATTTTAAAATTTAAAGGAAAAGAGTAGGTATAGGTACTGTGATCCCTACGTTAGTCGCAAGTCAGTGGATTGAAAAATATATCACATCTCACCTTCTTTATGACGTTTCTACTTGATTGGGGGTAGTGCACATAATACGTCACGCTACTAAAAGGAAGTGGGAGGAGGGGAGGGATCTGTGATATGTGATGGTGATGGAGTGTGACATAAGGGGTGAAGAGGTGGATTCCTCCCGTGTTACGTCACGCCTTTTGCATTTACTGTGCGTTCAATGCCCAACATGATTTTTAAATTCCCGCTTTTTCGAATAGAATAGAATTTTCTTTGCATAATTTTATAGGCATTACAGATTGGCACCTGTTCACCTTTTTTCATTTATTACAAATTTTCCCACCTATTTTCATAATTATCCATCTTTTTCAACTTTAATAGAAATTTTATTTATAAATAAAATTTCTTTAAAAGCTTTAAAATAATAGCTGTTCTAAAATTTAAGATTCTGGCTGATTCTTTTCAATGTTGCGGTAAATGTTCGAATTGTAATAAAAATCCGTTTCAAATGAAACATGGGTTCTGACAAAAATTTTTAAAGGCTTTTCTTACTCCAACACTAATCTACTTTTTAATCAGTTTGGTTTTAAGATGTAAACGAATTCTTTGTCTTTTGGATGTAAAAAGGTGCTTGTAATTTATTTGGTTTATAAAATAAAATTAGCTTCATTTTTTTCTAATCTTTAACATCAAAAAATAAAAAAAGTTCATGTAGGTTCTTTATAATAAAAATGCGTATTTTTATTCTTTCTTGTATTGAAATTAATACTCAAACTTTACAGGTATATTTAAGATTAAAATCTTTAATAAAAGATACTTTCTGCGATGGTTTCCGTGTACATAAATTATTGGTTATAAATGAATTTACTGCAGTTCTATTCATAACATTTCATTTGTTCTTGTACGTTTCTGGTTAATGGGTAAAGGAGTTTGGGTCAATAGCTACTTCCGTTCAAACGCAATTTTACTCATCAATTTGTAAAATGTGTTGTTTCGAGAAAAAATCACCCCTAATAGCACGGTGAATTATATTCTTCTTTTTCTGGAATATTACACTGAAACTTTGGAAATTTTTATTTGAAATATTAAGGATGATTGACCCCATTTTCGAAATGAACAGAATTTATTTAAATTTTAAAAATTAAATGATAATATTCGTAGGAATATGGAATAATTTTTAAAATACCCGAGTT